TGAGAAGAATGTCCGGCGCGCCCTTCGTTTTTTTTGAGAAGATTCAAAGGGGGCGCGGGGGTCCGAAAGTTCAAGAATATTTATCAATATCCGATGTAACGTTTGAGCAGGTCATAAGCTTCTGTGTCCTCTTCGGAGCTCTCTTCTTCTTTGTCCTTTTTCCCCCCGCTCTTCTTGCCCCCACCGCCACCTTTCTTGTCCTCTTTTTTCTCCTCCTCTTCGTCTTCCTTTCCCGCTGCTTTTGCGTCGCCTTTTGCGCCGGGCTTTTTCTTGTCTTCCTCGCTGTCATCGTCAGTGTAAGCGTCATCGCCACTGTCGTCGTCGCCGTCGTCCTCCTCGTCTTCAGCCTTGAGCTCCAGCAACGACGCCTCAATCGATGATTCGATATTTTTCGTGATCATGCCGTTTTTCTTTCTCGCCCCCTTGACGCCGTTTTTTTTACCGGATAAAGTAGTAGATGATGACACAACTACTTGCGGTGCCGGGGAAAGATCGCGACGTCCGTCGGTAGTCATCTTCCGGGTGTCCGGACTACTGGTTTTTATTCCAGACGAGGTGGACGCAGAAGTCTTTCTCATCTCGTTGTTGTCTTCCAGAAATTGCAACTGCTCTTCGCGTAAAGTCTCGTCGTTCTGGGCCCCCGCTTCTGGGTAGTCGGAAAGCGGATAGAACAAGGACTCCTTCCCCGAGTCAGCGCGGTTGTTCGTGGAGGCAGATGAAGTGCTACCACCACTGCCCGGTCTTTGTTCCCCCTGTCGTCCGTTCCCGAACGCGGCAATGCAGAAGGTGGTTAAAACGTCGATCACGTGAAGGAAAACGAGAAACGCGACGGGAAAGAGGATGTACCGCTTTATCAGTCGAAACGTTTTTGTGTTCGCGATCGGGTCAAATTGGTTGTTCAGGAAATCGAAATTGATGCGAGCTGTATTAAATACCGCTGTCGTTGAAGTCGAACCGGTGGCGGAACTTTTTCTCGCATGATCAGCTGCCCAGCAGGCGTCTATTTTTCGCTTTCCTCTTCTACTTTCGGACGTTGCAGTAGATGCTGACCTTGTTGGGGCACTAGAAGCAGTAGAACCGTCGGCTGCATGATCCACATCTCCGCTTGAAGATGTTGTTATTTTTACCGCGCTCCTCGTGCAGCTCCCCGCACTGCCTCCTTCCTGCGGGTTGCTGACAAAATCCTCGTGACGTTCGACGTCCAGTGGTGGGTCCGGGTTTATTTCGCCCGGGTGGGGCGGAGGTTGACTTGCAGCAGATGCGGACATCTTGTTGATCTTGATTTTCTATATTTCTTTCGCCGCACGACCCGCAGCACAAACCCCAACTGCCCTCGTGCTCGTGACGCTCTAATGCGGTCGGATGAGTTTCAGCAAGCGCAATCCAGGCGACGTGCGTTATGCCGTAGCCATTTAAGTGCTTATGCACGCCTGCAAATCCTCACTTTGTTGCAGGAAGTACTTCTTCGCTCAGAAGTTCACAACTAGCAAGCTCCTCTCGCTCGAAAAAGTTGGAATTTAGACCGCAGTCTAGAAGAAGTCACTCAATGTCATGTGCAGCTTTGTCTGTGTTCTTGCGTCGGTCCTCTCTGTCTCGCTCTACCCACTGGTTGACGTCGGAAATAACGGAATCAATATACCGCTCGGGGAAAAGTTAAAGTAGAACAGTGAGCGATAGCTACAACTGAGAAGTGCTGTGCAAATTTCTAATTCCCGCAGACGAAGAGCCTCTTGCTCGGGTGCAACTTCCGGACGAGGCTGTTGAGCGGAATCTTCAACGAGGAGAATTATAGCAGATGAATAGATTTTTATATATGGGCTTTGCTTTGTATTTGTGTTCATTTCCGTACAAGTCGGGTGACTTTATCCAGTTTCTTCTTGAGTGAAAATCTGACAACATCTACCGTGTTGAATAAAAGCTAAATCAGTTTTTCTTAGCCGAGCAAGCTGTTGAAAAAGTCGTCGGTTGTGATAGTTTGAAAAAATGGTATTTGCTGTTTTTGTTCGTGGTTGTGGTTCCTCAAAGAACCAGGTGGAGGTGGAACCCAAATAAGGTTACCTACGCACGACCCACACGAAGTGATGTTAAACAACAGTATTGTAGCAAAAACAGGACGAGTAAAAGTTCCGATTGACTTCTGGCACGTAGTCGTGTCGTGGTGTTCCATCCCGACGTGAAAGGTCTCTCCCTTCCTAATATCTTGCGTCGAAATTATCGTGGATTTCTTTCACGTGACAATCCTTATCCACCTACTTACACCGTACTCTTCTGACAAACAGCCAGCAGCGGTGGGCGGTCGAAAATCGGGGTTGGCCGGACCCGTTCCTTCAGCCGCTCCACCGGCTGATGTTGTGTTATACATTGCAAATATGTCTGGGTCTGGAAGATTGAAACTTGTCATGCTAAATCTGAATCATGCAAAAATCTGTGTTGCGTGACGAGTACCAAAAGCTGTCCACTTTTGACCAAGTTCAGAGGGAGTTTCTCATGCAGGAAAGGCATTATAGAGACCTGAAAGAATCTGTCATGCTGGGTCTCGCATTCCAGACCTCATGGGTTATGAAGAACCTGCATGACAGGTCTTGCAACGTTCCAGACCCAGACATTTTTGCATTTGATATGTGTAGTTGCGCTCTGATTCGCGCCTGCAGTGGACCGGCCCGTTGTTCCGGCCCCCGCGATATCCTGTGCAAAAGTATCGTACTCGTAGTAATTGCAGTCATGCATTACAAATCTCGTTCCCAAGGCAAATCAGCATGACAAATTGCATTTGTCATGCTGAGGGAATTTGTCATGCAATTTATACTAGTACGATACTTTTGCAGTTCATACGCGAGGCCAGTTGCATTCGGATTCTGACCTGAACCAGCCGTAGTTGCTTTGTTGTTCATAATTCCGCCCATCGGAGCTGCCATTTGACCCGCTGTACTCCCGGGTAGATGTTGTTGTGCACCAGTTCTCGCCACAGTTGCCGCAGCCATCGGAGGTGGCAAGGGTGGACTACTAGCTCCCGCAGCAGCTGCGCTCCCTACAGCTCCAGGCCCGAACGGTGGCTGTGGTCCAGTCGGCGTCGGCAGCAAGTGCGTGGGCGGCAACGTCGGTGGCAGGGTCGGGGGCAGCACCGGGGCTGAGACACTACTGCCGGTGTTTGCAGCAGCGTTCGGCGCCGTGCTAAACAAGTTCGCGCCAGCACTCGTCGGGATAGAATTTTTCGAGGATGTTGTAGGCCCAGTTACTCCTGCTCCACTTCCCGGCGTCACTGCGGTCTTCACGGGCGGCATATGAAATGCAAAAGCATCGTACTAGTATAAATCGCATGACAAATTCCCTCAGCATGAAAAATGGAATTTGTAATGCGGGTTTAGCTTAAGAGGGAGATTTGTAATGCATGATTGCGATTACTACGAGTACGACACTTTTACACGGGATACGGCAGCGGCGGCGGCAACAGAGGCGGCGGGCTTTTGCTCATGGTAGAGGAAGTTTTCGAATTCGATAATTGGGCTTTATTTTGCACCAGGTCACTTGCATTTTGATTTTGATTTCCACCGGGCGGGGCGGGGGCCACATGTTGAGCATTATTACCGGCGAAAGAACCATGCGGTTGGTTTTGTTGAAACAACGTGGTCGGGGGCGGCAGCTGGGGTGGGGGGGTTAATGGGTGAGGGGTCGTCGTACTACTCGGCGAGGGAAGAAATTGGTGATTCTGGTTGATATTTTGGTAGTTGAGATTGTTGCTGTTCTGTGCGCCAGTGGAGGAGAAAACGCCCGCACTTGTAGGAGGTAGAACTCCACCCGGTTGCTGTATTTGCTCAGAATTGTCGTTTAACATCTTCTCAATTCCCCCATTACGTTCCAGCTTCCGTTTCTCTTCCGGCTCGGAAAAGTGGTACGAAAAATCGTGCTTCATGCGGTCGAAGAGTGCAGTAGAACTCTCGAGTTCTTCCTGTTGGCCGGAATTTTTGCTATCTACTCCATGATAGTGATTTATTTCCGCACTACTATAATCGGGAGTAGTATTTTTAGAGGTTGACACAAGCGCCGCTTTCCCCGGCGTGAAAAAGTTTTCCGGAAGTACATCGTTGTATCCGAAAAAAAGCGTGCACATCCCCGCCTTCCCAGCGGGTCTGTAGCTGTCCACTTGTTCCGTGGGCGGCTGCGGGCCACCCGAGGCATGCATATCACTTCCGTGTTGATCGGCGTGCATATCACTTGCTGCTCCGACCGCATTGTTATTACCCATCATATTACCCACTGTTCGGGGGGAGCTCGCGTTGTAGAGGTAATCTGTGTCGAAGACAAAACCCTTTTCGTTCGTCTGGCTCGTTTTGCCGAAGTTCTCCCCGAGGTATTTCCGAATCTCAATCAGCGCGTCATTGGTGCTGGAACTGAGGACTTTGCAAGAAGTCGAGGAGGTAGAAGAGCTGGTACTAATCTCAGCTGGTCGTGTCGTGGTGCAACCGCCTAGAGATGAAGACAACTGGTCGTAGTCAGGAACACCCATCATCTCCTCGTCCCCATCAGCATCAAATCGGGCCAAAAACGGGTTCTGCTCCCGGTCCTTCTGAATCGCTTGAAGTTTCTCGGGGTTGTTCGGATTTTCGTAGTTGGCTGCGTGGAGCAACTATGCAGGCCAAAAGCATCGCACTCGTACCGATTGCGTTTATGCGTCACGCGCCTTTATTTTCTTACCTTAGGGCAAACCCGCGCTACGAATCTACTTTGCAAGACACTAGGCCAATGGGAGGAAAAAGATGCGCGAACCCGGCACCCATATCCGCACGGCGTGCGCAGGCTTTTGCCCTTCGGCTCCTCGCCGCCGCGCCCCTGCCAATCAATGGGAAGAAACAGAGGCGCGAACCCGGCACCCATATCCGCATGATGTGCGCAGGCTTTTGCACTCCGGCTTCTCGCCGCCGCGCTCCTGCCAATCAATGCGAAGAAACAGAGGCGCGAACCCGGCACCCATATCCGCATGGTGTGCGCAGACTTTTGCGCTCCGGCTCCTCGGCGCCGCGCTCCGGCCAGTCAATGGGAAGCGCAAGAGGCGCGAGCCCGGCACCCATACAAATCATTTGTAAACGCAATTTATATGTAGTGCGATGCAATGCATAGCAACACTTTGTTCAAATGGTGGAACGCCGTCTGGGCGGTCATGCAGTCCTGCAGCTCTTCCTCTAATTTCTCCTTCTGTTCCGACATTGGCACGGGATCCGCATTCGGTCGGTAAAAACTCGAATTAATGTTGCACCGAGGTGGTACTGCAGATGAGCCGCGACCGGTGGTATTGTTGTTCCTGCTGTTGCCCGTAGTAGTTGTTGCCCCATTTGATGTAGATGTTTCTGTGCCGCTGCCCTGACCATTCGCGGCGCTGCTCCTCTTCCCCTCCACCAATTTGCTCGCTTTTGCGACTAAAATTCTCTTTGCCCGTTCTTTCAACTTTTTCTTCAAAAACTGCAGCTTCGAAACCCGGGGGTGTTATGGATTGCAAATGTGTCTGGGTCTGGAAGATTGCAACCTGTCATGCTGGCCTTACATTCCTGTAAAATCTGTATTGCATGACTAACAAAAGGCGTAGCCTCTCTTGTCATTACAAAAACGCAATTTGTCATGCGGAGGGCGTATGAGAAAGCGTTCTGCAAACTTGTCATGCTCTGCTGCATAAGGAAGTGATTTCATCATGCACATTTTAGCATCACAAACTTCCAGACCCAGACATTTTTGCATTTGATAGGTGCAGCACCGCATCCAAAGTCGCTTGGTTCGAAAAATTTTCCAAATCCAAATGTCCAAAGGAAAAACGTCCCGACCCCAGAGTTGTCATGCAAATCTGCAAGCCTCACATGTTTCTCATGCGCAGCCCCATGAGAAGCATCTCTTAATGCGGTCTGGCAGTTTGTTTGTCATGCTACAATCAGGATAAGCGGATCGATCTGTGATGCAGCTGCACTAGCTACGCGCGATTGCACTGCGAGCACAAACTTGTCATGCGCGACAGTCGAAAGCTGTTGATTTGTGTAGCAAAACCCCCATCTTGACTCTGGGGTGGGGACGTTTTTGCTCAGGATACCAAATCTGCTTGAATGTTTGCGAACTCCGGCAGGTTCGGCCCGTTCTCCTGTAGCTATCCTGTGCAAAAGTATCGTACTCGTAGCACTCGCAGCCATGCATTACAAATCTTTTTCTTATAGGGAAATCCGCATTACAAATTTCATTCCTCATGCTGAGGGAAGTTGTCATGCGATTTGTACTAGTACGATGCTTTTGCATTTCATAGCAGCTGCTCCCTTGCGAAATTTTTCTCCCCCGCCTCCAGCTGGTTCAAATATTCCGTGGAGGAAATATTCCGCACGGCGACCTATGAATTGCAAAAATGTCTGGGTCTGGGAGATTGCGAGACTTGTCATGCTAGTGGGGCATGACTCTGAACTCTGTATTGCGTGTCCGCGAAGAGGTCCTCTTGTCTGGCATGCAAAAACGCAGTTTCTCATGCGGGAAACGCATCTCTGAACCACGGAAAAACTTGGCATGCTGGGGAGCGCATTACAGTGTGCTCACTATTCGCTTTCTTGCATCACAAGTTTCCAGACCCAGACATATTTGCAATGCATACGACCTGGGCAACGGCGTTCAAATCGCGCCCGTCGTCGTTGATCTTCAAAAAGTCGCGAAGCAGGGACATCTGGCGTGTTGATGTTGAATAGGTTCTTGTAAGAACAAGAGCATATCCTGCAATCTTGTGGACATGCGAAACCATGCAAATTCTATAAAGGTTTATGGTTCTACTTTTTTATTTTTAGCAATACAATAGATTGAAGATAGTAGAAAATGAATAAAGCTGCATGATAAAGGGTGAAAAAAAAAGACCTATTATTACGGTCATAAAAGTATACCTGTGCATGGTTGAAATCCTCAGACAAATTGTAGTCTTTCAGAACTTGCTTGAAGTCAAAGGTGGTAAATTCCTCCCCGCTGGCCCTCACCTCTACTGATTTCTGGTACAAGCTCGGAATGTGTTCGGCGATTATTTTGCTGTTCTGATTTTTTGTAGTTCCGGCAATGTCACTGCCGTCCTGGTCTTTACTACTGTCGCAGCTGCCTTTACTACTGCTGCTTTTTAATGCCGCTGCTGTGCCTGCTCCCACCGCTGCATGACGAGAAGTAGAACTCGGGTTCTGACTTGCTGCAGCCCTGCTGGGCACGATCGGCGGCACCGCGACGGGTAGCTTGGTCAATTGCGTGAATAACTTCTCCGCCTCGGAAACGCCGGATAACGATTTGCTGTCCTTCTTGTACTATCCAGTGCAAAAGTATCGCACTCGTAGTAATCGCAGTCATGCATTACAAATCTCCATCCCAAGGCGAAACAGCATGACAGCATCCATTTGTCATGCTGAGCCAATTTGTAATGCGATTACTACTAGTACGATACTTTTGCAATGCATATGTACTGATAGAGGATTTTCGCTACCAGGTCGGCAACCTCCTTCTGTGACGGATTCACCCGCATGGACCTGCTCCCGGTTGTACTATTCTGTGCTGCTCCAGAAGTTCTACTACTTCCACCGTTTTGCGAAGATGAAACAGGAACTGGCTCGCCGTAGTTTAAACTGAATTTCAAGTAGTTGTGCAAACATTTTCTCACCAACGCGGGCAGAAAGTCTTCTGTCATCCGGTCTGCGTAGTCCCTCGCTCGCGGGCAGGCGCGCAGGGACCGGAGAAAAAAATCCACCCACTGCTCCATTTTGTGCGGCAACGAGTCGCTGGCCTGCTTGCCGACATCGTCGGTCGCGGAATCCGGGGTGGTCGAATCGAAGACTGTTTTTATTTCAACAAAATATATCTCATGTAGCAGTAGCAGGCTTTGGCCTTCATTTTGGTTTTGCTTTTGGGGACGTTGAACCGTCACAAAATTTTAACTCGTTTAGATTTTTTTTGAATGAAAGCATTGTCACACTTTCGTTTCAAGCGAAAAACTAGCTCCGAACGGAACAATATCAATTGTACCTCCCTGCACCGTCTGCGCTAGCTTGCTGCTTTCCGCGGGCAGGCTCTTGCACAATTTCCGCACCGAAGTGTCATCCAGCAGCCCGTTAAACGTCGCATCCAGGCTTCGCTGGTCCGCGCTCAGCGAGAAATAGTCTGCGTTTGCTTCTACGAACGGCATTTGATTAGTTTTTAGTGTCGTCAGAAGATCAAGAGTTGAGGCAATGTACTGGGAGAACGGGCTCAGTGCACAGCATTTTTTATGGCCATGTCTATCTAATAGAACTACATGCTATCGTCCTGTCGCTCTTCCTTCGTGAAAATTTGTAAGTAGTATTAATAGCAGCATGCTGTTGATGTGGTCGTCGTCGTGGTGGTCAACATTAAAACCAAACAGCACATTGAGAAAAATGTCAACATAGAGCTGTTGGAAGTGCAGTATTGTACTTGTAGCTTAATAGTCGCTTATCATCTGCTTCACGGTCGCATTTTACTGTCGAACTTGTTCTTATGGATCCACGAGCAGCAGAAAAGTTATAGTGCGATAATAATCCCCGTTGCCATCTTTCAGTTTCAGGATGTTACCTGCTACTTCTGACGTTGGTCGAAGCACGGGAGGATCTTTTTGTTTCCTTAGAGCAGATAATGCCTTTTTCGTTTTCCTACCATAGCGCTAGGAAAATTGCATCGCAACTGAAGGCCATTTACAAATAAAATCGAACACGTCGCACATCTTCTGTGCGAAGCACTTGCTTGTTCTCGTCAAGCCAGCACGACCCGACCGTCTTCGTCGTACCGATTTTTTTCGTTTTTCTTCAAAGACAGTAAATGGTGACACTGAAACGACGTTGTATTATATTTCTGTTGTTGATTTCTTTTTCAACGTGATTTTGGCTCTTTCAGCATGACAAATTCCGGTGTGCTTAATCGTCCAGAGATGGGCTTATATTTTTCATCGGAAAGAGAACGCGCAGACTGATCAGATCAGAGACAATGCTCGTAAAATTGCAGTCTGCTTCTAAGGATTCAGTAAAGAACGTAGCTGTTTCTTATTCGCCCCTGAAAGTTCGTGTAGTTTACTGCTTTTCGTGTGAAGATTATGTAGTTGTTTCACTGCCTTAGTCGTTGTAATTAATACCCACCCGGGACTCTATCTAGTCTTCGATTTGCCGTGCTGATATAATACGATCCTAGTACGTAATTACGAAAAAAAAGTGCCGATCATGTTGGAGTTCTTGACCCAGGCTAGACCCGGCGCCTAAGACATCTGTTTGGGCCCAGCCTAAGACAAAATTGTAGATATTCGCATAGAAAACTAGCCCTACTTCTTTAATACCTGCCTCGGAATTTGATAAGCACTTGATCTCCTAGTTTGCCTAATATTAACAGTGGCTTTGTTTACGGACGAAGTGGTGCGGAAACGCATGCAAAAAAAAAGTCGGCCTATTGTATTTGGTAATACTTGTATCAAGAAAGTTCTCCCTGGTCACTGACCCGTGAAAAATTTCGAAAGTTAAACTAAGTGCTGAATACAACAGTTTAATCAGTGCGTGGCAAGCCGCTACACACAGAAGGAGAAGTACTATGGTGAGATGAGTTCTTACGATTATGTGTTCGAATAGAAATGCGCATCTCTTATATAGGCATATCAGGTCGTTCTTGTTGTATGAGAAGTCGAGCTACAGCTCTGGTGCAAGGAATTCAAAGAACTCCAAGCATGTGCCCTTTGAGCTGTAGCGACCTTTGATGTGAAACCTACTTTGTCCTATGGTCGTGACAACAAAATACGGTCAAGCGTATTGGTTGAAAAACTATAGCGAAGATCACGTGACTCCAGTAGGAATTTGTGTTGGTGAAATAAATTCATCACAGTGCCAGGTTTCCATCTCAAATGCTGTTTATTTCTTCCGAGGTAAATCTATTCCTGAGGCAGGACAAAGAGCGGGCGTTCTCCTTGTAGTGAAAGGTTCGAAATACTAGTCGACTTAGGTTGCAGTGCGGTCTAGATTGATACTATTGCTGTAACGAAGAAGAAATCATTTGTGAAACAGAGATGAGGATGACAGTTTTTGTGTTGTAAGTATATTTCGTGCTTCTTGTTGTCTCATGGAAAGCGGTTTATTACCATATCTTGAAAACTAAAATCCCAAAGGGAAGTTTGAAAATAAGCACTGTAGCATAGCGAACTGAACATAAATGTGTAAGCACATCCTGTGAAGGGTTTTTTGAAAATGAAGAAGGAAGCGACTACGTGAGTCCCTAGCTAGAAATGGGCGCGGCGCGAGTGTGGATACTTCTGCCCACGGGGTCCCACATGGCGGAAGCTGGAGCACTACGACCAAGCAGCGCTACACCCAGCCTTCCCATACCATAGGATCCCAGCCGACCAAGGAGCGCTACGACCAAGCGCTACACCCAGCCTTTATTACCATATCCCATCTTTCGTCTCCGGTATTTATTTGGTGACACTCATATATTTAGATCGATTTATTCGAAAATCTGGGTCAGCAAAAAGAACTCGAGGGCGCACTTACGTGGTCTCGGGTAGAATGCTTCACCGGAAAATTCTGGAGACACTGTTCAATAGCCACTCATCTGTAGTGCGATATTAACTCGATGTGAAGTAATTGTATTTTTTAAATCTGTTAACAGTTCGAGTTCCATTATGTCTTGATAAAAGTACTAAAAGCTAGCACAGTTAAGTACCGCTTGCAAAAGAAAAAAGTTGACACGCAAGATGGAATAACCGCTACACGAAAGACCACCCAGTGTAGTGCTCTCAGCAGACCTGGTTGACCAGAAATGGTGGTCGACACTGTTCTGCTTCGCAACACGAGAATTCTGGTGTAGCCGGCGTTAATATCTGCGTGCTTATAAAGAAATAATTAGCAGTCGCAGTGCGAAACGTGAATTAAAATCATAATCAAGGACTCCTCGTAGATTAATTTGGTTTCTACAACTGTTGTTTTTATTCAATGCGCCTTGGACACCTGCTTTTATTTTTGGTGTGGTTTTGAAAAAGTTTTTGTGATGTTCTTTTCTATTACACATTTTGTATGTTCTTTTCGTTTTCTTTTACACATTTTAACATTGTGATTGTGGTTGAAAAAGTCATTTCATGTGGTCGTCTTGCAGCCTTTTTTCCACCCACGTGAGTACTGCAACCACTGTTTCACCCGACGAAGAACCGCTTAGCGCCGCTGGCGCAGCTGGCGGCGAGAGCGGCGGGCCTGGCGGCGCGCATGGATCGCGGCCTTGCCCTTGGTCTTCTTGACGTAACCCCGGTGCATCGGGTCGCGGGCGGGCAGCAGGTAGTCGATGCCGCGCTCTTCCCAGTAGTCCTCCAGCTGGCGGAGTTCCTTCTCCTGCTCAGACACACCGCCCTCCAACGTGCAGTACTCCTTGCCGTTGATCTTCATGCAGTCCTTCTGCTGCTCCCCCACTTCCTGCAGCCGACGGCGCTTCTCGATCAGCGCACGACGCTGGCGGCGCTGGCGGATGCGGGCGATGTTGGCGTACTGGTCCTGGACCTGCTTTTTCTCAATCGGCGAGCCCAATTCGTTGTACAACACACACTGGTTGTCGGGCTTGCACTCCGGCTCGGCCGGGTCGGTAGCACCGGGGAACTCCTATCGCACGAAAAAAGTGCTTCACTGTAAGGATTTTGCACGTTTTGCATCACTACAAGTTTGTTCTACATCACAGAGAAAATTTGCCATGCGAGATTCCTAAGGGAAAACACAGCTAAAAATCCCTTGTCTTGCATGTGTACCAAGACAAATACTTCTCAGATACATTTTCTGCATTACAAGTTTACAGTGAAACAGTTTTTTCTTGTGATAACTCGGCGTCGGTGAACACAGGCTCGTCGAACTTGCCCGCAGCTCCGGTTTGCAGCGTCATAGACGTGTCCTGCCACTGCTTGTGCTTCATGCAGAACCGCTTGCAGTATGAAAGTGCACAACTCCCCCTCCCCCTCATTTGTATGGCATCAACAGCATTGCAAGCACCAGTACGTGTGGACCCTGTGCATGACGAGTTTGTGTGTCTCTTGTAGTACTGTTTGGATTTCCGGAATTTGTCATGCACGCGGTGCCACAAGGTAGCAACTGGAGTTGAGATTTTGCATAAGAAATGAGAACGAGGGGGAGTTGTGCACTGTCATATGCAGAGCGAGGTGATGTTGTTGCTCACGAAGGACATGGCCTCCTTCACAGTCGTATCAAGTGAAAATATGTCTGGATCTGGAAGAATGCATGTTTGTCATGCTTGTCTGGCATGACTCTGAAATCTGTCATGCACGTTACCCAAGAGCGCCATTTTTCTCTCAACATGCAGAAAAGCAGTTTGTCATGCAGAAAAATAGACAACACCTAGAAACTCAGAAATTTGTCATGCTGAGCCAGCACTTGTGGCCTCCTTATGATACGCCGCCCAGCAACACAAGTTTCCAGACCCAGACATATTTGCATTTCATAATTCGACGTCGCGTTCGGGTACTTCTCCAGCGCCGGCTCGATCATGCGCTTGGCGACTTCCTCGGCGATAAGCTCGCCGCGCTTCATATGGTGAGCAAAAACGTCCCCACCCCAGAGTTGGGAAATCTGCTAGACAAATCGCCAGGCTTTGGCTGCTGCGCATCACAAATTTGGGCTCGCAATTTAGTCGTGTTTACCTAGTGCAGCACTGCATGACAGATCTAGCATACCATGCGGATTTGAGCATCACAAATCTCACAACATCAATTAAAACTGCTTTTCATAGGTCTCCGCATGAGAAACATTGTCAGCATGCAGATTTGCATTACAACTCTGGGGTGCGGACGTTTTTACAGGTGATATTTCATGCGCGCCAGCATCTCCTGCACCTTCTTCTCCGGGATGGTCTCGCGGATGCCGCGCATGGCGCAGCGGGACAGGCGGGTGGATTGGGACTTCATCTGGGCCATCGCGCCGCTGCCGTTGTCCATGTACATGTAGTAGGCGTATCAAAATAAAAAATCACCCGCGCCATTTCGAAAGGCAATTTGTGTTGCTGGATTTGTGTACTACACAAATGAGCTCTGTATTGCAGCAAGAGCTTGTCGGGTGCATATTCTAAGCCCATTTGGGTACGCATCCCGCTAGCAGCTGAGCATGAGAAACAAGTCTGACATAGGCAAAAACGCATGACAGACTCGCTGTACAATGCGCCACAAAGGTGCCGTTTGCCTTGTACGCACGGCAAAGCTGATTTGCGGTCACAAATCAGCATCACAAAATTCCTTCTCGATATGGGGAGGGGGGATTTTTCCTTACGATAACGGGTCGGGCAGGTTCATGTCGATCTCGACCAAGATCGCCTGAGCCATCTGGAACATCTCGTACCCCGGGTAACGCTATAGAGTGCAAAAATATCGTTTACTAGTATAAATCGCATGACAAATTCCCTCAACATGAAAAATATGAAAAATAGAATTTGTAATGCGGATTTACATTAAGAAAAATCTTTCCAATGCAGGATTGCAATACGAGTATCAGATACTTTTGCACACGATAACCGCCAGTTGTATCCGGTCAGCGGATCCTCGTAATCCGTGTAGGTGTTGTCGGACTTCTTCTGCACGGCGTTCTTCAGGTCCTTCAGAACGGTCTCGTATGAACTGCAAAAGTATCGTACTCGTAGTAATAAATGCAATACAAATTGGGTCAGCATGACAAATGGAATTTGTCATGCTGATTTAGCTTGGAAAAGAAATTTGTCTTGCATGACTGCAATTCCTACGAGTACGATGCTTTTTCACAGGATATCTCGCACGCCAACTTGAAGTTCACCTTGGCTTCGTAGCAGCGCATGTAGCCGCCGGCCCGGTTGGAGTTCCCGTCCCAGTTGGCCGCCGCGGTGCCGGGGCAGGCGAGGATGTCCTTGATGGGCTTGTAGTGCATCTTGTAGTTGCCCTGGTAGTCCATGATCTGCATCGCACCCCAGCCGTTGTTGTCCTCGTAAATGGCCTCGCACATGTTGGTGATCGCCGTGTCCGTCGGCATCGTGTAGGTTCCCGGCCAGCCGTATCCTCGGCAAAAATTTCCCCACGACCCCAGAGTTGTCATGCAAATGCGCAATGACAGGAATCGATTTGTCATGCGCAGCTCCACGAGAGGCAAAGTTGCCAGTCGCGATTTGGCATTTGTAATGCTATAAATAGGATGAGCAAATGGCTTTCTCATGCGGCTTCCCTTATTGAAAACCAGCACTACACTGCAGATGTTGGAAGCTTGTCATGCACAACTCCCAAAACTTGGAGATTTGTATTGCAGATTTACCAACTTGACTATGGGGTCGTGGGGACGTTTTTGCAAAGGATAAGCCGTTGGAGTAGGTGGCGTCCCGGAAGGTGCTGGGCGCGTCGTAGTCCAGCGAGCGCTGCAGCACCTGGGAAATGGCTTCCAGCATGGGCATGGCCATCGGGTTGTTCCCGTCGCCGCCGGACTCGCGGCGGATATCACGTGCAAAAGTATCGTACTCGTAGTAATCGCAACTATGCATGACAAATCGCCTTCCTATGCTAAAACAGCATGACAAATTCAATTTGTCATGCTAAGGAAATTTGTAATGCGATTTGTACTAGTACGATACTTTTGCAGTTCATAGCGGATCTTGTCGGCCAAATCCTGGCACTTCATGTGCGGGCGGTCCCGGGACATGATGACCGCGGGCTCGACCGGAGCGCCGCTATGCAACGCAAATGTGTCTGGATGTCTGGAAACTTGTGTTGCTGATACTTGCATTGCCGACTGGCTTCTTGTACGGCATAACAGCATGACAAGATAATCCTGTTCATGCACTACAGATCTTGTTGTCTTTGATGTCTCGCATCACAAATCCAGACCCAGACATATTTGCGATGCATAGCCGCTGGTGTCGGACATGTCAGGGTTGTTGCTGTCATACATGGGTTCAGAGGTGTGGTTGTAGGACAGGGAGCGGAGATCGGCGCACCCAAGTTCCCGCGGGCCCATCCACAAGCACTTGTCGCCATCGTATTGCTCGGTGTACCAGTCGGGCTCCGAGGGCGAGGACTGCTCGAACAAATGCTTCACCAGGCGCATGAACTCCAGCTTCTCCTTCTATGCATTGCAAACATGTCTCGGTCTGGATTTGTGATGCGAAATTAGAAGGACAGCGAGATCTGTAATGCATGAATGCGATGGTTCTGACCTTTTGTCCTACTGGGCGCTACTAGTTTGTCATGCAACAGAACACAATAGAACTCGCAAAACCAAGTAAAAAACTTGTGATGCGCGGATGCCGTACAGAACATCGCTCCGCCATGCAAGACTCAGCAACACAAATTCGTTGCGTCTCTCCAGACCCAGACATATTTGCGCTTCATACCTTCTGGTCCATGACAATGTTGACCAGCATCTGCATGTACTTCGGGTCCGCACGTTATGCATTGCAAATATGTCTTCGTCTGTAGACTTGTGATGCAAGGAAGAAAACAGTGAGCACACTGTAATTATGCATTGGCAAGCATGACAAGCTTTTCCGTTGTTCTGAGTTGCGTATTCCGCATGACAAACTCCATTTATTTGGCATGACAGGCAACAGGAGCTCTACTTCGCGGCTACGCAATACAGAGTTCAGAGTCGTGCCAGACTAGCATGACAAACCTTGCAATGTTCCAGACCGAGACATCCTGCAGTTGATACACGCATGCGCATGTAGATGTCGTACGCGCGCTCGCGGGCCATCTTGATGGCCTGTATCAAAGAAAAAAAGTTCGTCACGATCACTCATGCGCATTCTTGCAATACAAAACTGTTTGTCATGCGTAAAAATGCATCACAGCCAAACTTCATTAGGGATTTCCCTAGTGTTTCTGCAATACAAGGAAAGTTTGTGATGCTGAGAAAATTTGTAATGCAAAACCTGCAAGTTAGTGACTGTGACAAACTTTTTTCTCTCCATAGCCTGCTATGAAAGTGCACAACTCCCCCTCCCCCCTCATTTGTGTTGCATGAACAGCAACACAACCGCTGGGGCAAAATTGCAGCTTTTGCATGACAAACTCCCAGGGGATTGTAGTGCTGTTTTGGCTAGTACTTCCGGAATCTCTCATGCAAGCAGTGCACTAACAGGCGAAGGGTGGATTTGGAATTTAGCATGACAAATGAGGGGGACGAGGGGGAGGTGTGCACTCTCATACCTGCTTCACTTCGTGCACGAACATCGGGTCCATCTGGCCCTGCAGGGAAGTGACCATTATGCATTGCAAATATGTCTGGGTCTGAAGACGGCCAGGTAGTTTGTCATGCATATTTTGCATGACCCGCGACTGTCTGTGATGCATGCCCAAGCATCACAGATTTAGATTTTCAAAGAGCTTCCCGATGCTTATTCCGCATGAGAAATGCCCTCTTCACGTAGCACAGACTGGACTCCTCTTGCTGGTCATGCAATACAGATTTTTTTTAGAATTCACAAACAGCATCACAAATTGGAGCCTTCCAGACCCAGACATATTTGCACTAGATAACCATCGCGGAGATGTCATCCATGGTCTCTTTGTACTTAGCCTCCGCAGCCGTCGGCATGTTAATCGGAGAGGTGGACTGCACGCCCGCGCCCATCTTGGGCGCAGCGTTGAGGTCGGGGTCGAAGGTGCCGTTTATGAAAGTGCACAGCCCCCCTTCTTCTCATTTGTAGGGCATGAACAGCAATACAAGCGCCAGCTAGAGTGCAGGCTTTGCATGACAAATTTGTTGCACAGGATTGTAGTGCAGCTATTTGGGCGGCCAGAATTTGTCATGCAAACAGTGCGAAGAGGCAAGGCGGGGATTGTGGATTTTGCATGACAAATGAGGGGGAGGGGGAGTTGTGCACTTTCATACCGTTGCGGTTGTCGCCGGTCATCATGTCAATCACGTCCGATTCGTACATCAATTTCCGCTATGCAATGCAAAAGTATCGTACTCGTATAAAAAATGCAATTCTTGCATTACAAATCTTGTTCCCAAGGCAAATCTGCATTATGCATTACAATTTTTTTCTTTCATGCTGAGGAAATTTCTATTGCAATTTCTACTAGTACGATACTTTTGCAATGCATATCCGCTCTTCCAACAAACGCCGGTTGCCGGACTTCTCGGCCTCGGCCATCAGTATCCAAGAAAAAAACGTTGTAGGTGTAACTCTTTTGAAGGAACAGCATCACAAATCTGTCTGGCATGACAGCAAAAACCTGTCATGCGCAGATAGTATGCGAAAACGCCCTGCACAAGGCCCTACAATGCATGCCAAGCATGACAGACGCAATCATTTTGCATGTTGCGCATCACAAATTTACACTAACAACGTTTTTTTCTTGGATAATCAGGCTGCGCCGGTAGTCCTCGACCACCCAGGTCTATCCCACGAAAAAAGTGTTACAGTTACGCATTTGTATGTCAATTCAGCAACACAAATTTCTCTGCATGAGAGAGAAAACTTGCAATGCAGAAATCCTACGGGAAAACACCTATGAAAGGAGGCTCCTATGCATATCCGGCATGACAGAGCTTATCTGTCTTGCTTGGCCTGCAAAGACTATGTGTGTAACTGTAACACTTTTTCCTCAGGATAAGGTCTGCGGGATGCCGGTCAGGTGGCGGACGTAGTATGCATTGCAAAAGTATCGTACTCGTATAAATGCATTACAAATTCCCTCAGCATGAGAAATAAAATTTGTCATGCGGATTTACCTTAGGAAAAAAATTTGTAATGCATGACTGCAATTACTACGAGTACGAGACTTTTGCACAGGATACGTAGGTCGGCACGTGGATGTCGGGGCGCTGCTGCATGCGGCGCCGGGTCTTATCAAATGCAAATATGTCTGGGTCTGGAAACTTGTGATGCAAGGAGGGGAATAGTGAAAACACTGTAATGCGCTGCCCAGCATGACAAGTGTTGCCGTGGTTCTGAGTTGCGTACTCCGCATGAGAAACTGCGTTTTTGCATGACAGGCAAGCGGAGCTCTTCGCGGCCACGCAATACAGAGTTCAGAGTCATGCCAGACTAGCATGACAAATCTCGCAATCTTCCAGACCCAGGCATATTTGCATTCGATAGGTCTTCAGCCCGAGCATGTTCATGGCTTCTTCCGTGGCCTTGATGTCCGCAATCTTGATCACGACCTTCTCGATGTCGGTCGCCTCGCGCTGCTTCTTCTTGCCGTGCTTGCAGTCTTCCGACATGTCCAGCTGGGTCGTTTCCGTTGCACCGGTGACCGGGTGGGTCACTTGGGTGGACACCGGGGTGGCGGGCATCTTGTTGCAGTCAAAGCCGTCCCCGATGCTGGCCGGGACGTAGGAGTCTCCGTCGTAGGCCATCTGGGACATGATCGCGTCGTTGGCCGCCGGGTCCACGGTCTGCTTCGGCTTGGACTCCTGCTGGTCCTTGTAGGCCAAGTTCTGCGCCGCGTTTTCCTCCGGGGTGGTAGACGGGTTGGCACCCTGTATCCTAAGTAAAAGCGCCCCCACCCGCTAGTTGAGGTGGAAACTCTGCTAGACAAATCGACAAGCTTTGGTTGTTGCGCATGACAAATTTTGCCCCGCAAAGTAGTCGGCTTTAGCTAGTGCACCAGCTGCATCACAGATCGAGCGTCTTATGCTGACTCAAGCATGACAAATCTCAAACACACCGAGCAAATGCTTCGCATCGGGTCTCCGCATGAGAAATATTCTGAGCATGCAGGTTTGCATTACAACTCGTTTGGGATCGTGGGGACGTTTTTACACGGGATATCCTGGTCCCCGTAGTAGGACCCGTTGTTGAACATGTTAATCAGGGTATCGCGAGGAAAAATCCCCCCTCCCCATATTGACAAAGTACGTTTTCGAAAATTTGTGTTGCTGATTTGTGGCCACAAATCGTCTCTGTGTTGCATGGAGGCAACTCCACAGACAGCCGCCGCATTCTACAGGCGGTCTGTCATGCTGTTGCTCCTACAGCGTAGACGTCTGTCATGCTGAGCGCCTGGGCCAAAATCTGTCTACTCAGGCTTGATATGGGCCTGCAGTCCTCGCCAGCAAGACAAATCTGATTTGTGTACACAAATCCAGCATCAGAAACTTCGTTTTGATATGGGGAGGGGGGAAATTTTCATTCTGATACAAGGTCACGTTGTTTCCGGAGTACACCGTCATCTTCTTGGTCTCGTTCCCCGGAATCGGCACCGTCTTGAAGTCCTTCGGCGTCACCTTTCCGCCGGTCTTGTTGTAAGCCGGCATGTTGGTAGCTGCGAAGGGCGGCAAGGTCGCCGGCGGAGCGGTGTAGACCGACGGCATGTTCTGGTTGGCCGTCGCTTGCGCGGCGTTGTCCATCTGCAAGGGGGCGCCCGTCGTGGCCGGCTGGTCCGCATACATGTTGAACGCCACCGTCGTGTAGGGTTGGGTCCTATGCAAGAAAAAACATGTGTAAATGTAACTTTGTCTTGCAGATGTTGCAATACAGTTGCACTTGTCATGCTGGATGTGTACTATCAGAGGCTATTTTAATACGTGTTCCCACGTACCAGCTACGCATGACAGGTTTTCTTTGTCATGCAAAAAAAATCTGTGATGCTGTTCCTCCAAGAAAGTTACACTTACACAGTTTTTTTCTTGGATAGGTCGACGGCATGTAGGTGCTCGTTTCGTAGTACATCGGCGGCGTGGTGTCGCCCGGCTGCGTATCAAATGCAAACATGTTTGGGTCTGAAAGAATGCAAGAACTTGTGATGCTGCATTTGAATTCCACACAAGTCCTCTATTGTATGAGCAGCAAAGGGAATGCATTTCCAATTTTTGCTACGCGGTACTAATACGGGTATTTGTCATGCGCAATAGGCATCAAGAAGCTGCCCTCAAAAATCTGTGATGCTAGGGCATGCATCACAGATCGCTCATGGCTCGTGCAAAACTTGCATGACAAACCCTTAGAATCTTCCAGACACAGATCGATATTTGCATTTGATACTGTGCGGTGGTGGCCCACCAGGGGGTCATAGTGGAAGACGAAGTGAAAGAACCGCCGAAGAAGGTGTTCATCATGTTGGTCGGTGACATGGTCGTGTAGGGCGAATTTTCCGCCGGCGCGCCGGTCGTCGCTTCCGAAAACGAGTTCATCATCGGAGAATACGTCGTCGCCCACTGGTTGTCATAGGTCGCCGGACCCGGGCCGGTGGTTCCGCCCATGTTGCCCTGAGAAGTGCCCATCGGCATACCACCATCGTCGTGCGGGAGCTGACGCTTGTGGGCACGGTCGGCGAACAACCGTCGGACCCGGTTGTCGTACATGTCGGTGGAGGTAACGTAGGGCGATTCCCAATTGTCCTTCGCCGCGTCGTCGGTCATAGCCGATTCCTGATCCAAGCCGTCCGTCGGATTGTATTCCGTGTTCGTGACCGCCTGCGCCTGCTCCTGTTGCTTCACGTGCGCCTTGATTTCGTTGGCATCCCCTTCCGCGGCGGTCTCAATCCCGTTCTCCAGGTTGTCAAACGTCGCCTGCGCGGGCAGCTGCGCACCGTCGGTGATCAATTTTTGTTCCGGGCAAGTCAGCGTGTGGGAACCGGTCGCGGACGGGCGGATCATTTGCTTCTCGCCCGGGTTGTTTAACAACATACGGCGGGACCGCTCGTCGATCGCGGAGTCCAATAACAACACCTTGCCGAACCGCCGCGGGCCGTAGGCGATGGCGGCCAAACCCTCCTCGCTGCCTTCGATCAGGCCATTCAACCGCTCCTGCAGTGCGCGCTTCCGCTTGTTGCTGAACTTGGACTTGTAGGAAGACCGCATGTGGGTCTGCATCAGCTGACGCAGGTCCTTCGCGCCGCCGGTGTACATCTCCTGGGCGGCATATCGCCAGAAAAAAGTGTTTCACTGTAAGGATTTTGCAAGTTTTGCAACACAAGTTTGCTCTACATGACAGGGAAAACTTGTCATGCGAGGTTCCCGGCGAGGGAAAACACAGCTAAAAATCGCCTGTCTTGCATGTGTAGCAAGACAAACACTTCTGAGATACAGTTTCTGCATTACAAGTTTACAGTGAAACAGTTTTTTCTTGCGATACGGCACCGTTGCTGTTCGCGGCCATAGCGGCCGGAAGCTCGACCTGGGCCTGATCCGTGTCGCACTTGGCCGTGTTGTCGATCTCACCCTGTTATGCAGTGCAAATATGTCTGAATTTGGAAGAGTGCAGGAGTTTGTCATGCACATGCTGCATGACTCGTGATGTCTGTGATGTATGAGCCACCAGCATCACAGATTTTCTGACTGGCTCTTGATGCCTGTCCCGCATGAGAAATGCACTCTTCTTCGTGTAGCAACAACTGGAGTTATCCTCTTGCCGCTCATGCAACACAGATTTTCGTAGAATCCAAAAATAGCAATTACAAGTTGCATTCTTCCAGACCTCCGAGACATATTTGCAATGCATACCTCCTTCTCCGCCGCGTTGTTGGTAACGGACCGCTTCGGGACGACCTCATCTTCACCGCCAGAGCCGGCGACGGGGTTATGGATTGTAAAAATGTCTGGGTCTGGAAGAGTGCATGTTTGTCATGCTTGTCTGGCATGACTCTCAAATCTGTCATGCACGTTACCCAAGAGCGCCGTTTTTCTGTCATGTAGAAACGCAGTTGGTCATGCAGAATAGGCAACACCTAGAAGCTCAGAAACTTGTCATGCTGAGCGAGCACTTGTGGCCTCCTCATGATACGCCACCCAGCATCACAAGTTTCCAGACCCAGACATTTTTGCATTTGATAGGGGTTGTCGTTCTGCATTTCTTCCCACTCCATGTCGCATTCCTCATCCGCTTATCCTGTGCAAAAGCATCCGGTTATAATGCTCGTACGTAGTAGAATCGCAATCCTGCAAGACAAATTTCCTTCCCAACTTAAACCAGCATGGCAACTTCCATTTGTCATGCTGCGCGAACTTGTATTGCAATTTTCCCACTGTTGTACTAGCAGATCGGATGCTTTTGCATTTCATACCGCTTCGTCCTGCGACATGCCGTCGTTGTCGATCATATCGGGCTTGCAGCCGTTCTTGAATTCGGTCTTCGTCATGGTGTATCAAATGCAAAAATGTCGGGGTCTGGAAGAGTCATGCTGTTTTTGCATGACACAGAAGGTCTGGCATGGAAGCTGTTGCATCACAGGCTTCGAGAAGCTTCCGCAATGCCGAATACGCATGACAAATGCCCCATTTTGGTGACAGATCGTGGGCAGCTTTTGCTGCCTATGCATGAGAGATTTTTTTGTGTTTTGAAATGCGCATCACAAGTTTGCATTCTTCCAGACCCAGACATTTTTGCAATCCATATGGTGAACTTCTCGGGCTCCAGCACGTCCGCAGGCGGGCTCTCTTTGCCCCCCTGCGTCATCTCCAACGTCTTGGTCATCGCCTCCGCCTCTTCATACGCAATGGTGCGCACGGCGGTGTATGCACTGCAAAAATGTCTGGGTCTGGACATTTGTGATGCTGAATTGAGCATGATTGAGGCGCTTGCAATGGCAGCCAGGCATGACAAGTTTTGGACGCGCCTGCTGATGCCTACCGCGCATCACAAATTGCGTTTTTGCATGACAAAGCAAGCTCTTCTTTTGCTGCTTATGCAACACAGATTTTTTAGGAAATGCGAGACACGCATCACAAGTTCCACTGTTCCAGGCCCAGCCATTTTTGCATTTGATACGGTGGTCTCCTTGGCCACATCCGGGTCATCCTTGGGCGCCTTGTACGGCTCCACGGTAGTGCCGGCCGCGCGGGCCTTCATGGTCTCGCGGGTGGCGTTGCGGACGGCCTCCTTCATCGCGATATCGTCGACGACATGCTGCTATGCATTGCAAATTTCTCTGGGTCTGGAAGAATGGAAGTTTGTCATGCTTGTCTCTCATGATTCCGAACTCTGTGATGCATGAGCAGGATGGGAGTCTCGTCTTGCCTGTCATGGAAAAGCGCAGTTTGCCATGCAGAACTCGCAACACATAGCAGCTCAAGAACTTGTCATGCTTGGCTGGGTATTGCAGTGCGTCCACCATTTCCAAGCCAGCATCACAAGTTTCCCGGCCCAGACATATTTGCATTTGATAGCTGCATGGTCATGTTGCGGCAGTACGCGATGAACGGCGCGCCCTGGTTCTGGATCTTCTTTTCATACCGTTTATCAAATGCAAATATGTCTGGGTCTGGAACATTCTAAACTTGTGATGCTGTCTCTGGATTCTGATAAAATTTGTATTGCATGACACGCAAGAGGACAGCAGTTTTTTCCACGCGGAAAGGGCATTTCTCACGCGGTAGAGGTATCACAAAGCGCTCTCAAAATCGGCGATGCTATGGCACGCATCAAAGACGTCATGGGTCATCGAAAATATGCATGACAAATCTAGAAATCTTCCAGACCCAGACACTTTTGCATTTGATACCGTTCCTGAGCATCAAAGTTCTCGTGGCGCTGGCGCTCGGACTCCGGATCCTCGGTTAAGCCCTTGGTGGACTGCTTCATCTGCGATTTCGTCTCATTCACGCGCTTCAAAACGCCAGAAACCGAATCCACTGCAAATATGATCCCTGGTTTTCTGGAGCAGTGCAACTTGTAATGCTGCCTGTGGATTCAAAAAAAATCTGTATTGCATGAGCAGCAAGAGGAGTCCAGCTTTTGTTGCGCGGAGGGGGCTAGGGAATTTCTCATGCGGGATAGGCATTAGGAAGCCCGCAAAATGAACTCTGTGATGCTAGGGCATGCCTGACAGACATGAGGGGTTAGGCAAAATGTGCATGACAAACGTTGCACTCTTCCAGATCCAGATCTTCGATATTTGCAATGCATAAACCGCTTCGCACGCGCTGTCCAAGAACTGCGGGGGGACACCGACCGTGGTGAGCAGCTGCGGCGACGGAGCTTCGTCAGCCGCCGGCTTCGGGATCTTCTTCCCATAACTGTCGGTCACCATGGTACCGGCGTCGTTGGTCACGTACTTGTCGTTCGCGACGCCAACAGCAATCTTACCCGAGTCGTGGTCGGTCAACATGCGGCGAAGAGTGGAATCTTCCTGCAAAACCCGGCGGAAGTGCTCTGGCCTGGCGAACCCGTCCTCGGAGAGTTGACGCGCACGCATGAGCAACATCCTCCGGCCGGTGTGGACGACGGCGGTGGTGAGCGCCTCGGTGGCGGCGGCGGAGTCGGCTATTATCAAATGCAAACATGTCTGGGTCTGGAAGAATGCAAGTTTGTCATGCTTGTCTGGCATGACTCGAGAATCTGTGTTGCATAGGCACAAGGAGGCCCTCTTACCTGTCATGCAAAAACGCAGCTTGCCATCCGGAATACGTAAGACATGGGAGCCAAAAAATTTGTCATGCATAGCTGCGTATTGCAGTGCGTCTCCCATTCACTTTTGGCATTACAACTTTCCAGACCCAGACATTTTTGCAATCCATAGCCATGGCGGTCTTCAAATTCTCCGCGGTCTTCATGTCTTTCATGGCCGCATTATGACAGTGCACAACCACCCTTCCTCCTCGTTTGTCATGCAAAATCCCAAATCCAAATGCTTCCCTGTGGCACTGTTTGCATGACAGATTACGGAAGCCCCAGTAGTACCGCACAAGGCGCATGAACTTGTCATGCACAGGCTCAACGCGTTATGGTGTTTGTATTGCTGCTCATGCAATAAAAATGAGGTGGAGAGGGGGTTGTACACAGTCATACGCGTCCTCCTCCGCCTGCTGCTGGTCCATGTCCGCGGGCATGGTCGGCGCCTCCGACGCATCGGTCTCGGCGGCAACACCCACCGGGGCGTGCATGTTCTGCTGGGACACCGTGGTCTTCCCGCCACTCGCCTCCTTGAACTGCCCCTTGGCGCATTCCTCGGTCTTGCACCCGCCCTCTTCTGTCATCAACTTGTGGCAGACGTAGTCGTTCTGCGGAACCTCTTCCCCCTGGGTCTGCGCGGACGTGCCTTCCTCGGCCATGCGCGAGAACTCCATCAGATCCTCATGGGAAATATGAGCGGCAAAAGTATCGCACTCGTAGTAATTGCAGTCACGCATTACAAATCCTTTTCTTACGGTAAATCCGCATTACAAAGTTTATTTGTTTCTCACGCTGAGCAAATTTGTAATGCATTTATACGAGCACGATACTTTTGCAATTCATACGAGATCTTCGCGGAGTTTTCCGCCTCCCCGGCGGCCGGGATGTCGCCCCGGCCGGTGGACATCTTCTGCATAATCACCGGCATCACGCGGGAGAGCTCGTCGCACGCCTTCTGGTCGACGGTTTCCTTTATCAAATGCAAATAGCCCTGCATGTCTGGAAGATTCATTTGTCATGCACGTTTTGCATGAGCCCTGATGTCTGTGATGCATGCCCTAGCATCACAGATTTTTATCCGAGGGCTTCTTGATGCCTATTCCGCATGAGAAATGCCCTCTCCGCGTAGCAAAAACTACACTTCCTTTGCTGCTCATGCAATACAGATTTTTTTGGAATCCAAGTGCAGCATCACAGGTTGCATGCTTCCAGACCCAGACATATTTGGTTTTGATATCCTTGGGGCCCGCTGCGTCGGCGCACTTCATGTCGTAATCCATAATGTCGGTCATGGTGACATACCCGGCCATGGTCGGGTCCTTCTTGTCCGGAGGGTTCAAAGCCTCCCACAGACCGCCGGAGTCCGCCTTCGCCTTGTTGACCTCCGCCCGCATTTCGCCCGACGGGATCTGGTGGAAGATATGCATTGTAAATCTGTCTGGGTCTGGAAACCTGTGATGCTCAATTGAGCATGATTGAAGCCCTTGCAGTGGCAGCCAAGCATGACAAGTTTTTGAGACGTCTGCTGATGTCTAGCACGCATCACAAATTGCGTTGTCGGATCACAAAGCAAGCTTTTCTTTTGCTGCTCATGCAACACAGATTTTCCCAGAATTATGCAGGACACGCATAACAAGTTCCACTTTTCCAGACCCAGACATTCTTGCATTTGATAGAAGATCGCCTCGTGCAAGTCCGCATCGCCGTATTTCCGGACCATGTGCTCCAAGTGCGCCGCTATGAATTGCAAAAATGTCTGGGTCTGGAAAGTTGGAACCTGTAATGCTGGTCCTGCGTTCCTGTGAAATCTGTTGTATTGCATGACCAACAAACGTAGTAGCCTCTCCCGTCATACGAAAACGCAGCTTCTCATGCGGAGTTCTTATGAGAAAGCGCGCTGCAAACTTGTCATGCCTTCCTGCATAAGAGAGTGACTTCCTCTTGCACATTTTAGCAACACAAATTTCCAGACCCAGACATAGTTGCATTTGATAGCCGCCTCGGCGACGCCGGGGGACACGCAGGGCTTGGACTCTTCCTTCATCAAGTGGTCTGCGAGCGCCGGGTATCAAATTGAAACAAGCCCCCTCCCCATATTGAAACGGAAATTTCTGTTGCTGGATTTGTGTACACAAATCAGCGCTGTATTGCAGCAAGCGCTTGCAAGCATTTCCTAAGCCTGATTAGCTATGCAGAAGGCTAGCACTGAGGCATGAGAGACAGCTCTGCAGTAGGCAAAATCGCATGACAGCTTGGCTGTGGAATGCGCCACACGGCTACCATTTGCCCCGTACGCAAGAGAAAGCTGATTTGTGGTCACAAATCAGCATCACAAATTTCAATTGTGAGTAAGGGGAGGCGGGATTTTTCCTCACGATACCGGGTGCTTCAATTCGTGGCGCTTAAACTCGCCGCCGAACGCAAGGCTGATCTGGTACTGCTATCAAATGCAAACGTGTCTGGGTCTGGAAGGTTGTCATGCACATTTCGCATGACTCTCGATGTCTGTGACGCATGCCGCAGCATCACAGATTTTATGAGCGCTTCCTGATGCATGCCTATACTGCATCAGAAATGCCCTCTCGCCGTGGCAAAAAACTGGACCTCTTTTGCTGCTCATGCAATACAGATTTTTTGCAGAAGCCAAATCCAGCATCACAAGTTGCATACTTCCAGACCCAGACATCTTTGCAATGCATAACTGCATCAGCATGCCGACGTTTTCACTCGCAAACTGCCCGCAGTACTGGTTCGCCTGCTCCTCGCCCATATCGTACCCCATTTCCGGATCGTAGGCCGGCAACGCCAAGTACTCCTTCGTGAACTCCTTGCAGTTCTGCGTCAAAACCAGGTGGGACTCGGCGAACTTCTTCAACTCGTTCTCCATAGACCCGTCACCAGGCGACAGGCAGGTCTTGCCGCACGCCTTCTCCTTGACCTCCGCCGGTGGGGGGTCGCGCTCGTCGTCATCCTTCTCAGATTCGTCGAACGCGTCATCCGGAACGGGCACGCCGTTCTCGCACACCAATCCAGGCTTCAAATCGTCCAGGTGCACCTGGGCGTTCTCGATCCGGCCCACTCCCGCGGGGCCCTCGAATTTGTGCTCCTCGCCGAGCACGTCCGCCAGCCCCTGCGGCACGTTGGGGTCTTCCGGATCGAAGTTGGGGCAGAAGGCCTGACCGGCATGGTATTCCTCGAAGAAGCTCGGGGTGTAGCCCATGGTTTCCGGATCGTACAGAATGGCCTTCACGCACTCCTGTTTCCGCTCCGACGGGAAACCGTCATCTTCGATCGTGGTCGCGTTGTTCTTCCAGGAGACCGCGAGGTAGCATATGGGGGTGTCAGGATCGAAATCGACAAAGTTCAAAGAATCTGTGATGCATAAAATGCAAGGCGCGTGGTGACTGTCATGCGGGGATGGCAAGAGAGGCCGATTCGATAAAAAGCCTTTTGAGGGGTAGAAGACATAGAGCTGCTTAAGTAGCATGACAGAACCTCTTCTCTCTGCCCAAACAGCATGACAGACTGGATTTAGGTGTAGTTGCCAAGAAAATTTGTCATGCGCCGCGTAGCAATTGGGTTCCGCCTGGTATCGGTTTTATGCATGGCAAATCAGTTCAACTTTGTCGATTTCAATCCTGACGCTTCCATATAGCACAGGTCGTGCGTGTACCAAGCGGTGGTGTCAACGGTTTGGTTCACCGAGGTCATGTATCAACTGCAAAGATCCCTGGATGTTGTCTGGAACAAGAGTGTAAACTTGTCATGCAGGTTTTCCATGACCCATGAGGTCTGGAATGCGGGACCTCGCATGACAGACTCTGTGAGCAGGTGGTCTCTGTCATGCCTATACTGCACGAGAAACTCCCTCCCAACTTCGTCGAAATAGTGGACAGCTAGTTTATTTGGCACTCATGCAACACAGATTTCTGTATGATGCGGATTTAGCATGACAAGTTGCAATCTTCCAGAGGACCCAGACGTATTTGCAATCCATATCATCACCAAACTGTAAAACGTATTCGTCGCCTGGTCGAACAGGTTGTGGTTCATGACCTGCGTGATGTCGATGTTCTCATTTCCGGTATGGAAGTGTCAGAATCGAAATTGACAAAATCGAAAAATTCGTGATGCGCAAAATCGATGTCAGTTGGAGCCTCAGTTTCCAAGTGGCGCATGACAAATCTCGGGAGCGCCCAAATCCAGTCTGTCATGCTGTTTGGGCAAAGAAGTCTACTCCTGTAATGCTACTCTGGCAGCACATTGTATACCCCTAAAGCTAAACAGGCTTACAATCGGCCTCTCTTGCAATCCCTGCAAGACAGTCTTTTCGTGCCTTGCATTTTATGCATCACAAATTTTTCGACTTTGTCGATTTCGCTCCTGACACATCCATATCCGGTCGGACCGTAGTACTCCGGAGTCGGGGTCGTGGCCATCAAAGCGGAGGAACTTCCGTCCGCGGCGGACGGCGCGGTGGTGTAGGTCACAGCCGAATGCGCCTCCACATACGTCGGGGCCGGGGTATGGAAGGGTCAGGATCGAAATCGTCAGAGTTGAAATAATTTGTGATGCATAAAACGGATACCAGTTGGAAGCCGAATTTCCAAGCGGTGCATGACAAATTTGGGTAGAACTGAAATCCAGTTTGTCATGCTGTTTGGGTAAGGAAGACGCCTTTTGTCATTCTACTTTAGCGGCTCAGTTTCTACCCCTCAACAGGCTTACAATCTGCCTCACTTGCCTCTTCTGCAAGACAGGCACTCTGTGGGCTGCATTTTATGCATGACAAACTATTTGTTCAACTTTGACGGTTTCGATCCTGACGCCTCCATACGGGGTCGCGGGAGAGTAAGTCGTCACGACGCCCTGCTTATCAAATGTAAAAATGTCTGGGTCTGGAAGGATGCAAGGTTTGTCATGCACATCTTGCGTGACTCCTGACGTCTGCGATGCATGCCCTAGCATCACAGATATTGCGAGGGCGTTCTGATGCCTATACCGCATGAGAAATGTCCTCTCGCCGTGGCCAAAACCAGGCCTCTTTTGCTGTTCATGCAATACAGATTTTTGGATAATGCAGACGCAGCATCACAAGTTCCAATCTTCCAGACCCAGACATTTTTACATTTGATACTGCTGCGGCAGCATCAATGGGGCGGCAGTGCCACCCACGCCCGGCGCGACAGTTCCGAGCGGAGTCGGCATGCCGGGCTCCACCTTGTCGTCCTGCATGTACGGCGGCGGTGGGGTGCCGTGGTCCAGCTTCCGCAACTTCCCCTGCTTCTCCGCGAGCTGACGCGCGCGCAGGCGGCGGAGGTTGGTGTGGTACGTCTCGATCATTTCCAAGTTGCGGAACGGCTGACCCGGCTTGCCGGTCAACACGCGCATGGACCGGTGACGGACGCTATGAAAGTGCACAACTACTTCTCTCCCATTCATTTGGATGGCATCCGCAGCAACACAAGTCCTGGCACAGATGCAGCTTTCGCATGACAAATTATTTCCGACTGATTGTAGTGCTGTTTCGGCTTCCGGATGAATCTGTCATGCAAACAGTGCCACAGGGCAAAGGGTGGATTTGGGATTTTACATGACAAATGAGGAGGGTACTAGTTGTGCACTGTCATAGGAACCGAACTTGTGGTAAAATTCGTGCTCGAACACCTCGATCTGCTTGGCCTTGGTCTCTATCAAATGCAAATATGTCTGGGTCTCCTGGAAGAATCTGAAACTTGTCATGCAGATTTTCCATGATCCATGTCGTCTGGAATGCAGGACCTAGCATGACAGATTCTGTGAGATGATCCCTATCATGCCTATTCTGCATGAGAAACTTCCTCTTCCCTTCTGGTCAAAAGTGGACAACTTTTGGCAGTCATGCAACACAGATTTTTCTGCATCGGATCCAGAATTAGCATTACAAGTTGCATCCTTCCAGACTCAGACATATTTGCAATCCATAGACTCGCCCAGCGCACGGCGGACCCGCATGCGGCGGCGCTCGCGGCGCATCCGGTTTTCGTGGCGCAGGTACTTGGTGTCCTGCCGGGACAGGCGGCGGAAGTTTATCAGAAGGAAAAATCCCCCCTCCCCATAGATATCGAAAAGAAAATTTGTGATGCTGATTCGTGACCACAAATCAGCTCTGTCTTGCGTACAAGGCAAATGGCACCCATGCGGCGCATGGTGCAGCAAGTCTGTCATGCGATTTCGCCTATGTCAGACTTGTTTCTCATGCTCAGCTGCTAGCCGGATGCGTACCCAGAAAATGGGCTAAGAATGTGCCAACAAGCTCTTGCTGCAATACAGAGTCCTTCTGTGTACACAAATCCAGCAACACAAATTGTCTTTTGAATATGGGGTGGGGGGTTTTTTCACTTTGATAAAGTTGTTGGAATCCAACCGCTATCCACTGCAAAAGTATCGCACTCGTTGTAGTAATTGCAATCACGCATTACAAATCTTTTTCTTAAGCTAAATCCGCATTACAAATTTTATTTCTCATGCTGAGAAAATTTGTAATGCATTTATACGACGAGTACGGTACTTTTGCAAGGCATAACCGGTGCATCCGCAAAGACCGGCGCTGCTGTATCCTGAGTAAAAACGTACCCACACCATAGTTGTCATGCAAATCTGCATGCTTAAAATGTTTGTCATGCGGAGCCCCATGAGAAGCATTTTCTAAGGGTGTTTTGAAATTTGTCATGCTCCAATCAGCATGAGAGACTAGATCTGAAATGCTGCTGAACTAGCTCAAACAGCACTACACTACGCGTCCAAATTTGTCATGCGAAACAAGCAAAGTTGGCCGATTTGTCTAGCAGATTTTCCATCTTGACTCTGGTGTGGGTACGATTTTACTCAGGATATGCTGCAAGCGGCGCGCGCGGCGCTGGGTCGGGGTGGACTGGCCGGTCGGCTTTTCCACCGGCTCGTACCCACCCTTGGACCGCCACGCTTCGAGAATCGCGCCGTGGCATTTCTTCTTCTGCTGCATGCAGGCTATGCATTGCAAATATGTTTGCGTCTGGAAAACTGGAACCTGTATTGCGTGTCTTGCACTCCTGTAAAATCTGCGTTGCATGACCAACATCAAGAGCGCGATGAATTCGTTTGTCTTGCAAGAACGCAGCTTCTGATGCGTGCCACGCACCATGGGGAAGCCTACTAAAAATTTGTCATGCTTGGCTGCTCTCAGGTAAGTATGCTCAATCATCGGGACTCAGCATCACAACTTTCCAGACGTCCAGACATATTTGCATTTGATACAGGGGCACTCGATCTCGTTCTTGTAGCGGCACACGTTCGCGAGAATGGACTTGCCGTTGGGGAGCATACCCACGAAGTGGCAGCGGCAGGTGGCAATGCACCCCGGGCCCATCTTATCGGTCATCAAGTTGTGCGCATAGGTGTTCATCGGGTTCAAATCGAAGTTGTTGGTCGCTCCCAGCATGGGCATCTTGCGTTCCTTATCCTGATCAAAAACGTCCCCGCCCCGTAGTCAAGATGGAGGCTTTGCTACACAAATCCACAAGGTTTGGGCGTTGCGCATGACAAATTTCGGCGAGCAATTTAACCGTATTCAGCTAGTGTAGCTGCATCACAAACCGATCGCCTCCTCCTGATTTCAGCATGACAAACTCCCAGATAGCATTGTTGAAAAACGCTGACGCTCCTCATGGAACTGCGCATGAGAAACGTCCTAGGTTTGCTGATTTGCATGACAACTTTGGTGTGGGGGACATTTTTATTTGGGATACTCCTCCAGTGGCAGCTTCTGGCACGCGGGAAGGCCACCCTCACCATCAGACATGGCCCGGTTGACGAAGTTGACGAACGTCAACGGGGCGTTGGCCGCGCCGGAAGTCTTGTGCGGCTTCGGGTTGCCACCCGCGTCGTTGGTGTTCGACGGAGACAGCATCTCGCTGGCCTGCGACCGCGCGGCGCCAGTCATGCACTCGTACTTGACCGACGGCTCGACGGCGTTTTGGCAGGTGGTCGTGTCCCACACGTTGAGTCTCCGGCCAGCACCGTCGATGTGCACGGTGGGCTCGGGATCCTCGTTGGTCTCCAGCTGCTCCATGCGACGGCGGCGCAGCCGCTCCTTCTCCTGCATTTTCAGGATCTGCTTGTAGGGCACCGCCTTCCGCTTGTGCCGATACACGTCGATGGGCGCACCGTGGGTGGCCTCGGTAAGGGACCGCATGCGGCCGACCGCCTTGTTGTAGGTGTGCTTTTCCAGCTGGCGCATCTCGAAGTGTATCAAATGTAAAAATGTCTGGGTCTGGAAGAATGCAAGATTTGTGATGCAGGTTTTCCTTGACCCATGAGGTCTGGAATGCGAGACCCAGCATGACAGATTTTTTGAGGTCTCTATCATGCCTTTCCTGCATGAGAAACTCCCTCTCAACTTGGTCAAAAGCGGACAGCTTTTGGTACTCACGCAACACAGATTTTTGCATCATTCGGATTTAGCATGACAAGTTCTAATCTTCCAGACCCAGACATTTTTGCATTTCTTAAAGTGGGCGAACGCGGTGTGGCCGTGCATCATGGCCAGGCGGCGGGTCTGGATCGGGTTCTTATGAACTGCAAAAGCATCGTACTCGTAGTAATTGCAGTTATGCAACACAAATCTGTTTCTTAAGGCAAATCCGCATTACAAATTCCATTCCTAATGCTGAGGAAATTTGTAATGCAATTTATACTTGTACGATAACGATGCTTTTGCAATGCATAGTCCTCGCCCGGCAACAAAATGTCTGGCTGCTCGCCCGCCTTGGAAACCGACTCGCCCGTCGCGCACTTGTGGTAGTTCATCGGCTTATATGCATTGCAAATATGCCTGGGTCTGGGAGAATGGAAGATTCGTCATGCTGGAATTCAATGACCCATGAGGTCTGGAATGCAGCGCTGAGCATGACGGACGCTGTAAGATCTCCTCTATCATGCCTATCCTGCATGAGCAACTCCCTGTCAACCTGGCCAGAAGTGTACATCTTTTGGTAATCATGCAACACAGATTTTTGCATCATCCACACTCAGCATGACAAGTTGCATCCTTCCAGACCCAGACATATTTGCATTTCATAGCTCACCCGGCTTGGGAACCGCGGAGGTGTCCGCCGGAGCGCCCGCAGTACCCGGGTATCCTGTGCAAAAGTGTCTGGGTCTGGAAGAGTCATGCTGTTTTTGCATGACACAGAAGGTCTGGCAACATGGAAGCTCTAGCATCACAGGTTTAATCGAGAAGCATTCGCAACCAATGCCGAATCTGCATGACAAATCCAGGACTTTGGTGACAGAAAGTGAACAACTTTTGCTGCCTATGCATTTAGAGATTTTTCTGTGTTATGAAATGCGCATCACAAGTTTGTAATCTTGTAGACCCAGACATTTGTGCACTTGATACCGGGGCTCCGAACTCGATTTGATCATCTCCACCCGCCGGGGCCTGCAGCAGGCGGAAGCCCCGCCCACCTTGGCCGGAGCTGAGCGTCATCGAGCTGCGGGGGGGGGTGCTGGTCCGGCGCCCACGCGGCGGAGACCGCGGGCGGGGGGTCCGCATCGGGGTGTACGGTGGCGGGCACTATCCTGTGTAAAAACGTCCCCACCCGCCCAGAGTTGTCATGCAAATGTGCAATGACAGGAATCGATTTGTAATGCGCATCTCGTTGAGTAGAGGCATAATTTCCAATCCTGTTTTGGAATTTGTAATGCTGTAAACAGGATGAGACACAAGTGGCTTTCTCATGCGTCTTTCCTCGCTAACCAGCCCTACGCTGCAGATGGAAACTTGTCATGTAGAACTCCCAAAACTTGGAGATTTGTGTTGCAGATTTCCCATTTCGTTGAGTACTATGGTCGTGTGGGAGCGTTTTTACACAGGATAGGCGCCGGGGCGGGGCCATCCGGCGGATCGCCCGGAAGACGCGGCGCGCAGTCGGTATCCAATGCAAAAATCGACCTGGGTCTGGAACTTTGCCCGACTTGTCATGCAGGTTTTCCATGAGGACCCATATGATCTGTAAAGGAGGACCTAGCATGATAGATTCATCTTCCGTGAGATCACTATCATGCCTCGATCCTGCATTAGAAACTGCCTCTCAACTTGGTCGAAAGTGGAAAGCATTTATTTTTGGCAATCCTGCAACACAGATCTTTGCATGATTCAGATTTAGCATGACAAGTTCCGACCTTCCAGACATCCAGGGATTTTTGCAGTGCATAGTCGGCCGCGCGGGCGGGCCTCCTGGAAAACCGCGTGGTGTCGACCTTGGGGGAAGGCGCCCACCTCGCTGCAATTCGCGGAGGTTGGTGTCATAATTATCCAAGAAAAAAACTGTGTTAATGTAAAACTTTCTTTCCCTGACAGCATCACAAATTTGCTCTGCAGGACAGAGAAATAAACCTGTCATGCGTGGCTTGCAAGGGAAAACACACATCCACAGAGGACTGCATGGCTGTCTGGCATGACAGGTGTATTTTTAACTCTGTTGCGTGTTCTGCAACACAAAGTTACAGTTGTTGCGCAGTTTTTTTCTTGCATAATAATCGGGTCCGGTGTACTCATCCGGGTACATTTCCGTCGCGTTCTATCCTGTGCAAAAACGTCCCCATCCCAGAGTTGTCATGCAGATTTGCAATGACAATGACATTTGTGATGCGCACACCCTCCATGGTAGACCACATTTCCAATCGTGTTTTGGAATTTGTGATGCTGTGAGCAGGATAAGCAGATGGATCTGCGGTGCGGGTGCAGCACTTGCTGACCTGCACTTGTTCACTACGGAGTGCAAGTTGTCATGCGTGACTCCCAAAAATGCTAGGTTTGTGTTGCCAAGTTCTCATCTTGACTCTGGTCGTGTGGGGACGTTTTTACTCAGGATACGTTCTGGGGCGGCGGCTCCGGAACGGAGCAGCAGTCCGGCTTGTCCATGCAGATCGCTTTGTAGTTTTCGTAGTCCGCGGCGCACTATGGATTGCAAATATCGATCTGAGTTTTGAAATTTTGGAATGCTGAATGGTCACGATTGAATGCGCCAGTAAGTGCAGTGCAGCATGACAAATTTTTCAAAAGCTCTGTCAAGATGCGCAGGACGCATTACAAACTACTTCATGACAAAAGTGGTGTGGTGCTCTATTTTTTGCTGCTTCATGCAATACAGATTTTCTCGCAATGCGAATTACGCAAGACAGGTTCAACCTGTCCAGACCCAGATCTTCCATATTTGCAGTTGATACGCACCAGTTGGGATCGCCGGACTTTTTGGCGTCCTGGTTGACCGGCAACTCAGACAAGTGCTGGCGCGCGGCGTCTATCAAAATGCAAACATGTCTAGGTCTGGAAGAGTTGTGCGACGAGCTTTGTCATGCTAGCCAGGAATTTGCCACTGAGCTCTGTGTTGCGTGGCTAGGAAGAGCAGCTCCCCTTGTCTGTCATGCAAAAACGCTGTTTCTCATGCGGTGGAACACGCAAGAACACAAAGCAACGAATAAATCTGTCATGCTTGGCAACGCATTATGGTTTCCTATTACTATTCACTTGCATGCATCACAACTTTCCAGACTTTTAGACATGTTTGCATTCGATAGCGTCGTTGGTGCCCGTCAGCATGTCGCAGGGGGTGCAGGCAAAGGAGCCCTCGTCGTCCTCGTCCTCCTCCTCGTCCGAGATCCGCAGCTCGCGCCGCTCGAAGGGTTCCAGCTTGATCTGCGCCAGGATCCGGCGGTTCTCGGTCAGGACCGCACCCTCGCGTTTCTTCTGCTCGCGTTTGCAGTGCTCCTTCAGCTTGGCCACTTGGCCCGGGCGCTTGTTCATGCAGTTGGTGACCTCCTTCTCGTTCAACACGGGCGTGGTGGCCATGGTGGCCTGGGCCTCGTTGTCGTGCAGAACGCGGTGCAGTTCGTCGACCGAGGCGAGTAAATGCCGGCGGTGATGCGTCCCTTCCTCCATCGTGAGTGCGCGCATGCGGCGGCGCTCCGCAATCTCGGTCAGCACCCGGCGTTGCCGCATCAGCTTGCGTATCAAATGCAAAAATGTCTGGGTCTGGAAGATTTCTAGATTTGTCATGCATATTTTCCATGACCCATGATGTCTGTGATGCATGCCGTAACATCACAGATTTTTAGAGCGCTTTGCGATACCTCTACCGCATGAGAAATTCCCTCTCCGTCTAGACCAAACTGGATTCCTCTTGCTGGTCATGCAATACAGATTTTTTTCGACTCCGAAGACAGCATCACAAGTTACAACCTTCCAGACCCAGACATTTTTGCATTTGATATTGCGCATGCCAGCGGACGCGGTCTCGGCGGTGTCCCCATCGGTGTCGTACTTCGCGCAAGTTTGTATCAAATGCAAAAGCATCGCACTCGTAGTAATTGCAGTCATGCATTACAAATCTCGATCTTAAGGCAAATCTACATTACAAATTTTGTTTCTCATGCTGAGAAAATTTGTCATGCGATTTATACTACTAGTACGATGTTTGTTTTGCATTTGATAGTTTGGGTGGCCGGCGCGCCGCCGTTCAGGTCCTCCATTTCCTTTTGCGCGTCGTCTGGCGTCTGCGGGGCGGCGTAGCCGTATCCTGAGTAAAAACGGGGCCCACGCACCAGAGTCAAGATGGGAAATCTGCTAGACAAATCAACTAGCTTTGGTTGCTTCGCATGACAGGTTTGTCCTCGTAGTGTAATCCTGTTTTAGGTAGGTCAGCAGCGTAACAGATCTATCATAGCATGCTGGTCCTACCATTACAAATTCCAAAACACGATAAGAAAACGCTTCTCATAGGGCTCCGCATGAGGAACGTTTTTGGCATGCAGAATCGCATGACAACTCTGGGGTGGGGACGTTTTTACATAGGATAAGCTGTGAAACTGCTTCACGACGGCCACGGGGTCAGCCGCGTCGCGAATCTTGGTCAGGATCCGCGTCTCTTGGCGACTGGCGTGCAGCTCGGCCTCGGTGTAGGTGAGGTTCCCGTACGGGTCGTCCGTCGGGTCGGCGTTCTGGATCTTGTACAGCGTCTCCCGGGCCCACTCCGTGATGGCCGTGGCGTTCATGCCGCCCTGGCGGCCCATTTGTTCCGTCAGGTAGTCGTTAATGGTCGCCATCGTCGGCAATCCACCCTCCAACAAGTTCCGCTTGGCAGAGTGCGTCAGGTGCATCAGCTCGCGCATTTCGAAGCCAGTCGGCTTGATCCGGAAATCTCGGCGGTATTCCGCGTGGTTGTGGGACAGCATGTGGTGGTCGTCATCCAGCAAGTAGCGCAGCTTCCGGTCCTCTTCGTCGTCCTCCGCGACCAAGCGGCGGCCCGTGGCTTCCAGCGACCGGTGCGAGTGCGCGTTGATGGAAATTTCGTGCAGACGACAGGTATCCCGGGGGAAAAGTTGTATCGCTAACTCGTAGTTGTAATTGCAGCAATGCATTACAAATCTAGTTCTTAACGTAAATCCGCATTACAAATTTAATTTGTAATGCGGAGCAAATTTGTATTGCAAGAAAACCTACGATAGCGATAATAAACTTTTGCAGTTCATAACGGGACACCCGCTGCAGTTTGCGGTGGGCTTCCTCCGGGTCGTCGTTATTCTCGTCGAACGCGTATCCCGTGCAAAAGTATAGTACTCGTATAAATGCAAGTCTTGCATCACAAATTTTTTTCTGAAGGCAAGTCAGCATTACAAATCTTATTTTTCATGCTGAGGAAATTTGTAATGCATTTATACGAGCAAGAGTATAATACTTTTGCAGTTCATAAGGCGAGCAAGACACGGCGGCGGCGCAGCTTTTCCGACTGGCGCAGGCGGCGCTCGAGAATCCAGGATTCGTACTTGTCTTCGCCCAGCTTCCGCCGCATGGCGCGACGCAGCTTCCGCTCCTTCTGGATCACCTTCTGCTCCAGGAACCGCATTCTCGGCAAGTTAATCATCTGCTCAAACACGACCTCGTGGAAACCACTGTCCTCCTTGACATGCCGCTCCCCACCGTGGGTGCGGTGCAACGGCGACAGGTGCTGCAGCTTGATCGCGCCGCGGGCCCGCTTGAAGTCGCGGCTGATGTGGCCGGCGCCGAGCTGACGGCGGATGTCGGTGGAAACCTCATCGCCCATGTCCTCATCCTTGAGCTTGCGGAAGGTCTTGTCGATCTCCGCGCGCATCAGCCCGGAGGTCGGGGTGGCCACCGGGTCCATGGTGTCGTGCATGTTGCAGATCATTTCCGCCGTGGTCTTGTCGCCACCCACTTCGGGCATCTTTATGCATTGCAAAAGTATCGCTATCGTACTCGTATAAATGCATTACAAATTTGCGTAGCATGAGAAATAAAATTTGTAATGCGGATTTACCTGAAGAAAAAGATTTGTAATGCATGATTGCGATACGAGTACGATGCTTTTGCAGTTCATAATCTTGAACTGCACACAATGCGCGATCCCGACGCCCATCTCCTTGCACTTCTGCATGGTTTCCGGGTCGTATGAGAGTGCACAACTCCCCCTCACCCTCATTTGTATAGCATGGACGGCAAACCAAGCATCAACAAGAGTGCCGGTTTTGCATGACAAAGTGCTATTTGGGCTACCAGAACTTGTCATGCAAACAGTGCCAAGAGGCAAAGGGTGGATTGGGTATTGTACATGACAAATGAGAGGAAGGGGGAGTTGTGCACTGTCATAGGTCGCCGCCGGCGCAAATTGCCAGCATTTCGTCGAAGGGGGTGGAGGGGTCGTGGTGCTTCTTGCATTCCTCATTCGTCATCTTCCCGTCCGCCATCTCGCCGGAATACTTGTCCGCCATGGTACACGCCTCCATCTTCTCCTCCACGTTTTCGCCTTTCATCTTTTCCAGGTCCTTCTCGTTCGTGCAGGTGATGGCCACGCCCGGCGGCAGCGCCTCCTTCAGGGCGGAGCACACGCTCGGGCCGGTCTTCGGCTCCGGGGGCGAATCCTGTTCGGAACGGGTGGCCGGATCGGAGGACATCTTCTGTGGCAGCTTGTCTTCGTACTCGTTGGTGTCAATCTTCCCGTCCTTGTTGGTATCGGCCGACGCGACCAGGTTTTCCGCGGTGGCGCACTTCGACGCGTCGGCGGAGCAGATAGCCTGGGCAACCATGGTGTTGGGCATGATCTTATCCTTAGCAAAAACGTCCTCACTCCATAGTCGAGATGGGATCACAAATCTGCTAGACAAATCAGCCAGCTTTGGTTGTTGCGCATGACAAGTTCGGCCCTCGACTTAGCTTGTTCAGCAGCATCACAGATCTAGTGCATTATGGTGATTCGAGCATCACAAGTTCCGAAACACAGAACTAGCAATTGCTTCTCATGGGTTTTTCCGCATGAGAAATCGATTTTGAGCATGCAGATTTGCATGACAAGTTATGGGTGACACGTTTTTACACAGGATACGTCTCGCCCGCGTCGGTGTCGGTCATCGACTGCGTGTTGATGGCGTACTGCAACGCATCGGTCACGTTAAATTCCACGCCCGAAGCCAGAGTATGGCAGTGAACAACTCCCTTTCCCCCTCATTTGCATTGCATGAACGGCAATACAAGCATCAGCAAGAATGCCAGTTTTGCATGACAAATTTGAATAATTTCCACTGGAGTGTAATGCTATATTTGGGAGGCTACCACCAGAACTTGTAATGCAAACAGTACGACCAAGAGGCACAGCTTGTATTTCGGATTTTGCATGACAAACAAGGCCCGAGCACGGGGACAGAGTCCCCGTGCGGCGACCTTCCGGCATTTGTCTGCGCGGTGGCACTGGGCAGGCAGGTCGCCTGCAGCTAGGTATCTCGGTGCGCCTTGCATTCACTGACCCGCGACGGGCCTGCGGACGCGGCCCCCTTGCTTGCGCGCACTAGATTCATTAGCCTGCCGCGCGCAAAGATAAAAATAAGAAACGAAGAAACTGGCCCTGGCGCGCGCCGCGCCGGGTCTGGAGCCGGCCCCCAGGTCATGACGCGGCGACAGAGTCCCCACACTGCCCTAGGGCTTTTCTCTGCCCCTTCCATCCTTGGCCGCGCGGTGTGGTGTCCGGGGAGTGTTCCTTCGCAGCTAGCCCCTAGGCCATGACGCGGGGACCGAGTCCCCGCTCTGGCCTAGGGCTTCCTTTCGCCCCTTGGCCGCACGGTGTCCGGGAAGCGCTCACAGCTGGCCCCTAGGCCATGACGCGGGGACCCACCGAGTCCCCGCGCTTGCCTAGGGCTTTCGCCCCTAACTTGGCCGCGCGGTCTCGCCGGGGAGCGCTTGCAGCTAACTGGCCCCTAGGCCATGGCGCGGGGACCGAGTCCCCGCGCTGGCCTAGGGCTTTCGCCCCTTGGCCGCACGGTGTCCGGAAAGCGCTTACAGCTGGCCCCTAGGCAATGACACGGGGGCAGAGCCCCCGCGCGCGCTGGCCTAGGCAGGGCTTTCGCCCTTTGGCCACACGGGGCCACGGGAAGTGCTGCGAGCTAGCCCCCAGGCCATTGCGCGGGGACCGAGTCCCCGCGCTGCCCTAGGGGTTTCGCCCCGCCCGCCCTTGGCCGCGCGGTGTCCGGGAAGCGCGCACAGCTGGCCCCTAGGCCATGACGCGGGGACCGAGTCCCCGCGCTGGCCTAGGGCTTTCGCCCCTTGGCCGCACGGATTCACGGGGAGTGCTGCCTGAAAGCTACCTAGCCCCTAGGCCATGGCGCAGGGAACGGGCTCCCACGCTGGCCTAGGGCCTTCGTCCCTTGGCCGCACGGTCGGTGTCCGGGAAGCGCTCCGGCACAGCTGGCCCCTAGGCCATGACGCGGGGACCGAGTCCCCGCGCTGGCCTAGGGCTTTCGCCCCTTGCTTGGCCGCACGGTGTCCGGGAAGCGCTCACAGCTCGCTGGCCCCTAGGCCATGGCGCGGGGACCGAGTCCCCGCGCTGGCCTAGGGCTTTCGCCCCTTGGCCGCACGGTGTCCGGGAAGCGCTCACAGCTGGCCCCTAGGCCATGACGCGGGGACCGAGTCCCCGCGCTGGCCTAGGGCTTTCGCCCCTTGGCCGCACGGTCTCGCGTGACAGACTGGACTTCGGGCCCAAACCTCACATGACGAAGTCCGAAAGTTTGGCCGGGGTGTGTCCGAAAGTCTGCCCGGGGTGTGTCCGAAAGTCTGCCCGGGGTGTGTCCGAAAGTCTGCCCGGGGTGTGTCCGGGGTGTGTCTGGGGTATGTTCGGACTTTTTGCCTGGGGTATGTTCGGGGGTCTGTCTGGGGTATGTCTGGGGTGTGTCTGGGGTGTGTCTGGGGTATGTTTATACCCCACCTGTTGGTTTTTCGGCAAAAAATTGTAGTCCGCTCGTGATTGAGGAGCATTTGCATACCCCTGACACACCCCCGAACACACCCCCGAACATACCCCTCGCCTGCATTTTTGACCAGCTGCTGCAGTTTAGATAGTAATGAGGGGGAGGGGGAGCTATGTGCACTCTCATAGGCTACCTGCCCGGTGCCGGTCGAGAGGCGGCGAACCATCATGCCGGACTTGTCGTCGACGTAGGACAGCATCCGGCGACGGTAGTTACCGGAAAGCAGATCCGCCTCCAGCATGCGGCGACTGGTCTTCGTGGCCGTCCGGTTTGCGGCTTCCACCATCGCGACGGTGGTGGGCGACCGCATGTCGGTGTTGTTCACCATCTGCTCGAACGCGGGGAGCTATGAACTGCAAAAGTGTCGTATTCCTATTCGGATAAATGCATTACAAATTTCCTCAGTATGAGGAATAAAATTTTTGATGCTGATTTACCTCAAGGAAAAGATTTGTAATGCATGACTGCAATACGAGTACGATGCTTTTGCAATGCATAGGAGCGCCGCCTTGGTGCCCGCCTTCATCTCGTCCATGGTCACGAAGGTATCGTTATCGTAAGGAAAAATTCCACCTCCCATAATCAGAGAGAAAATTTGTGATGCTGATTTGTCGCCACAGCTCAGCTTTGTCTTGCATACAGCTACAAGGCAAACGGCACCCATGTGGCGCATTGTGCAGCCAGTCTGTCATGCGTTTTCGCCTATGTCAAAGTTGTTTCTCATGCGCAGCTGCTAGCCGGATTACACGTAGTACCTAAATGAGCTTAGAATAAGTATGCCGACATCAAGCTCTCGCTGCAATAGAAAGTTCATTTGTGTACACAAATCCAGCAAGACAAATTGTCTTTTGAGTATGGGGTCGTGGGGGCTTTTTTCACTTTGATAATCGTTGTCCTTGTTGAATTTCTCCCACGCGTCCATGATGGTCATGCCCGGCGGCCCGTCCATCGGCAGTGCCTCAATGTAGGAAAAGAACTGGGTGATGTTACAGGCACCGGAGGGGCAGTACTGGTACAGATCGGGGACCATCGGGTTGGCAACGCCGTTCGCGGTATCGCCCTCGGTGGACATGGTGATCACCGCCTGCACCAAGTCGCACGCAACAACACCTTTTTGTTTTTTTGTTTGTAATGCATAAAGCGTGTTAATATTTACAGAACGGTGCGATTCTTGGGAAGATGTTGCCACAGAAGCAGAGCGGATAATCATATTCTTCCTGTAGTTGCCAGCATCCCCATGATCAAGAAGAATACAGTTTTCACAAACGCAAGGAAATAAATCAGAAGTAGATGTTGAAAGTAGCACAATGTAATCATAACATCATATTACCAGTAGCATTGGCATTCGTGTAGACTGGCGGCACCGTGGTGGTGGAAGCTTCCCACGGCTCCATATCCTGCGTAAAAACGTCCCTAGCCCAGAGTTGTAATGCAAATGGGCATGCTGAGTATGTTTCTCATGCCGAGACCCATGAGAAGCTTTTTCTAGTGGTGTTTTGAAATTTGTGATGCTCAGAGCAGCATTATAGACTGGGCCCGTCATGCTGTTGCACTTAGCTAAACTACATCGGACTACCCTACGAACCCAAATCTGTCATGCGCAACAGCCAAAGCTTGTTGATTTGTGTAGCAGATTTCCCACCTTGACTATCGGTCGTTGGGGACGCTTTTACTCAGGGTACTCCATGCAGCGGCCACCATCGTGCATCATGGGATCGTATCCAATGCAAATATGTCTGGGTCTGGAAGATTGCTACATTTGTCGTGTATGTCTGACATGGCTCAAGAATCTGTGATGCATGGGCACGAAGCTGTCCTCTTTCCTGTCATGCAAAAACGTAGTTTGCCATGCGGAACACGCAACACATAGGAGCCCAAAAATTTGTCATGCTTGGCTCCGTATTGCAGTGGAACTCTCATTCACTTTTAGCATTACAAGTTTCCAGACCCAGACATTTTTCCATTTGATAGATCGTACCCAGCGCAGAAGTACTTGCCGGCGGTGCGGATCAAAGAAAAAAAGTTCGTCACGATCACTCATGCGCATTCTTGCAATACAAAATTGTTTGTCATGCGTAAAAATGCATCACAGCCAGACTTCATTACGGATTTCCCTAGTGTTTCTGCAATACAAGGAAAGTTTGTGATGCTGAGAAAATTTGTCATGCAAAACCTGCAAGTTAGTGACTGTGACAAACTTTTTTCTCTCCATAGTGCGGATCATTTCTTCGGTCACCACCTCGACGGTGCTATTGAGAGGAAAAATGCCCCCTCCCCGTATCGAAAAGGAAATTTGTGATGCTGATTGGTGACCACAAATCAGCGCTGTCTTGCGTACAAGGCAAACGGCACCCATGTGGCGCACTGTACAGCCAGTCTGTCATGCGTTTTCGCCTATTGATCAGACTGATGTTTCTCATGCTCAGCTGCTAGCCGGATGCGTACCCAAATGGGTTTAAAGTATGCCGACACGCTCTACTCGCTGCAATACAAAGTTCATTTGTGTACACAAATCCAGCAACACAAATTGTCTCTTGAGTATGGGGTGGGGGCTTTTTTCACTTTGATAAGTGCCAGATTTCGGGTCCTTGAACTCGATAAACCGCTCGTAGCAGTAGTTCTGGGTGTTGCGCGGGGGCTCAATCAGCACAAAGTCGCCCTTCGAAGAACGGAAGATTTTCCGCATCCCCATCTCGGGGTATGCATTGCAAAAGTACTTCTATCCTCGTACTCGCAGTAATAAATCTTCGCAGATCTGCATTACAGATCCTATTTTTCAAGGTAAATCCGCATCACAAATTCCATTTTTCATGCTGAGGAAATTTGTCATGCGATTTATACAACGTAGTACGGAGGTGCTTTATTTGCAATGCGTACGGGGTCAAACGGCCCCATCTCGATCGATTCGATGTTCTTGAAGGTCTTCGGACCCACCGGGGAGGGGTATGAAAGCGCACAACTTCGCCTCCCCCCCATTTGTAGTATTGCATGAACAGCAATACAAGTGCCAGCAAGCATACAGGTTTCATACAGGTTTTGCATGACAAATTTGAAAAAACCAGGAGTGTAGTGCTATGTGGGCAGCTACCAGAACTTGTCATGCAAACAATGCCAAGAGCTAACAAGGCGTAAGTTAGGTATTTGGCATGACAAATGATGGGGACGAGGGGGAGTTGTGCAGTGTCATAAGGGGAACGTCACAGCCTTGATGTTGCCGGCCATGTCGTTGGGGATCCCCGCCAGCCGATCGAAAACCGCCAAGCCCTCGTAGCGCTCCAGCGCCTGGGCGGTTCCGATCACGGTGGTGTCAGCCGCGTCGGGCTGGCTGGACATGCCGGAGCCGGCGATCATCACACCGGCACCGACGGCACGCTCGTTGGCCATGTGGGACAGAATCCGGTGCTCGCCGTAGAGTTCGGTCATCTGCGACAGCCGACGCTGGCGGTGCGACGCGGCATCAGCGGGCTTGGTGTCCTTTCCGGCCTCCACCGCGAGCAGGCCCATGACGAAGTTCATGACGGCCAAGAGCACGATGATCCCGACCAGAACGACGAGCGCACGCTTCATCTGCCGGTTCTCTTCCTGCATCCGTTTTTGCGCGTTGGCCGCCGCCGTCAGCTATGCAATGCAAAAGCATATTGTACTTCTAGTATAAATTGCATGACAAATTAGCGGCCCAGCATTACAAATTCGAATTTGTAATGCTGATCTCACAATTGAGAAAGAGATTTGTATATGCATAAATGCAATCTATAACTACGAGTGTACGGTACTTTCGCACAGGTGGATATGAGCTCGCCCACGGACACGGATCCGGACGCATCGGCATCCCACACCGCCAAGGCGGCTTTGACGGACTCGGGAAAATCCTGGTAGTCCAACTCTCCTATGACTTGCTCAGGTGTTACAATCTCGAATCGGTTACCATAGAGTCTGGAAATCTGTGATGCAAGAAGTGCATGACTCATAGTCATAGCCAACTCTCATAGGTGGATTGCGCATGACAAGCTCCGGAGTCCTCCCACACCACACTACAATCATCTGGCGAAAGTTGTATTGCAGAAAGTGGAACGCTCCGCGGGTCTGTCATGTTCATCATGCAAGAAGATACGTCCCAGATTCTACTGCAACCGATTTGAGATGGTAAAGTTTGAGCAGGTCATATCCCCCGTGTCGGACTTCTTCGCCTGGATTAACTTCCGAATCCGTTTCATAAAGTAAACCACCTCGGTATCCTGAGTAAAAACGTCCCCATAGTACCAGAGTCATCAACATGGGAAATTTGCTAGACAAATTGGCCAACTTTGGTTGTTTCGCATGACAAGTTTGTCCTCGTAGTGTAAAAATCTTGTTTCGCTAGTTCAGGAGCATCACAAATCTAACATATCATGCTATTTCTAGCATCAAAAAACCCAAAACACGACGAGACAAAGCTTCTCATGGGGCTTCGCATCATCATCATCATCATCATGTAGTGGACACCCGCACCCAGCGCCACAGATCAAGGATCCCCTCCCCGGGGGGTGGGCGAGGAAGCACTTTCGGCGACCCCCCCTTCGCATGAGAAACTTTTTTGGCATGCAGATTTGCATGACAAGAACTCTGGGGTCGGGATGTTTTTACTCAGAATACTCGGCCTTGTCGAGCTCCCCGGTGTCATCGGCGTCCATCATGGCCAGCGCCGCGCGCAGCCACGCCGGAGCATCGGACAGCTCCTCGCCCTCGACCTGTAAGGGTTGAGTTTTTGGGAAAAATTTCTCATGCTGATCAAATAAAACATATTATGTTTGTCATGCTGATGAAATCCTAGGCTATCTCTTATTTTTATTTGACCAGATCTGTGGTGTTTGTCATGCAATACTAGTACAGCATAATCTTTTCCCAGCCTATTTCCTAGTAATCTATCCATACCTGAATCTTAGTGACTTCATCGTCACTGTCTTCCATAATTTTTTGGTAGTACTCGGCTATGACAGTGCACAACTCCCCCTCGTCCCCCTCATTTGTATAGCATGAACGGCAATACAAGCATCACCATCAGCAAGAATGCCGGTTTTGCATGACAAATTTCCACTGGAGTCTCGAGCTATTTGGACTACCAGAACTTGTCATGCATAATAGTGACAAGAGGGAAACAAGCTAAGCGTCGCTTGGGTCTTTTGCATGACAAATGAGGGAAAGTAGGGGGAGTTGTGCACATCGGATATCAGCGCGCGCATCGTCAGAAGCGAATTTCTGCGGCGCCACCTTGCCCTTAGAACCCGCCATATTAACGCGGTCTTGTGAAGATGCGCCCGGGTTTTTATTTGTCAGTCTACTTGTGTAGAAGCTATTTCGGTACTACCTCTTAAATAATTCTACCGCGAGAACAGAGAAGTTCTCGTCGTTCCTACGCTCAGTGATTAAGAGTTCTTTGACAGAAACTACTACACTGTGACTACATTCTCGTCTTCTTGACTTCCCTACTATTCTAGGATGAGTTTTCAAGTTTTATGATTTTTCCGTTTTGATGTTCGTGCTGGATTATTTTTAGTCCTTTGGCACGTGGTCTTTACTGCTGTTTGTAGAGCGTACCTTTAATAGTGTGGAGCAGTTGTAGTGCGTACCTTTATACTCTATTTCTCGCACTACTACAAATGGTTCGTGTTATACTTTGAGCAACCTTTTATACTCAGGGTGCAACTTCTCAACATGATTCTGATGAAAGAGACTCAGATCCTTATATTGACATTATATCAGAAGGAAGCTGTTGTCTCCCATCAGTTTATAGTACAGAGACAGACTAGTAACATCTCCAAACTTACTACTTGCACAACTTTAATCAAAAATTATTTCGGTGATGTGCAACAAACATCACTAAAGCAGGAGGAAAAATGTTAAAAAATACCAAAAATTCAAATCATGGGGGCGAGTGAACAAGAAGAGAGAGGGTAGTTCAGTGATGGTTTTTGTTTTGGTAGCACAGCTACTTGCACAAGATGAAGAACCGTATCAGTTTTAATATCATTTCGGGGAAAGGTCCGGAGGTCGCTCTCTCTCGGTCCGTCAGTTTTTGTGTTAGAAGTCGCGCTTTTGCTATTCTGGATTTGTTACTTCGGACCCAAAATCAAAAAGCCCGACAACTACATATCATGAGGAACAAAAAAACGTCACAGATCGACGACCTGTGGTCGAGCAAAAAAACTAGCTCTCGACCGTGCTTTTGTTAATTCCTTTATACTAGTTTAAAGCTTACGAAAGAAGAGCAGGACTGCTCTGTTTATACTATGAACAGCACGGCTGTGCTCAGTCGGCCGATAGGTGTTCGGCAAGAAACTCACCATACTTTACTCTGCTCTGTCTGCTATTGGCAGTGCTACAAGCTAAATCAATACTAAACAGTAGCAGAATGACGATTATTTCAACACACATACAAAATGATGCAAAAGAACGCTGATAAAGACAAACGCCTTCGTGCAGGAAAAAAATATTGAACCGATTCTCTTCATCGTCAGATTGCAATTGCATACAACTCGTGCATAGAAGTGCCATCCATTGTTTGACGAGATTTTTGACCCGGAAGAACATGACGCAGTATTATTGACCCGGCCTCGTCAACACGGTAGCTCTGCATCCATCTTTCTGCTTAATCATATCGATACAGATGCTGTTGATAGTGCATGACAAACACCACTGGGCATATGAGCAATGCATGATAAACCATCACCACGACGGAAATAAATTATAGTATTCTGTACCTGGATGCTGTTGGGCCCGCCATCCTCCTTCTCGAGCATGGCTTCATAGTACTGCGCCCGCGCATAGCCTATGGATTGGAAAATTTCTTCTGTAGTTTCGATCATGCGTGTCATAATGGCGTCATTGCATTACAAATTCAATGAAACATAAAAATTTCTCATGCTGATTTAGCTCCTCGAAGGAGATTTGTCTTGCATGATTGCGATTCAATCGAAATTTTTCCAATTTCGTAGCCTCGTTGTGGAACGACGGTGATGTTTTCATCGCCATCGCGTTGTCTCTATCCTGTGCAAAAGTATCGTACTCGTAGTGATTGCAGTCCTGCATTACAAATTTTTTTCTCATGGTAAATCTGCATGACAGATTTTATTTCCCATGCTGAGGAAATTTGTATTGCATTTATACAACGAGTACGATACTTTATTTGCAATGCATAGTCTTCTCCTTTTTTCAATTTACGCTTCGATCACGATATCGGTTTTCGCTTTCGGTTTTCGGTTTTCGCTTTCGGTTATCCTGAGTAAAAACGTACCCACACCAGAGTTGTAATGCAGATTTGCAAAGTAGACAGGAAGACTTGTAATGCGCATCCCCATGATAGCCATTTCCAATCGTGTTTTGGAATTTGTGATGCTGTGAACAGGATGAGCAGATGAATCTGTGATGCGGCTGCACTTGCTAGCCTGCACTACACTGCATAGTGCAACTTGTCACGCGTGACTCACAAAACTCCTAGGCTTGTGTTGCAAAATCCCCATCCTGACTCTGGTGTGGGTACGTTTTTACTCAGGATATCGGTTTCCGCTTGTTCTTCTTCTTCCCGGTAGTGTGTCACATCACCTTCGTGCAGCTCTTGGCGCCTTCTGGGACGTGATATCCTGAGTAAAAATGTCCTCGCACCAGAGTCAAGATGGGAAATCTGCTAGACAAATCAACCAGCTCTGGTTCTTCCGCATGACAAGATTATCGTCCTAGTCTAAAAATCCTGTCTAGCTAGTCCCGAAGCATCACAGATCTAGCACATCAAGCTGATTCTAGCATCACAAATTCCGAAACACGACTAGAAAATGGTTCTCATGGGGCTCCGCATGAGAAACTTTTTTGGCATGCAGATTTGCATGACAACTCTGGAGTGGGGACGTTTTTACTCAGAATACGTGAGAAAAATTGTTCGGTTCTTCGCCTTATACAACAACTTCGGAGGAGTTCCACTGACTTCTATCAAATGTAAAAATGTCTGGGTCTGGAAACTTGTGATGCTAAAATGTGCATGATGGAAACACTTCCGAATGCAGACCAGCATGACAACTGTCCGGAGCACTTTCTCATAGGCAGCCCGCATGAGAAACTGCGTTTTTGCATGACAAAAATGGCTGCGGCTTTTGTCGGTTATGCAATACAGATTTCCCAGGAATGTAAAGCTAGCATTACAAGTTCTAACTTTCCAGACCCAGACATTTTTGCATTTCTTTGATAACTTCAGGAGGACTGCAATACTGTAGTCTTCCCTTATAAAAAACAGAGCGCAGAGGTCGAGAGAGTGAAGTTCGTCTTCTACGATCTTCGACAGAGAGTGAGAGAAAAATTAAAATTGTCGAAAATAAAGATACGAGCTTATTTGTGATAGAGTTGCAACCACTTGTTTTTTCACAAACAATACCTCAGAGTGATTTAAGTAAAACCCGGTACTAGTACAGCCACTACTAAAAATTTTCAACGGTCTTCGAAAACAACACTGGTACTACCAATGCTTTTTCAAAAAACCTCAGGTTTTGTTTCCTCTTGTATCTTCGCAGTGTTGACTTTAGTACTACTACTTCTCGGTCGAGCTACTTAGAGTGCAACATACTACTTCTCTGTCGAGCTACTTATTTTCTGTCCGAAGGAGTTTTGGTTTCCAAACGGGAAGTTGCTGTGTGGGGGATTGGTGCGATCATGGGAAGCAAGATTTTTAAAACGGGAGGGAGACGGAACCAAGCTAGTTGTTCTCAAGTTACATCACGAACCTAGCGATAAGAAATAGAAAGTCTTCTTCTAGGCTCCACCTCTAGGTAGCATAGTCGGTGTCTGGATATGTAAGTAGTCGACGGTGAACGACGGCGCAAAATTCTGAGTTGCTTTGCAAAAACCGAGAAGATAGCATTGTTCTTTTTTCTCTCACGACGACCGAAAAATTTTCTGTGTCACCAGCTGCGGCGCACAACACTTAGTACTATACGAAGTTATGGCGGTGGACTACATGGGTCGTGGTTCATATAATACCATCGTGGAGAACGACTACTTACCGATTGCGGTGTGCTTTTTTGTCGCAACTACAATGACTGACCGATAGAAGCTGAGTGTCTGTTTCATCTCGCATCACAGCATGACGAATGCGCGCGCGAAATGAAGCTAGAATGAAAAGCGAGCGCGAAATGAAGCTAGAATGAAAAGCATAAAAGCAAATTTCGTTTTTCGAATGATGTTGTCACGCAATGGAAATCGACCGATAGCGGTGCATGGGACCTTGATTCCGCGCAAGAAGCCGGAAGGCGCCAAAATTATACATAGAAGATCTTCACACAGTCGCGAACACGTTTATATTTTGCTGTCCATTTGCATGACAGACTTTCGTGTGCTCTACAATGTTGCGCAGCGCAAGCTTGCATCCTTGCAGACGTCCGGGGATAAAGGGGTTAGAAGTACATTTTTTGCGATGCATCTTTAAGTAATAGCAATCAATTTGTTCTACAACTCCAGGGCAATCCGCCACCAGGTTAAAGCGGTCTTCATAATTTTCGCCTTATCAAATGCAAAAATGTCTGGGTCTGGAAGAATGCAACTTGTGATGCTGCATCTGGATTCCAAAAAAATCTGTATTGCATGGGTAGCAAGGGGAATGCAATTTTTGCTACTCCGAGAAGGCATTTGTCATGCGGGATAGGCATCAAGAAGCCCTCAAAAAATCTGTATTGCTAGGGTATGCATCACGGACATCATGATCATGGCTCATGCAAAACGTGCATGACAAGTGTCAGAATCTTCCAGACCCAGACATTTTATACATTTGATACGCCTGGTACTTTTGCATTTTCTCCGTCAGCTCTGGGTACAGGAAATCGTGCTCGTTGTTCGTGGTATGCAGTGCAAAAGCATCGTACTCGTACTGCGTTTATGCATTACAAATCTTTTTCCTAAGGCAAATCCGCATTACAAATTTAATCTGTAATCATGCTAAGTCAATTTGTGATGCAATTCATACTAGTACGATACTTTTGCACAGGATACGTGGCAAGTTGGTACAAATGTCGCACGGAGCGGAAGCGGAGTAAAATGTCCTTATCAACCGCAAATATGTCTGGGTCTGGAAGAATGCACGAGTTTGTCATGCTTGTCTCTCATGACTCCTAACTCAGTTGATGCATGAGAAGGATGAGAGTCGCTTGCCTGTCATGCAAAAGCGCAGTTTGCCATGCAGAGCTCGCAACAACGAGCAGCTCAAGAACTTGTCATGCTTGGCTGCGTGGTATTGCAGTGTGTCCATCACTCCCAAGCCAGCATCACAAGTTCTTTCCAGACCCAGACCACAGACTTGCAATGCGTAGTCCTTCCGCTCAAACCATTCGGAGAACCGATACCAGTATTTCCGGTCTATCCTCTGTAAAAACGTCCCCACGACCACCCGATAGCTGTCATGCAAATCCGCATGCTGAAAATGATTCTCATGCGGAGCTGCATGCTGACAAGCGTTATTTTCTAGTCGCGTTTTGGAATTTGTAATGCTCCGCTCAGAGTCTTAGGCTAGGTCTGTGATGCTGGTGAACAAGCTAAATCGAGGACGACACTATGAGGCCACGACAGACTTGTCACGCGCAACAGCCGAAGCTGGCTGATTTGTCTAGCAGATTATTATTTCCCATCTTGACTATGGGGTCGTGTGGGCAGCGTTTTTGCTCAGGATAATGTCATTCAAAAATTTGTGCGGCCAGACCGCCTCGGTAGATTGCCAGTGGAAAACATCTATCAAATGGAAAAATGTCTGGGTCTGGAAGAATGCAAGTTTGTCATGCTTGTCTGGCATGACTCTTAAATCTGTCATGCACATTACCAAAGAGCCCCTCTTTTCTGTCATGCAGAAACGGAGTTTGTCATGCAGAATAGGCAACACCCAGAAGCTCAGAAACTTGTCATGCTGAGCCAGCAATTGTCGCCTCCTCATGATACGCCACACAGCCTCACAAGTTTCCAGACCCAGATATTTTTACATTTGATAACGTCGTAGGGGTGCAGAAGATCATGCGAAGCCTCTTCTTCATGCTTGTTTCCCTGATGCCCCCAGTCATCTGCCGCGGGTCTGCTTGTTTTTTCTTCCTCGGCGGGGGCAGCAGTTCTGTCCTTGCTTTATTGCAGGAAAAAATCCCCCCTCCCCATATTGAAAACGTATCCGTCTGAAAATTTGTGATGCGCATTTGTGCCCTCAAATCCTGTCTGTCTTGCAACAAGGCAAGTCCAGAGAGCGCCCCGCATTTTGCAGGCGGTTTGTGATGCTGTTGGGCTTAGAGCATTCACGTTTGTCATGCTAGGCGCCTACGTCAAAACCTCTCGACTGAGACTTGAAATATGCCTGCAGTCCTCTACTGCAAGACAAATCTAATCTGTGTAAGGAAATCCAGCATCAGAAACTTCGTTTCGATATGGGGAGGGGGGATTTTTCCTTTTGATATGATTGTAGTAGTTTCCGCATCTGGATCAAGATCTGTTGAGGAGGATGATACAACCTTTGCCAAAACGCGATCCGCGAAGGTCCGTATTTTGTTCCACGGCGCCCTTATTGTGGACAAAAACGTCCCCACTCCAGAGTCAAGATGGGAAATCTGCTAGACAAATCTGTCAGCTTTGGGTGTTGCGCATGACAAGTTTGGCCTCATAGTGTAATCTATCCACCTGTTTAGCTTGTTCAGCAGCGTCACAGATCTAGCACATCATGCTGATTTTAGCATCACAAATCCCATAACACGACTAGAAACTGCTTCCCATGGGTCCCCGCATGAGAAACATTTTCAGCATGCAGATTTGCATTACAACTCTGGGGTGGGGACGTTTTTACAAGTGATAGCCCTGCGCTGCATCATGGGAATTTGGGAATCCGACTGCCCGCAGTAGCACCCTATCCTGTGCAAAAGGATCGTATTCGTATAAATGCATGTCTTGCATTACAAATCTTTTTCTTAATGCAAATCCGCATGACAGATTTTATTTCTCATGCTGAGGAGATTTGTAATGCATTTATACGAATACGATACTTTTGCAATTCGTACACCCCGACAGCGGCCAAACGGTACGGTACACGAAAGGCTCGCTTGGAATCAGGATTGGCACGTGCAGAGCCGTCAAATCCGAGAGGCGCAGGGCGTTGGGAACGTGGGGCAAGACGATGATGGCACGGAACTTTTGCATCTGAGAGAATTCCATGTTTGAGGATTCCTACCCTGTGCAAAAGTATCGTATTCGTATAAATGCAAGTCTTGCATTACAAATCTTTATCTTAAGAGAAATCCGCATTACAAAATTCCTCTCTCATGCTGAGAACATTTGTAGTGCATTTATACGAGTACGATACTTTTGCAGTTCATAATTCCGGGATGGTCACGATCCGTTTTCTCCGTTCTGTGGGAACCCCCGTTTCTGCCTCCGCCTCGGCCTCGTCGCGCAATTTCCGGTCTTCGTAAGCCGCCAGTAAATTCATCACCAAACTTTGGTAGGGTAACCGCGTATGAATTGCAAAAGCATCGCACTCGTAGTCATTGCAGTCATGCATGTCTTTTTCTCAAGGCAAATCCGCATTACAAATTCCATTTCTGATGCCAAGGAAATTAAAATTTGTAATGCAATTTATATATACTAGTACGATGCTTTTGCATTTCATATCGCGAGCGAAACAGCAGCACTTGATACTGCTCGTCGGGAATTTGTGCGGCGTTTGCGTTCTTTCTGTCTGGGGGTGCTCGTCGATGTAGTTCCGCATGCTCTGCGTGTGGTCCACCGCTGACGAATCCCCGTCCTACAAACGAGCTGCTGCTGCTCAAGCTGGATGCTGATCTCAGGTTGTAATCCTTCTCCGGGCTCAGATTCCGAAAGGATCGACGACGTCCAGGTATTACAGCGTCGCGCGTAGAAGTTCTTGAAACTTCTGTCCTCGCACCACCTTCTTCATCAGAATCTGCTCCTGCAGCAGCGCTCCACCTACTATCTTGAAGAAAGTTGTGGCTCGCGTGTAGGCTCATATGGCATTCTCAACCGTTACATTCTCAACTGTTACATGAATTATTGATGCAAGAATGGCAAAAGTACAATGGGGCAGGTTGCAGCTGTAGCATTACAAATTCCGCACAGATTTACGCGCGGTTTAGCCCTTCGCAAATTTGTCATGCGGAACAGCTTGATCGTGAGGATGATGATGGCTTTTTTGCATGACAAATTCATGCACTTAACAATTGAGAATGTAACGTTTGAGAACCCCATAGCCCAGCATGGGAACGTACAGTGGTCTACGGCCATAAACGTGGCGAAACATCTATCCTGAGTAAAAACGTACCCACACCAGAGTTGTAATGCAGATTTGCAAAGACAGGAAGACTTGTAATCCGCATCCCCATGAGAGCCATTTCCAATCGTGTTTTGGAATTTGTGCTGCTGTGAACAGGATGAGCAGCTGGATTTGTGATGCGGCTGCACTTGCTAACCTGCACTACACTGCAGAGTGCAACTTGTCATGCGTGACTCACAAAACTCCTAGGTTTGTGTTGCAAAATCCCCATCCTGACTCTGGTGTGGGTACGTTTTTACTCAGGATAACATCTCTGCGGAAATGCGGGTGGCAGAAGAAAAAAAAACGCCCTCGCTTTGGTTCTCGTCGGCTTCTTTTCCATCTCTGCCACTCGCTCTCGTTTTTCCGTACAGTGCCTCCAAGATAAGAGCGAAAGCCAGGTCGTACGGCTGCTCCTGATTTACGCTCCCCTTGTCATTATTTCCTTCACCGTTTATTGTCGAAGAAGCAGCGCTACTACCTGCGCCCAGATTCTTATCCCACGAAAAAAGTGTTACAGTTACACATTTGTTGTCAATTCTCTGCATGAGAGAGAAAACTTGTAATTACAAAATATGAACACACTTCTTCCATAATCCCACGTGTGTGTTGTTTCAGTTTGAGTTTTTATTTTTGAGCACGAAAAAGCTTTTCCTCGGAGCCTTGAGCGCTAGCCTAAACCACACACGGGAAAACACACGGGAAAACAGGAAGGAAATGAGGATCCAAAGCATTTCCTGCATGAGAAAGGCTGTCTGTGTTGCCGGTCTTGCAACACAATTTTCTTCCCATAATTTTGCTGTCCGAAGAATTTGCTGAAGGCCAGCATGGGGCACATGTTCAGCCGCACAATGAATTTCTTCCCGGTCATATCGCAAGAAAAAACTGTTTCACTGTGAACTTGTGATGCACAGAAGGCAACACAGAACTATTTGTCTTGCTACATCTGCAAGACCTTGACTCTGTAACGGTGTTTTCCCTTTGGAAGCGCGCATGGCAAATTTTCTGTGTCATGTGTAACAAACTTGTGATGCAGAGCCTGCAAAATCATCACAGTGAAACAGTTTTTTCGTGGGATAGGTCACTGCCGGGGGAAAGGCGTGGATCAACAGGATGCACAGCCAAAAGGGTTCACACCCCAGCACGACGTTCACGTGCCTGTGAAAGTAGTCGTCATTCGCGAGAAACACCTGCAGCGCAAACACGGCCTGGGTCCAGGTCTCGTAGAAGGTGGAAAAAGATGAAGAACCTGAACCTGTCGTTCCACCGCCAGAAGCATCTCCTTCCGCCCTGTTGGTACCTGATCCATGATGTAATTTGGGTAGAATTTGCTATATCTTGGCGCGAACACAAACTTCTTCCCAAATCCCCAGAACGCTGGCGCCCCTCGACGGCTGCCAGCTTTACTTTGTATGTTCTCGTCAAAAGGCCACACCCTTCACTGGTGCTGAACTCCGGCTCTGTGTCAGTAAATGCGTATCTGCGCTGCTTCGCAGCGTCTTGTGTACTACTAGATACAGCAGCGAGGCGCGCAGCAGGGACCGCACCGCGACGTCCGCACCACAGAGGTGGCTGCGGGCGTCGCACTTGTCCCCCCACAGACGTGGGTCGAACCGTGCTCCAGCGCTGCGACGAGAGGTCGCCGCGCCGGGTGCAACAGAGGCTGCAACAAGTCCGAGATCGCGTGGCCCAAACCCCCATCCGAAATCGCCGCCCTGTGGCTCCTCATCCGCCACGCGTATCCCGCCGGCTTTGTCGCGTCTACAGGGTGGCCCTCCGGCTGTCCTGTCTCGTCGCATTGCGCCGCACCACCGAGGACATAGATCGGAACCCGCTGTCGTATGCACCTAGGCCGCGCAGTTCCTAGCTAGTCAACGCGCCACAGAGGTGGCTGCAACTATGCTCGGCTGGTGTGGTGTCAAATTAATCATCCTCATAAATGCAAGTGGTTCTTCTAGGTGTGTAATGGACGGAGTTGCTCCTTGGCATAAGCAGATCAAAGCATGCAAAGCGCACCCCGTTCACAGCCTCACATCCTAGATCCTTACTAGCCTGCCAGAGTGCGCACAGAGGTGCATCAACCAGCAGGGGTTCCGGCTGAACCAGTGGCACAGACGGTGCTTACCGGTATGGGTCGGCACACGGGATGGCGCACCTCGGTGGACTTTCGTCCAAATTTGGGTCGTACGACCCGCGCTCCAGTCGCCCAGGACGCACCTGCATTAGCGACCAGCGTCATCAGCTTCGCCTTAGCGGTACGTGACTTTAACGCACGCGCGCCACGTGGCAGTCGCGGGAGGTTACTTAGGTCCCTCCCCACCTGCTCTCGCTGACCGTCCGCTTGGGCATCGGTCACGGGCAAATTCCGACGGTTATCGGAATTCTTTAGAAGGTGGAAAAAGAAGAAGAACCTGAACCTGTCGTTCCACCGCCAGAAGCATCCATATACCGGATTAAGCGTCCCAGTTCGAGATAACAGATTTAAGCGGCCAAGGTTATGCTCATGCGTTCTAAAAACTCGACGAATTTTTGAACATTTTTCTTTTCGTTCAGGCAACAGGATAGGCAGCGGGAGCATTGTTGGTTTTATATATTAACGCAGGCCAGTGGGGAAACGGGGCCTACGCATTAATTTCCGCGGTGAAAAGGCGACGCGACCGGGGAAGCTCTATCTTGGCACCCTTCCCGCGCCGTGTGCTCCCGTATACCGCAATCGCGCCCGAAGGGTGCCCGCAACGTCGGTCGTTTCGAGAACAGAAAAAACGCCACTTCCCCTGAAAACGAAAAAACGAAGGGGGGCCACCACCGGCCGGCCAGGATGCATCGGCCGGGCGAGCAGGGGCCCGCCGCGGGGCGCAAGGCGCGGGGGCGGGATCTCGCGGGGCGAAGATCCGCGCCCCGCGCGCTCCGGCCGTTTAATTTTTTCAAACACGGTCGGGGGGGCGGGCATGCAAGATTTGGCAACAGGCCGCCCCAAATCCCCAAACCCTGCAGAGCTGCCGGGGGGTGGCGAAAAAAACCTCCCCTCCATCAGTTCAAACCCAAAACCCGAATCCCCAAATCCTACGCCCTCAACAAAAAAAAACCCCGCCAAGGGCCCCGCGCCGCGACCGCGGCCCCACCCCGCGCCCCGTTGCAGCTTTTGCGCCGGCGAGGTGCCACGGGGAAAACTGCCGGTGGAGGCGCGTCCATCTGCATTTTATTGGCCGCCGAAAAGTTTCCGTGATCAATTTCTTTCAGAGCGGTTTTCGGCTGGACCGATAAAATGCAGATGGACGCGCGTCCACGGTCATTTTTTGCCGCGACCGGGCAACAGCAGAAAAACTTCTGCCGCCCGGGCACCCGGGAAACACACCCGACCGGTGGCCAGGGCCTGGCGCGCATCCCTTCTTCCGGCGCCAAACTCCATCGCCGCCCGCGCACCGTGTGCTGCGCCGACTCGGCTCGGGGTCGCGGCGACTCTAGTGCCCCCACCCGCCGGCAAAGCTGCAAAGTCAGCCTACCGGGAGACCGGGGGCAGGCAGGCCTACCCCCCTCGGGGGCAGGCGGCGCCACGGTTCACTTGCTCCCAAAAACCCCGGGGGTCCCACGTAGTCTTTGCCGAACACTACGAGGGCCCACCTATACGCCCTGGTAGAGTGCGAGTTTTCCTATGCGACGAAAAAACTAAACGAAAACGCGTCTTTATCTTTATACACTTACTTCGTGTTCGTTCTTGCTGCAGCTGCATCCATACAAATACAAAACGATAAACATAAAGCATGTTTTTGCATCGGGTGAGGAGTAGTCGCGCCCCGCCCCCTTCTTGAAAGCCGAAACCAGTTGGCTTGTTATTCTCATTCATCATTCGCATTCATCATTTGAGTTCATCACTCGCATTCCTCATTCGCATTCCTACTTAGAGCAGCAAGAGATACACACTGAAAACAAAAAAAAAAGCCTGCCAGACTCGCCTGCTTTGCCACCCCCTAACCTGTTTCATAGCATAACCGCAATGCTTATTTCGAACTGGGACGCTTATTCCGGTTATTGGAGTAGAAGGTGGAAAAAGATGAAGAACCTGAACCTGTCGTTCCACCGCCAGAAGCACCTTCTATGGAAGAACGTCCGTGAGTTTTGTTACCTATTTTATTAGGATGAAAAATTATAACTTTCAGGATATTTTTCAACCTTTGCCATGTTTGCGAGTAAAAAAAGTTGACTTTTTTCATGCGCAAAACGGCCACTGCAACTGCGACGGCGACATTGCAGACGTGCTGCTGACGCGTTTTTTATTTTGTGTGGGGCCTCGCGCCCCACTTCCGCAACCCCACGCCATCCTTTGGCCCAAAAGGGTGCAGGAAACCACTCGCCTCACTATTTTCCTCAAGGAGCACCGTCACGGAAGTCTGCCGCGCTTGGAAATGCAGACAAGGACAGCGCGTAGGCCAGAGATGCCGCGCACGACTGGCCGTGCCCGGTGTGTCGCTCGCGCAGGCCCTGGCGCAATCAAACGACGGGGACCACGGTGCCTCGGCGCCGGCACAGGAGGCGCGCGCCCACAAGGTTGGGGCGGCGCGTTTGTAAAAAAAAATGCCCGGCGTGTCTGCGCAAAAGATTCGCGGTGGGCCCACGCCGAAACCAATGGCCAACCAAAAAAGCGACGCCACCCTACAGGCACGGCCCCCCCGCCCGCGCTCGAAAAGGGAACAACAAAAGCGAACAGGGCCGGGCGGCCCCCTGGTGCAGGGCGTAGGCCGGCCGGCCGAAACAGACGGGCCTCCTACTTGTGCGCCCCTTGGAAGGGGGCTGGCGTGGGGAAAAGGTCGAGGGCGACGGCTGTGGCGCCGCCTCATTGAGAATGGGCAGGGCGGTGGCGCGGCCGCCATATGGTTCCAGGGCGCGAAGGGCAAAAGCAGGGGGAGCGCATTTTCAAAACACACCGGCCCCGAACAGAATAAAGCGCACCGCGCTCGTCGACACGCACCACAGCAACCGACGGCAGCGCCACGCAGGCCGCTCGGAGGGGTCGCTCGCTGGAGGGCCGAGTCGCCGCATGCCTAAATGGCCGCGGCCGAGTGGCCTACAACTTCCGACCGCTGCATGCTGCCGAGATGCGGGCCAGAATATCTGCAAAGAAAACAAAGCAAAGGAGCCCGAAAGGGCCCGAGGGTGCTCCAGACAAGCGGGCGCCCGGCCGGGGCCCAAGGTGCCGGCCAGTTGCGCACCCTCCCGCGGAGCAAGCCCCCCGCCACATACCTATCATCCCCAAGAAGAACCTGAACCTGTCGTTCCACCGCCAGAAGCATCACCAGCTGCTACCCCATTTGACAGTATTCCAGCGACGTTCTTGTTGTTGAAAAGCAAGTCCTCGAAGGAATCCGTAGCGAAAAACCGGCTGATATCGTGAGGAAAGATCAGATCCCCCCTCCCCATATCGAGACGGAATTTCTGATGCTGGATTTCCGTACACAGGTGCGCGCTGTCTTGCAGTAAGGCATCGCAGCCAGATCCTCACCCTAGATAGGGGCGCTTGGGTCTAGTTGCTTAGCATTGCAAACGGCTGTCCCGTTCTAGGCCCAACGGCATGCCAAATCGCTTCCAGAATGCCGCGGAAGCCTCTGCGCTTGTCTTCTTGCAAGACAGACGTGATTTGTGATTGCAAATCAGCAACCCAAATTTTCGGAAACATACCTTTTCGATATGGGGAAGGGGGATTTTTCCTCTCAGTAGCTGAGCTGTTTCCTCACGTCAAAGTGCAGCCACCTCTCCGGCTCCAGAAATGTGTTCCGCGTCGCGTGGTTGTCCTGCAGAACTTCAGGGAGTTGATGTGCTGGTGGTTCTACTTCTAGTCCTTGTCCTGCTTGATGACCTGGTCCTGCAGCAGCAGCAGCGGCCTCCTCGCCTTCAGACGCCAACGGCGCTGTCGCTGCGTAATACTTGTTCACGGTCCCAGCCACCACGGTATTTTTCCCTAGGCGTCCTTGTTCCTCGCCACTGGAGGAACCGACGACATGACCGGCATTTTCTATCGCAGCAGCAGCGGCGGTTTCGTTTTTCCTCACTTCGCTCACTAATTCCCGGTTATGCAGTATCGTAAGAAAAAACGGCTTCACTGTGAAAGGATCTTGCAAGTTTTGCATTACAAGTTCGCTAGTACACATTACGAAGAAAACTTGCCATGCGAGGATCCTCAGGGAAAACATCGGTAAAAATCACCTGTCTTGCGTGTGTAGCAAGACAAACACTTCCGTGATGCATTTTCTGCATTACAGGTTTACAGTGAAGCATTTTTTTCTTGCGATATGCAGCAGTCTTTGCCGCTCTAGTTTCTCGGATTCGTAAAAGGAGGCTTTCGTTTTGAAGTTCACAGAGTGCCACGGCGCTCTGCGGCTGTAGAAGGAGGTGGAAGCTGATGTTGTAGTACTGCTAGAAGATGAACCTCGGTCTGTTCTAGCAGTTCTCTCGTCTTGTTCCGATGTCCTCGTCTCTGTCGCGCCGGTTGTACTCGTACTGGTTGCGTCAAAATCTATATCAAGAAGAAAAATCCCCCCTCCCCATATCACAACGGGAATCTGTGATGCAGATCTGTGGCCACAAATCAGCTCTGTCATGCTAGAAGGCAAAACATGCGGACTGTAGTGCTGGGTGGCGTGAGACCAAAGCCTTGCATCTTCAACATGACAGGAGGCAGCTGGAATTGCGAAAAAGCATGACAAATTGCCTGCAAACGAGGCCACAACTGGGGCTCTTGGCCTTCTAGCAGTACAAGTCGATTGGTGTACTCAAATACAGCATCACAAATTTCGTTTTCGATATCGGGAGGGGGGATCTTTCCTTGCAATAATCTACATACTCCGGGTTCAAGTCCGGCTGTGGCGCGCCAAATATGAAATGCAAATATGTCTGGGTCCTCTGCAAGGTTGCACGTTTGTCATGCTAGTCTGGCAGGACTCGTAAATCTGTGATGTATGAGCAGGAAAAGGGTCTCTTGCCTGTCATGCGAAAACGCAGTTTGTCATGCGGAAAACGCAAAAGTAAGCAGCGCAGACCTTTCTCGTGCAAGGCTGTGCAACATTACAGAACCTTCACTATTCCCAACCAAGCATTACAAGTTTCCAGACTCAGACATATTTGCATTTCATACCAAAAAAGTCCTCCCAACTCGCAAACACGGGCGACTGGTTACCGACGACGGTATTTTTCAGGTAGATTGTATGCAGTACAAATTTCCCGTACATGTACGAGATGCATCACAAATTTCCCCAATTTGGAGTGTGAAACTTGTCATGCCAAACTAGGATCGAATCCAAGTTTTGGCATGCAGAGACCGCATTTGTACGTGTACAGAAAAATTACTGTGGATAGATTTTGTACGCAAAGTAGTAGCCGACGCGGGGTTTTTGCGTGAGGTTGTCAAATAGATCCTTGGGAGGAGGTTTGGGATCATTTCTACTGCCTGTACTACTTCCAGTTGAAGAATCTTTATTTTCTGCATGTTTTTCATCCGAAGAAGTCCTGTAGTCGAAGTGGTCAGCGTACGCCATGGCGCCGAGGAGGGAAGACGCGTACTCGGACGAAGTGGCCAGGTGGCAGTATGCATCGCAAACGCTAACGTATCATAGTCAAGAAATTATTGCCCCCGTCATGCATTACAAATCTCGTTCTGAAGGTAACTCTGCATTAAGAATTTCATTTTTCATGCCAGGGAATTTGCCGTGCGATTTCTTCTATGAGTAAACGATGCTTCTGCGCAGGATAGGCAGCCGAAAACAGCGATGTTAACGGCTTGCAACATCCGTGGAGCACCACCACCAACAGCACCACCACCACCATCTGCTTGTTGTTGTTCCGGGGACTGAAAATAAAAGGCGGAAGAGGACGTTGCTCCGTGTGGTGCTGGTGAAGACCACGAGCTTGTGGAAGCAAGAACGCCCGTGGCGAGGAAATGCAGGTACCGCAGTTCTAACTTCGTAAATTTCGTGCTGTGGAGTACGAGTGACAAGGATTTTTCACCATCTTCTGACGATGAAGATTCAGACTCCACTCCTCGTTCATCCCCGTCTTGTTGTTCGAACAGCAACGTTCCGTCCGGCAAGCGCTTTGCGACCCATTTATTTTTTGCCATACCACCGTTTTTTATCTTTGCCTCGACGCGAGTAGAAGTAGAACCTGAACCACGAGATGAACAACCTGGCGCAGGTTCATCTTGAGATGATTCTTGACGGGCGAAGGCTTCGAATGCGGCGAGCTCCTCATCGTGCTCTTCTCCTCCTGCAGATGGGTCTACTTCTTCCGCTGGTGGAGGGTAATACTCAGGTGATGACGGGTAGTGGTCCACCATCGCAGGGGCCTCCACGAGCTCATCACGCGGAATTATGTTATTCGCTATGTTCTTTTCGTCCTTTGTTGCGCTTTGATATGATCCACCTCTTCTTGCTGCGTCTAAACAAAGCTTCCACTGTCGCTTCGTTTGTTCGAAAAGTACTAGTATCAAATGTAAAAATGTCTGGGTCTGGAACTTTGCCCGACTTGTCATGCTGGTTTGCCATGACCCATATGATCAGATCTGTGATGGAGGACCTAGCATGACAGATTCCGTGAGATCACTATCATGCCTATCCCGCATGAGAAACTGCCTCTCAACTTGATCAAAAGTGGGCAGCGTTTGGTAATCATGCAACACAGATTTTTGCGTGATTCAGATTTAGCATGACAAGTTCCAACCTTCCAGACCCAGACATTTTTGCATTTGATAAGTAGCTCCACGTTTTGTGTCCTCTGGTCGATGGGAATGGGATATGCATTGCAAAAGTATCGCACTCGTAGTAATCGTGTTTGTGCATTACAAACAAGGTCAGGGCACGGGGGCTGGGGCCCCCGTGCAGCGACCTTCCCGCCCTTTGCAGGACGGGCCGCACGTACATACGTGGACAGGACGCCAGAAATTTCGAAGCTTTGCGCTATACTGAAAGCAAGAGGTCGGTCGCTCGGCCTACCTTGAGCGGCCCCTTGTTGTGCGTGATGCACCGCGCCGCCGCCAGACCAACCTACCCGGCCTGCCAACCCCCGGCCCAGTGCGTTCTTTTTTTTTGCTTGCCCAAGGGGGCAAATGTCCACAGAGCATTTGCCGGCGCTGCGCTAGTTTTTTGTTCGATCGCCATTGGCCCCCCGGCGGCCAGGGTTTGCACATTACCCGGCCGGACCATCGTCAGGGCCCGCGCTGATGGGCGCAACTGGGTTGCTCTTGTAGGTGGCCCCTAGGTCATGGCGCGGGGACAGAGTCCCCACGCCGACCTAGGGCTTTTGCGCCTGGGCCGTCCGTGCGGCCCCCGGAAGTCGCTTCCTTCCAACTGGCCCCTAGGTCATGGCGCGGGGACAGAGTCCCCGCGCTGACCTAGGGCTTTTCCCCCGGGGCCATGTTCGGGAAGCGCTTGCAGCTGGCCCCTAGGTCATGGCGCGGGGACAGAGTCCCCGCGCTGACCTAGGGCTTCTGCCCCCGGGCCACACGCTGTCCGGGAGAACTCAAAGCTAGCCCCTAGGTCGTGGCGCGGGGGCTCTGACTGTCCCCGCTGACCTGGGGCGTTTGCCCCTGGGCCATGCGGTGTCCGGGCAGGGCCCGTGACTAGGTAGCCCCTAGGCCATGTGGTGACGCTCGTTGGGACAGTGTCCCCTTGTTGGCCGCAGGCTTTTGCGCCCGGGCCATGGGGTGTTCCTTCCCTCCGGGAAGGATGGAGGCGCCCAAAGCGCGCCCCTCGGTCATGGACCGGGCACAGAGTCCTCGCGCTGGCCTTGGGCACCCACTTGCCCGGCCGCGGGCCATGCCTGCGGTGCCCGGGAAGCGCTCCCAAATGTTCGGACGCGGCGCCACCCCGGGGGCCCTTGCCCAGACGGGGGGCCGCCTATGGGGGTTCAGGCAGTCCGCCTGCTGGAATATCTGCGCGCCCATCGCTCTCTGTGTGTGTTTGTCTTTGTGCCCAGCCAACGGCTGGGCCCACTGTTATGCTTGGTTTGGGTGGTAGGTACGAAAACGAATAGAAGAAAAGCGGCCCCATGTGGCCCTTCGCTTCCGTGTTAGATATTATCTCTGTAGAAAAGTGCAGGGCCCATAGATTCGCGCCCCCCTTACTTTCTCAGCAGGCAAGGCACCCGCGTGGGGCTTGTTAGGTCAGCGCGCCCGGAATGTCTATGCACGGGGCACACCAGCACCAGCAGCAAACACATTCCAAGGCACGGCGGCGAGTGGCTTCGCGGGGTCCGCCCCCCCCCGAGTGGGCCGGCTTATATATATTTGTTGACAGACTGGCCACGCCATTCGGGGTCGCATGCGTCCGAACACGCCCAAGGTTTGTTCGGGGCTGTGTCTCGCTTTTACCCCGAGGTGTGTTCGGGAGTGTGCTCTGGGGTGTGTCTGGGGTGTGTCGGGGTTGTTTGTCTGGGGTCGGGGGTGTGAGCCGGGGGCCTGTCGGGGGTGTGAGCCGGGGGTGTGTCTGGGGTATGTCTGGGGTATGTCTGGGGTGTGTCTGGGGTGTGTCTGGGGTGTGTCCGGGGTGTGTTCGGGGTGTGGCTTGCAAGTTGCAAATCACGATGCTACGCAGCCACGTTGCATACCCCAGAACACACCCCAAAGCTTCAGCAGTTCTTGTCGGGGGGGGGTGTGTCGGGGGTGTGTCTGGGGTGTGTCTGGGGTATGTTTTGGGGTGTGGCCTGCAAATTACGAATCCCGATGCTATGCAGCCACTTTGCATACCCCAGAACATACCCCAAAGCTTCAAAAGTTCTGGTTTGCTGCAGTCTAAATAGTAATTTCTTCGTTAAGTTGAATCCGCATGACAAATTTCATTTGTCATGGTGAGGCAATTTGTCATGCGATTTCTACTAGTACGATGCTTTTGCAATGCATATGGGAACCTCGTTGTGCTGCTTTTGGTTTTGCTTTTGTCCACGAGCAGGACCATCAGCATCATCTTCACGCATGCTACTTCTTGCCCCAGGAGTATGCAAGAAAAAAACTGTGTAAGTGTAAATCTGTGATGCAGAAAATGCCAAACAGTTACACTTGTCATGCTCGAGATGCATGACCGGCTCGCTTACTATGTGTTTTCCCTTTGTATCTGCGCATAACAAGTTTGTCCTGTCATGGCAGACAAACTTGTGATGCTGTCTTCCCAAAAGACTTACACTAACACAGTTTTTTTCTTGGATAAGGAGTCCTCGTCCTCCAATACGTAAAAGGGCAGTTGAACGCTATCAAATGTAAAAATTCCTGGATGTCTGGAAACTTGTGATGCTGGGTGGCGTCTCATGATGAGGCCACAAATGCTGGCTCAGCATGACAAGTTTCTCAGCTTCTAGGTGCTATGCCTATTCTGCATGACAAAGTGCGTTCCTGCATCACAGAAAAATGGAGCTCTTGGGTAACTTGCATGACAGATTTCAGAGTCATGCCAGACAAGCATGACAAACATGCATTCTTCCAGACCCAGACATTTTTGCATTTGATAAACGCCTCTACATTCCACTTTTCGTCGTGGTGGTCCCCGACATCCGGAAAATTTCTCACCGGATTTAACTTCTCCCAATACGCATAGCTGCCGTAGAACTTCCTGTCCGCGTCGCCTTTGCTAGAAGTCTATGCATTGCAAATATGTCGGGGTCTGGAAGAGTCCAAGGTTTGTCATGCCCTGCTAGCATGACTCCAAAGTCTGTCATGCACATTACCCAAAAGCCTCTTTTTTCTGTCATGCAGAAACGCCAACGCGCTTTGCCATGCAGAATACGCAACACCGCAGGTACTCAGAAACTTGTCATGCCGAGCTGCAAATTGAGGCGTCCTTATGATTGTCCTACCCGCATCACAAGTTTCCAGACCCAGACATATTTACAATGCATAAAGTCGAGACCAAATCCGTGATCAGATCGAAGTGACTCACCAACAAGTCGTTTTCGCGGTTGCGATATCAACTGCAAAAATGTCTGGGTCTGGAAATTTGTAATGCTAAAAGTGGATCATGATAGCCGGACTGCAATAGGCAGCCAAGCATGACAAATTTTTGAGCTGCTATGTGTTGCGTATTCCGCATGAGAAACAACGTTTTTACATGACAGATAGGAGAGCCTTTTCCGATGCCCCTATGCATCACAGATTCTCGAGTCATGTCAGACATGCATGACAAATGCAAGAATCTTCGAGACCCAGACATTTTTGCAATCCATATGCGATCCACGACAAACACTTCGCCCAACTCCGTCTCTTCTTAAAAGGAAAAATCCCCCCTCCCCCTATCGAAGTGGATATCTGTGATGCAGGATTTGTGTACACAGATCGGATTTGTGTTGCGGTAGAGGACTGCAGACAGATACAAAGCCCGGAAAGGGGTGACTTGGGGTAGACACTTAGCATGGCAGACGTCTGCCCTAGTAGCGTGGCAGCATTACAAACTGCCTGCGAAATGCAGCGGAAGCCCTGGCATTGCTCTCTTGCAAGACAGACTCGATCTGTGATCACAAATCAGCACCACAAATTTTGAAAAGCACGCCTTTTCGATATGGGGAGGGGGCATTTTTCTTCACAATATCTCTTCCAAAAAATCAAACTGGTAATTGCCGCTGCCCAAGTCAAACACCCACCCGAGCGCGTTTGCCAGGTATCCTGCCTCGTGGGAAATGGACCCGGCGGAATGGATCAGGTGATATTTTTGCGCCAGGAAGATTGCTATGAAATGCAAAACAAGCATCGTAGTAGTATAAATGGCATGACAAATTTCCCTAGCATGAGAAGTGAAAAATTTGTAATGCGGATTTAACTTGAGCAAGAAATTTGTAATACATGACTGCGATTAGTACTACGAGTACGATACTATTGCACAGGATAATTACGTGCATCAGAAGGGCGGTTCCCGTCGGACAGAACAGCATTTCCTCGAACTCGGAGAGGTACTTTAGATACAATTCGTGCTGCTCCTGTTGGTGTTGAAGAAGGTCAGGTTGCAGCTGCCCTGTCGTAGTAGTTGCAGTCCTGTCCGTAGTTGCAATTATACCTTGTCGCTCCAAAAACAAGTGCCACTCCCGCGACCCCACGCTTTTCTGCAATGCAAATATGTCTGGGTCTGGAAATTTCTGATGCTGTTTGGCGAATCCTGTGGACGCCTTCATTGACAGCCAAGCATGACAAGTTTTGGAGTTGCTATAGTGTTGCCTATCTGCATCACAAACTGCGTCTCTGCATGACAGAGCAATTGAAATGTGGCTTTTGCGTGGCGTGCAAGACAGACTTGAGAGCCATGCTAGCCGTGCATGACAAACCTTGCATTCTCTCAGACCCAGGCATGTTTGCATTTGATAGCTTTTCTGCAGGTACAATTTCCACACCTCATTCCAGCTCCCGGACTCGTTGCTTATCCGCGCTCGATATCTTGAGCAAAAACGTCCCAACCCCAGAGTTGTCATGCAGATTTGCAAAGACAGTATACACTTGCATTGCGCATCCCCATGAGAGCCATTTCTAGTTGTCGTGTTTGGAATTTGTAATGCTGTAAACAGGATAAGGTGATGGGTTTGTGATGCGCCTGCCCCAGCATTGCTAAGATGCACTACAATACAGAGACGAACCTGTCATGCGTTTCTTCCAAAGCTTCTGGATTTGTGTTGCAGAGTTTGCAACCTGAGTATGGGGTGGAGTCGCTTTTACTCAGGGTACTTGGATGTGTGTTCAGCGGAAAAAGCTGCACGGGGTATCATGTGGCTTGCTTTATTTCTTCGACGACTTTCTGGCTTTTCTTACTTGGCGCCTACTACCATCGAAGACGAAAAGTGCATGCTATTCTTGGTCAGGCAGAAATAGGACACAAGAACTTTTCGTGTTCGTCATGCTAACGCAGGATTGTGTAGTTCCTTCTTATACGATACTTTCTCTTGGCGCTTGGCGGTGTGCTACTAGGAAAAAAACTTCACTATTATTGACTTGTAGAACCAAAAGCCACCACAACAACCCGGCAAAACGATAAACCGGCAACATACCCAACCGAAACAAATTACTCAGGTAAGCGTTGCTCAGGTCTACGGATTCGGTCAGGTGCGTTTCCAGGATGTGAACCTCGTCCGGGTTTGTTGAGAAATGCAGAAACGCCTCGTATAATCTTCTTATCCGGGCCAAAAACTCCTCACTGTGATCGTTTTGGAAACCAAACCACTGCTGGTACTTTGGCGCGGCGAATTTTAAAAGCTGAAAGAAAACTTCCTCCAGGCCCTGCAGTTTTTCCAGCGTGGCGCGGAGAAGCCGGTTCTTATCATCGGTTGCAGTAGCTCTTCGTGCGTCGACAACACTCGGGTCCTCGACCTTTGGTCTCGCTTCTGTAGTTGCTGCTGGCGCGCCGCTTTGGTCGTGCTCCTTCGAGGAGCTTACAACTTTTGCTGTTCCTCGTCGATCATCAACATGATCCTGGTCTAATTTCTTCTGTTCTTCCCCTCGTGTGTCTTCTTCTGCGAATTCAGCGTGTTCCACCCGGAAGATGTCCCCGAGATGTGCATTATCGTAGGGCGAAGACGCAACTACTACACCCGACGTTGCTGGTTTTGCCCCAAGATGAGCTCCTGACTTCAAGTCTGGTATTGAAAATACCGAGACAGTACCAGTCGCATCGGCTCCTGCTGTTTCATCGCCGTGAGGATCTGCTGTATTTGCCTCGTCCTTGATCACCGATATTTCTAATTCGCCTTGTTGTTCCATCCTCGTTTCCAATTCCCGCAACAGTTTTTCTGCTTGGCCCGGGTGGAGAAATTTCGAATTTGTGGGCGAAAAAAAGTCCGTGTGTTTTTCCAGAACGGTTGCCATGTCGTTTTGCACGTAAACCGTCCGCACGTACTGCTGAAAGCTCTTGTAAAACCTTTTGAACACCTGCCAGGTGGGAAACATGTCGCAGGAAAACAGCGGGGCTCGGTCACCAGGGTACAGCTCGAAAGTCTTGATAGAACTTTGACTTTCTGCAGAAGTTCTTGCATTTTCGTTCCATACGGCAACATCTTCAGCAGCAAGGGCGAAGGCGGTCGAAGTCGTCGGGTATGGTCCTATCGTGGTACTCCTATGCACGGCAGTTTGTTCTCCAACAAGGTGATGCAGCAGGAGCTCCTGAAGGTCCTGCAGCAACACAAATACAAGCAAGAAAAGCGAGCTGAGGTTGTTGATAAACCAATGTCGTGGCCGCGCACAAAGAACTATCATGGTGCACTTAGATTAATACGCTCGACGTGGTCATAATTTCTACTCACCGGTCTAATATGAACAAAATGGTAAAAATGGTGCACGAGTTCCTAAAGGATTCGCACGAGACGAGCTGCAATCACATACAACGAACGGCCCTCGAGTTTTACAGAAGAAAGCAAGTAAGTACGCGTACTTAATTGAGTGTAAGGATCGTCTTTCGTGAGTTCGAACCAACAGATGCTCTGATCGGGAAAAACAAAAAGATCCTCCGCGCGTCGTGGTCCTCACACGTACTACTGCTGGAGATCAACGACACGAGGATCTTCACTGACAGTCAGAAACAACAAGAAATCGTACTTAACCGAACTTGATGGATAGAACGGGCATGCGCCGCGTGGTTCATCGTCAATATGGTGATTTTGGTGCATCGTCAATTGGACGAGGACGATGAAGGCGATCTTTATAAAACATTTTTTGAAAAAACTAGTACAGGAAACTTCGAAAAAGGTATCCACACGGAGAATGGGTCTGAAGACAATCGGCGGTTTTTTTCGACAGCCTGAAATCATAAATGGTTCTCGTCTTGCACTGTCCAAGTCTATCGTCTGGCGGTGAAGCTATTTTTCGTCGCGATTTTTTTTTTGCGTTGTGCTTTCCATTCAATTTCACGGTTATAGTTTGTCGCCATTTGACGTGAATCGATTCATGTTGTAGTGAAATCCGACAGTAATCTAGCACTGCAGAAGGCAGTAATATCCATCTTGTACTTGTTATACTCCGCCTCTGAACCGGAAGTAGTTCTTCCTGGAGTAACTACTTACAAGGTGGCGTCGGAAAAATAAACGCAAACTTTTTTACTTCTACTTCGGCTTCGTGCTGCCCTTCGTCCCCCGAGTTGCTGCCTCCGGACGAGTTGGTCCTGTTTCCACCCTCACCCACTTAGAAAACGGCACCCACTTGATGCGCATCTTGTCCGCGGACAGAATCCCGATTTTATGCATTGCAAAAGTGTCTGGGTCTGGAAGGATGCAAAGTTTATCATGCTTGTCTGGCGTGGCTCTCACATTTGTGATGCAGATTACCCAAAAGCCCCATTCTTCTAACATGCAGAAGCTCACCTTGTCATGCAGAAAAGACAACACTGTAGCATCTCCAAAACTTGTCATGCTTTCCAGCCAATTGAGGCGTCTTCGTCTTTCTCAACCAGCATCACAAGAAGTTTCCAGACCCAGGCGTATTTGCATCTGATAGATTTTGTTGGCCGGCAAGTTCGGGTTGTGCAGGTTTTTCAACCGTAGGCCCAATTCGTTGGACACTTCCAAGATCGTACGAAAAAACATTGTAGGTGTATATTGTTTTGGCGAAACAGCATTACAGATTTGTCTGGCATGACAGCAACAACCTGTCATGCGCAGATAGTACGGGAAAACGCCCTTTAATGGACCCTACGATGCATGCCAAGCATGACAGACGCAATCATCTTGCGTGTTACGCATCACAAAGTTACACTTACACAGTTTTTTTCTTGGATATCCAGCTGCAGTTGCGCATTTCCAAACGCGGAACATTGGAAAGTCCCATTCTCATCGATCCAAACCTTTTCGGTCCTTTTTACCTCGCGCAAAACCGGGCTCACCCGGTTGTTCATTCCGCGGTGTAGTGGAGTACCATTTGCTGCACGACCTCCGGGCGTGTTTACTACACCAGTAGCTCTAGAAGTTGTTGTAATATTCCGGTGAGATTGTAAGTGATTTGACGGCACAATCTGCCCCTTCTGGTTGATCTGCTCCTTTTTCGTAAACTGCCACCACCCGGTGAGTAGCCCGAGATTGCAAGTCTCCACCGCGGTTTTCCGCTCTTCCTCCGTTGTCTTGTCGACCCCATCGTTGCCGAAATTCTTGTACAAAAATTCATTCACGTACCGTTCCTATGGATGTGTCAGGTTTGAAATCGTCAGAGTTGAAATAGTTTGCCATGCATAAAATGGATGCCAGTTGGAGCCCAGTTTTCAAGTGGCGCATGACAAGTTTTCGCGGTGCCTAAATCCAGTTTGTAATGCTGTTTGGGTAAGGAAGACGCCTTTTGTCATGCTACTTAAGCAGCTGTATTCCTACCCCTCAACAGGCTTGCAATCTGCCTCCCTTGCCTACTCTGCAAGACAGGCACTTTGCGGGTTGCATTTTATGCATCACAAATTATTTCAACTTTGACGATTTCAATCCTGACGCTTCCATAGTTCCATCGGGTCGTTTAGAACATGATCGGGTTCCTCCACTCGTTGCCACTCGACAAGTATGAATTGCAAAAGAAACGTATTCGTATTTTTGCAATCATGCATTACAAATCTTTTTGTTTAAGTCAAATCCGCATTACAAATTTTCTTTCTCATGCTGAGGAGATCATTTGTAATGCATTTATACAAGTATCGGATACTTTTGCACAGGATAAGAAGCGCAAACGGCGGGTCCATATCCAGCCAGAAAATGGACTCCTGCTGGTAGGATGAAGATTTTGATGTTGCTTTTTTTCTTCTTCTGTTCTTTGTGTTGTAGTTATTGTTATTCTCCCCGTCGACCTCCTCAGCAGCATGTTCATCAGCCTGGTCGTCGTGGTCTTCCGCATTAGAAGTGCCAGCACCTCCTTCTCCTTCTAGGTCGCCCTCGACGCAATTATCCTCTTCTTTCATCGGTACTTCTTCTTCCAAAACTTTCTTGTGCTCGCCAAAGTACTTTCCCCAAAAGCAGTACTGCGACACGCAGCTCATGCAGACCGCTTGTGGCAAACCGTTCACGAAGATGGTTCCCGCGGAGTCCACAAAGGTTTTAATCGTGGTTCCGTGCGGCTTCAGGGCCGGATTTTTGTTGTGCTGAAGCACCATTTCCTTCAGCTTCCCCGGATCCTCCTCCAAGGTGGCCAGCCAGGTGGAATTCCGCAGCCAGTCGGGCACGGGCTTTCGTTGGACGTAGTAGGGTATGGAGTACAAAAATGTCTGGGTCTGGAAGATTGCCAGGTTTGTCATGCATATTTTGAATGGCCCATGATGTCTGTGATGCATGCCCTAGCATCACCGATTTTTAGAGGACTTTGTGATGCCTGTACCGCATGGGAAACAAATGCCCTCTCCGCGGAGCACCACATCTACTCCTCTTACTGGTCATGCAATACAAATTTTTTTTGAATCCAGAGACAGCATTACAAGTTTAGAACCTTCCAGAGGACCCAGACATTTTTACAGTTCATATAGAGTGTGGTGTCTGGTGTGTTCTTTTTCCAGGAAATCCACCCCATGGAATCTGGGTGCTTCAGGGCTTATCAAAAAGAAAAATCCCCCCTCCCCATATCAAAAGGAAGTCTCTGATGCTGGATTTGCGTACACAGATCAGCTTTGTATTGCAGAGAGGCACTGCGGGCAGGTCTCCAGGCTAGTTAGGGGCGTATGTGTCTAGTTGTTCAGCATGGCAAACGGCTCCCCTTCAGGCCCAACAGCATTACAAATCGCGTCCATAATGGGGCGAAAACTCCTGCCCTTGTCTTCTTGCAAGACAAATATGATTTGTGACCTCAAATCAGCAACACAAATTTTCGAAGTGATACCTTTTCAATATGGGGAGGGGGGATTTTTCCTTTCGATAGGGCTGGGGGTGCTGTCAGTGCAGCGGAAGATGCAACATCTCCTGCAGCGGGTAGCTTGCTGCCGACAGATCGCAACTGCTGCGGTCGTTCTTGTTGTGCGACGACCGGTGTAGCTCCGCGGACAGTGAACTTAGGTTTTTTACCCCCGGCAAGAACCGCGGAGGACCCTTTGTTCCTAGCACCTATCACAGAGCTACTCGCCGCCCCAACCACGGAACTCCCGGTGGGCGTGCCGAGATGAAAGGAGCTTCCTCCGCCGGGGGTCATCTCTACTGCTGCCTCCACGTCTCCTGGGGAGCTGTGTACGGAGGTAGATGTTGCAGGAGCTGGTAGAACTGCAACTGCACCTGCCGGATTTTTAACAGTAACCGCTTCATTTCCGTCGTTGTGCCCTCCTGCTCCCAATGTAGTTGTGGGCGTCGCATGTTGTTGGACGCCACTTTTCAACATCTTTTGCGCAAGACTACTAGCTGCAGCCGCCGCTGCTCTCGCCTTTTCGGCGGCCTGCTCGGTAAAGAGCTTTTCTAACTGGTACTCCCTTTTAAACTTGTTGGAGGCGTGGAAAAATTGGTTCAGGCTTGGGTCGAAAAACCGGTGCCGGTAGATGTCTTTTGGGATAATCGCGTATTTCGGCAGTTCGTCAATCATGTTGCGCAGGACGTTCTTCGGCCACGGAAGGCGGTTCGGGATAGTAGAAATGAGGTGATGGTGCTGTGCCTGTCCTAGTGCTGGATTGGTGATGACGTAGTTACCGCCAGAAGTTGTACTAGGACCTGCTGCTGTGCCGGTAATGTTGTTCCCTCCTCCTGTAACACCAAGCTGCGATTTAGTATTCGGAAACGCCGAGGAGACGATCGAAGAATTCGCGGCGCTGCTGGGGGTGTTGTCGACAAGTTCTTGCGGATGTAGAAGTTCTTTGTCATCCATTTTCACACCTCCACGACGGCCCTCGTTGTCCTGTACAACATTCATCATCCCAGACACAACCCCTGCGGAGCTCGATCCTGAGCCCGAGCTTTGCCCCAGATGTTGAATTTGTTGCATCAACACGGGCTCCCTCTCTTCCCCCCGACCAGCAACGGAAGATGATGGCTGCGGCGAGGAACTTGGAGGATTGACGACGTTTTGATGGTCTTTGCTTCTGATGTCTACTACTTGCTGTCGTGTCGGCTTTACAGCGTTTTGTTCTGCGTCGCGATTTTGTTCATCTTGCTCCGGCAGATCAACTTTAAGATTCCCGTCATCCATTGGCTGCTCCTCATCTGCACTTCCATCCCCAAAAAACGCTTCCAAATCCTCCGCCAGATCCGCGTTGAGCTCGATGTCCAGACCGAGGTCGGCTTCGCTTTGCTCGTTTTGCTCGTCTCCCTCGGCTGGTTTTATTTGGTCACCATCAGGAACAACAGCCTCTTGATCATGATCTGCACCAGAAAAGACTTGTTCCTCCGCGCTGTCTATGCAGTGTAAATATGTCTGGGTCTGGAAACTTGTGATGCAAGGAAGGGATGAATAGTGAGCGCACTGTAATGCACTGCCAAGTATGACAAATTTTTTTCATGGTAATGGTTCTGAGTTGCGTATTGCGCATGAGAAGCAACTGCGTTTTTGCATGACAGGGAGTTGTAGGAGCTCTTCGCGGCCACACAATACAGAGTTCAGAGTCATGCCAGACTAGCATGACAAATTTCGGAATCTTCCAGACCCAGACATATTTGCATCTGATACTGTCCTCATCTTCGCTCATGGGTTCGCTGGAAGAGGAAAAGTTCCGTCTCTTCCGCGGCATTATGCACTACAAAAGTATCGTACTCGTACTAATTGCAGTTATGCATTACAAATCTAGGCTGTTAGGGTAAATCCCCATTACAAATTTAATTTGTAATGTTGAGCGAATTTGTCATGCGATTTATACTAGTACGATGCTTTTGCATTTCATAGGCCTCTTGTTGGATTTCTTTTTCTGTTGCGGAACCACAGAGCTGCTTGTTCCGGTCGCGGCACGACCACCAGCTGCGGAAGACAAAGCAGCAACGGAAGATGCCAGATCTTCGGCTCCTGCTGAAGCGGATTGCTCTTGCTCAACGTCTTTTGCATTTTCCACTTCTCCTTCCAGGTCCACTACCATTCCGTCCGGTTGTTCAACAACATCTTCGACCGGATCCTCGTAAGGAGCAGCAGCCGTCCGGGCAGCAACGTCGGCCTTGTGAAGAAGACTTGGCGCGGCGGGGGGTGGCTCTTCATCCTCTTCTTCTACACCAAAAATAGCGTCAACTACAGGGGGCTCGTCTGCAGGAGCTTCGACATCATCTCTTGAAGGGGGTGCCCGTGGTGCGGCTGGAGGGGGGATAAAGGAGTCGCTTTCATCCACAGCGTACTTGCGCTGATCCGGCGCATTTTGACCCTCCTCTTCCTCTTCTATGGGCGGCAACAGCGTCTCCTTTTTCAACTTCACAGCCTGGACAGTCGTGGCTATGGTCGTGGAACCTGCAAATAAATGCGGCACTGCGGGGGGTTTGTATATCATTGCACTCGCAGTTGTACTAGGCGCACCAGCCGCAGTTTGTGTTGTAGTCACTTGTTGATGTTGACCTTGACCTGAAGAAACGCCAGGTGCAGCTATGATCTGCCCCGAAGGAGCTGCTGCTCCTGCACCCACACTACTACTTCCAGCCGCAGCCGGTGGCAAAAAAATCTTCATCTTTTTCATTTCCTGCTTTTGCTTGGAGGGGGGAATCCAGTTTGGGTTCAGCTTCGCGTCCATTTTCTTCAGTAATATCTTGTGCTTCTTTCTTCTATGGAGCTGTCAGGATCGAAATCGACAAAGTTGAAATGCTTTGTCATGCATAAAATGGATGCCAGTTGCAGCCCAGTTTCCAAGTAGCGCATGACAAATTTGGGTAGAACCGAAATCCAGCTTGTCATGCTGTTCGGGGAAGGACGACGTTTTTTGTCATGCTACTTTAGCAGCTCCATTTCTACTCCTAAGCAGGCTTACAAAGTGTCTCCCTTGACTACTGTGCAAGACAGGCACTTTCTGGGTTGCATTTTATGCATAACAAATCATTTCAACTTTGTCGATTTCAAACTTGATGCTTCCATACCGTCTTTCAACAGCGTAAGGTCCCTCGTCCTCCAAAAGTTCCGCCCAGTGACTCGTATTGTGAGGAACTATCTCCCCTCCCCATATCAAAAAGGAGGTTTGTGATGCTGATTTGCGACCACTAATCAGCTTCGTCTTGCGTACAAGGCAAACGGCACCCAGGTGGCGCATTGTACAGCCAGTCTGTCATGCGTTTTCGCCTATTTCAGACTTGTTTCTTATGCTCAGCTGCCAGCCAGATGCATAGTACCCAAACGGGCTCAGAATATGCTGACAAGCTCTTTCTGCACTACAAAGTTCGTTTGTGAACACAAATCCAGCAACACAAATTGCCTTTTGAATATGGGGTTGGGGCTTTTTTCACTTTGATAACTCGTCTCCGCGTGCTCTTTCCGGATTTTCGCGAGGTCCGAAGACTGTTGGTTTCTTTTTTGCTTTTCGATTTCTTCATTTATGAAATCCACTTTCAGAATTTTCACCCGGTTCTGATCCTTCCGCCCGTTTGTGTATGCATTGCAAATATTTCGATCTGGGTCTGAAAGGATACAACTTCCGGCACTGTCTTTGGATTCTGAAAAATCTGTGTAAAAATTGCATGACCAGCGAGAGCAGGAGTCCAGTTTGTGCTACGCCGCGAAGAGGGCAGCACTTCTGATGCGGAATAGGCATCAGAAAGCCGTCTAAAAATCTGTGACGCTAGGCTATGCATTCCAGGCACGACCATGGATGGACATGCAAAACAAGCATGACAAGGGAAAACACAAAATTTGCATCAACCCTCCAGACCGAGATCGATATTTGCACATTTGGTATTTCCAGAATCCGCACCATCGCCATCTTCGGTAACGCCTTGCTGCATTTCTCACTTTCCAAGGATTCGCCTTGTCGCATCAACAAGTTGTCGTTCCCGACGGAATCCGGCGGGTAGACGAGAAACAGCTGCCCGGGCTTGGGCTTTTGGAACCGCAGGTATTGGAACAGGTTTTTCTTCCATCGGGGGTACTTAGTAGTATTCGTCGCCTTCGGGGTCAGAGTTGTTATTTGCTCCTTTTTCATCGATGTTGTAGTTGTTCCTGTTCCACCTGTCGCTTGTTCCTTTGCTTTCATAGCTGCCGCAGCGGTTCTAGCTTTGTGGTGTTGTCTCAGCAAAAAATCGTCCACTTTCACCACATCGTGCAGTTTTGAATTGAAATCCTCAAAATACTCCGCTACCGCCGCAACGCTCTTCTCTTGCTCTTTTGCCAACACGGAAACGCGCGAAGGTTTGCTGTTTTTCTTGGGAGGTTATCAAAAAGAAAAATCCCCCCACCCCATATCAAATTGGAAATCTGTGATGCAGGATTTGTGTACACAGATCAGCTTTGTATTGCAGGAAGGCATTGCGGCCAGATCCCCAGGCTATGTACGGGCGTATCAGTCTAGTTGTTCAGCATGGCAAACGGCTGCCCTTCCCCTTTAGGCCCAACAGCATGACAAATCGGCTCCATAATGGGGCCGAAGCTTTTGCCCTTGTCTTCTTGCAAGACAAATGCGATTTGTGACCTCAAATCAGCAACGCAAATTTTCGGAAACATGCCTTTTCGATATGGGGAGGGGGAGTTTTTCCTTTCAATAGAGGTTCTGTGGTCTTTTTTATTACCGCTTTCATTTTCTTTGCCGCTTGTTCCGCTTGTTTCTGTTCCTTTTTCTGTTCCTTTTTCTTTCTCAACCTTTCGATCTTTCTTTCCGCATCCCGCATTATCTCTTGTTTTTTCAGCTTTTTTTTCACCTGGTAGAACTTTTTGTTGAACATTTTGAAAACCCGATCGCGGTAAGAAGTGGCTCTACTCATTTTCGTATCCTGAGTAAAAATATCCCCACACCAGAGTCTAGATGGGAAATCTGCTAGACAAATCAGCCAGCTTTGGTTGTTTCGCATGACAAGTTTGTCCTCGGAGTAGAATCCTGCTTATCTACTTCCGAAGCATCTCAGATCTAACATATCATGCTTATTCTAGCATCACAAATTCCAAAACACGACTAGAAAGTGGCTCTCTTGGGGCTCCGCATGAGGAACGTTTTTGGCATGCAGATTTGCATGACAACTCTGGGGAGGTGGGGATGTTTTTACTCAGAATATTTCGCCGAGTTGAACTTCCGCTGTTCAGAGTTCTCGTGGTGTAGTTGACCGCCATGATGTATTCTGAGGAAAAATCCCCCCTCCCCATATCGAAAAGGTATGCTTCCGAAAATTTGTGTCGCTGATTTGAGGTCACAAATCGCGTCTGTCTTGCAAGAAGACAAGCGCAGAGGCTTCCGCACCATTATGAAAGCGATTTGGCATGCTGTTGTGCCTAGGGGACACCCGTTTGCAATGCTAAGCAACTAGAGCAATGCGCCCCTATCTAGGCCGAGGATCTGGCTGCGATGCCTTACTGCAAGACAAATCCGATTTGTGTACCCAAATCCTGCGTCACAGATTTCCATTTCGATATGGGGAGGGGGGATTTTTCCTTTTGATATGATGACCTCCAAAACTAGCACCCTGGTGAAGATGGTGCTCTTGCGCCCCAAAACGGTCTCCGTGAAAGTACAAATCGTCTGCTTCCTCCTCGTCCACCGCCCGATCGTTCGACATCTTTCGCAAAAATTTTTGCTGCTGCTGCTTCAGTTTTCGCGGTATCAGCATGTCCAACGGGCCGAATTGATCTCTCTTCAAGCGGTTCATCCGCAACTTCGGGTGCCCCAGAATGACCAGCTCCTCGTAACTGCCCCAGAGGAGCGCGTTGTTCCGTTTCTGAATCATCTCTTCCGCGGAGAAGTTCTTCGCTTTTGTTTTCGAGATTTTATTGTTGTTCGCCAACGTTGCGTGGCCCCTTGAAGTATGAAGATCATCACCTGGTGCCATTGTTCCCGCTTGTACCATATCAAATGCAAAGGTGTCTGGGTCTGGAAGAATGCAAGATTTGTGATGCAGGTTTTCCATGACCGATGAGGCCTGTAATGCATGACCTAGCATCGCAGACTTTCAGAGGGCTTCCTGATGCACCTTCCGCATGAGAAGTGCCCTGTCCGTCTAGCACAAACTGCGCCCCTCTTGCTGGTCATGCAATACAAATTTTTTTAGAGTCCAAAAACAGCATGACAAGTTCGCATTCTTCCAGACCCAGACATTTTTGCAGTTGATACACCATGGCGGTTGCACTGGATCCTAGAAGACATTCCGCGGTGTAGTGGTATCCAATGCAAATAGCCCTGGAGGTCTGGAAGATTGCCAGACTTGTCATGCATATCTTGCATGACCCCTGATTGTCTGTGATGTATGCCCTACCATCACAGATTTTTAGAGCCCTTTCTAATGCCCATTCTGCATGAGAAATTATACCCTCTCGTTGTAGAACAAAATGGACTCTTCTTGCTCCTCATGCACTACAGATTTTCTTCGAATCCGAAGACAGCATCACAAGTTACAACCTTCCAGACCTCCAGGGGTATTTGCAATGCATAAGTGGTACGCCGGATCTAAGAGTAAGTCCGGAACTGCGTAGACCAAATTTTCCACATCGTCATTTTCCAGCCGGTCCAGCTCGTTGGTCAGACTCCGGTGCGGGTTGCCAAGCAGAAAGTGCTGCAAGCGGTTTTCGACATCATATATCCTAAGCAAAAACGTCCCGACCCCAGAGTTGTCATGCAAATGCGCAATGACAGGAACATTTGTAATGCGCAGCTCCATGAGAGGCATTACCAATCTTCGCGTTTTGGAATTTGTAATGCTGTGAACAGGATGAACAAATGGCTTTCTCATGCGGCTTCCCTTGCCAACCAGCACTACACTGCAGGGGAAAACTTGTCATGCACAGCTCCCAAAACTTGGAGATTTGTGTTGCTAGATTCCCACCTTGACTACGGTGTGGGAACGTTTTTGCTTAGGATATCGGGGTCTAGCTGTTCTTCCTCTACTTCGTTTTCTTCGAAAAATTCATATCAAATGCAAATATGTCTGGGTCTGGAAACTTGTAATGCTGAGTTGTGAATCATAGGTGCTCTCTAATGCACAGCCAAGCATGAGAAATATTTGCGGGGCTACATACAGTGTTGCGTTTTCCGCATGACAAACTGCGTTTTTGCATGACAAGCAAAGGGGTCTCTTGTTGGACACGCATCACAGACTTTTCAGTCATGCCAGACAAGCACGACAAACCTTGCATCCTTCCAGACCCAGACGTTTTTGCAATGCATAATTCTTCCAAATCTTCGATAATTTCCGCCGAGGACTTGTACGTAGATGCCCCTTGCAACTCGTTCTCCTCGCCGGTTAGGTTAAGCTGATCCTTGTCTTCCAAAAAATCCTGCGCGAGCACTGCTTCTTCGTCATCTACGATCGGAGGCGGGGGTGGTGCGACAGTTTGATGTCGCTCTACTGCCTCTGGAGGTCGTTGTAGTTCCTGCGCAGCTTGTTGTGCAGATGCAGTTGTAGAAGTTCCTCGCTTTAGCTTTCTTTTCACAACATGCGCAGTGGTCTTGTCACTGCTCAACTGCAACTCAGGAAAGGGGTTGTCGTCGTTCAAAACAAGTGGCTCGTTTTCATCAACCGACGGAAGCGGCTGGTTGAAGTTATTGTACTGTGGCGGCGCAGCAGTAGCTACGGGAGCTGCTGCCTCTGAAGCGACGAATCCCGCGAAAGGTGGTGGAGGAGCTCCTGCCAATATAGTTCCAGTTGCAGCTGAGCCGTCTAAAATAAATCCTCCAGGGCCGTAGTGCATTCCGTAGTCTGCGGCAGCAGCAGGAGCAACGGCTCCGTCGGCAGGTGGATGGAAGAAAAGCCCGGGTGGATTCATCATGCTATTAAAATCGTCCAGTTGATGTTCTTGTGCCGAGTTGTCCAGTGGGGGGGCCATGAAGTTGCCGTTCCCGACATGATTTGAGGTGGTCGGGAAGGCCGCGTTCTTCGCATCGCTGGCAAGCTGCTGGTGTTCCGCGATGTTGGTGGGCATCATCATGCTGCCGTTAAGATCATTCATCAAAACAGTATTGTCATCCAACAAATTCTTGTCCCCTACCCCTCCAGCAAAAGTAGGACCCAATGATGTAATACCCTGTTCCATCTCCATCGCTTTTTGCTGAATTATCTCCAAGTCGTCCTCTCCATCGCTATCGTCGTACCCTAAGCCACGTCCGTGCAAAATGCTTCGGCCAAGAAAGTCATCTTCAACACCATCGTAGCTTTTCTCCTCTGGCACGCGGAAAAACTGCGGAATTGTAGTAGTCCCTTGTTCACCATCACCTTCGATCATTTTTTCCGGCGATAAAGCTCCAAACTTCATCGGCGAAATCGACAGCCGAGTTGACGTATGCAATGCAAAAGCTTCGTACTAGTTCTAGTATAAATTGCATCACAAATTTCCGCAGCATGAGCAAGAAAATTTGTAGTGCGGATTTACCTTAACAAAAAGATTTGTAATGCATGATTGCAATACGAGTACGATACTTTTCTTTGCACTGCATAGGACGTCCCGCCGTCGGAGAACTTTGTCGGGGACAAAAGCCTATGAACTGCAAAAGTATCGTACTCGTATAAATGCATTACAAATTTTCTCAGCATGAGAAATAAAATTTGTAATGCTGATTTGCCTTCAGAAAAAAATTTGTGATGCAAGACTTGCATTTATATATACGAATACGATACTTTTGCACAGGATAAAAACCGTCGGAGAAGGGAGTCGCAGCTCCACCACCGGGTGGTCCGGGGTGGAGAAGAGGATTATGTGAAGAAGTAGACCACAGGGCTTGAAAGTTGCTGTCCAGGTTTCCTGCCTCCTGCTGCTGTTGCTGATAAATCACTTCAAGGTTGTCGAGATCTTCGTCTTGTAGATTATCGCAATCCAGGTCGTGAAAATCAGAATTATAGTCCTCGTCCCGCTCTGCTAGTACTTCTGGATGTTCCAAGGAAGAACCTCCAAGGTAAAAAGCCCGCTGTAGTTGCTCGTCCTGATCATAGAGCAGCTGGTTCTTTATTGCGATCACGCTTTGTGATGCTCTCTCCGCTTTCTCCTTCAACTTCCGCACGAGAATCCGCCGCTTTTTCAGCTGTGCGCCAAAGAAGGAAAGTTTTGGCGGTTTTGATACTGTTTTTGCCCGCTTCTTGCTGATGTTTCTAGTACGCCGATTCGTCCGGTGGAGCAAGGACAACTTTCTAGTGGCGCTCGGTCGCTTGTTCACCTTCGGCAGAACCCACAGCTTCTCCAACTTTTTATCTCCGCTTTTCTTCTGCTCTCGTGCGGTAGCGGAGTTTTTAATTGCCCTCGAAGATGATGTTGCTGGGCCCCCTTTGATTACCAGAGCAGGACCCCGATTGGTTAATGTGGTCTTGTTCCTTGCTGGTACTAGTCCTCGTCTGGTTCTCACAATCTGTTTCAACGCGTGCCGATTTTCGTACAGGAAATTTTGCCAAATTGAACCCGTTTTCAGAATATCGAAATCCCCATGAGGTCCTTGTTCTCCTTGTCGACTTGTTCTCGGCAGCGATAAAACATCCCTAGTGAAAAAATGACTATCCTTCGTGACATTCTTCGCGAAGAGAAGCTTCACCTCCAAGCCCGGTCTCTGCCAAGTGTTCTGCCTCACCGAGAGCAGGTGCCGCACTTCGATTGGCAAAAACGACCGGGAGGATTGATTTCCATCTACTTCCTATCCTGAGTAAAAACGTACCCACACCAGAGTCAAGATGGGGAATCGGCTAGACAAGTCCACAAGTTTTGGCTGTTTTGCATGACAAATTTGGATTCGTAGTGTAGTGCTGTTTGAGCTAGCTCAGCAGCATCACAGATCTAGCATACCATGCTTATTGGAGCATGACAAATTGCAAAACATGACTCGAAAATGCTTCTCATGGAGCTCCGCATGAGAAACATTTTCAGCATGCAGATTTGCATTACAACTCTGGTGTGGGTACGTTTTTACATAGGATACTTCCACGCTGTTGTTCATCTTGCTGTAGTTTTGTTGAAATGGTTCAACTATCAAATGTAAAAGTGTCTGGGTCTGGAAGAATGCAAGATTTGTGATGCTAAAACAACCGCACCGACATTGCCATTGTCCATTATCACTGGGGAGGCAAGCCTCCGCAGGCGCTGGAGCGGCATAGGGTCAGAACCAGCAGGTTTTCCAAGATTTGTGATGCAGGTTTTCCATGACCCATGAGGTCTGGAATGTGAGACCCAGCATGACAGATTTTGTGAGGTCTCTGTCATGCCTTTCCTGCATGAGAAACTCCCTCTAAACTTGGTCAAAAGCGGACAGCTTTTGGTATTCACGCAACACAGATTTTTGCATCATTCAGATTTAGCATGACAAGTTCTAACCTTCCAGACCCAGACATTTTTACATTTGATATCAACACCCAAAACTAGCGGCGCCGGCTTCGCAGCACACAAAACGCTGGGCGCGAGTACGAACAGTGCCTGGTCGCATGCGAAGGCGGGCTTCATTCTGTGGCTTGGTTTCTCCGGGCGTAAATCGTAAATAATGGTTCTGCTTTGGCTGTTCGGCTTCGAAGTTTTCATCTCCACGCGCACGTGAAACAACCGCTTTTTTGCGGGCCCGATCCAAATATCATTCGCCGTGTTGCCAAAGGTTTCTTCCTATGCTGTGCAAAAGTATCGTACTCGTATACATGCATTACAAATTTCCTCCGCATGAGAAAATAAAATTTGTAATGCTGGTTCACCTTAAGAAAAATATTTGTAATGCATGATTGCAATACGAGTACGATACTTTTGCACAGGATACTTCCTTCGTGCGGTACAGGGTGTAAAACCCGTTCATGTGTATGGAAGTGTCAGAATCGAAATCGAGAAAGTTGAAATAGTCTGTGATGCATAAAATGCAACGCAAAAATTGCCTCTATTGCAGAGGACGCAAGGGATGCAGATTGTAAGCCTGTCGAGGGGTAGAAATAGAGCTGCTAAAGTAGCACGACAAACGGCGTCTGCCTTACCCAAACAGCATTAAAAACTGGATTTCACTTCTACCCAAATTTGTCATGCGCCTCTTGAAAACTAGGCGCCAACTGGTACTATCCGCTTAATGCATCACAAATTCTTTCAACTTTGTCGATTTCAATCCTGAGACATCCATAATGCGTGTGTGCCGGGTGATGGTCGTCGTGCCGCTGCTCGGGAGCTTAGAAGATAGTGGCAGTGTTGTTGCACCTATTGTCGTGTCAACATCCTTGTTGGCTGCAGCAGTCTTCGCCGTGGAGGAGGAGGCAGCTGCTGGCCCGCTTTCATCTTCTGGAAGATGTTGACCGAGTTTTTGTCCCGCATCATTAATTCTCACCGCAGTGTTCATCTGATCGCCTTCATCGGACGGTGCTGCAAGTGGTGAAGATTTCAAAGATGCAGATTTTGAAGACAAAACAGGCTCGACAATTTCATTCCCAAGTTTAGTTTTGCTTTGCGTCTTCTGGTTTTGCAGCATTGATTTGAGAGCAGCTTTCGTTTTCTTCTTCTTTAACGCAGAAGAACCCCCGGACCCGGTTTTATAATTTCCTTTGTTCAACATGCGTGCTCCCTTCGCCTTCTGCGCTTTCAACTTGATTATCATTTTCCGCTGCTGCTCTTGGGTGGTGTTGACATGTGGTTTATGCTCCGCTATTTTCGGTCTACTTCTAAAAGCCCGGTCGTACCGTCCGAAAATTCCCAAGATATCCTCGTCGAGTTTTAATTTCAGTGGCCGGGGTCGTGATTTACTTCCATTTGTTCTCTGAAGATTTCCACTACCACTCCCTGGCTTATCTTTCTTCACAACATCTGCCTTTGTCTTCAGCGTTGCGGAAGTACTATATGTAGTCTTCTTGGACGTCGAGACGAGATTCTTCGCAGACGTGGACGCAGCTGTGGCCGCAGTTGGATGTTGTACTACAGCGCCTTTTGCAGCAGCTTCTACTTGTTCTACCGCTGTTGCACTATCACCAGCAGTGGGATCTGCTGGTCCGTCTGCTTTACTTTCCTTTTGCTTCATACTCAACATCATCTTCGCGTTGTACTTCTTTATTTTCCGTTTTTTCCGCATCATCTCCCGCCTCGCCGCGGTTAAAATTTCGCCAATATGCATTGCAAATATGTCTGGGTCTGGAAGAATGAAGCCTGTCATGCGAAATCTGCTTCACAAAAAAATCTGTGTTGTATGAACGCCTACAGTTACCCCATTCTCGCTACACAGAAGCCGAACTTCTCATGCGGAATAGGCATGAGGAAGGTCTCAAAAGTCCTGTGATGCTTTTGTGTGCATTACAGACCATGAGTGTGGCCCGCGAGATGCATGACAAATCTTGCAACTCTCCAGACCCAGACACTTTTGCAGTCGATACCCAACCACCTTCTTCAAATCGATGTTTTTCGGTTTCACCACCTGCACACACTGCGGCTCCGGGGCCCCCATGAACTTCCAGGCGATGTGCATCCTGTGTAAAAACGTCCCCACCCCAGAGTTGTCATGCGGATTTGCAATGACAAGAACATTCATGATGCGCAGCCCCATGCATGGAATTTCCAATCGTGTTTTGAAATTTGTAATGCTGTAAACAGGATAATCAGCTGGATTTGTAATGCGGCTGTCCTTGCTAACCTGCACGACGACACTACAAGCTGCAACTTGTCATGCGTGACTCCCAAAACCTTCTACGGTTTGTGTTGCAACGTCCCCATCTTGACTCTGGGGTGGGGACGTTTTTGCTCAGGATAATGTGGGGTTGCCCGTTAATTCGCGTCTGAAACGGAAATATGATGGTGGCGGGGAAGTTTTTCATTCTTTGCTTTTCCTGCTCCGCAGAAGAAACATGTTGTTGCTCTCCTTGATGATTACCTCGTCCTGGTGAGGAGCTGGCAGCCGGCCTGGGCCCGACCAACACTGATGGCACGCGCTTGAATTTTCTTTGCGGTACCAGGCTGTTGCTCGCCCCGCTTTTTGCGGGGTCTAGTAAATACTCTCCATCGATGTCCTTCCCCCCGTTTCGCACCTGGATGCGCCCGAGGATGTTCTTCTGAAAAAGTTCGATTTGTTTCAGCTTTTTCTCCTCTTCTTCCGTGATTGCGACAGTGGTCGGCGGGTCAAGGGGGGGTATGGGAGGGGGTTGTTTTGCTGCTTTTTCGGGCGCCGGTGGTTCTTGATGAGGACGGTTCTTCTGCTCCGTTTCAAAATCGATTTTTGCAACAATTTGCTCATCGCCTGCTCGTTCCTCAGGATCATCGTCAGCCCGCGCAAAAGCGTTTTCAAACAGCACGGAATTTTTATCTTGCATGCTCTTTCCGTCCACTTTCTGCCGCTTGGTTGTATTCCACGAAAAAGACAGCGCAGGCCTATTCGGATTCATCGGTTGCGCCTGTTCTTTATTTGCCGCAGTGGGCTTTTTGTAGCTGGTCTGGTTCTTATTGGACCCTGGGTGGATCACGAACGCCATAGCCTTGTTCCTTGGCACGGTATCAAATGTAAAAATGTCTGGGTCTGGAAGATAATTGCCAGGTTTGTCATGCACGTTTTGCATGACGTGTGAGGTCTGTGATGCATGCCTTAGCATCACAGATTCTGTGAGATCTTTACCATGCCTTTTCCGCATGAGAAACTGCCTCACGGCCTTCTCAAAAGTGAACAGCTTTATTGGTAATCATGCAACACAGATTTTTGTATGATTCAGATTTAGCATGACAAGTTGTACTCTTCCAGACCCAGACATTTTTACACTTGATACACGGCTGATGCTGCTGATGCTTTCGCGTTGGTTACCTGCGTATCAAATGCAAAAATGTCTGGGACTGGAAGATTGCGAGAGTTGTCATGCTTGTCTGGCATGACCAAAAAGTTTGTGATGCGTGTCCGAGAAGAGACCGTTTTGCCTGTCATGCAAAAACGCTGCTTGTCATGCGAAAAACGCAACACAAAGAAGCGCAGATATTTCTCATGCTGGCTTGTGCAGTACAGAGCATTCACTATTCCCAACGCAGCATTACAAGTTTCCAGACCCAGACATTTTTGCAGCTGATACTGCGGCACCGGTGGTTCTTGTTGCGCCTGTTGTACAAGAACTTCTCCTCCGGGTCCGCGGGGTCTACTGCTCGTACTCGAAGCTGTATCGAAGAAAAAAACATTGTTACTGTAAGTTTGTGATGCGCAACCTGCCAGATGATTGCGTCTGTCATGCTGAGCTTGGATTGCAGGGTCCATTCAATGGCGTTTTCGTGTACTATCTGCGCATCACAGGTTTTTGCTCCCATGCCAGACGGATTTGTCATGCTGTTCCAGCACGAAAGTTACACCTACAAGCTTTTTTTCTTGGATACGCTGCTGATGCTGCTGATGCTTTCGCGTTGTTTACAACCTGCGGCACCTATCAAATGTAAAAATGTCTGGGTCTGGAAGAGTCATGCTGTTTTTGCATGACACAGAAGGTCTGGCGTGGAAGCTCTAGCATCACAGGTTTCGAGAAGCTTCCGCAATGCCGAATCCGCATGACAAATCCCCCAATTTGGTGACAGAAAGTGGGCAGCTTTTGGCACCTATGCATCAGAGATTTTTCTGTGTTCTGAAATATGCATCACAAGTTTGTATTCTTCCAGACCCAGACATATTTGCAATCCATAGCACCGGTGGTTCTTGTTGCGCCTGTTGTACAAGAACTTCTCCTCCGGGTCCGCGGGGTCTACTGCTAGTACTCGAAGATGCTGCTGCTGGTGCTTTCATCGGGACAATATGTTGATCAGCATCTTGTTGTGCCTGCTGTTCTTGCTTCCCCCTTCCCCTCGTAGTGCCTTTAGAAGTACTCATCGAAGCAGGTAACTGCTGGTCCGCCGGAACTGGTGGTCCTCCTCCTCCGCGCGGCGTGACTTTCGGAGAGGGCTTAGGCGACGGCTTCGCCTTCATCGGCTGCGGTCCACCTCCCGGTTTGGCTTTCGACCCGGCCGCTTGTTTAGCCGCTGCGCCCTTCGGCGGTGCCGCATCAGGCTTGTTTGATGCCTTCGCAACGCGATCCGGGGGAGGCGCAGGCTTGTCCTGCTTGGGGTTCTCCTTCTTCTTACGGGGCGGCATGGTGTAGTTGCGGCGGTTTTGATGTGGGTATACAATTCTATGGTAAAAATGAGGAAAACTGCGGTACTAACCACGATCTATTTATTCGCTCACGCCGACCACGGCCTGCTTGGTGTCGCCGACGCCGGCTCATGCTTTCGTTCAAGTTCATTTACTATTTCTACATCTCTACACACACGACTGGGTAGTTCCACTCAAATAATTCAATTTGAATCACCCTAGCCCTACTTTCTAGTTCTAGTCGGAAAATAAACTTCCTCACATCGTCACGAACGGTAAGTATTAATGAGGTCGCTGTGTCAGAGTTGGATTGTAAATAGGTGTATGCATAAGTGACTTTCTCACCTGTGGGAGGAGGTACTAGGATGTGTATAATCTTGGTGGTCATTTTACTCCTGCTGATGACATGCTACTTCCCCAGCACGACGAGAAGATTATATTTCGTGGCATCAGTCAAGCAACACCGCTTCGAGGAGAACAAAACCATCTTCTGCCCGCTGAGAATCGGATGAGGCAATGCTATGATGGCACCAGTACTTGCACACGACACTGCACAGCGTAGCAACAGCGCGCAGCATTGTGGCGATGTTAGTGGTGGAAAAAGATCTTTATGATACAGTATGCTTGCGTTCCCAGTTTTGGTTTTCAATAAATGTTCGTACAAAGACTTCATCTTGCCAAGACGTCGACGTACTGCTACTTGTAATGTTCTTTCACGTGGCGTCATCAGGTCGTTTTTTTTTCAACGCGATCGAATTTTGCATCGTCGGAAAAAGTTCTGACACATCAGCACAGGTCGTAAGTGCATCTAGTTCATGCTTGCTTCCCCGTTGCTGCAAGGCCAAAAGCGAAATAACCTCACTCCGAATCCGAGCTCAGGACAATGATGTTCGCGTCGTCGCTATCCCGTCGCTTTTTCGCAGCTGGGTTGTTGTTGGTCGCGCCTGCGGGGGCGTTAGCGCCAACGGTTGTTTGTAGGTTTGATGCGGCTGTGGTACTCGTAGTGGCAGTTGTTCTATCACCAGAAATTGGTTTAACATTACCCGGCTGAAGACCTGCTGTGGGTTTTACTTCTCTTTTTTCAGGAGGTGCCGCACCGCCAGGATTCGCAGTCGCAGCGGGCTCTTGCTGTTGATAACTCTGGCTGATCGCAATCGCGACTTGCAACTCTTCTAATTCCTGATCCTGCGTTTCCCGGTCCCTCTTCCTTTTCGCCGACAGCTGAAGAAATGGGGACTTGTGGCGGTTCACGTGGTCGGCTTTCGGGATGTTGGTCACTGTTTTGTTTTCACAGATTTGGACGATCATTTGTGGGTGCTTTGACAAGATGCTTGATAATGCAAAACACGCATGAGAAAAAGACAAAGAGTTGTCTGGTATTTTTGCATGACAAACAACATTATGTACTTAAGTAGTGTCGCACCTGGTCCACCCGCAGACGACGAACTGGTCGCGCCCATTGCTGCTGCTGCTGCTGCGCCAGAACCAACACCAGAAGCCGACGATCCTGTTGCTCGTTCCGCGGTCGAGGTGGACATCTGCGCCCTCACCGCCTCCGGCGCGTTCCGTCGCAAACAAGCCACGAAAGCGTTGACCAGATCCGGGTCTGGGGCTGCTGCTGCAACAGGCTCCTCTACTGCCACTGCCACTCGCTCCAGCTGATGTTGGTTCTTCTCCACAACGACCTTTCGCTGCCCAGAACCATCCAAGGCGGCTGTAGTTCCCGGCAAACGATGCACCGACGCGGCGGAGGTTCTTTCCGTCCTCGCACGAACGGCCTCGCGCTGTTGTGGGTAAAAACCAGGTCCTCCAATCATGCCAGACTGGTTTTGATGGACACCAACTGACGCTTTTTGCTGCATTTCTTCAACGCTCGTCGCGGTCGCGGGAAGTTTAAACTCCATCAACAACCCAAAATGGTCACTGGGGAAGCGTTTATTTCCGTCGATGCGTTTGGTCCCGACAAGCTGAAAGTTGGTCAATTTTGGCGCAGCAGCCGCATCTGCATGATCCCTACCAAAGCAGTAGTAAACCCGGTCGAACCTGCATCGCGGAACAAAAGCTGCGTTGGCCATCTTCACGTTATCGTTCCGCTGCAAATCCCACGTGAATTTGTTGTCATCACTTTTGTTCGGCGCCGTTTCCCACGCGTCTAGTAAAGGAGGGCCGGGAGGGTGTAACTGCTGTTGTTGTAAAGCCGACGTCGGTCTAGCCGCAGCAGTTCCACCTCTTGCGTTTTTTTTCGCAGCCGGGGGCTTATTGAACTTCGATAGGATCTCCTTCGCCTCGGCGTCGCGCAAATTCAAATCCCCGCCGAACAGGGAAAGAACGGGATTTGATGATGGGACAGACGAGCAGCTAGCTCCGTTATTCATCTCGCCTGGAACGACCGACGTTCGTAATGTCCCCAAACTCTGCTCCAACTGGCGTTTCCGTTCCGCCGCGCTATCTTTCTGCGATTCCAAATGCGCAGTGGAGATGTACAGTGCGTGCTATTGAATGCAAATATGTCTGGGTCTGGAAGAAGTCATTTGTCATGCATTTTTTACATCTACAAAAAGGTTTGGAATGCACACAGAGCATGACAAACTCTATCTTCTCCATGCGTACTTATTTCGCATGACAAATGCCCTTTTCTACTGGGGACAAAGATCCGGTAGTGCTTTTTGCTGACTACGCAATACAGATCCTTGCCTGTTCCAGAATCCGCATCACAAGTTTGCATCCTTCCAGACCCAGACACATTTGCAGTGGATACGTGCCCATCAATGCTGATGTCGTCCATGTAGAGCAGTTCCCGGCCCATTTATGCACTGCAAAAGCATCGCACGGCACTCTATCTATCTATCTATCGTGCGATGGGACTTTTTTAGGACTTTAGGCGGCACGCCCCGGCCCTCGTAGTTCGCACTTCTGATGGTGAGACACCACAAAGGCCGGCCAGTTCCGCACTTCTGATGGTGCGCGTAAGGTCGGCTGCCAGTGCAGCTAGGCTTCTGTTCTTAATTCTTATACTCCTAACGGTGAATGCAGCACCAGGAGCCCAGGCCAGACGAAAGGCACTGAAACCCGGAAACGAACCTTCTCTCACTCCGGGGAGGTGCGAGTCACCTCGTGACAGCCACAAGCGGCGCCACCTAGAGCTGGGGACTATCTATTAGACGGACTACCGTCGATAGGCAAGAAAACCTGTTTAGAAGCCAAGCACGAGATGAATGCTACCGCCTGGATTAGCAGACCAGACTTTAGGGGACTTAATGGAAGGCGTGCTGAATTTGACTTCCGGAGACAAGTTCTCGAGCCTGTTGATCGCATAAGCTAAATTTTTAGAACTATTTTTTTTTCTTCCTTCCGGGTAGAGCAATCACTTCGCCGGAACCACCGCACGGCCGCGCCAAAAACTCCGCAGTGGTGCTGATGAACAAGTGCGACACCTCCACGGCACTGTCGCGTCCGCCCCCCCCACCCTGACAAACCCGCTGGCTAGGCGGAAAAAACAAGGCCCCTGCGAGTTTGCGGGATCCGCAGACTAGCGCTACAAAGGTCACAGCAGCAGAACAGGCTTAGAGGACCAAAGAAGAAAAGTAAAGGGGTAGAGACCTAAACCTACGGGGGAGCATGCAAAAGAGGGCAAAGGAGCGAGCAGTAGGCAGACATCAGACTTAGACGAAAAAAGAAAGATAAAGGGGTAGCGCCTCAATCCTACAGGGGCGTATGCAAGGGGGGGCAGAGGGAAGATCAGATTTCGGCAACGGAATGAGAGGAGCGTACGAATTTGCGATCGGGCTCCTGGAAAGCAAATCACACGACCAGTGGCACAAACGTACGAACCGACGCTCTGGTAGATAGGATAGCACCAGCAAAGAAAGCATCTACGACAACAGCACGGGATACGCACTTCGTTTTACTGTTTCGCAGACTAGAAAAAAAAAAAAGAAAAAATCATCACTCGTATTGCAATCATGCATTTACAAATCTTTTTGTTCAGGTCAATCACCATTACAAATTTTGTTTCTCATGCTGAGCTAATGCATTTATACGAGTACGATACTTTTGCACAGGATACCATTCGGCTCGTGGCAAAATCCAACCGCTTCAGGACCCTGTCGCTGGCTGCGCTTTGCGGAATGAGGGCAGAAATTTCCTGCTTCCCATTTACTTCTTTCCCGAGCTGCTTCACCCGTCTATGCATTGCAAAAGCATCGTAGTAGTAGAAATCGCATTACAAATTCGGTCAGCATCACAAATGGAGTTTGTCATGCTGATGTTCCGTGGGATGAGGATTTGTAATGCATGACTGCGATTACTACGAGTACGATAGTTTTGCATTTGATACCGTCCCTTCTGCAGTAATATTGCGGAGAAGTAGGGCATTTTTGGGGTGGCCGGGGCGTAGATCTCGTAGATTGGGAAAAGAAACCTTTGGATCGTTTTCAAAGTCGGCTCTATCACCTCCTGCAGCAGCACGATCGAGTATTCTGAGTAAAAACGTCCCCAACCCAGAGCTGTCATGCAGATTTGCAATGACAGATCGAGTTTTGGAATTTGTAATGCTGTAAACAAGATAAGCACATGGATTTGTAATGCGGCTGCCCCATTGCTAACCTGCACTACTACACTATGGACAGCAACTTGTCATGCGTGACTCTGAAAACTTCTAGTCTTGTGTTGCAAAATCCCCATCTTGACTCTGGGGTCGTGGGGACGTTGTTGCTCAGGATATCGAGGGCGCCTTGTCAACGATCGTGGAAACCACTCCTTCCACTGTGCGGTGAATCACATCGTTATTTTCCGTATCCAACCCATCAATATTCCAGGTCAACACGCGAATCGTGTTTCTCGGTGCCTCCGCGTCCCTGAAGATATCCAAGGCGGTTCTAGGAACCGCGACTTCGTCCGCGGGAGTCGTGGACGTTGTTGTCGTCGAGGTTTTATTTGCCGTACTACTAGAAGTCGCCTGGTGGTTGCTTGCTGATGCTGATGCTGTGCCTGCTGTTGAAGAGGACAGGAGTTGTCCTGGCCGAGAAGTCGCGTGCCGCTGCGCTTGCAGCCGGCGGTATTCCAGCAGCTGTGGGTCCATTATTGAAGTGAGATTTTTGCCGCAGATTGGGATCTTCGTGTGCGGATACTTTCGGAAAAGAAAAGCCGGCAAATCAGATTCTGATAAATAAGGTTAAGTGCGAAAAAGAAAAAGTCAAATAAACCGATCTAGAAAAAAACGGAGACTAGCGCGAGAAGCTGCTTAGTTCTTGCACTTGCTCTTGGCAACATCACGCCATAAAGTCGCTGTCGCGCCTACGCCTTCTAGTACAGGATAATACAAGAACTCCCTAAATGAAAAATTTTGTACGTAACTATTTCTGTTTTTCCCGTTCAAGCTGGCACCGCCACTGTTCTTTCAAGACAGAAACGAAAACGTATACTACTACTCCTGCTTCGTATCTATGTACTGCCTGCGCGTCGTGTGCTAGCGTATAATCTGGGTCACGGCGTACCCAGCAATCTGCCACAGCACGCTTTGTTCTTTCGGAGGCAGAAATGCATTCACTTCAGTTGCCGCAGCGACCACAGAGATGCAGGCGACCTACGAGAATTTTACTGTGATCTTACGAGCCTCCTCCGAAAAAAAGAGGTCAGTGCACGGAGCGGTGAACACGCTTTGTGCCCTTATGCGTATGCTCCTGGTGTCATAGTTATAACAATCCGCGGGCACTACAATTTGTTCGGCGGCTTTGCTGTCTGGATCAAGCTCGAAAGCATCAGATGGAAGAAGCGAGTTCATTTTGCAAGCCCGTCTCGGCGTCGCAGCCTCCACACAGGGAGAAGAGATGGGTGGCGCAAGCAACAGCGGCGGCGCGGCGTCCGGGCTTAATCAATCAAAGTCCAGGCCCGCGCATGCCGGAAATATCGAGAGGCAGACGAAGGGGGCGCGCGGCCTGCCAAACTCGAGCAAGGGACCGCGCAGGGCGGTAGGCGCCGGCCACGGCCGAAACCCCGGCAGATAAATCGAGGGCGCAGCCCTGTGGCCTTCTGGCCACACAACGAACGCGCCCGCGCAGGCAGGGCCCCAAAGCAGCAGCGCAGGGGCCTGAACTTGCTGCGGGGCGCTCTTCTGCATGATCGGAAAACGAAAAGCCGCCAGGGTTCGCGACGTGGTCGACGGTCGTGGCTGGCCCGCCGGCCCATCGTTCGCCTCAATCCTCGCCACTGCGCCATCAAGATGCTGGGCCAGGGCGGCGGCTCGTTCGCACGCAAAGGGGCTGCCGGCCCCGCTTTCATTCTGGGCCGGGCCGGCGGGGGCGGGCCGGCCGGACGCCAAGCCATGCCGGCGGGCAATAGCGGGCCAGAGCGGCGCCGGCTAAACGCGCAGCAGCCGCAGCGCCGAGGCACTCCGCGCAGCGTGCGGCGCAGGATGGCCCTCCGCGGCGCCGGCCGGCGGCGGCGCTTCCGCCCCCAGCTGTAGCCGGGCCGGGCTTAACCCAACCACCGCCGCCGAGGCCCGGGCGGGAATCGCCTGCCGCGACCGCTTCGCCCGGCCGCGGGTCGAGGGCTTGCGCAACTTCCCCGCCGCCTTCTTCCCGCGCGCCGGCCGCGCACCGATCTGGCTGGAGCGTGGTTTTTCATCGTCGCAATTCTGCATCGTCGTCAGCTGTAATCTTGCATCAGGCCCGCCACAAAGCAGCGCAGCGACGAAACACCCGCGGGACCGCGCTACTGCGCCACCTGTCGCGGCCAAAATTCGCTCCCAGGCAATCGGCCCCCACGAGACAGAGCAAGCCGCGAGGCGCTCGTCAACTGCGCAACCTACGCTGGCCATCGTGCTGCGTGGCCCCATACAAATACGCGCCCGCGACGTTTCGGAAAAAGATAGCGAAAGGCGCTGGGCATTGCCCCGGGACCGGCCGCCCGGGGCTGCTGGCTTACTGGCCGCACGAAGCCACCGCGCGCCCGCCCTGGCGTCCGCTCGGCAATGATTGGGGGGGCCGCCCCTTTCTCCCGTCTCGGGCCCGGGCCCCTCCTTATCAGGCTCGGGGATGTCGCACGCAGCCAGTTTCCGAGTGGCGGGGCTTCGGGTGCTCGTAATCGTCTGCACCCCCGGGCCAGTCTGCCTGCTCTTCGGCGCTGTTCGAGTCGGACAGTTGGCAGGCCTTGGCGATGTTCCTTATCGCCTCCGGAACGTCGCCGATCGCCTGGATGCCCTTATACCGTTCCGAGGCAGCTGGCCCGAGCGAGTCGAGCCGCTCCTTCAGCGCCTTGCTCATTAACTTCAAGACGTCCTCGGCCAAAGCCTTCTTCCATCCAAATGGCAGCTCCCGCGATTAGCCGATGGCCATCCCGCCGTCGGCCTCGATCTCCATCTTCCGCCCCGCGCGCCGGCACTCGGCGCCGCGCTCGGAACTGGTCGCAGCCAACAAGAAGGCCGGGGCGCGTCGCAGTGCGTGACCAGTGGGCCGGAAAAACGGAGCGCGCGCACAGGTCCGCCCAGGCTGCTAGAACGCCGGACCAGCCCGGTCGCCTGCCATCGAGTTCCGCCCGGCCTTCGCACGGCCTGCGGCCGCAGCCTTGTGGCGCGCGTCAATGTGCGCGCCGGCTACTGCTTTGCGCTGGTTAGCAAAAAAAAGGCTCACGTAATCCCATGTCGTGATCAGAGTAGTAGTTCCGTCCTGCACCGTGCAGCTTCTTGGTGAACACAAAAACTTTCCCTCGTACGCACGAGGGGAAATCTACTGCTTCACTGCCACTGAGTGTCGGCAGTGCCCGCTTTTATCGTTGTATTTTTCTATCCATTCTTGTCGCGGTGCACTCCTCGTGTCATATTGAAATGATCGCCGTTCATTTTCTTCTAAGGCTAAAACCTCCAAAACCCCTCCTTCTTGTTCATTAATAAATACCTCCGTACTAGTAGTACGGTGCCATCTTGCATGACTCAGGCCCTGCATCTCTACGATATATATTCTAAGCATCTACCTGCGCCGGGGGCCCGAGCTACATACATGGCGAACAACCACAAAAATTGCAATATCAACAGCGGACAAAAAAAATTTTGCTCAGAAGTAAAATATAGAAACCGTGTACGAAAAGTGCTTCTAGGAAGCTCAATCGTGGTGGAGCTGCGATGCAGCTTCACTCAGAATACTGTAACTATCGGTAATGTTAAAAAAACGAGCCTTCGCGGCCACTCGAACTCGATATTATATATTTAGCTGATCTAATGTACTGATAAAAAGCCTAAACCACCGTGCCTGTGCTGTAGAAAATAGGTAATATTCTCTGAAGTGCAACAGCTGCCTTCCGCCACTCAGACACTGCTGCTATTCCTCTACCTCGTGTTCCCTCTCACGACGAGAAACACCACCACATTACACCTCCACAACTAATCCTGCTCCACACCTCCGCCCCGGAGAATCAGTTTCCAGGCTGCCCGAGGAAAAGACTCTGTTCAACTTTTTCTCGTCCCGTCAGAGCCAGCAGCTGCAGGGGAAGTTGTGTGGTTGAATTCCAGCAAGCTGCTAGGCGGTAAGTAGTTGCAGAAAGGGAAACAAGTCGGCCTTCTTTGGAGTTGTAGTACGCTCGTGTTAGTTTCCCCTCTTTCAGCGGACCTTCTAAGTAACCTTTCTTGCATCAACTCTCCCTACGTGCGGCGCAGGTGTAGAAAAAGAAGTTGCAGTGCCACTGCTGAGAAATTTGTTGCAAGAGCTTGTCGTAGTTTTCTATCTTGAAGTTGCCGAGTCGCCGGTCCTGCTCCGAAATTTATCGGGTTATTTTAGGACAAGCGGACTCGACGTTTTGATGTTGTTCGTCGCACGTTCATTGTCATTGTGTCGTGTAGAAGCACACCGATTGTTTGGAGGATGACATCCGTCGTCCGTCGTCGTCCCCACCACGGAGGTGTAAGAAGTTACTTACTTATATATACTTACGCAGGTTGGTAAAAATACGAAAAAAAAAAACTCGTTTGTTCGTCCTCCCGAATCGTGCTGTTGTTGGGCGCAATTGGTGCACTTCGTACTTGAAGACGTGCCGGTGGAGAGAGAATTTTGATGTTTTGTGCTAGTTGTCCTGCGCATGATTACTTGTACTGCATGATCATGAGCCGCATTGCCATTGTATGTCCGCTGCAGTTTGTGCATCACAGTCCGTTTATTTCGCTTTCCTGTAAAATCGATAAATTAAAAGCTCGTCGTTGTTGTAGAACTTCGGGTAATCAATGTAGCTGCGAAAGCACTATTTTCCCGCCTTCCACGATGTCCACCACGCGCGAACTCCTCTACTTCTCCGATGGACGTTTAGCGCAGGACGTTGATGTAACTGTGCAGCTTTGAAGATCCAATTCTAGTTGTAAAAAACCCGCTTTCTTGCTATATCGGTAGTGTACTTCTTATTCTCAATACTCCTGTCGACTCAGCACCGACTGCGGGACCATCATATGTCGTACCTCTTTTGGCTGACAGGTGATCACCTCGAGTCGCACCTGAGTTTCGTTCGAATAATATTCCTATGCATCGCAAATGTGTCTGGATCTGGAAAAGTGCAACGTTTGTCATGCACGTTTTGCATGGCGTGTGAGGTCTGTGATGCATGCCCTGGCATCACAGATTCTGTGAGATCTTTGCCATGCCTTTTCCGCATGAGAAACTGCGTCTCGGCTTGCTCAAAAGTGCACAGCTTTATTGGTAATCATGCAACACAGATTTTTGAATGATTCAGACTTAGCATGACAAGTTGTACTCTTCCAGACCCAGACATATTTGCAGTGCATAATTCCTCTTCGTTCAGCTCGACTCTCGCCCAGGTCCGCAGAAGACTCCGCTCCGTCCGGAATTCCACGCGTGGTGGGGATGTCATTTTTTCTTTATTTTCCGCCTTTTGGATACTATCCGAAGGAGGTGGAGACGGCGCTGTCGAATCGCGCTGCCGTGGTTGATGGCCGCCGGTTGGCCAATTGGTCAAGTCAGTAGTACTTCTGCTCGGCGCGGCCAAAGATGAAGTTGTTGTCGTTAAAAACTGCGATGTTGAAGCTGCTGATGCGGGTAGTTGAAGTTGTTCTTGCTGTCGATCAACATCATGTTGTCCTTGTTCTACTACTCCGAGCGACAAATTCCCGGCGCAATCCTCAATAAACGTAACAGCAGGCATTGTGGCAGCACTACGACAGGGTAGTGGTGCTACACGGGAAGGTACAGAAACACTCGTGTCAGGAGCGTACTGATGTTCTACTTCCAGGGCAGGAGTGGGACTGGGAGGTCCTCCGGATGAATCGGAACTACTCATAAACGGAACATGAGGTGTGGAAAGGCCGTCGCTGTGCAGGTAGTAGTGCATCTGTTCCTCTTGCTGTGAAGATGTTGTTCCTCCTCCTGCAGCTTTCGTTCGTGTAGAAGAAGAAGCTGCTCCTGCTGCAGCGTGGGTGTAGTAGTCCACCTCCGCCCCTTGTTTATTTCCCCCGTCTAGTTGCGCAGTTCCAACTGTGGGTATCGTATCACTTCGTCTACTATCGTCCCTGTTTACGCTCATCTCCACATCTCCTTCTTCTTTTCGGTCAATTTTCACAGTCTTCGTCTCCACCTTCACCCTCCGTTCCAGTAAGTGATACACCCGAAAATCCATCCGTTTCAAATTTCCGGTATAGTAGTCGAACGCAAATTCGAAATGGAATTTGTTATGGCTGCGAATGTGGAAGTAATGTGCATCCTCTCCACTCGAACCGGCGATAAACGTGGTTTCAAACTCGAAGTGGGGTAGTTTCAGGAAGGATTTTTTGCTTTCCGCCTGTAGTTCCGAGGATTCCGCAGGTGGGAAACCGGCGCTCGCCGCGGGGACAGAAGAGGAGCTACTGTAGTCTGAAGAACTTCCGGATGTTGATGGTTGCGCATGATTCAACATATTATCCGGTACTTCTTGCCGCAAAGATGAAGCTGCAGTGGGGATTTCCGTTTGAAAAAATTCCGCGGCTCCAAACTCAAAATCAACGGCCGGGTCGATGAATGTTTTGTAAATTTTCACATTCGTTGTTTTTTCTACAATAGTCATACTCTTTCCGTCAAAGGAAACAGTTTTCACTTCTCCATTACTACTCTCCTGCTGCGAGATGCGGTCTGCGGCGGCCTGCAGCAGGTCGTTTTTGAGCAACACTTATACATTGCAAATAAGTCTGGGTCCTCTCCTGGATGAAATTTGTGATGCTAAAGTGTGGACGAGTCTAGTGCTTTATTCAAGTGCAGCCAAGCATGACAAATTCATTGGACGCGGTGTGAAGATGCGTAGCACGCATGACGAACTAAAGCGTCTTTGCATGCTACAAAAAGGTATTTATTAACGCCTTTATTGCTCGATTACGCAACACAGATTTTTCAGGTATGCTACACAGGTAACACACGTTCCACTTTTCCAGACGCAGATCGATATTCGCAATGCATAAAACCTCGGTGACTTCTGGCCGCGCTCGCACCGAGTTCCAGATGGCGGCCGAGATGAGGGTATGAACTGCAAAAGCATCGCACTCGTAGTAATTGCAATCATGCATTACAAATCTTTTTCTTCTAGGTAAAACCGCATCACAAATTTAGAGTTCTCATGCTGAGGGAATTTGTCATGCGATTTATACTAGAAGTACGATGCTTTTCCATTTCATAGAGAGAGATGGATTTTTTCGTGATGCGCCACTCCTGCAGTTTTTGGTAGTAGACACTCGGAGTCATTTGCATCTGCTGCAGTTGCAACACCGGGATGGATTGTTGTTGTTCCCGATTGTACATAGCATTGATTCCATGATCTTGTTCTCCTGGTGCATCGATTAAATGGTTCATCCCAGTTATAATTTGTTGCTGTTGCACACCTGGACCTCCTCCTCCCAAATGCTCTATCAATTCCCGGCCCGCAGCGGTCCTCGGGGTTAACGTTCCGCTGGACATCATCGTTCCTTGAAAATAAACCAGTCGACTGTCCTGCACCCGTCCATTCCGAAGTAATTTCACCTCATCGGCCGTTGTACTAGTCGCGGCTGCACTACTAGTTGGTGCACCTCTACTCATTGTAGCTCTTCCTCGTGGTAGCGATCTGTCCGCTTTCAAGACTAACCGCCTCGCCTGCCGGTGGAGTATGTGAACGGCAGCTTTCAACCGGTTTCTTGTACTGTGTATGCATGGCAAATAAGTACGCTTGGGTCTGCTGGATGAAACTTGTGATGCAAGTCAGTCAAGAATAAGTGCACTATAATGAGCCGGGAAGCATGACATATTTTTTCATGCTTCTGTGCTGCGTATTCCGCATGAGAAACTGCGTTTTCGCATGACATACGAGGGAGGCTGTTTGTGTTTGTGGCCACGCAATACAGAGTTCAGAGTCACGCCAGACTAGCATGACAAAAAATCTCGCAAGTTTCCACGCCGAGACATCTTTGCGTTCGATACTGTGTTCATCCGCCACCGCGTCGGAATCCACCTGGCTGATCTGCGTCTCCTCGCTCGTTTATGGATTGCAAAAGTCTCTGGGCGGTCTGGAACAAAGCAACTTGTCATGCCAAATCTGAATCATGTAAAAATCTGTGTTGCATGATTACCCAGCAAAGCTGTCCACTTCTCACCGACTCACGAGGCAGTTTCTCATGCAGGATAGGCATGCTAGAACTCTCACAGAATTTGTCATGCTATGTCCTACATACCAGACCTCATGGGTCATGGAAAACCTGCATGACAAGTGTGGCATTCTTCCAGACCCAGACATATTTGCATTTGATATCGTTCGCTGTGGAGTAAAAATCGCGTTGATCATCATTTTCTGCATTTTCATAACCACTTGTTCGAGGGATGGCGCAGAGCGAACGAGGGACAACTGCAACGGGCACTGCCTGCTCACGGCAGCCGATGATGTTGGCAGAATACTGCCACCAACGCGCGTTTGTACCAACCGCTGCCTCAAGAACGCTCCGCGCGTCATGGTGGTGGTGGCGGTTGTGGGGGCGTCGACGTCTAGATCCAGCTCGGCTGGATAGTCATCGGAATCAGAATCAGAATCGTCACTTGATGTTGCGGATGAACTTTCTTCTACCACATCCAACATCTGCGCATAAACTGGTCCTTGTTCCGAAGAACCCGTACTAGTTTCCCCGGAAGCACCAATTACACCGCTGCTCACGCTCGCGGTTAACGACTCTTCGAAGAATGATTCATCCACCTCCGCTAGCTTTTTGGTCATCTGGGTCACGAACATTTTGTAGTCCATCGGCGTCCACAGGTTTGTGTTTTGGTTGAGCAAGGTATCTAAATAAGATGTTGAACCCGCGTTGTTCGCCTTCTCGACGTCTGGCCTATCGGAAGAGGACGTTGCTCCAGAAGATGACGCTGCGCCCCCGTACACGATCCTGGCCGTTCCTACGAGCGAGTTGAAGTCTTTTGCGGTTAAGTATCGACAAAGAAAAAAACTGTGTAAGTGTAAGTCTGTCATGTTGGAAGGCTAAGGGCAGGGCGTCCCCATGTAAATTATTTCGACAAACAGTAGCCGCATACCCGGTAAACTCTAGCGGAATTTATTGGGCAGTGCGATTTCTACCGAAGAACAACCACAGCATCTACTGGGACGGCTGCGACGAAAGATGTGTGGGTGCCCAAGTAGAAATAGTTCTGCGCAACGCCATCAACTAGCACCGAGGGAGAAAAAAGAAAGGTAGAAAAGTGAGAAGCGAGATACTAAGACACAGCCCCACTTACGAAAGAAACACCCTAAAAAGTGGACACACCTATGCGTAGCAGAGTAAAATGTCCTGAACGCGGGAGCGCGCGCATGAAGAATCAAGCAAGGACGTGCATGCAAATGGCCGAGCAAGTAAATATATGTAGAGAGTGAAACTCTGGTGAAAAAACGGGCAAGCAGGAACCCGGATGGACAAACGAGAACATCATGACCAAACCAAAGACCACAAAAAGCATGACAAACTAGGCCAGTCTGCTACACAAGGTGAAGCCAGGGTGGAATTTAGATGTAACCCTGAACGGTAAGCCCATAAAAAATCTAAAGCTCTACACAAAATTCTATCACTAGACCGGTCAATCCACTTCTGCCTGTACCGTCTCTAACTCGATGGTTTTCTCTGCCACCCTAAGAAGTGGCAAGTGAATGCATGTCATGCCAAGTAGAGACCACTACGACGCGCAACAGCGGCGCAAGCCAAGTTTTCATTCCCAGAAGGCAGGAGCCCTCGCATACAAAAGTGCCAGTAACCCTGAACAACATACAAAACAGACAGCCGGGCTGTAGAAAACAACAAGGGAAACTGGCAGCGGGAGGGGAAGAGGAAAACCTAGTGTCGTAGCTAGTCGAGAAAACCGGAGGTAGAGTGCTCGCTATTTTCCGCGTCTTAGTTGGTTGCTCAAGGGTACAGGCGCCGGCTCCACCATGAGCAACCACGCGAAAAATACGTGGATATTACTGTTTACTATAGTAAAATATAGTTCGAACTTATCTACGTCATACAATCATATTTATATAGAAGCTAATAGAGATTCTCTCAGAAAACCAACGCTCTCAGTGTAAGTCAGAGATTCTCTCAGAAAACTAAGTGTAAGTCTGTCATGCAAAACATGCAACACTGTATACATTTGTCATGCTAGCCAGCCAAGCGAAGCGAAATTTGCATTTCTTTGTCATGCAGAACAAATTTGTCATGCTGTCACCCGAAGACACCTACACTAACACACTTTCTTCTCTTGCATATTAGGAGTCGTTGGTTCATCAGCTTCACCGGAGGGGGAGAGGAGGTGGGACATCTGTTATAATCGTTCATCTCGCAAAGGAACACCCCGGGCGGATGCTGGCCGGACCTGCAGGGACCGTCTTCACCCCTTGATGCGCCACCAGTAGTTCCTGCGTCCCAAGAACTACTACTAGCATCATCAAAACTTCTTCCAGCCGTAAGCACCGAACTAAAACCCGGGTGAGCATCAACCTTGGCGCCGATCGCACTGCCGCTACAAAACGTCGTAGAACTACAGGAGCTACTACTCGCGGTTCCTATGTAGTTGCAAAACCCGGCGGAAATCCCCCCATCTATCAAATGCAAATATGTCTGGGTCTGGAAAAGTGCAAGTTTGTCATGCTTGTCTCACGTGACTCTTGAACCTGTAATGCGTGAGCAGGAAAAGAGCCTCTTGCCTGTCATGCAAAAATGTAGTTTGTCATGCGGAAAGCGAAACACAAAGGCGCCCAGAAACTTGTCATGCGTGGCTGCCTATTGCAGTCGTGTCCCTACAATTCATAAAGTAGCATCACAAGTTTCCAGACCCAGACATATTTGCATTTGATACCATCTTCCTCCTCACAACTTGTTTGTTCCGGAATCGCTTTCGCGAACGCAATTTGGTTATGCAGTGCAAAAGCATAAGCATCGTACTACTAGTATAAATTGCATTACAAATTCGCTTAGCATATGCAAATAAAATTTGTAATGCGGATAAACGCAATTTAAGTACGAGTATTCGATACTTTTGCAGTTCATATTGGTTTCTCAAAATCTGCTCCCGAAATTCGTCCAGGGTCTCGGGAAAAAGGTTGGTCGGGTGGGTTAAGGGCACGAAGCTGAACGGCTCGCCGGTCATGGTTAAAATCTTCAGCATCTTGTGCTCGGGGGTGGTCGGAACTAACGTGAACTTAAATGTGTGGTTTACCACGGTCAACGTCGGGTGGGGTTTGTAGCAGTACTGCTTGTAGAGCTGCTTCTGCATTAGCGCCTCCTGAAACACGTGCTTCCCATTTTCTTCCTCTTTCAATATCCGCGTGTAGAGGTGGTTCAAGACCGGGTAGAGCAAGTCGTCTTTCATCAAATACGACCCGTACTGCGTGAATTCCCTGGGTAACAAAACCGGTGCCTGCAGCGCGTAGTTGACGGGCACTTTAAATTGCTGTAACAACTGCATCACCGTGACGGGCGGGTCGTCTAGCGCGATTAACGGCCAGTGCTTCTGCAAAGTGAAGCCAAACGGTGTCTGCACCGTGATCGCCAACATATTGTCGACGCGGTTCTTGATTTTATGGTTACAATCAAGTTTCGAGATTATGTAATTTGAAGCCGCACTGCTTGCTGTATTTCCTTGCAGCATCGTTGTTGTGTCGTTTCCTGCTTCGGTCCGTGTTGGTTTTTGCAATTTCACGCAGGCGCCGCGCTTGAACGGAATCCGAGAAGCGTTTTTTCCGCGATAAAATAAGGGACCATTATGCGGTGGCTGCTGCGGTTGCTGTGAAGAAGTAGAGGGCATTTGTGGTTCCTGGTCATAATGAACAACATGATGATGCGCCGCAGAAGCGGTATCTACCTCGCGGCTACTGCGTGTGGTGGTCGTCGCATGTGAATTATGTGGCGCGGCTGTGCTTGCTGAGGTCCTCGCGTGGGAGGTAGAAGTCTCCTGCTGTGATGACTGCGGCTGAGCGGCACCATTGCGGCCCCGTGCAGCAGCTTCAGAAGCTCTACTACCGTGCTGTCTACCTCCCTTTCCTTTCCCTTTCCCTTTACCAGTTCGCGGCCGGCGATGGAAAAAATGTTGCCCCGCGCCCTGGTTGTTCGCCGAACCTGCTGCATTATGCGCAGTACGACGACCGTCGCTGCTTCCAATTCCATACACCGGTGTTATAATTTCGGAGCCAACGAGGAAAATCCACCAGCCCAGGAACGCGAGAAGGAGGTCGAGGCCGCCACACCGGGTCTATGCATTGCAAATATCCCTGGATGTCTGGAAACTTGTGATGCTGGTTGGCGAATCCTGAGGACGCCACAAGTGACGGCTCAGCATGACAAGTTTCTGATCTATGCTAGGTGTTGCGTCTTCTGCATGACAAACTGTAATTCGGCATGACAGAAAAGTGCGGCTTTTATTGGGTAGCGAGCATCACAGACTTCGGGGTCATGCTAGCAGAGCATGACAGGCCTTCCATTCGTCCAGACCCAGACATTTTTGCAATCCATAAGGTCTTCTTGTTTCCCAGTGCAGCTGCAGGGCGTACCAGCGACATCAGCATGATCGTTTAATGTCCTTTCGGTTTCGGTTTCGCCCGCGCTGCGCTGGAAATTATAACACGTTCGTTGCTCTGTTGTTGGCAGAAGATGCAGAAGGCAGAAGCGCTTGGTGTGGTTCTGCTCGAGCAGGTGGTCCACACTTATTTCATCTAGTGTAAAGTTGAAGTTTTGTAGTTGTTATATCGTAAAAATCTTATGCAGGGAAGTTGTTCTTGCGTCGATCGTTCGTTTGTTTCAATAACTTGTCAAAATTTTTACGTCTGTAGTTGCATTTGTCTGATTGCACGGTCAGCCGGAGACAGAGTTTGACCTAACAAACTTTTTCTGCAGCATAATTCTCGTGCCTGATAAGAAGTAGTGTCCTCGAACAAATTTGTTTGAGAAAAATCCCGTCACCTGTAGGAGATTCCTATTCCAGCATGCGCAGGTTCCATAATATTGCCCCTTCCTTCTACGCAAAAAATCAATACCATTTAACTATTGCATTTGCGGATAGAGTTCCTAGTTGTACTGCTCCTGCTGGTGTTAGAAAGAAATAGTAAAACGTAGCATAGTCCAATACTCCCGAACTGGTTACTATCAATCGATAAAAAAAACCGTACGAGTGCTTGATATCATGAGTGCGCGAAATAATTCTTCGTAGCTGTTTACTCTACTACGAGACGAACGATAATTCCGTTTTTTTACTATTGCCGTGACACGTACCTGTCACTTGCCGATTGCGCTGCGCTAGCTGCTGCTGCAACCCTCTCTTCCTGAAGATCCATCGGACAAACAGAAACAGAAACAGATTCAAATAGAAATAGTCTTTGCATTTAGGCAAATAAACCAATACCTCTGATGTGACACACACAGGCTGTCGATCTTCACGCTTTTCATGAAAAATATAGTACAGCTTGTGGTGCTATACAGAGTTCTTCAACGGCATTGAGTTTGGTTGAATTCCAATAGGGTAATTCTTGAAAATCTTTTACTTAAAAAGTGGTGGTCAGAGAGCACTTGAAATTTACCTTTTATAAAAGTCTCTATCGCTTCTCCAAACGAGAGTAGGACTTTTGCTTTTCACAATAGTTCCTGAAATAGTTTTTTTTCACAGCGTATTTGTATTATCGTGCTTCTTGTAGCATGACAACATACGAACCTTCTGCATAGCGTACAGGACGTACGGACAAAAAAAGTCCACCGCTCTACTTCGTTACAACCACTGCACAACTGAGATCTTCCGAAACAGCACGAGCGGAGAGTGTGGTCACACCTGCGTGTACTAAACAAAGGTGTCGTTTGTAGATAGATCTCTTTCCAAAAGTTGTACAGGAACGTCTGCAATCAGCCGGTTCACCAACATGAAGATCTTACTTCTGCGAGTAATTGTTCAATGCGAAAACAACACACGACTGAGGTGATGATCTCTTGCTTCTTCGCTTGTCGCCGCCACTGACGATAAAATAGATCCTGCTCGTGCGGCGACGACTGAAACAGGTAATAAATAGACCCTGCTGCATCAGTCTATTCATTAGTGGTTCTTCACAAAAATGATGCTGACATCTGTAGCTCCATTGCGAGCCACTTGCGATGCTAAAATTATGGGCTAGACTTGGACTTTCACTTTCCTCGTTTCGATCGGAAAAAAAAAATCAACATCAAAAACGACAAAGAGATCTCCTCATGTGTAGTTCTGTTTGCAATGCAAACGCCAGTACAGATAGAGCTTCTTACGTGTTTTGGATCTCCGCGTAGATGAACTGTTGATGATGAACATCAGCAGATCAGACCCATCTTCATGCTCGCGAAATATTAAAATCATGTCCTACTGTCTAACCACAGGACGGATAATTTCATCTGAACAGCAGTACTACCCTCTGGTCGTCGTCGTGACATGGAGAGCATTTGCTCTTTCCTGTTACAGTCTACTACTTCCAGTCGTGGTCCTACACGACAGAAGTTTTTTCGCTTTCCTCGCCCCCACAAGAAATCGAAATCTGTGTGGCGTTAAACAAAAATGTTCGACTGTGGTGGTAAACAAGATTTTGTTTTCTTGTTCACCACTGCTGTTCGACAGGGAGGTGCTGATCGATAAGTCAACAAGGTCCACCCCACGTTCCGCATAAAAACTTTCGCTAGCACAATGATTGGAATTATGGGACCTCCTGTCACGCGACAACAATGCCGGTGGTCTTCATGAAATCCATGTGACTAGTACCATCGTTTTATAGCTATTTAGACAATTGTTGAAGTAGATGAGAAGTATGATTTGAGGATGGTACTAGCCGGGGCAAAATTGTAGATACAACCTCTTATCAAAGCATACACTGCCTTCTCCCTGAATTCTTGTAAACCTGCGCGACTAAATAGTAGTACAATTCGGATATTTATAGGCTCTCGGAAATTCATGTGAGAATCCATGTCTGAAAAAAAAAAATTCGCAAATTTCGAAACCCTCTGCGAATCTCATAACACGCGCCCAAAACCCAGCCCCGGCGAACCCCATTATGGTACCAAAGTCAACAAGGCCCCGAAAAGGGGGCTTCTAGAACTCTGAAAGATGCGCGCCGCTTTTCTTCCAGAACTCTGGAGCTTCTCTGTTGTGGACTTCGAACAAGCCGGCCCCCGATCCGGAGCCGGGTGATCCCCGAATGCCGGGGTTGGCTCCGCTGCCTAGTCCATGAGGTGCCCACCACGGCTTTGAGGTTCCGAAGCCAACAAATTCGACGCACTTGAATTTCTCAGGCTCTGAAAGAAAAACGCCTTTTTTCTTTCAGAGCCTGAGAAATTCAAGTGTGTCGACTTCGAACAAGCCGGCCCCCGGTCCGGAGCCGGGTGATCCCCGAATGCCGGAGCTGGCTCCCTTGTCTATTGCGCTGAGTGGGCGACGGAGCTCCGAAGCTTCTGAAACCAAGAAGTTCCGGAGCGCTGGGTTTCCAAGATCGGACCCGCAGAAGGCAGCTCGCCCTGAAGGCGAGTCGCCTCATGGGGATTTGACTCGACAACACAATCCGAAACATTGGCGAGAGACGTTCGGCAGAAAAGGAGCAAATTTCTGAGCAGTGAATTTCTGGAATTCAGAAAGAAGCGAGCCCGCTTTCTTTCAGAACTCTGGGAAATTCATGTGCGAGACCAAGTGCGTAAATTTAAAGTTCTCGGCTGAGACTCCTCGAAAAGAGTCCCCAGAAGGACCCTTTTTTTCGCTTCCCCCGATGGCAATAAATTCAAGTGCGTAAATTTAAAAGACTCCTTCGAAGGAGTCCTTGCAAGGAGTCCCCGCCTGGACTCATTGCAAGGTGTAGCCGGAAGAGTCGAACGCAAATCCAAAACGAAAACGATTCATCCCCAACAATTTGCACTAGCACCAGCAGATGCCCCAACTACCTCCTCCCCCAACCCCCGCTACCTCCCCTGGAGCCCGAGCCTTCTCCTTCCCAACCCAGACCACCTCCTCTACAAGTTCAGCCGCCTCCTCCCTGAGCCAGGTCTTCTCCTGTGGGCCCCGGCCAACTTCACGCGGAGCCCAGACCACTTCTTCCACAGCCTAAGCGCCCTCATTCGGAGCCCGGACCCCCTCCTTCCAAACCTACGCCACATTTTTCGGAACCCAGGCGACCCTCGTCCCAACCCGGAAACGGCCCCTGCCCTCCCGCTGCTTTCTTCTAAATTGCCAGAGCCGAGGCGCTTCAGCTTTGAAGGCAAAACCCATCGCCCCCTTCTGAGCTGAGCCCGCCCAACCCTTGCAGACCTACCTGCCCCAGAGGCCGAAGCTGGAGGAGCCTGGCTATGCTGGTAGCCACGTGGGGCCGTGTCATTTGTCTCTCCTCGAGCCACCTCGCAGTCGGGGGCGGGTTATACAAAAATGGCCTGAGTTGAGGCGCCTCACTTCACGAAGGGCAACCAGCTTGCCGAACTGAGGCGAAGGAGCTCAGCTTTGTTGGCATTGCTTGTCCAGGGCCCCGAGTGCGCGACTAAATAGTAGTACATCGGTAAAATGTAAATTCGGATATTGCAGTGATTGGAACAAGACACAGAAAGGGATAAGAAAGTTAAGTCATCTAGAACATAAAAATACTTGACTTGTTTAGTAGTGAGAAACCAAAATGCTACTGCATCATGGCACCGAGAATAAAATAGCAGCAGCCCAAAGATTTTCATAATTGCAGACCAAGAACAAATAATTGCTGACTACAAAGAACAACTTGCAAGCCCTGCTAGATTTATGCATGCAAGACCTGCTCGATTTATGCAACGAAAGAAAAACAATAGATAACCATAGCGGCAACATCAAATAGCACCATTCTACTGCACAGTGTCAAACGGCACACGCTGCTAGGTGGGCCGGAGCCGAAACCTCGTAGCCTCCTCCGTAATTAGATTCAGTACAGAAACATCACCGGCTCTGGATTGTAGGGCCACGTGCACACCCACTCTGAAAAGCACTCAGCTATAGCTTTTCTGGATCCAACATCCTTGCCGCGGTCAACACAGGCCTTAAAGTAAGTATCCTGTTCCCACCTCATTCGCCAATCTCGCCAAGCCGGGTTTAGCCGCTTCCCGCGGTCTCGCGCACACTCCTCCGCTGCGTCAACAGTAGGCAAGTTATGAAACTTGTGCGGATGTTTCAAACTCACACGCGGAGTCGAACCAATCATCTTGGGCTCGTGGTTGTAGGCGACCCAGACCTGATACCGGTCGCCCCAATGCTTGTACCGAGGGCCTGCGAAGTCAGGGCCGGCGTCGGTCACTTCTTTCATTTCTTCTGCCCACTTTTCTCGCCATGCTCGCCACTTTGGATTTAGTCGCTTTGCGTTTTCCCGCGTGTATTTCTGTGCCAGCTCGAGAGTAGGCAGCTCATCATACGTGTGCGGATGGTTCTCAGACACCATAAAGCGATGCATCTGCGGCTCCGGGTTCTTGCGCACCCAGGAATGATAGCGGTTAGCAGCAGGTTGAATGAAAATGATGCCGGGGCCAGCGGAAATGTTATCGCCCACCTCGGTGGTTCCTTCTTCAACCTGACTCCACTCCTTTCGCCACTGGCGCCACTTTCTCTTCAAACGCAATCCGTTAGCCCGCGCGTGCTCCTCTGCCTGCGTGAGTGTGGGCAACTCATTGTAATTGTGCTGCGGCTCACTCACTGACAGATTATCCGCCGATTGGGTGCTGGTGCTGGGCCTGGGGGAATTGGCTTTTTTATTTTTATATGATCCGCCTAGTACAACCGGCTCCTTCCCCTCAAGCTGAGCGCTGTTCGAGGAAATCAAATGCAAAAATGTCTGGGTCTGGAAGAGTGCAGACTTGTCATGCATATTTTCCATGCCCCATGAGGTCTGGAATGCACGACCTAGCATGACAGACTCGGTGAGAGTTTTATCATGCCAATCCTGCATGAGAAACTCCCTCCAAAGTTGGTCGAAAGTGGACAGCTTTTGGCACTCGCGCAACACAGATTTCTGCATGTTTCGGATTTAGCATGACAAGTTGCAATCTTCCAGACATCCAGGGATTTTTGCAACCCATAGAGGACTTCTCTCGGCAAATAAACGTGGTCTCCGCCTGCTCCACTTGGCACCCCAATGCGCCGGCTATCCCGAATAAAATAAACGTCCCCACCTCATAGTTGTAATGCAAATCGACATGCTGAAAATGTTTCTCATGCGGAGCTCCATGAGAGCCGTTCTTCCCTAGTCGTGTTTCGGATTTTGTCATGCTCCAAGAAGCGCGATGCGCTAGATCTGTGACGCTTCTGACAACTAGCTAAACAGGATAAAACTACTGGGCCAAGCTTGTCATGCGCAACGACCAAAGCTGGTGCATTTGTCTAGCAGATTCCGCATGTTGACTCTGGGCGGGTGGGGACGTTTTTACTCAGGATACCGGCGGGCAGAAGAGTAACATCCTCTTCGCTTTTCTCTACCAAGATGCCCTCCATCGACATCGATTGGTAATTGGCTCCTGAACGTCTACGACAATGTCGATGGTCCGAGGTTTTTAAAAGGTTGATGATGTTGAGGCAGTTGTACTACCTATGTACAGTTCTCAGACGAGTCGAAGAAAAGTAGTAGCTGTACTGGCGTATTAACTAGTGCTAGATGATGATGATGATGATGATGATGTCACCCAGTAAAGGGTTTTTTTGAGTTGTAAGTAGTGGAATTGCAAATACGTAGTCGAAAACAACTACGAAAGCGTTGTGTGACTGAGAAAAAAGCAATTTGGACTTGCTCAACTATGCTCCAAAAGGAGGGAAAATTATCCGAATAGTGGATTGCGCCACTTACGCGCGCCGCTTGCGCAAAATTTTTGGGGCTCGGAACAAACCAGCACCTGGGAGGGCGTAGTATTGGCACGGAGCAGGGATTGAAATGGTTAAACGACAGGAAAATACTACAAGCGCCCAATTCTTCTGCGTCAAAAGTTCAAAACACCGACTCCGACTCCGAGGCAGCCTCACTACGATGACTTAGTTGCTACAATAGATACCACACAATATTCACCGATAAAGATCACGCTAACTGTCCGAACCTGGTGCAACACAAACATCCCGGGACCGGTTTTCTTCTATCGCTTGCTGCAATCAAATCAAAACCGACAATAAGAATGATATCAAATCAAAACCGATATTACATCTACGTGCTCGTGCGGTTCCGGTTGCATGTGACGCGTAAAGGTATTCAAACAGTCTATGTGAAGAGTGGATCACAAACTGTTGCTGACGTGTGTAGTAAGTTGCGACGAGAACGTTGAGTTTGGCTTGATTGGGACGTTTTTCGTTTCGATCGAAAAAAAATGCCGTCATGTGTTCACATGTTTCCAGTCGTTCTGCACGGCAGGTTTTTGATTTTGTTGCTACATATAAGTACTTACATCAAGTTCTGGTGCCGCGCCGCGCGGCCTGTTCCCGCGCTGCACTTCATCTCCTGCAAGACGACTTGGTTCATCTTAGTGGTGCTTGAAACTACAAGCAGCTTGTTTGTCCAGGGTTGGGTTCGACACGCGTACGATTTTTCTACTTTTTCTTCTTCCCTTCATGTGGAGGTTCCTCATCATCCGAACCTTTTTTCCCCTCAAATCTACTCACCCCAGTGACAAAAGCTTCCGAAGATAAATACACGAAATACAAGTACACTAAGCAGCTAAATCCGCAAATAAACGTCATCGGAATCGCCGGGACGATTTTTTTCGGGTTTTTCCAGTACCGCTTTAGGAAAAAACCGGCCAAGATAACCGACAGCGCCGCTAACAACGCAGATCCGTTCCTCATATTGTTCGTGTTCACCACGGCGGTGCGAAAAAAGAAGTAACTCGTCCCCTCAATGAGTCCCGCGGTCAAAGCGCCGGCGAGGAGGGAGATGTAGGAGTTTTGCACCGTGTACCCAATCGCACCGCCGAGGAGGAACAGCGCGGCGTAAACGGAGGAGTAACGCACCAGCGGGTTGCCAACCGGCTCGTCTGGCTGGTCGTCATCTTTATTCCCACTCGCTGGTGGTCGTGTAGCTGTTGTGGAGGACATGATTGGGCTATCGAATTTGCTAACCTTCCTACGCGCCTTTATTATTCTGCGGAGATGAAGCGGCCTCGCATGATTTCTACTTTTTGCTTTTCTTTACTGCAGCGGACATCACCCGGAACGCCTTGCGCCAGCGACTGAAATCAAAGAAACCTGTAAACCAGAAGAGAACTTCGGCAGGTGATAGAACGAAGACAAAGTAGATCGTCGAAAAGCTCCAAAAAGACAGGAGGCACCTGGATCTGAAAAAAGACAGAAGACCATCGAATGACAGAATACAACTGGATCTGGAACACGGTACCGCTTTCGATATTTCCATAGAACCACGTCGCCATCGACGTGCCATGGATGACTGGGTAGTTTCAAAACATTTTTTTCACCTGATTCACCTGATAGATTCTTGCGTTGAGAAAAAATCGTTCACTTGCACGACCAGCAACCACGGCAGGACATAGGTCTCCACCAGCGAGCATGTATTAAGCACCTATTCAATGTCTCGCTTGCGCAAAGGCGACAATCATCCAAAACAAAAGGAAGAAGCCAAATCCCACCATCCCGTAGACCCAGGTCGGCAACGGCAACGCCTGCTCCACATCATAGTAATACGTCAGTATCGATTGAAAAACATTCGGATACGCCTGCTGCCCGATGATCTTCGCACATTTCGTGTTCATGGTGCACCGGAAGACGATTTCGGTAACTAACGGGTTGGAAATCCCATCTTCGGTGATGTTGCTGCACGAGGTCGACGCATTTGGTTCAAACGAACTGGGGTTGTACTGCAACTCCAGTTCGGGTACTCCCCTGCTGAACACCAAGTTCCACTCCTCATCCAAAGCTTCGGCGGTTATTTGCGGGTGGTGCGAGGATTTTGCTGTTGATTCCGTAGCAGTCGTCGAGGCTGTGCTTGTGGTAGACGAAGACGAGGGAAAATCAAAATTGTCGAATTCGCCTGCACCATCGGAGTTTTCGCCAAAAGCAGCTGCAGAGGATGCAAGAATCCCTTTCTGCTTTCGGTTCACCAGGTTAGTCTTAGTCGTTTTCTGTTCGTTGGTAGAAGTTCCTCCCGAGGTGCTGTTGCTACTTGCAGTGGACGAGCGGTTGGTGTTGCGCATGAAATCATCCTCCATGTGGTCCTCATCAGCAACGGACCTCAGCGCGTGAGATTTTTCGCCTGATCTTCCCTCCGAATCTGAAACAGCCTTGCTTTCATCTCCTCGTCCAAGAAATATAACCCTTTTAACAATCGCCAAAATCCTGTAAGACCACCTTTGCTGCTCCAAAAACTTTTCGTACCGTTCGTTGTGCAAAACCTCTCCGTCGAACTTCTTCCTCCGCACGTCCTCCGCCAATTTTTCCGATTCCCGCATTTTGTTCCGCTTTTCCTCCAACGCCTTTAACTCTTGTTCCACTGCCGTTCTCACTTGCCGTTTCACCACTCTTTCGAACTCTCGTTGGATCAACTGCTCATCCGCCAACCCCAATCTTTCCAACACCGACAAGGCGCCCTCGAAGCGAAATTCTAACCGCATTTTCTCATCGTTAAACCTCGGCTGGTAACCACGCGGCCCGTAGAGCTTGATTTTGTTCAAAGGAAGGTCGATGGAATTGTTATCCATCTGGTAATGATTGTTGCTCGGCGATTTTGAAAGTTTAAGTGTGAAGTTCTGGCTCGCGTAATCGGAAATGATGGAGAGTTCTTCCTGCAGTTTTTGTTGGGAAGATGAAGAGGATGATGAACTTTTCGCTTTTGATGTAGTTGTGGAACTCTCATCCTCTCCCACTTGTTTCGCGTAAAGCGCCTGCCCCAGTTCCTGCCCGGCGGTCACGTACAGCCAGCGCTGGCAGGTAAGTTCCTCATCACAGTTTGCGTCGTTTAAGGTAGGGGGGTGGGGAAAGAAACCGGTACTGGAGCTGGTACTAGCAAAGGAGGACGAAGGAGCAAAAGAGGTTGCGGTAAAGGTGGAAGACATTTTGTTGCTTTTTCTTTTGTCGTATGGGCGAGTACTACGCTACAAGTGGATGAAATGCGAGTGACACAAACCATAAGAAATTTCTCATCTTTTCGCCTTTGGATTTATGAGGGGAATAAAAAACAAAGTACCATTGTCGAGGGTAAAAAAAAAACATGGAAATCACTCTGAACTAGATTCTCGGCGTGTGTACTAAAATGCAATGTCACCTGGTGCGGGCCTGAAGAATTTATTTCAAACGCGGAAAAAAATTTTGACTACATTTTCCGTAATGAAGTAAGTACTATAACCGATGCAAGTGGTCGTGTAATGGTGAAACCAGATATCACTTTTGATTTCTGCCTCTTGTGCGAACACGGTGCCATCCGAACGGTTTATTTTCGACGGGGTAGAGGAGACCCCCATGTAGTCCCGACCATGAGTTCTTGGGACTGCGGTCGACGAGGCGATATTTTTCAAATTTCATAACAAAATGTGTACAGGTCGTAGTGGTCGTCTTTCTGGTGGTTTCTTAAGTGATTTAATTGCAACAAACTTTGAATACATAGAGAAGTTGTGGACATTCCGAAACAAAATTCTTCAGCTACAAAAGAAGCAATGGAACTAGAAAATCATGCTCTAGAAGTAGAGCACTTGTAAACATTCACAATACAAATCACAGTTGCGTCTGCGTGCAACTACTAGAAGGTGTAAAAATAAATCGGCTATAAAAAGTTGATACTGCAAATAAAGCTAGCAAGCGCTACCGGTGCTGCGGCCTTGCGTTTCTCTCTTGTAGTGCTCTCTTGTTTGAATAAACGGATAATTGTTCAGAAGCTAAGTGGTGCATTTCATTTCAAATACACGCGTACGATACGATAATCATAAAATTTCGGCTTTCCTCGTTCTGGAATAATCTCGTCTAACATCGACGTCCTCGGTAAAAAAATAATCACGATGCGTAAAAATAAAACTCAGTACGAATGAAGACTTCAGCTGGTAAATTTCGATTGTAACAATGTCCTCCAAAAGCTGATGTGTCTATCACAGTGCACTTCATCAGTAAAAAATCTCAAAATCTCGGATTCTCTGTGTTCCTTTCCGTCAAGATATTAAGCTGTGGGCGTGGTAAAAAAACGAAGCTTGGCCGCTGATCTAGTCTACTATGTGATCTCACACTTCTTGATTCCATGGTTACCTTTGGATCAAAACGCTTTCACCCTTTCCAGCACGGCCGCAAACTTTTCATCTAATTCCTTCTCTTTCTGATTCAATTCCGTTGTCAATTGGTAAATCAGCGCCTCAATCTTTTCCGCTTCCCTTTTCCCCCGCGCCTTCTCCGCCATGGCGTGGACGATCTCTAGTTTCCGCTCCAGCGTGTTGAAAGTTTTCTCCAGCGTGCGCAAGTGGTCGCTCGTCAATTCCTGTAGCTCTTCCGGAAATTGTAGATCCTTCTCTTTCGTAGTCCCGTCGGTCAACTTTGCGTTGTATCTAATGTAAAAATGTCTGGGTCTGGAAGATTGCCAGGTTTGTCATGCATTTTTCGCATGACGCCTGATGCTTGTAATGCATGACCTAGCAACGCAATTTTTAGAGGGCTTCCTAATGGCTGTTCCGCATGAGAAATGCCCTCTCCGCGTAACACAAACTGGAGTCCTGTTGCTGGTCATGCAATACAGATTTTTTTGGAATCCAAAGACAGCATTACAAGTTGCAATCTTCCAGACCCAGACATTTTTACATTTGATACGTTGGTAATTCTCGCCATCTCCGTCTCAATTTCCTTCAAATGCGTCTGCGTCATGCGCAGCACGATAGTCTTGATCGAGTCGTCCAGCAATTGCACTCTCCGCAGCAGGTAGTCGAACGCGAGCACGTCCCGGCGCTTCTTTTGAATCTCGGTCTCCTCAACTTCTTCTTCCTCCGAGCTCTCTGTTTCCTCTTTTTTTGGCTTCTTTCCGTACTTGCCCACCCACCGGCCGGACGTGTAGCCGAGGCCGTGTTCTGCATCGATCATGTCATAAACTTCCGTTTCTCTTACCTTCTTTTTTTTCTTCTGCGCTTTTTTCCCTTTTTTCGCGATCAAGTCGCTCACGGATTTTTTGCTGCTTTGCGCTTCTTTGTCATCGTCCGCAGCAACATCTCCCCCAGTCCCGTCGTCCCAAAACTCTTCTTCGTCTGCATTTCCCGCCGCTTCCGCCGCGCTGTCACGGTTGCCACGGTTCATCTTGCTGCTGGTGCGGTCCTTGTCTGGATCTTCGGAAATTTCCTCCTGGATAAACGCTATGCAGTGCAAAAGTATCGTACTCGTACTAATTGCGTTTATGCATTACAAATCTCTTTGTTAAGGCAAATCTGCATTACAAATTCAATTTGTGATGCTAAGTAAATTTGTAATGCAACTTATACTAGTACGATACTTTCGCAGTTCATAAACACCACTTCCACGTTCTCCCTGCCATGCCGGTCACTCGCGGTCGACTCGCGTTCGCCGCCGGCCAGGTCTCCAGAGACTCCGTACGGATTTTTCTTCGCCTCGTCTTCATCTTCCAAGACGGTAACCTGCAGCTCCACCTCTTTATTGTCCTTCACCACGAGTTCTTTTGCGTATATCTTCTTCACCCGCGTCAAAATGGTTCGCACTACGGACATATCAAATGCAAAAATGTCTGGGTCTGGCAGAGTCATGCCGCTTTTGCATGACACAGAAGGTCTGGCATGGAAGCTCTAGCATCACAGGTTTCGAGAAGCTTCCGCAATGCCGAACCTGCATCACAAATGCCCGATTAAGATGGCAGAAAGTGGGCAGCTTTTGCTGCCTATGCATGAGAGATTCTTATGAATGTGAATGTGTTGTGAAATGCGCATCACAAGTTCGCATTCTTCCAGAGCCAGACATTTTTGCAGTTGATAGGACAACTCCGATTCGATGATCGTTGCATCCGAAGCCAGGTCCTTTTCCAAGTGACTCGCCGCCTCGACAATCAATTGCACATCTGACTCCGCGAGCAACTGGGCATTCGGCGTGAGCTTGACCATCTCCTTGACCGTTTTCGAGAACAAGGCGACCTCCTTTTGCCGCTCCGTCAATCGTTCGCGAAAATTTTTCGCGTCGAAATTTTTGAACTTCGTCAGAATCCGGGCGTCATTGCCCGTCGCGAGCAGTCTTTTCTTTTTCAAGTCTTCCAGGAGAAAATCTTCCAAATCTTGGTACTCAAACTCGAATTGCTCTGTCAAATCCTGTATGAATTGCAGAAGTCTCGCACTTGTAGTAAGTAATCGCAGTCATGCTCATGCACCATTACAAATCTCCTTCTTAACCTAAGTCCGCATATACAAATTTCATTTTTCATGCTGGGGGAATTTGTCGTGCGAATTCTACTAAAGTACGATACTCTTTTGCAATCCATATCCTGCAGGTGCTGGTGCAGAGCGTGGTCCACGGCGTCCACCAAATCACGATCGGTTTTGTTTTCGATCAAATCATCCAAATTGGTCGCCTGTTCGGGATCCTCGGCCGCTTTTACAAGCATCTGCTTTACGTCCGATTTGGTCTGATCCGTCGTGATGTTATTTCCCTTATTTCCTGAGCCGTCGTTCTTACCGTTTGATGTACGGAGTTTCTTCGACTCCTTAGCAGTGCCACTTGGGCTTCGCGATGAACCGCGCGAGGACACCGATGTTTCACTTCGGCTCCCGCTCCGCTGCTCCTTCTTCTGTTTTTCCTTCTTTTTCACAAAAATAGTTTTCGTGGTTCCGTCGTTATCGACGACTTGCTATTCTGAGTAAAAACATCCCTACCCCAGAGTCCTCAACATGCGAAATCTGCTATACAAATCCACCAGCTTTGGTTGTTTCGCATGACAAGTTTGTCTTCGTAGTGTAATCCTGTTATAGATACTTAGTTCACAAGCATGACAGATCCAGCATATCATGCTGATTCCAGCATCGCAAAATCCCAAATACGAAAAAAAAATGCTTCTCATGGGGCTCCGCTTGAGCAACGTGTCTCTTTTAATTTTTGGCATGCAGATTTGCATGACAACTCTGGGGAGGTGGGGACGTTTTTACTCAGGATACTTGCTTTTCCTTCACTTGGTCCGCGACTATTGGCTTCTGCTTACTCAGTATCAAACAAAAAAAGTTCGTCACGATCACTCATGCGCATTCTTGCAATACAAAATTGTTTGTCATGCGTAAAAATGCATCACAGCCAAACTTTATTAGGGATTTCCCTAGTGTTTCTGCAACACAGAGGAAAGTAGTGATGCCAAAAAAATTTGTAATGCAAAACCCGCAAGTTAGTGACTGTGACAAACTTTTTCCTCTCCATACTCAGCTTCCCACCCGGGATGGAAATGGAAGACGGCATCAGCTGCATCGACGGTGGGGTATGTAAATTCTTGGTTTTGTACATGGCTGCATTCGGGGCGGCAGCGCGTGGTGAGCTGCCCCGCGAAGTAGAGCTCTTGCTGGTACTGTCGCTCGGAAGATTATTATTTCCATACGGCGTATCCCACGAAAAAAGTGTATACAGTTACACACTTTTTTATTGTAGTGAATTCAGCAACGCAAATTGCTCTGCATGAGAGAGAAAACTTGTAATGCAGCAATCCTACGGGAATAAAACATAAACACCTATGAAACGAGGCTCCTATGCATATCCTGCATGACAGAGCTTGTCTGTCTTGCTTGGCCTGCATAGACTATGTGTGTAACTGTAACACTTTTTTCTCGCGATACGGCGTCAAGGTTTTCACCACACTCGCGTTCACCACCGCCCGGTTACCGCGGGACAGTATCAAATACAAAAAATATGCCTGGATGTCTGGAAGCGTACAATTTTGTCATGCAGAATTTCCATGCGCCATAAGGTCTGGAATGCAGGACCTAGCATGACAGATTGTGCGAGGTATCTATCATGCCTCTATTCCTGCATGAGAAACTCCCTCTCATCATGGTGGTCAACAGAAAAGGAAAGCTTTTGGCGATCGCGCAAGACAGATTTTTGTGTGGTCCAAATGACGCATCACAAGTTCCATCCTTCCAGACGCCGAGGGCATATTTGCAATGCATAGACAGCGCGCGCTCCCGATTTAGCCGGGAAATTGGTCCGGTATAGAGAGAAAAAAGTTTGTCACAGTCACTAAGCTGCAGGTTTTGCATTACAAATTTTTTTAGCATCACAAGCTCTCCTTGTAATGCAGAAACACTAGGGAAATCCCTTATGAAGTGTGGCTGTGATGCATTTTTACGCATGACAGACAATTTTGTATTGCAAAAATGCCCATGAGTGATCGTGACGAGCTTTTTTCTTTTGATATCCGGTGGACCCGGAATACTCCGACCGGCCGCTCTGCATGAAGTCAAAATGCGCACTGCCCTCCGCGTATCAAATGCAAAAATCCCTGGATGTCTGGAAGGTGGCAAGTTGTCATGGTAAATCTGAATCACGTAAAAATCTGTCTTGCATGATTACCAAAAGCTGTGCATTTTTGACCAAGTTAGGATGGAGTTTCTCATCGACAGGATAGGCATGATAGGAATCTCACAGAATGTCTGTCATGCTGAGTCCCGCATTCCAGATTTCACGGGTCATGGAAAATCTGCGTGACAAGTTTACACTTTTCCAGACCTCCAGGGATTTTCGCACTTGATACCGCGTGCAGCTGATGAGCAATCGGGTCGATCATTTGATGATCGTAGTCAATGATGTGCATTGCAAATATGTCTGGGTCGAGATTTGTGATGCAGGACGTCAAGGACAACAAGATCTGTAATGCATGAATACCATTGGCCAGTTTTTTTGTCGTGCTGGATATGGTAGTTTGTCATGCTAAATGCGAATGAAATCCCCAAAGAATGCCGAGGGAAATTTCTCATGCTGTTATACCTACAAGCAGCAAGTTTGCAATGCAAGTATCAGCAACACAAGTTTATTCCAGACCCAGACAACATATTTGCAGCTGATAGATGATGCTCGCTTGCGACTGCGACTGTCCCGACTCCATGTCCCTACTACCAGGCTCGGGAATCTGCTCTGTGTATCAAAATGAAAAATCCCCCCTCCCGATATCAAAATGGAAATTTGTGATGCTGACTTGTGGTCACAAATCATCGTTGTCTTGCCTATAACGCAATAGGAGCCATGTGGCGCATTCCAAAGCAAATCTGTCATGCGCTTGCGGCTACTGTAAACCTGTTTTCCATGCGTAATTGCTAGCCTTCTGGATACCCAAACAGGCTTAGAGCATGCCGCCAAGCACTTTCTGCAAGACAAACCTGATTTGTGTTCCCAAATCCAGCATCAGAAACTTCGTTTTGATATGGGGAGGAGGATTTTTCCTCGCAATACTGTGCGCCGGGATGCCTCGGAGCCCTCCGCACGCGGCTGCCGGTGGTGCGGTCCTCCGGCGCCTATCCAGAAAAAAAAGTGTGTAACTGTAACTTTCTTTGAGGAACAGCATCACAAATTTACTCTACGTGACAGAGAAAACCTGTCATGCGTGGGTTGTAAGGCAAAACACACATAAAAAGAGGGCCTCATGGCTGTCTCGCATGACAGGTGTAACTCTGTTGCATGTTCTGCAACACAAATTTTTACTTCTTACACAGTTTTTTTCTTGCATAGCGCCCTGGAAGAAGTTATTGTTCGTCAGCTCGTCGGCCTCCGCAATGGTAGAATACAACCGCTTATGCATTGCAACAGTATCGTACTAGTAGTGATTTTTGCATGACAAAGTTGTCATCAGCATGAGAAATGAAATTTCTGATGCTGATTTACCTTGAGAAAGAGCTTTGTCATGCATAATTGCAATATACTATGAGTACGATACCTTTCCCCAGGATACCGGTACGCCGGATCGTTCGGGTGGATTTGGTTCGTTCCCGGGATCACATTCGGATGAATCATGGTTACACAGCTCGGATTTTTATCCACTGCAAAAGTATCGCACTTGTACTAATTGCGACAATGCATTACAAATCTTTTTCTTCAGGCAAATCCGCATGACAAATTTTATTTGTAATGCTAAGTCAATTTGTGATGCAATTTATGCTTAGTAGTACGATACTTTTGCAGTGCATACGGATGTTGAATCAGGACGTTTGGAGGTACTACTGTCGCGGCTCCGCCGGGTAGTAGTTGTGTCATTTTGTCCTTGTGGTGGTGATGGTGGTGATGATGATGCCCACTACTGACCACGTGACTCCCCGCTGTGAAGCCCGCCGCCGCCACTTGAGTCGTCGTTTCATTGTTCCCGACTGCAGTGGAAAATGTCACTTTTTTGTCCATTGCCGACTTCCGCTGCTCCGACGTGGTCAAATTGTCCAGTTGCGCCACCATGTTCCCGAGGTTATCAGCATGATCTGAATGCAGCAGCGACGAGGGTCGCGTCCAATCGCAGGACAACGCGTTAGCCGCTTTTTTCAAGTCCACCCCCGGCGGCGGCACGATCTCGCCCTGTGTCGTGTGAGCTCCTCTGGTCGTGCTGCCAGGAGCAGCTGTGTTATTTGTAGTGTGCACAACTCCCCTGCTTGTTTCTTCGTCCCCCCGCGGGGGGCTTTTGCTCCGCTGCGCAATCACTTCGACGTCTATCACGGGGCAGGCCACCTTCGTTTGACACAGCTGCTGAAATACCGGTAACAGCGTTCCGCTCGGGAGCAGTTTCGGGCGCGTGGCTATCAAAAGGAAAAGTCCCCCCCTCCCCATGTCAACACGAAGTTTCTGATGCCGGCTTTGTGTAGTACACAGATGCCAACTGTCTTGCTGGCGAGGACTGCAGGCACATACTAACTGTGAGTAGAGAGGCCTGGGCCTACGCGCTTAGCATGAAAAACATCCGCACTGTAGGCCCAACAGCATCACCAACCGCCTGCATAATGCGGCGAAGCCTGTGGAGTTGCCTTCTTGCAAGACAGACGTGATTTGTGGTCACAAATCAGCCACACAAATTTTCGAAAATAACGTACCTTGGCAATATGGGAAGGGGTGATTTTTCCTTACGATAATGGCGTGCGGCACGCGAATGGAAAAGAAAGTCGGAAACTGTGCTGCCGACTGTCTTTGCGTGTTCAGCAACTTGTTGATCTGTTGGGGCGGCGGCCCCTGCACGACACCAGCGGTGGTTTTTGACGTGGTTTGCGCTTGAGGATTCGGCGAGGTCGTGGCAGAGGAGATAATTATGAACTGCAAAAGTATCGTAGTCGTACTCGTATAAATGCATTACAAATTTCCTCAGCATGAGAAATAAAATTTGTAATGCTGATTTACCTTGAGGAAAAGATTTGTAATGCATGACTGCAATACGAATACGATGCTTTCATAATAATGACCATGTGCTGCTGCTGTGGATCCTGCTGTTGAGAAGAAGTCCCTTGTATGGATGTGTCAGAGTTGAAATCGACAAAGTTGAAATGATTTGCCATGCATAAAATGCGACACAAAGACTGACGCTATTGCTGAAGGCGCAAGGGAGGCAGATTCTAGTGCTGGTAAGGGTCAAGAATTGGGCTGCTGACTAGCATGACAGGGAGCAGCCACCTTTCCCTAAACAGCATGACAGACTTGCTTCAGAGGCCAGGAAAATTTGTCATGCGCCGATTGGAAACTGTGGGTGTCTAACTGGTATAGATTTTATGCATCACAAATTATTTCAACTTTGTTAATTTCAATCCTGACAGTTCCATACCTTGTTTCGACAGCGTACTAATTCTGCCGCTCCGGACCGGACTCACCGGGCTTTATCCTGTGTAAAAACGTCCCCACCCCATAGTCAACTTGGGAAATCTGCTAGACAAATCAACCAGCTTTGGCTGTTGCGCATGACAAATTTGGTCTCGGGGTGTAATCCTGATTTAGCTTGTTCAGAAGCATCACAGAGCTAGCCTATTGTGCTGATTGGAGCATTACAAATTCCAAAACACGATCAAGAAATGCGTGTCATAGGGCTCCGCATGAGAAACATTTTGAGCATGCAGGTTTGCATGACAAATGTGGCTTGGGGACGCTTTTACACAGGATAGGCTTCCCGGCGGACTGAGTGTCGGCAACGCCGGTAACACCATATCCATTTGCGATGGAGGGGTCGGCGGCGCGGGGCCGCTGGGCGGGGACCACGCGCCCAGAGCTGTGGCACCAGCGGCTGACGATTGCCGCCCTGGCACGGAGGAGCTCACCCCCGGCTTCGGGGAAGACGAACGGTAGTAGGAACCAGGCTTGTCAAACAATGAAGGCGGGACGGAACTACCCGGCTTTGCTTGCTGTTTCAGTTTCTGCTGTAGGCTGGTATTAGTATTACTGCTCTTGTCCTTGAAATAGTTTTGGATGCAGAACCCGACATCTAACTCGTCGTCTTGTTCGTGTAACAGCCCGATAAGCGGCTCGGTCGGTTTATGGAAGTGTCAGAATCGAAATTGACAAAGTCGAAAAATTTGTGATGCATGAAATCGATACCAGTTGGCGCCTCAGTTTCCAGGTGGCGCATGACAAATTTCGGGAGCACCCGAATCCAGTCTGTCATGCTGTTTGGGCAAAGAAGACTGCTCCTGTCATGCTACTCTGGCAGCACATTGCATGCCCCTAGACAGGCTTATAATCGGTCTCATTTACCTGCTTCCCAATACAGGCCTTCAGTGCCCTACATTTGACGCATCACAAGTTTTTCGATTTTGTCGATTTCGATCCTGACACTCCCATACGGTTTCACGTGGCTGTAGAGGTCTTCGCGACTTTCCAAAAACCTCCGCGCCCCAAGCTGGAAAAACGCCGCAGCCGAATCTTTATCCTTGCGCACCCCATGGTTTTTGCCGCCCAACCTCCCCGCTTCCCTTTCCAAAGTCATCGCCAGTTCTTCGATGTAAGCGTTCGTCTTTTCCACCAGTTGGGCCTCGTACTTCCCAAAAGCGTGAATTTCGGGATTGTCCATCCAGCCGTTAGATTGCTTGATCGTATCACATGCAAAAGTGTCTGGGTCTGGAACGTTGGAACTTGTGAAGCTAACTTTGGACTCTAAACAAAATCTGTATTATGACCAGCAAGAGGAGTCTAGTTTGTGCTACGCGGGGAGGACATTTGTCATGCGGAGTAGGCATCCGGAAGCCCTCTAAAAATCTGTGATGCTAGGTCGTGCATTACAGGCATCCTGGGTCATGCAAAATATGCATGACAAACCCGGCAACATTCCAGATCCAGACATTTTTGCATTTGATAGATCGTGATTCGGATCAACTCCAGCATGTTTTTCCAGCAGTGCTTGGTGACTTCCTATCCTCAGGAAAAACGTCCCCACGACCCCATAGTCAAGTTGGAAACTCTGCAACACAAATCCAGAAGATTTGGGAATTACGCATGACAAGTTCTTTCTCGCTGTATCGTAGTGCTGGTTAGCAAGGGGAGCCGCATGACAAAACCGCCCCCTTATCCTGTTTGCAGCATTACAAATGCCAAAACACGATTGAAAATGCCTCTCTACTTCGGGATGCGCATTACAAGTTGTGTGCCTGCGCTTGCAATTCTGCATGACAACTCTGGGCTGGGGACGTTTTTACTCAGGATACTTCCTGCAGAAAGTTCGTTTCCGCTTCGGAAAGGATCAAAAATTTGGCGTTGGGGAGAAGGTTTCGGTCTTCGTGCTGTTGCATTTCCTCGATCGACTCCGCGTTTTGTTCCCAGTACTCCTCAAACTCTAGGCGGAACAGCTTGGTGCAAAAGTCCTCGATCTCCTTCCGGCCCACCGGGTTGAAAGCGTATTCGCCGATGATCAAGCGGGACAAGACCACGCAGTACGGCTCGAAAAAAACCATGCCTAGTTCCACCGCGAGGTTTGTCTGCGCCGAGAACCGCGCGAACCGGCGCAAAATCGCGGACTTGGGCAAACTCAGGGCCCCGGTGGGCGGCGCTGTGTCCGAGGGGGCCCCGGTGAGCTGTGTCGCCTGCACCAACTGCTCGCACCAGTTGCAAAAGTTCAAATCTTTCGACAAAATTTCAGACTTGAACCGCTGCTGTTGCGAGAGCGACACCCGCTTCGGCGAAGTAGACGTGGCAGCTGCCTGCGTATCCAGCAAGGGTCTTCTAACGATCTCAGTCGAGGGACTTCTACTTGACCGTCTCGTTGGAGGTGGTGCCGTAGATTGCTGTGCAGCTTTAATACCATTCCGGCCCACGACGAAATCTTCGCCAGCTGCTCCTACTTCCGCATAATTAGAAGTGGAGTTCCTACCATACCTGCTCGGTCGGCTACTACTTGCTGCTTGTTCGGGCAAAACCGCCGGCTTCGCGGCGACTGCGAGCGCCCCTCCGTCACTGACCCTCACATTGATGTTCGTCAGGCTCTTGATAGTCCTACTACTGGCGTCCACTGGAACATTTTTTTCAGAAAAAGCCACTTGCTCCGCTGCCGAGGCCCTGGTCTCTCTTCTCCCCTCCCTTTTTTCAAGCACCTGCTGTGAGGGAGGACCCGTAATTCCGAAGTTCTGCATGTCGTAATCCTCGTAAAAGTTGTCACCTGCTTGTTCAACAAAGGTGTTGTCCTCAAATTCTTGTTTTAGTGCGCTGACTGCATCAGAAGGAGAGGTTCTTTGTGACGTCGTTTGTTCTTCCGGTGCGGCCGAGTCAGCACTCATGAAGACGTATTGTAAGGAAAAATCCCCCCTCCCCATATCGAAAAAGTATGATTCCGAAAATTTGCGTTGCTGATTTGAGACCACAAATCACGTCTGTCTTGCAAGAAGACAAGTGCAGAAACTTCCGCTCCATTATGGAAGCGATTAGGCATGCTGTTGCGCCTAGGGGGCAGCCGTTTGTAATGCTAAGCAACTAGACCCAAACGCCCCTACCTAGGCCGAGGATCTGGCTGCGCTGCCTTACTGCAAGACAAATCAGATTTGTGTACGCAAATCCGGCATCAGAAACTTCGTTTTGATATGGGGAAGGGGGACTTTTCCTTTTGATAAGACGCTCTCCTTGTTCGCGGCCACTGGATTGTCTTTTTTCTTGAACGCAGACTGCCTTCTTGCAGGCGACGACAGGGATATGGGGGTTGTTGTTCTTGCTCGGTTCCGGCCGTCCCCGGGTTGTTGTACTTGTGCTTCTTTTTCTTCTTCTTCTTCTTCGCCCTCCTCCTCCTGTCTCGTCCCCGAATAATTATCATTTTCCTTCGCAGAAGTCCTCGCTGCAGAAGTCATAATCGAGGCCACCCGCGCCGCGGACTCTCGTCCTTCCCAGACCGCCGACATAGCGACCAGCATGTCATCCTCCCCTTGCTCATCAAGAACGGGCTCTTGCTCCGCAGCAGCCTTGATGTTGTCCTCCGCTCGCGTACTGTTGTTGAGCTGCTCCGAGGCAGAGGTGTCTTCCCATTCAATGTTCGTGTTCCCCCCGCTGCTCGTATTTATTATTTTGATTTTCTCGCTGCTTGGTGGCTCCTGCTTTGACGGCGACGACGAGCTGGAGCTCTTCCCCATCAGTATGCTTTTGAAGGATCTGCCCTCGACCACCGCTTTCTCGCCCTCCGGCTGCAGGCGTGCTGGCTTCATGTTGTTGGTCCTACTGCGCTGCTGCTGGGTACTAGTTAAAGGCGGAGAAGTAGAAATAGAAACACCAGCAGCACTACTGGAAGAAGTACTACTTTGTTGGAACTTCGCCAACAGCCTACTGTTCAGCGGCGGTGAGGAGGACTCGAGGTCTTGCACTTCTACTTGCGAGGATGTTGTAAAAATGCGGTTTTGCAACATGCCAGGTTGTAGTTCTTGGTCCCCCGCCGGCTCCTCATCTTCCGTAGACTCCCACTCTTGGTCGTTGTTGGACTCGTTTGTCGCACTGCCTGCGGGCTGTACCATTTTCTGTTAGAAGTACGATTTGGTTTCACTACTAGACTTTTGGTGGCTGCTGTGACCTGTAGTTGACATAGACTAGACCTCTATGATCCTTTTTAATATCGAAGTACGTATACGAGTACTTCTAAAAACTCTGAAGCGCCATACCTAGTTTTACGAGGGTCGAAACTCGAACTCCTCCAGGTCGTGCAGATGAGATATTAAACACGACAAACGACCAGTTACGCCTTATCTGCTTCACCACAGCTGCAGCTCATAGCACTAACGAAAAAAAATTCAACCACCCGTACTGTTCTTTTCCCAGTTTCATTTCCGAGTTGTTAGATTGTGATACCTCACGACGTAATGGATGATCTACCTAGTTACGCCCAATTTTCACGACGAAGTAGATGAATTACGACAATGCTACGAATCTTGTTCCCTCCAAGAGCAGCCCACGCCGAAGACCTGTTTTCTTCTAACGTCGTTGGCCGATGTGGGCAGCTCTTGGACCACGATGTGTTGCGGTGGAAGACGATGTTTCTTCTATTAACACACATGTTGGCAACTATAATCAACGAAAGCTTGAGCTTTTTTTTTCATGTTATAAACAGATCGATGAGCTGTGCGACGGTTGATTTTAGACATATCGAACAAGCAAGCAAAAACGATTCTGTGACGTCGAAGTTCGTAACCACAACACGTAAAAGAAGCGAACAGAAGATGTTGATGATGAAACAACGATGGTGTTGTAGATGTTTGATCAATGTTGGCGTGCAACAATCTCCGCGTTTTGGAGTTTGTAATGCAAATGGGCGCAAGAGGTTTTGATCAATGTTGGTGTGCAACAATCTCCGCGTTTTGGAGTTTGTAATGCAAATTGTCACAGGATGTTTTATTTTTCACAGTTATTTGAACGTTCGAAAAACGAAGAAGATGATGATGAGAAGAAAAATCTGTGTTGCTGTTGTGAGGTCTTTCACGTAGCGGCAAACAGGCGCACATTCTCGAGTTTTTCGAGATACACGACGACGAACGACGACCCCAGTGTCGTGATCCTTCATTTCTTCACTTTTGAACATGCGCATTTTCTCACCGAAACTAGGAAAGGACAGTACGAGAAGCACCGCTCAAAGTACGTCGCGGCACGGTGCAACAGCAAGAATTTTTCGCACTTTCTTGATTTGCCATGCTGTTTTTGAACCGTTACTATAGAAGCTCTCAAATTCTCAACCGGAAACTGAAAAACACGAAAATATGATGATGAACGACAGCGACTTGCGCTGAGGTTTTCGGCCGTAATCTTTCCCTGTTCACGACAACGACAACGAAGACAAGAAGATGAATATCGGTGGCGCACAAGAAACGATGATGAATAAATCGGACTAGTTATGCTGTAGATGCAAGCAGAGTTTAGACATATCGAAGCAAGCATACACCATTCTGTGACGTCGAAGTTCGTAACCACAACACAGCACTACTGCCTTTCACCGAACACGTCGGGATTGCCACAGAACAACCCGTATGCCTGGTATCACGAATACAAGTTTAAAAAAATCATTTGCGATAAAGCGAGAGCGAGTCCTCAACGAACACAAAAAACAATTGCAGCAGCAACAGACTTGTGTCAGTAGCAGCACGACGACCGTTGTTCATTTTTATTCTCTAGTACCGCATGATTGTACAGGTACACTTCACACCACGAGACGACCTTTTCGTCCCAAAAGCGAGGTTTTCTTGACATGTTGAAGCCTTGAAGTTTGTAGAGTCGAAGTGAGCAATATGTTTGCAGCACCGCAGCAGTTTTACTCTCCGATGGGCATGGCCGCACCCTTACCGGGTGTCGGAGAATTCGCGGGTCGAGGTGCTGGCGCAGCATGATTTTTGTACGCAGCCGCTACAACTGGTGGTCCTACTTTTCCCCTGCTCCTGCTCTTGTTACAGGATCTAAACTTGTAGCAAGGGTTTCCATAAATGAAGGCTCACCCTGCCAACTTCCCGGAAGCACAGTCGACGAGATACTGCTCGCAAGCAAGCCAGTTTCGGGAATCGCAAGAAAAAACTGTCGCAGGGTCTCAAGTTGTAATGCGGGGGCTCCACTTGAGACGGTTTTTTCTTATGCTCGACATCGACATGAAAGACATCTTTCAACACTATATGCGTAAAACATGTTTCCTCTAGTGTCCTCTGAAGACGTCGCATCACAGGTTTATTTACGTGTCATGCTGCGCGAACTTGTGCTTTGCTGCGTCCGCGAAGACAGTTTGAGGCTGAGACAGTTTTTGCGTGATGTGATATCGGGTCCATAACGAGGACAACTCTGTTGTTTCGACAAAACGACCCTGAAGTAGACTCGTTGGGGTTGGCTCCAGCTGCTGCGAGCCTTTTAAACAATCTGCTTGCTCTACTCGCAGCTCCAGCTGCGTACCCGCACCGCTTTGAGCAGTATAGAAATTCGAGTAGTACTGCTGGGTCAGTTCCAACCGTCGCAGCTATGAATTGCAAATATGTCTGGAAGAATGCAACTTGTGATGCTAAATCTGAATCAAGTAAAAGTCTGTGTTGCATCATGATTACCAAAAGCTGTCCACTTTTGACCTAATCGCGAGGCAGTTTCTCATGCAGGATAGGCATGATAGAGACCACCGCACAGAATCTGTCATGCTATGTCCTACATGCCAGACCTTATGGGTCATGGAAAACCTGCATGACAAGTCTGGCATTCTTCCAGACCCAGACACTTTTGCATTTGATAGCAGCGCCTGCGTCACAAAGTGGTCATCGGAAAGCGTAAGCGCTTCTTCGCTGCGGCGCATATGCATTGCAAACGTATGATCTTCGCACCTCGTTTACTTCTAATCGCCATCTCGCATGACAGATTCGGTTTGCTTATGCTTTTCCTTTTGCTATAATCTGAGTATGCATGACAAATTCCATTTTTCCTTCTGACAAAAGTTATGATGCACCTCAAGTACTACAGGTTTACGACCGTCTTGCAATGCGTAGCGCAGCAAGTCCAACAAGTTTTCCCTCACTTCTTGCGGCATTATCAAATGCAAAAATGTCTGGGTCTGGAAGGTTGGAACTTGCGATACTAACTTTGGACTCCAAAAAAAATCTGTATTGCATGACCAACAAGAGGAGTCTCGTTTGTGCTACGCGGGGAGGGCATTTGTCATGCGGAGTAGGCATCAGGAAGCCCTCTAAAAATCTGTGATGCTAGGTCGTGCATTACAGACATCGTGGGTCAAGCAAAATACACATGACAAACCCGGCAACATTCCAGACCCAGACATATTTGCATTTGATAGGCATGGTTCTCCGACATGTCGCCCCCGGGTCTGAGGGGTAGACACTGTACAACTGCATCGCAGGGTCTATCCTGTGCAAAAAATAAAAATAAACTGTAGTTTACAATCATTCACTCCACAAATCAGCAGGCGGACGTGGAGGCACGTTTGAACTTGAAGGTTATCATCTCCCAGGTTTTCAACTACAATAATAGTGTTTTCGAGCTGAAGAGAAAAGATCGAGAAATGAGTAAAGCAAAAAATTATTGCTCATTCTCATTCATCATGACGTTTTTTTCTATAGATGAGTCTGTAGTTCCTTATCATCTGTAGTATTCGGGATCGTACACAACTTGTCCTGGTAGGCCGTAATGGGCGTAGCATGATGTCGTGGACCTGAATAGCACATAAAAGTCAATTTCATTTTTCACACAGGATAGCATTGGTAAGAGCCTCTTCTTCAGTTGCAGTCTTGGCTGCCAGTTCGGTGCAGGAACTTCTACCCGTGGAAGCGCTTGTTGTCACGACCAGGCTGTCATCGATCCTTTCGCCCGAACAAGCCGTTGAAGTTAGACAGCTTGCTTTTATTTTTCCGCAAGAACTACTACAACCGACAATAAACGGATCAAAAAATTCTTCCGCCCTCCTGCAGACCGTGCACTGGCAAACAAATCCCTTCTGCGAGTACAGAATGCGCTATGAGAGTGCACAGCTCCCCCTCCCCCTCGTTTGCATTGCACAAACAGCAACACAAGCGTCTGCAAGAGCGCAGGTTTCGAATGACAAATCCACATCGGACTGTAGTACTGTTTGAGGTTCCAGAACTTGTCATGCGGAAAGTGCCAAGAGGCAAAGGGTGGATTTGGTATTTTGCATGACAAATGAGGGGGAGCGGGAGTTGTGCACTCTGATATGCGCCGGCGCAGTTTCGCGGACACGTGGGTCATATCAAATGCAAAAATGTCTGGGTCTGGAAGAGTGCGCGATTTGTCATGCTGCTTTTCCATGACCCACCCATGAGGTCTGGAATGCAGGACCTAGCATGACAGATTCTGCGAGACCTTTCTAAGGCCTATCCTGCATGAGAAACTCCCTCCCGACTTGGTCAAAACTGGACGACTTTTGGTAATCATGCAACACAGATTTCTGCATGCTGCAGATTTAGCATGACAAGTTGCATTCTTCCAGACCCAGACATTTTTGTATTTGATAGGTCAGGTGCGGTGGCAGGTAGCACGCAAGAAGGAGCGAGTCAGGCGGAATATCTTTATCAACTGCAAATATGTCTGGGTGGTCTGGAACATTGCCATGTTTGTCATGCATATTTGGCGTGACCAAGGATGTCTGTAATGTTGCATGCCCTAGCATCATAGATTTGTACAGGGCTTCCTGCTGCCTATTCCGCATTACAATGGCCGTCCCCGCGTAGCACACACTGAACTCCTCTTGGTCTTGCTGGTCATCATGCCATAAATTTTTTTAGAGTCCAAAGCCAGCATCACAAGTCCCAACTTTCCAGACCCATACCTCTACATATTTGCAATGCATAATCTTGCACAGCCGTCCATTTCCCAACCGTCTTTACCGCGTCGGAGCTGTATACCACATTCGGGTGCAGACAGGTGTGCGCAATCTTGGTTCCCAGGTCAAACAGCGCGGCCTGTTGGCCCTGGTTGAACGAATGCGCATTGATCGCCAGGACACGAAGTAGTTTGCTGAGGATTTCGTGCGGAGTAACGTTTAAGTTGGGCGGATCAAGAAGTGCAATATGACCTGCTGGTGCTGCAGCACGACCATCGGAATTTCCATCTTCTGACGTAGTTGTTCGGTCACTTGAGGTCGTCCTTGTGTAATGAACATCTAAGTCTCCGGCTAAAAGTTTACTATTTTCTGCTCCCAACTCGTGCAACTCCTGACGCACCTCGCTGGAAGTCGAGCTGTGTGGGGTCGTCGCGGGGGATGTGGTCGTCGGTTCTGCAACTAACTCGACGTCCCCTACTGTAGTCCAGGGCGCCCCCCGAAGCCAGAGCTGCGCCGTATCACGCGGAAAATTGCCAGCATTTTTCGCAGGTGTACTTTTGTCCTCCTTACCATGCTGCACCAATGAACTTCAACTTTATGCAATCTTACCATAATAAAACTCCTTTTCCTTCATTATAGAGCAGCGGCCTAGTTCTTGCGCTGGAAGCTGCTTTTCTTTTGGTGTGGTAAAAATATGTCCTTGCAAAAAGATGAAGAACTCTAGTACATACTACCATAATGATAGCGTTTTTTCTCCCCGTCATACTCCGCTGCCAAGGCACAGGAGCGCGCTACTGGGTTGATCTGATCATAATTCATCTTGTTCACCTCGATCGTACTTTTAGTTGCACTGCTGTTGCACGGCGTCGCTGAAACTACGCTCGTCGTCGCGGTAGTAGACGCAGTAGAAGGTGACCTCGTACTACTGCCTTCCTCCTCACTCCACGACGCTAGTGTAGCTGAGCCCGCTGTTTGTGTTTTCATCATCTTCAACACAGCCATTTCTGGAACGAGACCACGACCAGCCTGACGAAGCTGAGGCTGAGGACTTTGTTCTACTTCAGGACGACCCAGATCATGTGGTCTTACGCGACCAGCACCCAACATGAGTTCTTCTTGTTCCTCCAGTACTCCTTCCGTGTGGTCAGTTGCAACGACAAAATCACGGTCGCAGCTGCTCGGACGAGTATCATGATCCACGCCGTGCTGACCCTGACCCGGCTCCGCGAAACATTTTATCTTGCAAGAAGGATCTTCAACACTCGACGGCTCGCAAATCGCCTGGTACGAGCCCTTATGCATTGCAAATATCGATCCGTGTCTGGAAGCTGAATGCAAGATTTGTCATGCGTGTCTGGCATGACTCTGGTCTGAGGTTCTTTGTGATGCGTACGCACGAACGTACGCACGAACAGCCCCTCTTGCCTGCCATGCAAATAAAACGCCATTTGCCGTGCAGAATACGCAACCAACAGACCGGGACGTATTTGCATTTGATATCCCTCTGCCAAGACGTACCGCTGCGTCTGCGGATCTGCGTCCACGAACTCGAGCGCCAATGGGATTAGGTTACTATGCATTTTTGCAAATATTGTGTGTGGGTCTGGAATACAGGTGGAACTGGAACTTGTAAAAATGCATGTCTGGCCTAATTCCTGGAAAATCTGAAGATCGTTCCATGTGTCATGCGAAATAAAGAACGCGACTGGTAAAATGCGTGCTAGGCATGATCAAAAGGCGCTGCAAAAACTTGCCATGCCTGGCTGCCATTGCAAGTGTTGCAAGCATTCGCAACTCAACATCACAGGTTCTTTTCAGAACCAGAACTTCGGTATTTGCAATGCATAGTTCCGCGAATCAAACGACGTGTCCTGCGGCCAGGCGGTGGGGCTGCCGAGCAGCTGCTCATGCTCCGAGGTGGACTTCTTGTATTCATTACACTTTATGTGTTCATCTTCATCCCCTGCAAAAGCACAGCCTGATCCATTTATTCCCTCCTCAGGACGACCGACGACCAGTCCCACCGTCGTGCGCTCCCTTCCGATCGGGGCAAAGGCCGCAATCGGGGGTAGGGGGTGGTTGGAGGTGAGCAATATGGGCTTCTCCTCCAGCACAACGTCGCCTTTTTTGACAGAAAATCGGTTGAAGAGACAGGTGCCGCCCAGTTCCGGGACGAACTGGGTGTAGACGTGGTGATTCATCTGCTGTTTATTCCGTTCAGAACCTTTTTCCATCTGTGGGCCGCGAGGATGACCAGTGTTGAGATCACCGGTCGAAAAATTATGTTGGGAGGAAAAAGTACTATCACCCCGCGCCATACTCAAAAAGGATTCCCCAGACTTCGTTTTATTCGCGCGTAAATAACACTAATACTAAAGCTAAACAGAAAAGAAAAAGAACGGGGGCAACAGTATGTTCAGGGTAAGTAGGTCCTGCAAGAACTGCTATTTCTTTGATGTTAAGTACTTACATCCTCAAGGAGGTGGTCATTTGCAAGGATATGAAGCACCATGCTGCTCGCCACCACATCGATATCAAATGGAGGGTGAAAAGAGTCAAAACGAAGACCAAGAGCTGCCTCTAGAAGTAGTACTCGTCGTGAAAGAAGTTGTATAAAGATTTCAACCGAGGAGCGGGAAATTTTAAAAACAACTCGAGCAAAAAACACTATGCACGATACCGACAGGGCCTGCTTTTCGTGATGTGAGCCATGGTGTGTAAAATATCCATCTGCCTGTCGGGAAAGCTTTGTATCTTCAGAGTACAAGAACCGAATGAAGGCACGACAGAAGCGGGCACCGAGAACATTCTTGTCCAACACTGTTTTCAACAGAACCAACATAGCACTACTAGTAGAAGGAACTACACCGACATGCTGGCAAAATTCACAACGAGACGAAACCGAAAGCAGGAAGTCGAAGTACTAATCGCATCGGTAAATAAAATTTCTACCGAAAGTGTCGACGCGGCAGACGAAGCAGAATTACGAACGCTTGCTTTAGTATTTCAAGCTTGCTTCTGGTTCTGCAAAACTGGTAGCTGTTGTATCAGAGCGACACATGACAAGCTTATACAGTAAACCGATAGCCTCGTCAGCGTTTTCGCGAATCATCGAAGCTCTCTTATTGGACAAATCGTACAGGCAGTAGCTTCTACCAAGTTCGAAGCCGTGACTCTCTTTATTCCTGGTACAGGCATTAAGCGAAACCAGCATTACAAAGTTACATGGGCCACAATCTATCGTGATAGAGTAGGACTACTACAACATTAAGGCATACATTTTTGTCATAGCGACGTCTTCAGAGAAGTAGAAGTTCTTTTTGTCATATACAGTGTCGCGAAACGTGGCAAGCACAGCTATTGTTCAATTTCTTTACTTTACGACCACAGCGTGCAGTTCGGATTTTTAAGTAATTCGATAAATCGATACGTTGCTATAGCGAAGCTATCACGTAGAGTGCTAATTATACGAAGATTGGAAATTGTGAGCAAGCGAAGCACGGCGCTTTCTGTTGCTTTCAGGTTATTAATGACACAGAAGTAGATTGCGTATTGAGACACGACATCGAGAAAAATTGCTAGTCTTTATTTCTATCTCACCATCAGGAGCCAAGAATTTTGATTTTCTGGCAGCACTACTTGGCAAACCTCCACTCTCCCGTCCTCAGCATGGGGGGTTGGTCCAGTCAAAGATCTTGTTTCGGTCCGTATTATATCCATTGCAAATCTGTCTGGGTCCTCTGAAAGGATGCAAACTTGTGATGCGGATTCTGGAACAGACAAAAATCTGTATTGCGTAGTCAGCAAAAGGCACCCGATTTTTGTCTCCAGAAGAGGGCATTTGTCATGCAGAATAGGCATGGAGAAGCTGCCACAGAGTTTGTCATGCTCTGTGTGCATTCCAGACCTCTTTGTAGATGTAAAAAATGCATGACAAATGTCTGATTCCTTCCAGACCCAGACATATTTGCATTTGATATATTGTAGGCGTAGGGTGCGGTGGTCCGCCAGGTGTCAAACGCGCTCGGCTATCCTGTGTAAAAACGTCCCCACCCCAGAGTTGTAATGCAAATGCGCAATGACCGGATCGTTTGTAATGCGCAGCTCCATGAGAGGCATTTCCAGTCGTGTTTTGGAATTTGTAATGCTGTAAACAGGATGAGAGAGTGGCTTTCTCATGCGACTTCCCTTGCTAACCAGCACTACACTGCAGAGACAAACTTGTCATGCGAAACTCCCAAAGCTTGGAGATTTGTCTAGCAGATTTCCCATCTTGACTATGAGGCGGGGACGTTTTTGCTCAGGATATCGGCCCTTCGTTGCCCACCAGATTCGGTGTCATTCCGATGGTCCCCAGGGTTGGATTGATGGACGCCAAGCCGGCGGGACGGACATCTGTCAGGCGATTCGGTTGATTGTCATGCATCGATGACGATGACAAAAAGACAAAAAGACCTATATTCGTCTTCGAGTTGCTGCAAGACAAAATGCAAAATGTGTCAAACGCGACAGGTTTCAGCTTGTCTATGTCTAGCTTTAGCACTAGCACGCATAAACGGAAAATAAACTTTGAATCATAAAGGTACCTCCCATCCTGGCTTTCAATTTGGAGGTTAGCTCCTCCGACTCCCTCGTCCTCCTGCCAATATGAATGTGTCAGGTTTGAAATCGTCAAAGCTGAAATAGTTTGTCATGCATAAAACGGATAACAGTTAGACCTACAGTTTGTTGTCGGTGCATGACAAATTTTCCCGGTCCCGGAAAAGAGTCTGTCACGCGGTTTAGGGCAAAAGAGCTGCCTTCTGTCATGCTAGTTAGCAGTCCAACTTTTGACCCTTACCAGGACTATAATCTGCCTCCCGTGGGTCCTCTGCAATAGAGTCACTTTTTGTATCGCATTTTATGCATTACAAATTTTTTCAACTTTGACGATTTCAAACCTGACGCTTCCATAGCCAATGTCGTGGCCGTAAATGTACGGATTTTCGCTGAACTCACGAGCTATACCCCGCTCAGGTGTTACAATCTCAAACGTTACAATAGAATATGGAAATCTGTGACGCAGGAGTGCATGATCTGGCCAACTCTCATGAGATTGCGCATGACAAGTTCCAGAGCCCCAAACCCCACTACAATCTGTCGAACTTTGTATTGCAGAAAGTGGAACGCTCTGCAAGTCTGTCATGCTCATCAGGCAAGACATCAAGTCTCAGACTCTATTGTAACGTTTGAGATCGTAACACCTGAGCGGGTTATACGAGCTGTCGCGGTTTTTTGGTTCTCCCTCATGACCTATCAAATGTAAAAATGTCTGGGTCTGGAAGATTCTGAGACTTGTCATGCATGTTTTGCATTGTCCATGATGTCTGTGATGCATGCCCTAGCATCACAGATTTTTTGAGGGCTTCGCGATGCCTATTCCGCATGACAAATACCCTCTCCGCGTAGCAAAAATTGCATTCCCTTTGCTGCTCACGCAATACAGATTTTTTTTGGAATTCAAATTCAGCATGACAAGTTGCATTCTTCCAGACCCAGACATTTTTACATTTGATATGACCCGCATGTACTCGTCGTGCCCCGGATTGTTTTTTTCTGTGATAAAATGATCATGAAGTAGTTTGTTGAGTTTTTGTCATGCTAAACCAACAAGCAAGAATCACTTTGTCATGCGAAAATTACAATATTAGCACCACCTCTTCAAAATCAACACATACCGCTTGCGAAGTCCCTAATCTGTATTGTCGCGCGGGCCATCTGTATGCCATGAAAAAACTGTTTCACTGTGGTGATTTTGCAAGATCTGCATTACAAGTTTGTTACAGATGACACGGAAAATTTGCGATGCGCGCTTTCCAAGGGAAAACACGCTTGAAAATCCAATGTCTTGCAGGTGTAGCAAGACAAACACTTTGGTGCTCCGTTTTCTGCATCACAAGTTCACAGTGAAACAGTTTTTTCTTGCGATAATCTGCGTCCTGTTGAGCGGCCGGGACATTTCTTATGGCGTTCTCAACTGTTACACGCTCAACTGTTACATGATTTGTCATGCAAAATGACCATGAGCCGCCAGACGATCAAGCTGATTCGCATAAGAGATTATCGAAGGGCCAAACAAGATCTAAATCTGTGCCGAATTTGTGATGCAAAATTTGCAAGCTTGCCCCTTTCCCTATGGCTCTTTTAGCATCACAAATTCGTGTAACAGTTGAGAATGTAGAATTTGAGAACGCCATATCTCTTTCGGAAACGTTGGGACTTGGATATCGCGGACCAACTTCTCACCCGGCCGAATTTCGTCGCGCCCCACGTAGGGAATCTGGCAGTTTTTTTTGTCATGCGAAGACGCGCAATGGGATGGGAAGAACTTGCCATCCAGAAACAAAAACTACAAAAACATTTTTTGAAACGACGAGCTGACATAAACATATCACTAGTACGTATTGCACGTGCCCTTGAAAACCGTGGCCCTGCCACCTCTCGGACCGGAGTTCGTTATCGATCACCGGTTGCTGAATATCGTGAGAAAAACCTGTCTCAGTCGTACTCCTAAATTTTTGCAGTTTCAGCATTACAGATTCCCTCAGAACGAGCATGAGACGCAAATAAATCTGTGATGCGTCAAATGCAAGAGGAAACGCGTACAAAGTGCCTTTGTTTTTCTTGGCTATCGAGCATGATAACAAACTGTGTCGACGAAGGTCCGGATCACAAGTTGAGAGTGAGACAGTTTTTTCTCTCCATACTGAATCAGCATGTTGTAGTAGTCCTTGGCGTATCAAATGTAAAAATGTCTGGGTCTGGGAGATTCTATGACTTGTCATGCACGTTTTGCATCAGCCATGATGTCTGTGATGCATGCCGTAGCATCACAGATTTTTAGAGGGATTCTTGATGCCTATTTCGCATGACAAATTCCCTATCCGCGCAGCAAAAATTACATTCCCTTTCTTGCTAGTCATGCAATACAAATTTTTTTGGAATCCAAATGCAGCATCACAAGTTGCATTCTTCCAGACCCAGACATTTTTCCATTTGATATGGCGTCCGTCCGTTTTTCCCGACTGTATTCTCGGTGCATGTCGAGAAACACGGGGGCCGGGTTTAGACTGCTGTACTCCTTCGTTTCCGCCGGTCCATGATGTCCCGGCTTCGAGGAGGAGGAGCTGCTGCTACTACCGCCCGTCATTTTTATTCTCAAGTACCTCTAATATTTTACTTCGGATTTCTCTTCTTGCGACTTCTTGAGTGCCTATGGGTCAGTCTTTATGCAGTGGTACTAGGAGCGGTTTTTAATAAGAGTACTGCCACTCGAACAAAAATGAAAGCCTAATATCTTCGTTGGTTTTATTTTTCACATGCACGATATAAAGCACTGCCGTTCTTGCAGCTGTTTTTTAAGGATTAAACCACGCCTTCGTTTATTATTGCCCTCCAAATATATCACAACCTTGCGTTCATCGTATCTATAAAAATATTAACAGACTCAGACTCGGAGTGCATTGCTTCGATTTTTCGATCGAGACTATAACTTGCTTCGATCGAGCACACACCGACTCGAAACCAACTACAACTCCGTAGTCATTTCCTCAATCGATATTGTTCTACTTCCCTCAAGAGTGCTGCCGCAGAGTTCAACACGTTTCAGCAGCAGCTACAGATGACGAACCTAATGCGAATCTCCCTTCACACTTCGATCAGAAACTACTGACAAACGATGTTTCTACGATTGGCTGCTCTATCTTTACCTACGACAATCTTATCTTTATGTACGACAATCTTCATGTCCGCAGCAATGGTCGTGCTCGGGAACCGCGATGTGATTTGACATTTATCACGTAGTACAACTTCTACAACACTGAGTCTCTCTCCACCTCTTAGGATGTTGCACTACAGTAAGGCCGATGCGTGCGCTGGTTGATAATCTTCATCCTCTTCCTGCCCTTGTATTTGTAGAATTCAAGTCCTTCGCAAAAATGCAGCTTGGTGCTGCACGAGGGCTACACCTGCTAAATCTATCATGCTGTGTTTCACACCGGAAAAGATAAAAAGAAGCCACAGGTCACACTACGGAGTCAATTAAAAATCAAATTCAATTGGAAAAAATAACGGATCCTCCCAAGTTCAGCTGCAGCATCACCGATGGCGAAAACGTGTGCGTTAGCTCACAACAACTTCATCACTTCCTCCGCATCCTGCACCGCTTCCTGCATGATCTTTTCGTTCCGTCCCTCCGCTGCTTTTACGTCCGGTTTCACGTCTTCCACTTCATACTCAGTCTCCGCCTTCTCCGCCTCGATCGGCCCCTGGTAGCCGAGATCCTTTCTTATCCTGTGAAAAAACGTCCCCACCCCAAAGTTGTAATGCAAATCTGCATGCTTAAAATGTTTCTCATGCGGAGACCCACGAGAGGCGCTTTCTCATGTTGATTTGAGACTTGCCATGCTCTAATCAGCATGAGAAAGAGAATCTGTGATGCTACTGCACTAGCTGAATACGATTAAATCGCTCGCCCAAGTTTGTCATGCGCGACAGCCAAAGCTTAGGGATTTGTGTAGCAGATTTCCCATCTTGACTATCGGGTGGGGGCGTTTCTCTCCAGGATATTTCTCGCATCGTCATCATCCCCCTTCACCTCCGCCGGCGGCTCGGGCACATCCACGGTCTGGTCCACTGGTTTCTTCTATCAACTCCAAAAATGTCTGGGTCTGGAAAGACGAAACTTGTGATGCGCATCTCACAACACACAAAAATCTCTCATGCATAGACAGCAAGAGTTGTTGCCCATTTTTGTCACCGTAAAAATAGGCGATTGTTCGACGTCATGCGGATAGGCATCGACGCAGCTACTTCTCAATAAAACCTGTAATGCTAGACCTTGCTTGCCAGACCTGCCGGTGGTCATGGAAAAACAGCATGACAAAAATCTGCATCCTTCCAGAGGACCCAGACATATTTGCATTTGATATCTTCGGGGGATACGACGCCTCACACGGCGCGCTGCTCGCTCCCGGCTTGCACTTCGGTTTACACAATTCCAACTTCCTCTCACCCTCCACGCCGGACTGGTTACTCGCCAGCGAGTCAGTGACAAATTTCTTCCCGTTCGGTTTTTTTCCCTGCTCGCACTCGCGCAGGCAGAAGAAGGAGAGATCCAATGGTTTTTTTCGCGAGTCCTGCATCAGACACTGCTGCCGGCCGGAGGTATCCGCCAACCCAGTGCGCAGGTTGACGCACCGCTTCACAATCGCGTTCTTCTTCTGCGGCGTAAACTGCTCTCGCGCTATCCGCTCCGTGTCTTCGACCTTTTGATACGTTTTGAAAAGACTGGAGTCCCCGCCGGTGTTTGCGTCTGCGTCCAGGATTTTTTTTTCTTTGATCTCCTTGTCCCCAACCTCCGCGATCCTCAGTAAAAACGTCCCCACTCCGGAGTTGTCGTGCAGATTTGCAATAACAGGAACATTTGTGATGCGCATCCGCATGATAGGCATTTCCAGTTGTGTTTTGGAATTTGTATTATGCTGCAAACAGGATAAGCAAATGGATTTGCGATGCGGCTGTCCTTGCCAGCAACCTGTACTACACTGCGGACTGCAACTTGTCATGTGTGACTCCCAAAACTTCTAGGTTTGTGTTGCAAAATCCACATCTTGACTCCAGGGAGGTGGGGACGTTTTTACATAGGATATCGGCCACGACGTTGTTCCCTTCGCGAATCTCCGGGGGCAGCACGTCACAGACAGGTGCAGCTGCTTTCGTGGTTGTTTCAACAACATCCTGCTTCGACGACGCTGTTGTAGTGATAGACTTTCTGAACAAGAAAGACAGCACGTTGTCCTTCGAACTCGCAGTCGTCACACTTGCCTTCTCCGAAACGAAACAGCACTCGCAGTCGCAGGGTGGGGTTTCCAGGTTGCCGTTAGCCGGATCCTGTTCATTCACTAGATCATCCAACCACTCCTGCTTCGCAACCGGAAAAGCAGACTATGAGAATGCGCAACTCCTCCCCCCTCATTTCTTGTGTTGCATGACCAGTACCACAAGCGGAAGCGCGGGCAAAGATGCAGCTTTTGCATGACAAATTCCTAGAGGATTGTAGTTCTGTTTTGCCTTTCGGAATCATGATCTGTCATGCAAAAAGTGCTATCAGGGAGAAGGTAGATTTGGGATTTTGCATGACAAATGAGGGGGAGGGAAAACTGTGCACTGTCATACAGACTCGCTGTCGTCCGCAAAGACCTCGTCTGGGCTGTCGCCCGTGGGCTCACTCTGCGTTATGACGTCCAGCGGGGACGGGATTTGTCTTACCGTTTGTGGAAAAGAAATTTTGTTGCGCTGTACTTTTTGTCTTCCTGCTGCGCCTTGAATGTGAGAAGTAGTAATTCTGCTCCATTCATGATTCCAATGGCCCTCCTCCTCCAAACCGGGTAGGCGGAGTGCAGCTGCAATTAGAGTAGAGGTAGTCGTTGTGGTGTGCAGAAGCTGGCAAGAAGAAAGCACGACAGACACCACGCACCGGAGGTCGGTCGGTGCGACCATCCATCTCTTGCGAGAGGACTTCATCCGCATTGTTTATTTTCTAGTATTGCATCTGATTCCGATTCTTTCGTCTCTCCCTCAGAGCTTGCGCACCACCACCCGAGCAGCACTTGCATGCACTCCACCGGAAATATTAATCACAAGAACTAAGTACAACACTCTGTTGTATCTATTATTTCTCATCGCGCTGATGCCACTCTTCTCAACATCTCAGGGGTAGTTCATCCACTTGTAGGCACGCTTACAACCCTTGTGACCGCCTCCTCGCACAGCGCGGCTCTCGCTTGCGACCCTTGCTTAATATCGCACTAGTAGAACACGGAAAAATGAAAGAACGGAGGGAAAAAACCTATATCTCCGCCCCTTCTATTTTCTTCCTGTGTCTTGTTGTTTGTTTGTTGAGGATGGTCATGTGGAACCGTTTGAAAGTTGCTCTTTCTTCTCGTCACATGGTTAGCGCTATAATTTCAACAAAAAGTACTTACTACTTGGCAGAGCTGCTTTGGCTTCTGCCTTAGAAAAAGGAACTGCAGGTAGGAGGGAGAAATTCAAACTCTGTTGCTGCCCAAGTTTTTTGTAAAACTTAAAGGCAGCTGAAGGAGCGCTCAAATTATAGAGAGATAAAGAGCGCGAAGTGAAAAGCTACTGTTGACTAGAAAAAGGAAAAAAACTGCCGTAAACGTGTGAAAGAGTTGAAAGTCTAAATTTTGTCGAGCCAGAGGTTCGATGCTTTTGAGGTGATGCTGTACAAAGTTACCTTGTCCTGTGAAAGAGTTTGTGTGCTCATGTTTTTTGTCTTGTGAAAAAGTTCTTCATTTGTCTTACTACGGTTTCGGTTCAAAGTTGCTACTACGATTTATTTGCAGCCCCACCTACAAAAACAAATCGAGGCATTTTTATCAAAATCAACAGCAGACAAAGCCAGGGGGTGCCCCCATTGATGATGTCGTTGACGACGTACTAGTTGTCGCATTTTTCCCACTTGTTCCTCCCATCTCGTATCCAGGAAAAAAACTGTGTAAGTGTAACTTTGTAAGGAAGAGCAGCATCACAAATTCGCTTTGCACTACAGGGAAAACCTGTCATGCGCAGCTAGTAAGTGGAAACACGTATGATAGTAGCCTATGACGCACTTCCAGCATGACAACTGTATACTGTTTTGCATTTTCTGCATCACAGATTTACACTTACACAGTTTTTTTCTTGCATATCTCGGGCGCTACAGACACCGGAGGTTCTTCGCTTCCGACACAGGCTTCCAGCCGACACACCTGCGTCCAGTGCAGCGGCCCGCAAGGTATGAACTGCAAAAATGTCTGGGTCTGGATGAATGCAGGTGTTCGTGTTTGTGATGCCGGTTTTGCATGACCCAGAGTGTCTGGCATGCAGGACCAGCATCACAGGTTCTTCGAGAGGAGCTTCACGATGCCTACTCTGCATGAGAAATCGGCTCTCACCATGCCCAAACATTCGCAGCTTTTGCTGTTTGTGCAAGACAGATTTTTGCGTGATCTGAAATGCGCATCACAAGTTGCAACCTTCCAGACCCAGACATATATATTTGCAATGCATACAAGGCATTCCAGCCCCGCTTTGTTCGATCAGCACCCTTCGCGTTTGTTCGTAGCTACCCTCGCCACAGGTCACAGAGCAGTCCTTTTCCGCGTCCCCTTCCCACGAGGACACCACGCAATCGATTTCTATGGGAGTGTCAGGATCGAAATCAACAAAATCGAAAAACTTGTAATGCATAAAATGTATGGCACGCAAGGCCTGTATTGGGGGGGCAGGCAAATGAGACCGATTGCAAGCCTGTTTAGGGGTATGCAATGTGCTGCCAAAGTAGCTTGACAGGAGCAGCCTTCTTTGCCCAAACAGCATGAGAGACTGGATCTAGGTGCTCCCGAAATTTGTCATGCGCCACTTGGAAATTGACGCTCCAACTGACTTCGATTTTGAGCATCACAAAATTTTCGATTTTGTCAATTTCGATTCTGACACTCCCATAATGTCAGGAGAGGGAATAGTATTACCGGTCGTGTTCGCTCCACCTGTAATACTTGTATTCACGACCGGGCATGCCTCCAAATTGCACTCTTCCACGACTTCCTTGGCCTCACAGCTCTTCCCGTTCCCCGTGGGTGAAACGGAGATGCTCCGTCGCTTTACGTAGTGCCCACTTCCGCACGTAACCGTGCAGTCGGCCACAGGGTCGAAGGGTGCCCATTCGGACATGACGCAGTCGAGATCTTCTTGTTCACCTCCGGCTGGAGGGGGGCTATCCGTAGTCGTACTCGTTATCGGGCATGTCGTCTCTGCGTCGCACGGTGTCTGTTCTTCCAGGGTGAACTCATCACACGGGCGGCCGGCGCCGGTGTCCGCACTGATGATCTCCCTTGTCCGTGTAGTCCGCATGCCGGCCCCGCAGGTGACGGAGCAGGCGCCGCTGCTGTCTATATCAAATGCAAAAGTGTCTGGGTCTGGAACAAAGCAACTTGTCATGCGAGATCTGAACCATGTAAAAATTTGTGTTGCATGATTACCAAAAGCTGCCCACTTTTGAGTTAAGTAATCGAGAAGCAGTTCCTCATGCAGGATAGGTATGATAGCACTCTCACAGAATCTGTCATGCTATGTCGTCCATACCAGACCTCATGAATCATGAAAAACCTGCATGACAAGTCTGGCACTGTTCCAGACCCAGACATTTTTGCATTTGATAGTCCACCCAGTCCGACAAAACGCAGTCCACCGGACAAAGAACCCCGAGGTTGCAGTCCTCCCACCGCGTCCTCTGCGCGTCGCAGGTCTGGCCGGTACCGACTGGATGGACCTCGATTGTCCGCTCTTGCTGGTACTGGCCGATTATTCTGCGGGAAAACGTCCCCACCCCAGCGTTGTCATGCAAATCTGCATGCCAAAAAAGTTTCTCATGCGGAGCCCCATGAGAAACATTTGCTAGCCGTGTTTTGCGATTTGTGATGCTAGCATCAGCATGCAATGCTTGGTCTGTGATGCTGCTGAACTAGCCAGACAGGATTACACTACAAGGCCAAACTTGTCATGCGGAACAAACAAAGCTGGCTGCTTTGTGTAGCAGGTTTTCCATCTTGACTCTGGTGTGGGAACGTTTTTACTAAGGATACCGATGCCCCCGCAACTAACCGAACACTCTTTCACGTCGCCCGCCCACTCACTCAGCACGCAGTCCTATGCATTGCAATTATCGATCTGGGTGGTCGGGAAGAATTTTTATGCAGGTTTGTCATGCTTGTCTCACATGACAGTTGAATCTGTAAAATGCGCGAGCAGGAACAAAGCCTCTTCCCTGTCATGCAAAAGTGCAGCTTGCCATGCGGAAATCGAAACACAACAAAGGAGCCCAGAAACTTGTCATGCGTGGCTCCGTATTGCAAGTATACGCCCACCATTCGCAAACTAGCATCACAAGTTCTTTCCAGAGCCAGATCGATTATATTTGCATTTGATAAGTCCACGGGGCACGCACTTAACTCGCAATTGCGGAGCCGCGACCTCTCTGTGCTGCAGGGAACGCCGGCCCCCACGGCCGGGGTGACGACCGACCGCGTCTGTGTGTACGTCCCGGGCCCGCAGGTCGGGGAACAACTACTGACGTCGCCCGCCCAATCACTCAGGACGCAGTCCACCGGCTATCCTTCGGAACAAAGACGTCCACACCGTAGAGTCAATGATTGGGAACTCTGCAGCACAAATCTACATGTTCTGAGAGTCACGCATGACAAGTTTTCTCTGTATTGTGGTGAAGGTTTTTAGCACCAAGGAAGTCGCATCACAAACGCATGTCCTCAACCTGTTTACAGCAATACAAATGATCCCAAAAGCAAAACTCGATTGAAAATGCCTCTCATGGGAATGCGCATTACAACTGTTCCTGTGATTGCAAATCTGCATGACAACTGTGAAGTGGGGACGGTTTTGCTCAAGATACCGGTGCGGGGGTGGTTGTCGTCGTGCGACAGTCGGGGAGGCGGTAAACGCCCCACTTCGGATGCCCGTATCGTGAGGAAAAATCCCCCCTCCCCATACTCACAATGGAAATTTGTGATGCTGATTTGTGACCACAAATCAGCTTTGTCTTGCATATGAGGCAAATGGGAGCCGTGTGGCGCATTCCACAGCCAAGCTCTCATGCGCTTTTGCCTACTGCAAAGCTGTCTGTCATGCCCGAGTGCTAGCCTTTTTCATACCTAATCATGCTTAGGAAATGCCTGCAAGCGCTTTCTGGAATGCAGAGCTGATTTGTGTACACAAAATCCAGCAATAAAAATTTGCGTTTCAATATGGGGAGGAGGCTTTTTGCACTTTGATAGCCCGGCGTCCTCCGTCTCGATGGGGTGCGTGTCAAACATCGCCTGATACCGCCAGAAGCAGCCCGTTTGATCGTTGGAGAGAGTCCCAGCACCTGCGTCCTCCTCCGTCGGGGACAACCGGCCCCGAAACTCCATCCGCAGCCACGTGTTCAGGGCGGGCGAGCCGCTGAAGAGAAAAGGAACGTCTTCGTTCTATCCTGATTAAAAGCGTCCCCACACCAGAGTCAAGATGGGGATTTTGCAACACAAACCTAGGAGTTTTGGGAGTCACGCATGACAAGTTTCAGTCCGTAAAGTAGTGCAAATTAGCAAGGAAAGCCGCATCACAAATCGACCTGCTAATCCTGTTTACAGCATTACAAGTTCCCAAAACACGATTGAAAATGCCTGTCATGGGGTTGCGCATCACAAATGTTCCTGTCATGGCAAATCTGCATGACAACTCTGGGGTGGGGACGTTTTTCATCAGGATACGTTCCACTTGTTTCGGCTTTTCCACACGTGTCGATTCGGCCAGTATGCATTGCAAAAATCATGTCCGGGAGGTCTGGAAGGATGCAAGGTGTGTCATGCTTGTCCGGCATGACTGAAGAGTTTGTGATGCGTGTCCAAGAAGAGACCCTACTTCCGCTCGTCATGCAACACGCAGCTTGTCATGCCAACACTAAGACTTGCGCGAATATTTTATTTCTCATGCTTGGCTGTGCATTACAGACGAGAAATCACTATTCACAACTCAGCATTACAAGTTTCCAGACATCCAGATCGATATTTGCATTTGATAGCCAGCCGACGTTGCCGTGCATGTGCCCGTTTACCACGGCAATCACACAGCTGTCGTCCACCAGGTCGTTGATAACTTCGTGCGTCATCCCCTTGTGAGCAGCGCCACGTGTGAAAATGTGCAAAAACAACACCGCGTACCGTGACCCGTTAGGACTCGACGCCTGCCACTCCGGGTCGCCGCAGGTCTTGCGCAGCTCCTCGCGGAGCCAATCGACACTGTGGCGGAGGCCGTTCAGTGTACGGCAATGCGCCGTGTTGGTGTAGTGGTAGAGGCTATCCCCCTATGGATTGTAAAAATGTCTGGGTCTGGAAGAATTGGAACTTGTGATGCTTACTTTGGTCTCTAAAAAAGTCTGTATTGCATGACCAGCAAGAGGAGTCTAGTTTGTGCTACGCGGGGAGGGCGTTTGTCATGCGGAGTAGGCATCGGGAAGCCCTCTTAAAATCTGCGATGCTAGGTAGTCGTGCATTGCAGACATCCTGGGTCATCCAAAACATGCATGACAAGTCTCAGAATCTTCCAGACCCAGACATTTTTACATTTGATACCCCCGTTCTCCCGTCGCAGGCTTCCACACCGTACGTGGACCACTGACTCGGCGACCGGAAGTATCAAAATGAAAAATCCCCCCTCTCCATATCAAAACGGAAATTTGTGATGCTGATTTGTGGCCACAAATCAGCTTTGTATTGCACAGAGGCACTGCGGCCAGATCCCCAGGCTAGGTCGGGGCGTTTGGGTCTAGTAGTTCAGCATGGCAAACGGCCCCCCTTTAGGCCCAACAGCGTGACAAATCGCTTCCATAATGGGGCGGAAGCTTCTGCCCTTGTCTTCTTGCAAGACAGATGTGATTTGTGACCTCAAATCCGCAACACAAATTTCTGAAAACATACCTTTTCAATATGGGGAGGGGGGATTTTTCCTCTCAATAGGAAGCAGTCGGCCCCGCGGCCGCGCTGCGCGCACGTACCTTCATAGGCAGGGTGCATGTGCAGGGCAAACATGCGGAACCGGCCATTGTCGTGCGGATGGGTCCAAGCGTAGGACCCGGACTCCCGGTGAAAAGCGTCAATCACGGAGTTTTTTCGGAAGGTGTCACTCGCAGTACCGAACTGTTCCGCACTTTTCGTCGCCGCCCTTTTTGAGACGGGAAACCGATTCGAGGCCGCGAAGCCGGATTGCGTGTCACCGCTCGCCGGATCCCGGTCGGCCGTCGATACCAGTGTTCGGATGTACTGCAACTGACCCATCGCTCTTCCGTTCCCGCACCACAGGCGCCCGACCTGCGCTTGCTCGTACAGATACCCATACGTCACCTCATAGTCGTGGTTGCCCAGGAGGGGCAGCACGTACCAGTCCTTGCGTGGGTTAAACTGGTGCAAAAATTTGGAGAAGTACTCTTCAATCTGCGGCTGCGTTCCGAGGTGCGTTAAGTCCCCCACCACGACCACATCCTGCCGTGCGTAGTTGCCCGGGGGCAGCGCCGTTGTCCCAGGTAAATCGACGAGACCCCCGCCGTCGTCGGCGGGCAAATTGTGGGCCTCATCATGCTATCAAATGCAAAAGCGTCTGGGGCTGGAAACTTGTGATGCTGGGTGGCGTATCATGAGGAGGCCACAAGTGCTGGCTCAGCGTGACAAGTTTCTGAGCTTCTAGGTGAAGGTGTTGCCTATTCTGCATGACAAACTACGTTTCTACATGACAGAAAAGTGGGGCTCTTGGGTAACGCGCATGACAGATTTGAAAGTCATGCCAGACAAGCATGACAAACATGCACTCTTCCAGACCCAGACATTTTTACATTTGATACATGCCACTGACAGCCCGCGCGGTTCGCTTTGCAGGCCATGACACCTTGGGTCACAGCGCCCTGCACGGTGTCGCTGTGAAAAAAATCGCACTTATCCTGTGTAAAAACGTCCCCACCTACCCAGAGTTCTTGTCATGCAAATCTGCATGCTCAAAATGTTTGTCATGCGGAGCCCCATGAGAAGCATGATTTTCTGGTCGTGTTTTGGAATTTGTATTGCGCCAATCAGCATGATATACGAGATCTTCTGTGACGCTGCTGAACTACCTCAAACAGCACTACAGTACACTGCGACTCCAAATTGTGATGCAAAACAGCCAAAACTCGTGGACTTGTCTAGCCGATTTCCCATCTTGATCTTGACTATGGGGAGGTGGGGACGTTTTTACATAGGATAACGCTCGCTCGCCTGCTGCGTCGCGTACGAAGAGCCCGGCAAGACCTCGAAGCCCTTGAAAGTGCTCTTGTACCCGAATTGCACGTCCCCGACCACGAAAAGGTCGTAGGACTCGTAGTCCTGCTGTCCGGGAGAAAAGGAAGTTGGCGCCGTCTGAAAGTAGTTGTAGTATCCTGAGTAAAAACGTACCCACACCAGAGTCAGGATGGGGATTTTGCAACACAAACCTAGGAGTTTTGTGAGTCACGCAGGACAAGTTTCAGTCCGTAAGGTAGTGCAAGTTAGCAAGGAAAGCCGCATCACAAATCGATCTGCTGATCCTGTTTACAGCATTACAAGTTCCCAAACACGATTGAAAATGCCTGTCATGGGGTTGCGCATCACAAATGTTCCTGTCATGGCAAAGTCGCATGACAACTCTGGTGTGGGTACGTTTTTACTCACGATATGTAGGACTCGATGCTCCCGACTTGCTGCTCGCTCGTGGTGCAGCCTGCGGTGGAGAACGTGCCACTTTCCTATCAAGTGTAAAAGTGTCTGGGTCTGGAAGATTGCCAGGTTTGTCATGCATATTTTGCATAACCCATGATGTCTGTAATGCCCGGCCGATCATCACAAATTTTTAAGGGGCCTTCTGATGCGTATTCCCCACGAGAAACGCGCGCTCCGCGTAGCACAAACTGAACTCCTCTTGCTGGTCATGCAATACAGATTTTTTTTACCTTCCAAAGACGGCATGACAAGTTGCATTCTTCCAGACCCAGACATTTTTACATTTGATATTTCCTGAAAATAGCCGTCTGCGGTGCAGTATTTCACGTTGCGAAACTATCCCACGAGAAAAGTGTTACAGTTAAGTACACATTTGTAGTGAATTCAGCAACACAAATTTCTCTGTATGAGAGAGGAAACTTGTAATGCAGAAATCCTACAGGAAATAAACACCTATGAAACGAGGCTCCTATGCACATCCGGCATGACAGAGCTTGTCTGTCTTGCTTGGCCTGCATGGACTATGTGTAAAAACTGTAACAGTTTTTTCTTGCGATAGAAACGCCAGCTGTCTCTGGTTGCTGCTCTCGGACCCGTTCTGCTGGTCCAGGCACCAACACTTGCTATGCCTGATTGCTTGCTGTATCAAATGCAAATATGTCTGGGTCTGGAAGTTTGTGATGCTAAAATGTGCAAGAGGAATGCACTCCCTTCATGCAGGAAAGCATGACAAGTTTACAAAGAACGCTTTCTCACACAAACTCCGCATGGCAAACTGCGTTTTTGTATGACCACAGGAAAGGCTACCACTTTTGTTGGTCATGCAATACAGATTTCACAGGAATGCAAGACGAGCATTACAATTTCCAACTTTATTCCAGACCCAGACATATTTGCATTTGGTATGCTGAATGTCGCGGCTAACCGAGTCCGGCACCCAAGCACTGCTCCCCGGAACGGGCGAGCAGTCCACGCCCTTTAGCTTTTCGAGTTCCGTATTTTTCATCTTCATCTCTAGGGTAGAAGTGCCAGTGCTGGCCCTTTGATTCTCCAGCCGCTCACGCACCTGTTCCTTTGCAGCGGAAGTAGAAGCCCGCGACGCAGCAGCCAGCTTCTGGAGCAGGGATGTAGAGCTTGCTCTGGTCCTCGCTTTGTTCGAACTAATCCTGCCGAGATGTTGTGATCGTGCTGTAGTTCTGCGGCCCATGCTAGAAATTGTTCCAGCATTGTTGTTCTTTCTCCCTCGCGTTCTCTTTGTTCCCAGCAGTTGTGCCTGGTAGGCAGCGGCAAACGGAACATCAAATAAGCCGTCGACATTTTTATAACTGGAATCTGTTGCCGTAGAATAAGTGGGGGAAAGTGAATGGATAAGTTTTGTGGAAGTTGTTTTTGCGGGAGTGAACCATAATGTCGAGAGCCGATGGAGAAGATTAATAGTGGTACAACTCGGGTGGAGCCACACAAGGAGGACAATGGTTTTTTTGACCATTACTGAATGCTGATCCACAATTTTCTTTGGGAGAACAACAATATTAAACATCATGATAAAGATACAACTTTCTATGGGGCGACAAAGCGTCTACAGACGAAAGACGACAATAAAGACAGGAAGACAATAGAATACTTTCTGTTTCTGAAACGGTCGGCGGGGTGCAAATAAATTTACACGGTTGTAAGTAGCATCCAGGTTCATCTTTCTGGGAGGATTTCTTGCCTGTGAAACTGAAAAATCTCGGTGGATCATCACGTCGCATCATCCAGTTGGTGGAGCTAAAAACGACATAACCACCTACGATGCAGAAGATTGCTTGGACGATCATGGAGCAGTACGAGTACGACTACGAGAGCTGCAGGACGATTAAAAATTATTGGACGATGTATAAAACAAGAAATAAGTGCGACACCACAAGGAACAAGCGAATCATGTTGAGAGGTGGTTGTAGACACGATGATTTCTTTTTCCGCTTGATCAAGAAATACTGTCTGATACATTGACCCGACCACGCGTAGGGTCGTGTGGTCATGGCGCGATCTTCAGTATTAAATACTGTTTATAGGTTTTCAGTTTTGATGTTGTCCAAGAGCAAGTATTCGGAGTAAATTCGCTTCTAATTCAGTGGGACGACGAGAACTTACACCAGCCTTCATTTCAGAAACCATTAACGAAAGCGGCGCGAAACTGCAACTGCTGCGCCTGCGACGAGTACACGACGGAAAAAATACAAACAACGGATTGGAATTGCTGGACGATATTATTTGCTCATTCTGGGGTCATCCTCGTCCACCTCTAACAGCACAACCCTGAATAATCCGGGGGGTCTCCTACAGCAGTAGCGCCATTACTTTCCGTGCTCAAAACTTCTAAATCTCCAGCTGCATTGGAGATGTTAGCAGGGACTAGATCGGGAGGTGTCGCGTTCGTCGAAGAAAAATCTGTTGTGTTGTTCTGCAGACCACTAGGTGTAGAAGTTGTACCATCTTCAGTGCTGCCAGCACTACTGTTCGTAGAAACACTACTAATACTACATTCCTGCAAAACTCCTTCACAGGCTTCCTCCTTTTCCAACGCAAAACCGCTGCAGGGACGCCCACCCCCAACCGCGTCACTGAGCACTTCTCTCGTCAGTCGGCGCACCCCAGCGCCACAGGTTACGCTACAGGAGGTTGTAGTACTGCCACCCCACTCAGTGAGCTGACAATCCCTGTCCACCGGCGTAGTTGGTGGATCATCTACGACAGGAGCTGATGTCGACACGGTCGGGGTTGTTGTCCCCCCGTCCTCGTCGCGACACGCGGGGAGCCGAAACGCACCGTGCCGCATAATGTTTGCTTCGTCTGGATCTGCTTCCACGGGCTTGGTCTTGTACATGCTCTGGAACCGCCAGAAACACTATCAAATGCAAAAATGTCTGGGTCTGGAACTTGTGGTGCGAACTTTGGACTCTAAAAACGTCTGTATTGCATGACTAGCAAGAGCAGTCTAGTTTGTGCTACACGGGGAGGGCGTTTGTCATGCGGAGTAGGCAGCAGTAAGCCCTCTAAAAATCTGTGATGCTAGGTCGTGCATTACAGACGTCCTGGGTCATGTGAAACATGCATGACAAGTCTCAGAATCTTCCAGACCCAGACATTTTTGCATTTGATAAACACGACGCGGCCGGAGATGCGGTGTCAAGAACCTCCTGCTCTCCGCCACTATCAGCCTCCGCGCTGGCGCGGCCGGTGAATTCCATGCGCAGCCAGGTGTTCATGGCCGGGGAGCCGGCGAAGAGAAAGGGCACATTATTAAGAGGAAAAATCCCCCCTCCCCATATCGAAAACGAAAGTTGTGACGCTGTATTTGAGTACACAAATCGACTTGTATTGCTAGAAGGCCAAGAGCCGCAGCTGGGGCCTCGTTTGCAGGCAATTTGTCATGCTGTTTCCTACTTCCAGCTGCCTCCTGTCATGCTGAAGATGCAAGGCTTTCCCAAGCCACCCAGCACTACAGTCAGAATCTTTTCCCTTCTAGCATGACAAAGCTGATTTGTGACTACAAATCTGCAACACAGATTTCCGTTTTGATATGGGGAGGGGGGATTTTTCTTCTTGATACACATCGTCGCCCCACTTGTTAACGCTTTTCCACGAGTTTTTGACCTCCCACCCAATCCGCTCGTGGCAGTGGCCGTTTACAACGGCGACGACGCAACTGTCGCGCACCAAATCGTGGATCACGTCCGCCGTCATTCCACTCTCGGCGCCGTGGTTCTTCCCGTTTTTAAAAATGTGCACGAATAGCACGGCGTACCGCGACCCCTTGTGCCCCCTCGCGGCCCAGGTCTCGTCGTCGCACGTCTTCAGCAGCTGGTCCCGCAGCCAGTCCACGCTCGGCCGCAAGTGTCCCAACGTGCGGCAGTGCCCCGTGTTTTCCTTGTGATACAAGGCGTGGCCGTATCCTGTGCAAAAGTACTATCGCACTCGTTTAGTGATTGCATTTATGCATTACAAATCTCTTTCGCAAGACAAATTAGCATTGCAAATCTAATTTGTAATGCTGGGCTAAAACTTGTAATGCAAATTAAACTAGTAGGATGCTTTTGCATTGCATAGGCCGCGCACCCCGTCACACGCCTCCATGCCGTACGTGGAAAGCTGTCCCGCTATCGTGAGGAAAAATCCCCCCACCCCATACCAAAAAGGGATACTTGTGATGCTGATTTGTAGCCACAAATCGTCTCTGTGTTGCAAGCAGGCCAATCCAAAGACTCCTTCGCATTGTGCTGGCGGTTTCTGATGCTATGGGGCCTACAGAGTACACATTTGCCATGCTACGCGCCTACGTCAAAGCCCTTCTACTTAGGCTTGGTATGGGCCTGCAGTTCCCTACTGCAAGACAGACCTGATTTGTGTACGCAAATCCAGCATCAGCAACTTCGTCTTGATATGGGGAGGGGGGATTTTTCCTTTTGATACCCGCGCATTCTTTCCCGCCGGGCGCGCACCCCGCGGAGGGCGCCTTGCCGGCATTGCAGTTTTCTTGGTTACACCCCTCGGTCGAAAAACATTTCCCGTCGGCGTTCACGTACCCCCGCTGCGCACAGGTGCCCTCGTAGGCCGGGTGCATGTGCAGGGCGAACATCCGAAACCGCCCGTGGTCCTGCGGGGGGGTCCAGGCGTAGGACCCCGACTCGCGGTGAAACGCGTCAATAACGGAATTGTGCGCCCACTGCGGGTGTGTATCCAAAACCGCGTTCGCGGCGCGCTTGGTCACCGGGAAGCGCACAGACTGCGCGCATCAAAGTGAAAAAAGCCCCCACAACATACGCAAAAGGCGATTTGTGTTGCTGGATTTGTGTACACAAATGAGCTTTGTATTGCAGCGAGAGTTTGTCGGCATATTCTAAGCCCATTTAGATACGCATCCGGCTAGCAGCTGCGCATGAGAAACAAGGCTGAGATAGGCGAAAACGCATGACAGGCTGGCTGCACAATGCGCCACATGGGTGCCGTTTGCCTTGTACGCAAGACAGACCTGATTTGTGGTCGCAAATCAGCATCACAAATTTCCTTTTCGATATGAGGAGGGGGGATTTTTTCCTCGCAATAGCGCGAGGGGGTGATGCGCCTCGTCTATGGATGTGTCAGAGTTGAAATCGACAAAGTTGAAATAATTTCCCATGCATAAATTGCAAGGCATGAACTGCCTCTCTTGCAGGGACGGCAAGTGATGCCGACTGTCAGCCTGTTTGGGGTCTGCGATAGAGCTACTAAAGTAGCACTACAGAAGACGCCTTCTGGGGCCCCTAAACAGCATGACAAACTGGATTTGGACGGTGCCAAAATTTGTCATGCGCCGCTTAGAAATTGGGCTTCCACCTGGTATCGATTTTATGCATTACAAATTATTTCAACTTTGTCGATTTCAACTCTGACACATCCATATCGTCGGATATTGGTGTAAAGTCCGCGGTCGTGAGCATTACCCGAATGTACTGTAGTTGTGCCATGGCCCGACCCACCCCGCTATCAGATGTAAAAGTGTCTGGGTCTGGAAGAATGCATGTTTGTCATGCTTGTCTGGGATGATTCTTAAATCTGTCATGCACGTTACCCAAGAGCCCAATTGTTCTGTCATGCAGAAACGCAGTTTGTCATGCAGAATAGGCAACACCTAGAAGCTCAGAAAGTTGTCATGCTGAGCCAGCACTTGTGGCGTCCTCCTGATACGCCACTCAGCATCACAAGTTCCCAGACCCAGACATTTTTGCATTTGATACCCGCACCAGCGGTGGGCGTCTCTGTGCGGGAACAGGTAGGGGTAGCGGTTCTGGTAGTCGTGGTTGCCCAGCATGGGCAGCACGTACCAATCCTCCTTCGGATCGTCAAATTGATGCAGAAACTTTTCGAAATACTCTTCCAACTGGCTCATAATGCCCAGATGCGTCAAGTCTCCCACGACAATGACGTCCTGACGAGGATGTGCAACCATTGAAGCCGAGGACCCAGCAGGACTTGCCCCCGAGGATTCAGGGAGCTGAACAATTGTGGTAGTAGTTGTTGTAGTCCCAGCAGATGACTGGTCTTGTGCCTCCACTAGCCTCATCGCGTCCGCGTGCCACGTGCAACTCCCCCGGTCCGCCTTGCAGGCCTTCACGCCCGCGTCGAGGGCGGCGGGTATGGTTGTGGTATCATGGGGAAACGACTGTTTCTCCCCGTTTTCGGTCCTCTTTCGCGTTGCGGACTCGGATTCGGGGGGGTCCAGCTCGAACCATTTGTCAAAGTGGCTTGTGTAACCCAGTATGCATTGCAAATATCCCTGGATGTCTGGAAGGTGGCAACTTGTGATCCTGTCTGTGGATTCTAAAAAAATTTGTCCTGCATGAGGAGGAAGACGAGTCCAGCTTTTGCTACGCGGAGAGGGCATTATTTCTCATGCGGGTTAGGCATCAAGAAGGACTCAGAAAATCTGTGATGCTAGAGCATAATACATCAAACAGACATCATGGATTATGATGCAAAATGTGCATGACAAACTTGGGCTCTTCCAGACCCAGACATATTTGCACTGGATACCCAGCTGGGGATCCCCGATGACGAAGAGATCGTAGGAGGAAGTGGTCCTCAACATCGATATCATATGTAAAAACGTCCCCATCCCAGAGTTGTCAATGCAAATGCGCAATGACAGGAACATTTGTAATGCGCATCTCCATGAGACGCATTTCCAGTCGTGTTTTGGCATTTGTAATGCTGTAAACAGGATGAGAAAGTGGCTTTCTCATGCGGCCTTCCTTTCTAGCCAGCACTACACTGCAGATCGAAACTTGTCATGCAGAACTCCCAAAACTTGGGGACTTGCGTTGCAGACTTTCCATCTTGACTATGGTGTGGGGACGTTTTTACATAGGATAATCGAGTGCTGGCCATTATTATACTCGAGGTCCGTGTAGTCGTAGGACGTAATCTCATCATCTCCGGAAAAATTATCCCCCATCGCCTCCCTCACATCGTCACTGTAGCCTATTTCCTTCTCCGAAGTGGTGCACTCCGAGGCGATGCCCATTTCATCACGAAAGTACCCGTCCCCTGTGCAGTATCGGACAAACGTGAACGCCCTGTCCAGCACCGCCTGGTCCCTACTCCAATCGCCGTCTTGCTCGCCAATGCACCAGCACTCGGTGTGTGCCAGCCCAGCAATCCACCGACCAGTATCCCACAGAAAAAGACCGACAGGTCATATTTGTAATGCAAAAATAAATACACAGGAAAATCTGTCATGGGCGAGGCCATAACATCCTGTTTAGGGCATGCAATACAGATTTTTTTGTCTATTTATTTTTGCATTACAAATATGACCTGTCGGTCTTTTTCTGGGGGATAACCAGCTTCGTTTGCACACACCGGCGCGCCGCTAGAAGAAGTTGCAGTACTTCTTCTTTTACCCTGCGTGCTGGTGGCGGCCGTGGCGGTGGCCGCAGCTACTGTCTGCTGCAACAAAGCTGCTTTTGCCTCCTGGTCGCGGTGGACGTCGAGAGGATCGCTTTGCTGGTCGGTTAAAGTTGCAGCCACCTCAGCCAGTTCCTGCTCCGATGTTGGTGTTGCACTGGCCCTCGTTCTTTCCCACTTTTCCTTCGTCCGCCCTGGCATCAAGGAGGCACTGGACGTGGAGGCCGAAGAACCTCGCCCTGCGAGGAAAGTAGAAGATGTAGAACCTGCAAAAATTTTTGCGCCACCACCTCTACCAGCCTTAGAAGTTGTGCTGGTTTTCATTTTATTGTTGCTCTGGTCGGCCTCGCCGCTGCGAATCATGTTGTTCACCGCCTGTTTCACTTTCGTATTCATCGTCTTGGTAGAAGTAGTAGTTCTCCATTTTTTCTCAAGCAAAACCTTTCCAAACGCAGCTCCTGTAGTTCCCGAAGAGGTCAATTTTGCAGACCTTTTTGCACCAGCAGCTCCACCTTGTACTACGTGGCTCGACGCACGAAGGAGCTTCACGGTCTTTCTCGAAGATGACAAGGGTGAAAACCGAAAGGCGTCCGCTGGCAAGAAAATGTGAAGCTGGTAGTGTTGTTGTTTTGTTTGGTGGGGAAGAAGACCTCCATGCCGGTCCTGTTGTAGTACCCACTCCGGAAGAAGACCGAAGGTGTAGTTGTTGCCTTCATCCAGCGCATTAAGAACCACATCAGCCACAAAGAGAATAGATAAAACCAATGCTTTCAGTAGCAGCTTGTGCTTGTTGTTGAGTACTAGTGACATTAATTTCCGGGGGAAGTAGTTCATCTTGTGGGGAGTTCCAAAGCCAAACCGGAAGCAGGAGCACGGTGTTGAAGTTGTAAAACTGATTCTCATCTTACCAGAACGGCTGCAGCGCGAAGATGAATTAAGAACTAGGAAAGCACTAAAAACCTAAAACTACGTCAGTATGGCTATAAATATTTATCTCAATAGCATCCAGATTGTGTGAAGGGAAACAAAATCTAACTTGTTTGATGTGCGTTTCGGTTTTTTAAGCCTTAGTGACATACATATACTAGGTTGTAAGCATATTATTCGAGGCGGGCCCTGGTGAAGTTGTCGTAGAAGATGTGTAACTACCTCCCTGCTGATGTTTCTTTCCAAAACGACGACGGACACAAGCACAACTAGAGCTGAACTGCGAAAGAACGCTATTACTTAAGATAGCATTTTTAGAAACAGACGACGTGTGTGGGACGAAGTTTCACTTACGAGTTTGTTCAGAACGATAAAGACATGAGTTCGACGCGTTGCACGATTTTTTATTTGACGAGGAGCGAGCTGTGTACCACGATATGGAGCTGTGTACCACGATATGGAGCTGTGTAGTTTGTTAGTGTACGATCTGGGTCTGGAACAGCGCCGGTTTGTCATGTTTGTCTCGCAGGAGTCTTACCTCTGTGAGGATGAATGAGCAGGAAATAAAGAGCCTGTACTTAGTTGCCTGTTCTTTCTTTTTCAGGTAGTAGACACGCGGTAACTGCTTGATCCAAACTTGGCAGTCCACTTGTTGTGAGAACCTTCCAGAGGCGGCGCAGCACCTCCCCGCGGGGTCACTGATCAACGCGAGGTAGTTGTGTGCCGATTTGTTGTTGACCAGTTTAAAACACACTTTCATCTGCCATCCAGTGACCCACACGAGAAACTACTGCGCTCCATTTGCAAATGTAAAACGTCAAGTGCCGCCGTCAATACAGAGAGCGGACAGCTGCACTGGTACAATCTTGCAGGCTTCTTGCGTGGTGCCCCCTTAGTCTATCTCGCGGAATAATATTGATCCAAAAAGAGGAAAAAAAAGCAGTATAGAACCGGATACAGAAACAACCACTATCGATGATCGAATGTTCGTCCTGCAATAGCATAAGTGGCTGAAAACATCAGAAACTACTGACATCAAAACCTTTAGGAGCTTAAGCCGAACAAAATCTCATACCTGGGAGTTCTTGTTCTTTCAAAAAGAGAAAAACTTACTTCGCGTCAAAAATACAATACAGCAGCAGATTTGCAAGCTGCTGTAATTTTTAGAATCGGATAAGTAGAAAATCACACGAAATACATGCATGCGGTGGTAGGTACACTCTTACTCATGGTGGTCCTGCTGCCCGTCAGTTGCATCCGGAGCGAATTTTTATCGTACGGAAATTCATTTCTTGCCCCCAACTGGAAGTAGAACCTGGTCGACCCACGTCACTTGGCTTAGTGTTGGTGGAAAGTTGTATTTGTAAGTAGTTCATGCATATTGGATACTTCCACACACTGATTTCGATTTCTTTACAAACCGCCCGTAGTTCAAGTGCTTCTCACGAACTCGCGGTTCCTTTTGAAGCAATGCGACTACATGCATCAGAAGTTAGTAGTATTACGAAGAGGCCGCGCAGGACGTATTAGTATAAACCAGATTCCTCTTCCATCTGGGGCGATTATTCCGAATTTCAATTTGCATAATTTCTCGTAGTTTTCCAGGAAATTCTCCACCCATTTGCCGAAATCTGAGTTTGGAATTCATTTTTTGTCATGCTGAAATCATAATGCAGAATTTTTTGTCATGCGAAAACAGCCAACTGGAACACGACGGAAAAGAAAAAGCAAAAGCTATAGAAGTCAGTACCATCCCGCGTGATCTTGTTGTTCAGGGCAACCACGTCTCCATTCTTGTAGGCGGTAATCAGGTCCATATCTTCAATCAGGTCAAACTATGAATTGCAAAAGTATCGCACTCGACTCGTATAAATGCATTACAAATTTCCTCAGCATGAGAAATAAAATTTGTAATGCTAATTTGCCCTAAGAACAGGATTTGTAATGCATGATTTCAATACGAGTACGATACTTTTGCACAGGATACAAACGTAATGCCCTTGGTCGCCAGGCCGTTCTTCGAAAACATGCGGGCAAGCTGTTTGGATAGATGCATTACAAATTTTCCCAGCATGAGAAATACAATCTGTAATGCGGATTTACCTTAAGAAAAATATTTGTAATGCAAGATACAATTAAGTACCTGACTCGCAGCTCGCTTCTCCAAGTACGCCTTTTCCAGTTCGGAGTACACAATGAAGCCGTCGCCGTTGTGTATGACAGTGCACAACCCCCCTCCGCCTCATTTGTCATGCAAGAATCGAAATCAAGTTGCTGCCTTGCGGCACTGTTTGCATGACAAATTGTGGAATATTAGCCCAAACAGTACTACAGTTCCAACGCAGGAACTTGTCATGCACAGGCTCCATGGCTGCTGGTGTTTGTATTGCTATTCATGCCATGTCCAAATGTATGAGGGGGCGGAGGGGGAGTTCTTGTGCACGGTCATATTGTCGTCAAAAAACTCAAAGGCTTCGTCCGCAAATTTCTGCACGCCCGCCGCATTCGCCCCGCTAGAAAAGCACCGTGCGATCTGGGCGTTCTGCAGGAAAAACGGCTTTTGGGTCTGCGCGATAGCAGACAGGTTCGAAGCGGCGGGCGCGGTGGTGTGGGTCACCAATTTTCGGGACGCAGTTGCTGCCGCCCCCCGGTTGAGGAGGAGTCTCGTCGCGCCGAGCATGGACATACTTTCAAAACTTCCTGTCGTGAAAAAAAAAACGCTATTTGGTTACACAGGTAAAGAAGTCGGGGCGGTGCTGTGTATACTTAAGTTAGTTCAGATGAAACTTCTTCGATCGATCCAGTGTACAACTAGCTGGGGCTTAATTATAAAACGGCTTGATGTTCTATCAGAACTGTCGTCCAGCCAGGTTGTCGCTTCTGTTCTAAGTACCTCGGGGGAAAAGGGGAGTGCTGGAGGTCCTCCTGTTTTATTGTTTGGGAGCGGTTAAGGATGTGTGAAATAAAAGCGAGGTGGCCCTGTGGCTGTGCCATCTTCTCTCTACAAAGTGAAATTTACTACTATACCACGACAAAAATAAAGAACACCGATAGAGCGCTAGGCTTTCTGCACTCATAGTTCTCGTGCGACGTGAGGAAAATGAATTTGATACGACAAAAGCAAAACGTAAACGAAGGACCGAGTCTTCTACTTCACATAATCACGAAAAAAAACGACCGAGGATTCCATTTCCCACGCTCTTCAGAATGATGATGTAGGACTGCTCAAAGTCAATAAACCGATCAAGAACTAGTTCTTCGCTAGTACAAATAAACCGACGGCACAACTTCCGACTCGGCGGATAGTCTTTGTAGTTATGACGAAAAGGCCACTTGATAGATAATTTAGGGCTGCAAGAAAACACAAGTATACTCGACAAATGCATTATACGGCTGCAGGCGATAACTTTTCCACCAGCCTCATCGATTTAATGATTTTTTATTTTTGGCTCTAGATTTCTTGAAAAATAGAGCAGGATGCATCCATGTGAAGACATTCGTATGTCGTCTTTTTTCGCGCACGAGGTCCGTTCGTCCTCGCGCGCTGCTTTTTTGATTTTGCACAACAAAAACAGCGCACCTCAAATTATCCTATCTCCACTTAGCGTCGCTTGTAAATGCAGGCTTTCGGTGCGGTCCAACCAGCATTTTTGTCCCCACTGCCTTTCCCGACGGCGCGCTTCCCCTTGTTTCCCTGGTCGGAGCTCTTGCCGCCTTTACTTTTGTTCTTCCCACCCTTTCCTTTACCTTTCCCCTTCTTGCCTCCGCCGCCCTGTGGTTTGTTTTGCCCTTTAATATGATTCTTGCCTTTGCCTTTGCTGTTACCCTTCGTCTTCCAGGGAACATCAGTAGATCCAGATTCAGCACAAGCTCCGTCCTTTTGCTTTTCCCCAGTTGTACTACTAGTAGCTGCCGTTTCCTTACTCCCTGCAAGAAACAGTCCCCACCGGTAGAAGCCCTTGATAAAAAAGTGCGTGTTTGAGTTCTCCTCAAACAACCGGCTCTGTTCCCGCTGTTTCATGCGCCAGCAGTTTCCGTTCTTTTCCACATCCGCGACAAATTTCTCCACGCCGGACTCCTGAAACCGCGACTGCACCTCCGCGATGAGCAACAGACCGGTCTTTATGCAGTGCAAAAGCATCGTATTAGTATAAATTGCATTACAAATTTCCTCAGCATGAGAAATGAAATTTGTAATGCGGATTTAACTTGAGAAATGAATTTGTAATGCATTAATGCAATTACTACGAGTACGATACTTTTGCACAGGATAGTCTTCGGCTTCAACAACCGACTCGCTTCCTTGATCGCGTTTAGACAGTCCGTGCCCATCAGCGCGAGGTATCAACTGTAAACATGTCATCTGGGTTTGGAAACTTGTAATGCTGCGTTCGGAATAGTGAATGCCCTGTGATGCACAGCCAAGCATGAGAAATATTGTCGCGGCTTTCTTAGTATTGCGCTTTTCGCATGACAAATTGCGTTCTATTGCATGGCAGGCCAAAGGGTCTCTTCTTGGCCACGCATCACAAACTTTTCGGTTATGCCAGACAAGCATGACAAACCTTAGTGCAACATCCTTCCAGACCCAGATCGATGTTTGCATTTGATACGAGGCACAAAATCACAACGTCCTGGGTACCGGTGGCGAGGGGCACGTGCTGGTTGATATTTGCGGCCTGGATCTTGATAGTGGTGGAATTGGTTTTGAGATTTTTACCATCACACGACGATGATCTCTCGATCTCCCTGCTGACCAAATCAAAGTTGTGAACCTTGATCTGTTTCTTCGTGACGACCTGGCTTTTTCTGGTGGAGCCCTTCTGACCCGAAACCTGATCTACTTGTTCTGAACCACCACCGGTTGTACCACCAGTACTCTGGATCGACACAAACCGGCCTTCCAACTGTCTGGCGATTTTCGCTTCGCCGCATCCCAAATCGGTAATGTTGAAGAAGGATGAAGTAGTACTACTAGAAGGTAATGATGTCCCCTCCTGCTTATTTTTGCTAGTAGTGGTCTGACCCGCGGCCTCGTCGTCTGAGCCGCTATCGGCTGCTGACTTGGTTCCCTCCTTGTTCTTTTCTTTCTTGGAAAGCACTGCATCTTCGTCTGAACTAAGACCCTCTTCCTCCTCCTCCTCTGACATTTCATCGTCCAAATCTACATCCGAATCCCCGCCCAGGATTTCCGCGTCAGACTGAGAGAGTGCAGAATCTTCCTCTTCTAGCTCCTCTTCCTCTTCTGATTCAATCGACATGTCGTCTCGGTCGTCGTAGGAAACTTGCTTCTTGCCCTGCACCCGTGCATGACGACCCTCATCGCTGTCATCATGCGCCACAACTCCACTAGTCCTCATAGTACCGTTTGAAGCAGTCGAGATCGAGAATTTCTTTTCCAAAAACTCAATCAACACGTCGACCGGGTTCGAGGGCCATTTCCGCACCTGCTCCGCAAACCCTGCGTGGTATTTTTCGAACAAGTGGGGCTGCGATTTCCACCACCGCAACGCGTTTTGCCCGGTGGAAGTGTAAAGCTGCTCGTTCAACTCCCGGAACCTGGCGGCCTGCAGTTTGGCGGAGAGTTGAGGCTGTGGCGCGGCTGGAGTTGATTCGCCGACGGAGGCATCTTCGTCTTGCTTTGAAATTTTATTTTTTCCTTTATTTTTGTTCTTCTTCGTCTTCCCCGCGGTCTCTCCTCCCGCCGAAGGTTGTTGATCACGCTGCTGTGTGCCGTTTTTATCACGACCTTCTGCACCGCCGCCTGCAGTGGAGGCTCCTGGGCCTCCCAAAGTAGTAGATATCGCTGGTTGGTCCGCGGCACCACTACCGGCTACGACCTCCGTCGGCTGCGCACCTCCATTCTGCCTCGCTTTCAAGGATGCGAGTAAGCTGGACACCGCAGAAACCTTGGGTTCTTTCGGTTGGTCGACGATAACACTCGGTGCAACGCTCCTACTGGCAGTCGTGTTCGTAACTGGTGCTTTCGTCTTTTGCTTTTTCAAAGGCGGTTCGGGTGGTTTCTCTGTTGCGTTTTTCATCTTCGCTTGTTCCGCAATATTTTCATTATGCTGGGTTCTCGCTGTTTGGTTCCCATCTTTTTTGTCTTTGTCCTCACCGGTCGTGGTCGCGTTCTTCCCGGCTTTGCGCTTCTTGGACTTCTTCATGGACGAGGGGAGCTTGGATGTTGACGCTGCCTCGGAAACAACAACTGAGGGCACCGTAACTGTTGCCGTTATCTTCACATCCTGCTTTTTACTCGGCGCTCGACCCACCGCTGCAACAGCAACGGTACTGTTGGTTTCAGTTGTACTGGAAACAGTACCCTGTCTCTTCTTCTTCTTCATCGCCTTCTTTTTTGTGCCTGGATTGTTGTCACCCGCACCAGGATCCTCCCCACCCCCAGGGAAACTGAACGCCTGGCGTGCTTGGTCTAAAGACGGAAGCTCTGCGAACAGAGTTCGCAACTCCGCTTGGAGGTCGGTCTCGCTCGTCTTGATGGGCATGGTCTAAAATTTGCGGGCCGAGAAGGAACAGAAGTAATATCAACGAACTAAAAACGCAGAAATGCTATATACCCACTTCTAGATGTCACGGACAACGTGCGTCCTAAACAAACAACCTGCGGTAAACCTACTCTATGCCCTCGCTGATCATGTAGTTGTCAACCGTCGAATTCATGCTTCTTTTGTCGCTGTGTCAAAAAAAATTTTCTTGCAAAGATGAACCCAGGGACCTTGTTTCCAACTGCAGCTACGTAGTAAAATTTTCTGATCCGGGAGTGAATCGCTTTATCTGCCCTTGCGCTTTTGCTTCGCTTTTTCGATCATAAACCATTCTGTTCTGTAGAGCTGCTGGACCCACTGCTGGATCCATGTTGAATGCGAGACTGCATAATTCATAAGGTTACAACTGATGGATCATTGTGTGATGTGAGATATCAACCACTTTGCTCCCGGCCTTGTAAGGTCGCTGCGGCAAATGATAGCAACTTTTTCATTCACGTCGCGGATCGTCCTGTATCCTTCAGAATTCCACTGTGGATCCGAGCGTTATTTCGCGTTGGATTCCACTTCGATAGCATTTTCAGAACCACACGAAAGAGCATTTCTGTGACCACTGTAGACATTTACTACGACCGACATCCTCCACATTCAGCAGTACATCACGGTGTAAAAGTACTTCAGGTAATTTCTAACTTACGTGCCCACTGTCGCTTGAGATCACCACTACAGAGCATCAAACATGACTGTTTCTCCCACCTGCAGGGCGTCCTCACGAGGACCCTGTCTGATTTGTAAACGATACTTATTCATCATCCTACCGTCTCTCGTTGAGTTGTTGCCGTTCATTTTATTTTTTCATCCTCTTCAAGACCATTGCTCTGTGGCGCTGCATGGTGATTGTTCCGCCAATAATGGGTCCTCCAACAAGAGTTGTATTGTTGTGCAAAAATTCTCAGAGCATGAAGTTTCGCTATATAATCCTCTTCTCGACAGATCAAAAATTATCTAGACTTGATGTGCTGCTTTAGAAACATTTCCACAGCAGAGCTCCGGTATTTTCTATTCGACAAAATATCTATTCAAGTGTGTGTGATTGTGTTCTAGTTTTCGATAAAATACAGTGTTTTCGACGATTAAAAAGTTATGTTCTAGTGTTCGATAAAATACAGTGTGCTAAAATACAAAATACAAGTGTGCTTGTGCTAAAATACAAAATACAAGGGAGAAAAACCGTGGTAAATCGCTCTGCTGTGGTTTTTATAGCGTTGTCAACAAACTAGAAAGTGCCACCGTCTAGGAAACTCAAGTGTGATTGTATCAGAAGGGGATTGTCGTGTGAAACTTAACAATAAATTCAGAAGCCACTACTTAAATATAAATTCTTCAATTTTACAAAAAAAACTCAACGGAGCACTGCACTAGACCACTTTCCAATCCAAGAAAGCTTTCCAGCTTTAGCGGAACCGCTTGAAGAGCTTCTTGGCCGCCTTCTTGGCCTTCCGGGCCGCCTTCTTCGCCTCTTATCAAGACGGAAAATCCCCCCTCCCAAGGTCGAAAACGAAACTTGTCGTGCTGTATTTGAGTACACAAATCGACTTGCAATGCTACAAGCCCAAGAGCCGCAGCTGCGGCCGAGTTTGCAGGTAGTTTGTCATGCTGCTTTCCACTTCCAGCTGCCTCCTGTCATGATGAAGGCGCAAAGGTTTAAGTATTCCCACGCCACCCAGCGCTACAGTGTCAACACCTTTCCGCCCTAGCATTACAAAGCTTCCTTGTGGCCACAAATCAGCATCACAAATTTCCTTTTCGATATGGGCAGGAGGGATTTTTCTTCTTGATACCTCGCGCTTCGCCTTCTTGGCGGCCTTTTTCGCGGCTTTCGCGGCCTTTTTCGCCGCCTTCTTGGCCTTCCGGGCGGCCTTCTTCGCTGCCTTGGCGGCGCGGGATTCCTTGATCTTGTTGCCAATCGCCCCTGCCTATGGATTGCAAAAGTGTCTGGGTCTGGAAACTTGTGATGCTAAAATGTGCATGATGAAAACACTGCCGTAATGACAGTCCGGCATGACAACTTCCTCCAAAAACGCTTCGTCATAGGCAATCCGCATGAGAAGCTGCGCTTTGGCATGAGAAAAGAGGCTGCGGCTTTTGTTCATTACGCAACTACACAGACTTTATTCTAGGAATGTGGAGCTAGCATTACAAGTGCCAACCTTCCAGACCCAGGAGACATTTTTGCAGTGCATACTGCCGCGCCCTTCAGCTTGTTGCCGACGGCGGTGGCACCGGCCTTCACCTGCTCGCGGAAGGTCATTTTCGTGGCGGGCGACTCATCCGAACCAGTGTCCTCATCCGAACCAGTGTCATCCGCGGCGTCCATCGAGGTCGGCAACGGCGTCGTGGTCGTGGTGGTCATCATGCCGTCGGGATCAACTGCAAATATATGTCTGGGTCTGGAAGAGCCCAAGTTTGTCATGCACATGTTGCATCATCCATGACATCTGTGATGTATACTCTAGCATCACAGATTTATTCCTGCGGCCTTCTTGATGCCTTTATTCTGCATGACAAATTCCCTCTCCGCATAGCAAAAACTGGACTCGTCTTCCTGGTCATGCAAGACAAATTCTTAAACATAAAATCAAAAGGCAGCGTCACAAGTTGCATCCACTTCCAGACACAGACATATTTGCAATGGATACTCGGCCTTGGCGGAAGCCGCCTTCTCCTCCTCACTCATTTCGGCGCACTCGGTCTTCTTGTCCTTACCGAAGGTGATCTTCGCATCATCCCCGCAGCAGAACTTTCCGGTCGGGCACAGCTGGTCTGGGGGCACCATGCCCTGGCAGCACTGCTGAAACTTGTTGGGGTGGTCCTCGCAGATGGGGTTGCCGCTGGCGCAGGCGGCGTCGACGACCTGCGGGGTCGCCTCCGGGTTGCCGGCCAGGAAGAGGATCTGATACGAAAACGAAAATGTTGATTTTTGTCATGCGGAATTAACATTTCAGAAACACACTGTCATGCTGGACATCAATCACTCCACTAGTCCGTGTTTAAAAACATAAAAACAATAAAAATCTAAATTTCTCATGCGGTTTTAACACTACAATAAACCACACCTACAGAAGCACTACTTATACCCTTGAGCACTCCTCGGAACCATCGGGCAGTCCGCCGGCCTCGCCCTCCATTGCGTACGTCCAGTTCTCGTCCTTGGTGTCCTCAATGGTGGTGGTGCCGAGCTTTCCATCCTCCACTTTCTCGACCGTCTTGGTACCGAAGTGCCCCATCACATCGTAGGCGAAACAGGGTTATGCATTAGTAGAAGAGCATCGTGTGCTTGGTGAGAATTTTTGCATGACAGATTTCATCTTTAGAACTGAAAGTGAAGTAATCGAACTTTTGTCATGCGGAGTACGATACTTATGACAAATCAGATCTGTCATGCAATTTTCCCAAAAACGACTACGACACTTCTTACAAGCATAGCTTTCTTTGGGGGATGATGTCGCAGGACTTGGAGTCGATCATGAGCTTGACACACGCGGCGCAGGCTTGCTCCTTCTTGCTGTATTTTTCGGATTTTTTGATTCAACTTGTCATGCATAAACTACACGATTGAACAAATCTGTCATGCTTTTCTCGCATCGCTGTCGTTTTAACAAAGAAACAAAAAATATCAAAAGAAAAAAGTTCGTCACGATCACTCATGCGCATTCTTGCAATACAAAATTGTGTGTCATGCGTAAAAATGCATCACAGCCAAACTTCATTAGGGATTTCCCTAGTGTTTCTGCAATACAAGGAAAGTTTGTGATGCTGAGAAAGTTTGTAATGCAAAACCTGCAAGTTAGTGACTGTGACAAACATTTTTCTCTCCATAAAAAAAATTATACCCGTACACCCCCTCGCCTTCCCTTTCGCCCGTAGTTCCATCGTCGGGCAGTGCGGGCTTCAACACCTCGTCCAAATTTGAGTAACTGGCCGACCAGGCGGTCTCGCAGACTGGCAAAGCAGAGGTGGTCGTGGCGGAAGAGAGCAAATATCAACTGCAAAAGTGTCTGGGTCTGAAAACTTGTGATGCAAGTCCGTGAACAATAAGTACGCTGTGATGTGCCGCCAAGCATGACAAGTTTTTTCGTGCTTCTGTACTGCGTATTTCGCATGAGAAACTGCGCTTTTGCATGACAGGCAAGAGGGCCTCTTTGTGGCCACGCAATACAGACTGCAGAGCCATGCCAGACTGGCATTACAAATCTTGCAATCTCGCAGACCCAGACATTTTTGCAGTTGATAGCAAACCCAAGGTTGCGACTGTTGATCGCATTTTAGACGAATTGGAAGTTCGCATCTTTAGAGGATCTACTTCCGGGGTTTACGACGAGGAAGCCTTCCCTAAATTCCGTAGCCTCGCTGGATGGGTAGTGCTGCTGGACACTACGCTATTCGGTCTAGGGTGATGAGAATTTTTTAAACAGAAGGTTTTGCGACAAAAGATGAAGGACGAAGTGGTTTTAGAACATTTTGACACTGGATTTTGGATCTTTTTCTGCCAGAAAGACGGCGGAGACGAATAAAACTTGATCCACATAAATTCCGAACAACGAACGGAAGAAGAAACGGAAACGCTGACAATGAAAACCGGAAAGTTTGTCATCGTCAAATCTAAAAGATGAAATATCCAAAGGACACGCGAAATTTTTGCTGCTCTCCGTTGATAGAGAACTGCTGAACACAATTGGTAGCCGCTTGTCAACACCACCTAAAAAGTAGTGGCACTAATAATTTCGCTTTTTAATCTTGTTGCACCAAGTCGTATTATTTCCTCTGCAAAAATAACGGTTCTTTAAACTGCTCCAATAAAAGCCAATTTATCATCCTTCTCTGCGCAGCCTGTTGGTGATAAATAGTGTTTATAAATCCTTCCAGTGTGGTTGTTGGTGTTTGTGATTGTTAATAGAAAAAATCTAGTGTCGTGAAGACCGTTTTAGTCGTGATGATCGTGATGTTGTTCACTGTCAGTATAGTACCCTTGCACCAGAAACACGGCCCAAGCATACTTAGTACATCAGCAGGCCCTCTCTCGCAGCGTTCGGTTCTTTCGCAAGAGAAAGTACACTCCTTTGTAGTTTTCGAAAGCAGTGGTCGTTCTTTCCTGTACAACTTCCGGGGGTTTGAAACATCATCCACTTAGTACTTCGAAGGCGCGTTCCACCGTACCAGAAGAGCAGTCGGCGAAGAAATGGAGTGGCGGAAAATTATCACGAACAGCCGAACTGTTTGAGTTCTGATGTGTCCTCGTGGTTATTCTTTTGTACTGGATGATTCTGCTGCCGGTTTTTCTCCTGCTTCACGCGAGCAGCTACTGCTGCGGCACACCAGTGTTGTACTATCTCCATTTTCTCCGTCTACTCTGCGCCAGTTGTTGAAAAAAGAAGATCAAACTGCGTGGTCGTGTTTTTAGCGTGTTGAGGTGGAACAAGTACTATTTAGTCACTGCTGTAGTTCCTCTTAGCGCCGCGTGGAGAGGAGCAAGACCCGCAGACACAGGTACTTCTCCGCTTATTTTCGATGCTCCAATAGTATTAAAGAAGAGTCTGTTGTTCATCCCCCGGTCGTGAAGGTAGAGCTGCTTTACTCTGTTTCATCTACCGCGTTCTTCTGCAACTCCGGTAAAAATACGACGAGTTCATCTTTACAGATCATCGTCCTCATCATCGTCAATCGGCACTGCCGCGGCCGCCGCCGCTTCCTGCTCAATCCGTGCGATGTCCGCGGCGTCAATCTGCACGACGGGCGGCTTCGCGAACTCCTCCACAAAGACCAAATCCTTGTTGTTACAGAGTCGTCGCGCGAGCCACAGGAAGGGCTTCTCAAAGTTGAAGTTGGAGCGGGCGGAGAGATCGTAGTACCTGTTATAGATAGGTTTTTAGGTATCACAAAGCTTTTCGTCATCTCCACTTGTCATGCAGAGTGCAACTTTGTAATGCGTGGTTTGCAATATCCTTCACATTAGTCATGCATATTTGGACACCAAAAACAAATCAATTTATACTGCAGATTCCTCTTTCTGTGGAATTGGATGTTTCGTGCCTTCACCTGCCGGTCCTTGACATCCACCTTATTCCCTACCAACACGATCGGGATCTGCTCGCACACTCGCACGATGTCCTTGTACCTGTGATAGAATGTGGTGGTTTCCATGCTTTTTACTTTTTCTGCATCACAAAAATCTTTTATCCCACCTTTTCCGCATCACAAGTTTTCCGTTTCTGATGAATCTGAAAATTGAATAATTTCAATTTGTCATGCTACAGTAACACAAAGACACTATTTTTCTCATCCTGAAACGCGCATGAAGAGAAATTTGTATACCATTCCGGGACGTTTTTGTAGGTGATACGGGAGGTGACGTCGAACATGATGATTGCGCATTCCCCCTGGATGTAGTACCTTTAGATGAAATTTGTATTGCTGATAAATTGTTTTGCTAAAAGAAACAAAAGGTTTGTCATGCTGCTTTCGACGCTATGCGGTATCAAGTTCCAGATGGACGACACGATCTGTCATGCGTCCTCTCCAATGAACCGCAAGCAGATATGCTTCTCTTCTGCCTTTGATCCCTTTCCCGCATGACAAACAAGCCGCGTAAAGAATAAAGTATACCCGTCCCTCAATCCGCCCATCTTTTCCTGTCCTGCGGTGTCCCACACATTGAAGCAAATCACACCGCAATTTGTCGTGAACTTTAGGGGGTGCACCTCCACACCGAGCGTTGGAATATACTTCTTCTCGAATTCACCTGTGATAAGTAGTAGAGTGTGTTGCATGTTGACAAACTTGTGTTGCGATGGAAGGTTGACAATACTAAGTACCCACTTTGTCTTCATGCACGACATCGCATGACAAATATCAGCAGCATGATGAGATGAAATGGAATTTGTAATGCGGGTTGACCTTAAGAAAAACATTTGTAATGCATGGCTGCAATACCTGTCAAGTGTCTTTTCACCAAAGTCGTCTTTCCTACACCGCCATCCCCTACCAACACCAATTTCCATTCCGCCTCCACCTTTGGTGCCTGCGGTACCTGCTGCTGTGGCTGTCCGAACATTTTGCCTGGTTGGAGCTCTTCAGGAAAGCGAACTTCAGAAACGGTTGTAAGAGATTGAATTTTTATTTTCGATAGGAAAGAAAGTCGCTTTCAACAACAGTATGTTTATTTAAACGTATAGTGTAGTTCAAGCTATCAGGTCGTCGTAGTCTGCAAATTTAGAAACTTAAACCGCAAAATAAAACAATCTTTGGCCGATAGAGCTGCACCAGAAAAGGTTTGCACTAAGAGTGAGTGTCGCTGTCGTAACTAATAAAGTGGTCCTCGTGCGTAAATGAACTTCTGTTGAAACACCGCTGGTTTTCTCTGACGACGTTAAAGTAAAGGGGCCTGTGTGTATAGTTGTTGAAAATTATGGTTCAAGAAATGTGCAAAATTCAATCCAGTTTGGCAATTTCAGTGTGTCCCTTTCTACAGGGTATAATTACAACTTGCAATTTGTCGATACTACACTGCAGCTATGAGTAAACCTACTTGCAATTATTCAAGTCTAGATCGCGATTCAGAGTAAGGTGGACCTCCACACGGCAGGTGCACTACGGGGCTGAAGAAATTTCTCCGCCACTAGACCGGCCGTGCTTTGACTCGAATCACACCTCCTTTGGTCGGAAAAAAAAACCCTTTCGCTATGTTTGATTTTGGCGAAGATTTTTTGCGATAGAATTTGTATTTCTGATCGGGTGAAGAAGTAGATCCGCTTGTGTTGACTCTGGTGCCACTAGAACCGTTTTGATATTTCACTACCTCCTATTCACCAGATCGCGATCTTCTTCTTCTCACACACACGCTTGAGATGAAACGCACTTTGTCTTCGCTTCGACACATTTTCGCACGTTAGAAGATGGATAAGTACTCACCTACTAGTGCACTCGTCAAGAGCATCATTTGTTTCCACCGCCTCGAGGTGGATGATCTCGTTTTAAACCAAATGATTTGCTACCTTGTGGTGCACCACAACAGTAGTTAGAGCTGCTTCTCAGCTAGCTTCTCTCGCCACAAGTTGTGTTCCAACCTTGTCCTCTTTGTTCCTCGGGTAGTCGGAGGCGCAGCAAGGCACCTTGTGATGTCGGCAGCTGCGAGGACACGCCACAGCTACCCCTTGCTGTTTGTGCGGCGCATTTTGGTTTCCATGAACTACCGGGGTCTACTTCTTTTCCGTCTCTTCATCCGCTAAAAGTCAAATTTTCTTAATCTCTTCTCCGCATTGGTGTTTGATGACCTAGTGTGGTCTGTAGTGTCGTCGCATAGTGTTCTTGTGTAACAAAGGTTCGCTCGTAATCCAATATCATATGAGCACATTGTGTGTGGGTCTTCGTAGCGAGTGAAATCGAAAACCTATGACAGCTGGCTTCAACACTGCATATTATCGTTTCTACTTCACGATGACATTTTCAACCAAAGGAATCAGTATTGTGCTATATAAATGCAGTAGTAGAGCCAGACTACACCTACGTGGTCTAGTACTTCATACTAGGTAAAACAAACTCGTTGCATTTTATTTGTCACGATGTTTATTTGATGCACATCACAGTACTTCTATCCGCTATAGTGTAAAAATTTTTGTCGTCTATACGTTTCCGATAAATCCATCAAGGCAAAATCGAGCTGCTGTACTGAAGACTGTTTCATCTTGACAAAAAATGATGTCCGCATTCTTTTTCCCTTTCTTTACGAGAAATCAAAATTTTGAATTTTTTCCATGCCCTCGCCGAAGGTCATGTTGTTGTCGTCTAAATTTCCGAATCCCCCCATGCCGTCTTCCGCTTCCGACTCACTATCCGGGAAATATTTCGTTTTGAACTCCACAAATTTGTCCAGCAGCGGTTCCAGCTGCTTGTTCTTCGAGTTGTGCAACCGGGTGATCAATTCCTCGATCTTCTCCGCATACCCACAGGTCGCCGCGATCTGCTGGTAGTGGTCCGCCAGGGAATTCGTGACCTGTTGCGGTTATCGAGTGCAAACATGTCTGGGTCTGGGAGATTGCGAGATTTGTCGTGCTAGTCTGGCATGACTCAGGAATCTGTATTGCGTGGCAACCAAGAGCTCCTTTTGCCTGTCATGCAATAAACACGCAGTTTCTCATGCGGAATACGCAACTCAGAAGCATGAAAAAACTTGTCATGCTTGGCGGCGCATTACAGTGTGGTTATTATTCAGTGACCTGCATCACAACTTTCCAGACCCAGACATATTTGCATTTGATAGCGGTACGCCCGTGCCGTCTGGCTGCATGGTGGTAACTTGTTGCGTCGAGGACAATACCTTGGCGGAGCTATCGACCAAATTCGACAACAGCGGGGGCTCGAGCTGTTTGTTGTGGAATAAGTGGAGGAAAAACGTCGCCTGGTGGAAAAACATGACCGGGACTTGCTGGTACTTTTCCAAGCCGTACGCGTTGGTTTTCAGCGTGTTCTCCGTGACGAATTGAAAGATGGTCTGCAGTTCTGGCTGGTAGTTCGGATTCCCCTGCTCCTTCGTCGTCATCACCTGGACAATCTGTTCGGACAGGAAGGATACGTCGTTGGTGGCGAAATAGTTGGTGAAGCAGTAGATCAGCTCTTTCACCGTGTCATACTTCATCTTGGACCAGGCTTCGTTCTGCTGAAAATTCTTATGACACTGCACAACTCCCCCTTCCCCTCACTTGTAATATTCCATGAACCGCAATACAAACACCAACACACATGGAGCCTGTGCATGACAAGTTCTTCATGCGCCTCGTGTAAGTCGTACTGTTTGTGCTTCCGAAATTTGTCATGCAAACAGTCCCACAGCCCAGCAATTGGATTCAGGGTTTGGCATGACAAATGAGGGGGAAGGGGAGTTGTGCACTCTCATAATTTTGCCCGAGCTCCGACATTATGTCGAACACGTTCAGGTACTGGTTTTTTTTTTGAATTTGGATTTGGTTCTCCGCAATACAAAAACGCTTTTTCATTCGCTATTCGCATGACAGGTTCTCCCACGACTGCAGTCTGTGAACAAGCTGCGTGTTGACCACGACGCAACTCTGTGATGCGAAACAAAACCATCAGGAACTACAAGTAGAGGATTATCAAGATCCGGAGAAGTACCTCTGCCGGCGGTGCTGGTGGGTCTTCGGTTGGCCACGTGTTCGATGGATTCTCAACTCTCGGTATCAAAAGGAAAAATCTCCCCTCCCCATATCGAAAACGACGTTTCTGATGCTGGATTCGTGTACACAAATCCGGGCTGTCTTGCTGGGGAGGACTTCTGCAGGCCCATGCCAAGTGTGGGGAAGGAATTTCTTGCCTAGGCGTCCAGCACGAAAAACGTCCGCGCTGTAGGTCCAGCAGCATGATAAACCGCCTGCACAGTGCGGCGGTTGTCTGTGGAGTTGCCTGCTTGCAAGACAGACGCGATTTGCGACCACAAATCCGCATCACAAATTTCCGAAAATATTATACCTTTTCAGTACGGGGAGGGGAGATTTTTCTTTGCGATACTCGGGTCCTGTATCGGGTTCAAGCTATGATGGGAAACAACCTGTCCTCCTTCCCATTCATGATAGCTGGCGACTATCATACAAAATGGAGTCAACTTCTACTTACACAGCAGGCTGTGTAGTCATGCAAAATGATGATCATGATGTCGCAGGAATCTTTTGTCTCTGATCGCTTTTCCTCTTGGCGGACCGCGTGTGCATGACCTATTTCGGCGAGGATGAGGACCAATACCAAAGCAGCACGACTATCTAGGGGTTTGCTGAGACGTTCTTGTCATGCAGAAGTTACTTCTCGAATGCACGGGTACTAGTCCTATAATCTGTGTTGCTGCAGAGGGTCGTGCAGCAATATTAAACAAACAAACATCAAAGGACGACATCAACGGACGACAAGTTGTATTTTTTTTTTCCATACAGGTTGGAATTCGGCGACAAATCGTAGGGGAGAATACTTGCCAAAACCTGATCCGGCAAGGCTGCGAGTAGATTGGACACCAGCCAGCAATATGATATGCAAAAGTGTCTGGGTCTGGAAGAATGCAACTTGTCATGCTAAATCTGAAGCATACAAAAATCTGTGTTGCATGATTACCAAAAGTGGTCCAGTTTTGACCAAGTCGGGAGGGAGTTTCTCATGCAGGGTAGTCATGAGAGAGATCGCACAGAATCTGTCATGCTAGGTCCTGCATTCCAGACCTCGTGGGTCATGGAAAAGGTGCATGACAAATCTGACAATCTTCCAGACCCGGACATTTTTACAATCCATAAGCAACCTTCTTTCCTCGCCTGTGCGTGGTCGATGACGCGGAGCATTTTCAAAACCGCTGGGAGGATCCCGGATAACAGGCACACGTCGGTGTACTGTCTCGCTTCGGCGGACACGAGCTCACCTAACGCTTTCAAATATCAAATGCAAATATCCCCGGAGGTCTGGATGAAACTTGTGATGCTAAAACGTGGATGATATTAAAAACAGCTCCGAATGCAACCTAGCATGACAACTTTCCAGAACGCTTTCTCGTACGTATATCCGCATGAGAAACTGCGTGCTTGTGTGTACAAATGAGGCTACGACTTTTGTTGGTTTATGCAATACAGATTTCCTAGCTATGGAAAGCTAGCATTACAAGTTCCAAGCTTCCAGACCCAGACATATTTGCAATGCATATCAACGCGGGGATGCGGATGTCTTTCGTGTAGGAGCCGTCGTTGGGTTCGCCGTTCACATACCGACCCGTCCACACGGGGGTGCCAGAGTCGCGGGAAACCTGGACGATTTTTTCGATCGTGCGATAGTCATTTGTCATGCAGAAATTACCTGATCAGAATGTACTAAAACGGGTACGGGAACTGCTGCTATGCGCATATTTCTTAAAACGTTTCATTTGCAAGAAGCCACCGCATGACACGTGGAACTACAACTATCTATCATGTGGTGTCTCTTATATCTATACCTCTGGCTCCATTTTTGGCTCAATGATGGCGACCAGGCACCGCAAGAGCTGATTTGGTTCGACTAACACACCATTGCTGGAATCCTTCTGTCCCGCCATTAAAAAAGCATCCAATCTCACGTTGCCCTCGTCCTGTTGTTTTTGGTTGTTGTTTATCTGCATCCAGCCATTTTGCATGACAGAGAGGCACTTTTTCTTTCATCACGATGATTCTGCAAGACAAAAAATCCTGTGTAGCTGTAGGTGGGTAGAAGTAGTTCTTCCCAGCAGCACATAGGTGAAGGATACTAGCACAGCAATTATCAAAACAATACCGCTCGCACGTTCCCCTGAATCGCGTAGAAAATTCCCCACAGTGCCTCGGATGCTAATGTGTCCTTCATCTTTCTCCCCACCACCTCCGCAAAGACTGTCAAAGCGTATCCCGGGTAAAAACGTCCCCACATCATACTTGTCATGCAGATTTGCGATTACAGGAAGATTTGGAAAGCGTATCTCCGTGAGAGGCATTTCCAGTCGCGTCTTGGAATTTGTAATGCTGTAAACGGGATGAGCAGACGGATTTGTGATCCACGGCTGCACTTGCTAAACTACACTACAGCACGGACTGGAATTTGTCATGCGTTGCTCCCAAAGCCTCCGAGATTGTGTTGCTAAGTTCCCAATCATTGACTATGGGGAGGTGGGGACGTTTTTACATATGATAAAGCCGGCTGAATCTTTGCAAACTCGGGCGCGGGCTTCCCCCGGCAGCAGTTGGTCATCACCCACAGGACGTTTTTCAAGTTGTTTTCCTTCTCCGTTTCTGTCCAAGGGAGCTCGATGATGCCACTGCAAATCGATTGGAGAATCGGGATGATGTTTTTCTGCACCAGTTGGTCGCGCAGTTGGGCGCCGTCACCCGCGATGTTACCTGATGTAATTTTTTTGTGTATTATGCATTACAAATCTTCTTCTTAAGGTAAAGCACTGCATTACAAGTTTTATTTCTCATGCTGAGGAAATTATTTGTATAATGCATTTATACAACATCGTAAAAATTATGTACCTAATCCCCACACCGCCTGTTCGCACAGTTCTTGTCTCAGCGCTTTATCAAATGCAAAAATGTCTGGGTCTGGAAGAATGCATGTTTGTCATGCTTGTCTGGCATGACTCTTAAATCTGTCATGCACGTTGCCCAAGAGCCGCATTTTTCTGTCATGCGGAGACGCAGTTTGTCATGCAGAATAGGCAACACCTACAAGCTCAGAAATTTGTCATGCTGAGCCAGCACTTGTGGCCTCATCATGAGATGCCACCCAGCATCACAAGTTTCCAGACATCCAGGGATTTTTACATTTGATACGCTTGCTTTGACTGCAAGATGGATAAAAACGCGTCAATGCCACCCGCTTCCACTACATAACGGGTAAATTTGGAATCCCCAGACGCGATGTTGGTCACGGCCCACGCCGTTTCGAGGGTGAGCCTGATAATTTTCATTTTCATATTGTTCCCATAAATGATCCAGTTTGATGCAGGAGCTTCTGCACTTCTCCCAAACAAGCAGAAGCATAACATGAATATATTCGTATCCCGTCATCGACAAAAATAAGCTGATCACAATGTAAGTAGTAGTTCAATCAAAACTTCGTTGTGTGACGATTTTCATACTTCTAATACAGCATGACAAATTGAAAAATCCTAATACTTTGGATCCGTAGAGACCCGCATCAAGTCGACTAATTTCGGCGTTAAGTTTGCGGCGACCACTTCCTCTATTGGTGGCGCTTCTTCCTTTGACAACAGTTTTCTGACCACAATCACCGCTTCGAGCTGTGTCTCCGCGTCGCCGTCGTTAAATATCGCCTCCGCTAGTCTTGGCAGTTGCTTTTCCAATTTCTCTCCCTGGGGAAATTTCTGCCCGGGCGTCAACATGTTGGGCTCCGTTGATTGGCTGGCTGTTTGCTGGTTACTAAATTGCTGGACCTGCATGCCGCCATCTTGCATCGAGGAAGATGTGCTCTCGGCCCTGTTAAAAAGTTTTATTGTTTTGGGATTCACATTGGTTCCTGTTGCTTGCTCGATACGTAATTAATGACGGGTTCTTATTTCCTCTTCAGTTGCATCAAAGCTTTGGAACATCAATCGCCGATGATGTGGATAGTAGTTTCTCATCCAAGTCAAAAAAACCTACTGCGCAACATCAGAAACAACCTCACATCTTATGATGCAAAGCTACACAAATCAACAAATTTCCCTATAATGTCCTTAATACCCTGGTGTGCTGGTTGAGCTGTTGGCCAGTATCAAATGTAAAAATGTCTGGGTCTGGAAGATTAGAACTTGTCATGCTAAACCTGAATGATGCAAAAATCTGTGTTGCGTGAGTACCGAAAGCTGTCCGCTTTTGACCAAGTTGGGAGGGAGTTTCTCATGCAGGAAAGGCATGATAGAGACCTCCAAGAATCTGTCATGCTGGGTCTCGCATTCCAGACCTCATGGGTCGTGGAAAACCTGCATCACAAATCTTGCATTTTTCCAGACCCAGACATTTTTGCATTTGATAGCCAGCATATTGTCCCCAAACTGCTCCGCGATGGTCGTTGCATTTTTGTTATGCATTGCAAAAGTATCGTACTCGTGTAAATGCATTACAAATTTCCTCAGCATGAGAAATAAAATTTGTAATGCGGATTTACCTATAACAAAAAGATTTGTAATGCATGATTGCAATACGAGTATCAGATACTTTCGCAATTCATAGTTGTTTCGCTTCTGCGCCAAAATAGCTTGTTTCTCCGCTTTTCGGATCTGTATCAAAAGGAAAATTTCCCCTCCCCATATCAAAACGAAATTTCTGATTTTGGATGGCTAAGGGCTGGGTGTCCCTGTTTAGACTATACCTAAAAAACTTAAACCACATACCCGGTAAACTCTAGTAGGATTATTTGGACGATGTGATTTCTACCGAAAGACAGCAACAACAGCTCCTGGGAAGGCGGCGTAGTGAGCTGTGTTGTTATCTGAGTAGAAATAACTTCGTACAAATGTGCCCACTAGCACCGAGGCCCAAAACGAAATTTCTGATGCTGGATTTGGGCACACAAATCAGCTTTGTACTGCAGGAAAGCATTGCGGTCAGGTCCCCAAGCTAGGGAGGGGCGCATGCGTCTAGTTGTTCAGCATGGCAAGCGGCTCCCCTTTAGGCCCAACAGCATGCCAAATCGCTTCCATAATGAGGGGGAAGCTTCTGCCCTTGTCTTCTTGCAAAACAAATGTGATTTGTGACCTCAAATCAGCAACACAAATTTTCGGCAACATGTCTTTTCAATATGGGGAGGGGAGATTTTTCCTCTCAATAATCTGCACCTCGTCTTCCTCGCGTTTCCGTCGCACGTCATCCGGGTCCGCGGTGGCCTTGTACTGGTTTTTATCAAATGCAAATATGTCGGGATCTGGAAGAACGCAACTTGTGATGCCGCATTTCGATTCCAAAAAAAACTGTATTGCATGGGCAGCAGAGAGAGTGTAATTTTTGCTACGCGGTAAGTAGTAGGGGCATTTGTCATGCAGAATAGGCTTCAGAAAGCCCTGAGAAAAAAATCTGTGATGCTAGAGCATGCATCACAGATCGATCAGCACTCATGCAAAATGTGCATGACAAACCTTGTTCCAGACCCAGACATATTTGCAATCGATATTTCTTTCGGTCCTTGCCGAACTCCGACATGGTGGGCTGTTGGGTGGTCGTTGTAAAATGCCAAGACAGATGAGATGAAGCAAAGCAATTACTGTCGCCGAGTTGTACAAGCACAACTCGTCACAAGAACGTGGTGCAGACTACGGCCTCTCGTCCGGTCTCCCCTTCGGCCCATGCACTCCTGACAACTATCTTCCCCTGCTAGTGCTGATGTTCAACCGGTCATCTATCTGCGGTCTAGTACAACTACAACTCAAGACCCGTTATCAAATTTTTACCACGCTTCTATGTCTAATTCAGAATTCAGAATGGTACTTGCTAAAAGGGGAAAAAGTTGTAGAACGGAAAATAAATTCCGGGGGATCTTCGCTGTGTCGTGTGGAACAAATCGGAAAATAAATGCTGGTGTACAACGGAAGTAGATGAAAGTCGATCAAACTTTATTTTAGCAAGAAGAACTTAAGCATGTTTAATACTACAATGCCTTGTACAACAACAATATCTACGTAGTAGTGCCCGAATAAACCACTTTACAAACTTCTTTTTAGAGGTCCTGGAAATCATGTTCAAAAAAATTTGGCGGTAGTTTTTGATTCAATTTGGCGACGAAAATTTGGAACTGCGCCGCTGAGAGATGATGACTTCTGTGCACAGTACTAGTTTCTGATCTTTTACAGTCGTATTCGTATAGGTATTTTCTCTTCCAAAGACATTTTTCGATTTCGAAAGAGGAAGCAATTTCATCCCGCAAAATGCTGGATGTAGAATTTGGGGACAAGAACCATATTGCATTTTGTGACCACTACTTCGTCTGCTTCGAAGCTATAATTTTCAACGAAAGCAAAAATCCTTGTAAGCACGTTGAGTGCTTTTTACACTTGCACTTCTGATCGCTGTCATTTTTGGTCCCAGAAATGGTGACCAAGTTGCTCAAGGAATAAAGCTGGATCCTTTCAGGACGAGACCTGTTCCTGACTTGAAGTAGTAGTATTTCAGAAACTGACAAGGAACAACACCTGGACCTGCTGCTGTGCGGTTTTCAAAATAGAAGGGTCGCCGCTTTGTTTTGCAACTACAATAAATGCTCTTCGCTACTAGTGCATTGTGTTTCATCTCACAAGAAAGGTACGAAGTTCTGATCATTTGTTTTTGTACTGTCATCCTTTTCAAAAAGCATCAACCGGATAATTCCACCTGCATGTTGAGCCTCCTTCGTATTCGTTGTCGACTTCTACAGGAATATATTTCGCCTACTTAAGCTGACCGAGTAGGAAAATTCACACGACGCTGTTTGCCGAGCCACAGTTGAGACGTTTATCGATACTGCAGCGCTACTGGAGGAAATCCTTTGGTTGCTTGTTCGTTGTATGAAAAAAAACTTTTCAGCGATCATGAAATCTGATACATAGAATGTTGTAGGTCAAAAAGAAAAGCGCTTAAAAGGTTTTAGGATTTTTGCAACAGGGGCAAAAATCGATCGTACTGTCACATTACTTAATTTGTGTGCGTATTTATGAAATTTTAACAACTTTGAGAAGGCTTAGCTTGCGATAAAACAAATCTCTGATACATATCCCAGCCTCCGGCCCGCTCGCATGGCCTACTGCACAACATCATCATTCATCATCATCGTCACCAAACGGAGAAAAGGATTTTGATTGCTCCTCGTCTGCCACGTTCTGGCAAAAGTGGTCGACCACCGGAGCCTATCAAATGTAAAAGTGTCTGGGTCTGGAAGAATCCGAAACTTGTTATGCTGTTTTTGCATGACACAGAATGTCTGTCATGGAAGCCCTAGCATCACAGATCTTTCGAGGCCTTCCTGGTACCTATTCCGTGTGACAAATGCCCAACACGCGTAGCACAAACCGGACTCCTTTTGCTGGTCATGCAATACAGAATTTTTTAGCGTCCAAAGTTAGCATCACAAGTTCCAACCTTCCAGACCCAGACACTTTTGCAATCCATAGAGCCTCCTTCGCATCCGAATACACATCCGGATCTTCCATGCAGTTTACGAGCCGAAGGTGTTCGACGGATATGAAATGTAAAAATGTCTGGGTCTGGAAGATTGCAACTTGTGATGCTAACTTTGGAATCTAAAAAAATCTGTATTGCATGACCAGCAAGAGGAGCCACATTTGTGCTACGCGAGGAGGGCATTTGTCATGCGGAAATGGCATCAGTAAGCTTTCCAAAAATCTGTGATGCTGGGTCATGCATTACAAGCATCACGGGTCATGCCAGACAAGCATGACAAGCCTTCCATTCTTCCAGACCCAGACATTTTTACATTTGATAACAGATTTCGAGTCACCAATCGCGTTGTCAAACTTGTACTTCTCCTGCATCTGGGTGAATGGCTGCGACGTTTTTTTCGCCAGATCGCACCACTGCCATTCCGCGTCCTTTGCCGTTTCGTTGACGAGGTGGTACTTGGTCGCCCAACCAGCAAAGCGCTCCTGCTCCGCGTATCAAAGTGAAAAATCCCCCCACCTCCCCATATCCAAACGGGATACTAAATTTGTGATGCTGATTTCTGACCACAAATCATGTTCTCATGCTAGAGAGCAAAGGATGCGGACTGTAGTGCTCCTGGCTGGCGTGGGAGAGCCTGGCATCTTCAGCATGACAGGAGGCAACTGGAAGAGGGAAACAGCATGACAAAAAAATGCCTACAATTCAGGCCACAACTGCGTCGCTTGGCCTTCTAGCAATACGATTTGTGTACGCAAATCCAGCATCACAAATGTCCTCTTTGATATGGGGAGGGGGGATTTTTCCTCACAATACCGCTGTGCAGTTGTTCGCCAGGCGTTCCAGGTTTTCGTCGGAAATCTCTTGCTTATACCTTGCAAATATGTCTGGATTTGTGATGCGAGATTTGAAGCACAGCAAGATCTGTGATGCATCGATAGGAGGGGTAAGCAAAGTTTTCTTGTCGTGTTGGGAAACTAAGGGCTGAAAGTAGCCAGTCTGTGATGCTAAACGCACTAGAATAATATATTATTCGCGAGAAGCCGAGATGAAGCGCCACTTGTCATGCTGTTTCTAGGCCGCACTAGGGAAATAGCCCCTGCTGGCAACATGTACTTAAGGACCACGATGACAAATTGTCTGAAAAATCCTTGTTCCAGACCCAGACGTATGTATTTCAGTTGATATTCCTTCGCTTTCTTCCACCACTGGCGAAACTGTCGCCAATAGTCCAGAGGCTTGATGCTGTTTTTCTCTTTCAACGCCTTCTTGACCAGCTTCTCCTCCTGCCGCTTTCGCCGTGCCTCCCGCAGTCTTTTCTGCCGCTCTCGGTTATCCAAGAAAAAAACTGTGTGAGTGTAACTTTGTACTAGGGACGAGAGCAGCATCACAAATTCGTTTTGCATTACAGGAAAAACAAGAACCTGTCATGCGCGGCTAGTATCTTCACTGGAAGAACGTGTGAGAGTAGCCTATGACCACGCAGATCCAGCATGACAAGTGATAGCTGTTTTTCATAATTCTGCATCACAGACTTACACGACTCACACAGTTTTTATTCTCTTCCATACCGGTACCAAACGCGGACCCGCGCGAGGAGGTTTTGGTGCTTGATGTATGCATTGCAAATATGTCTCGGTCTGAATTTGTCATGCGACTTTGGAAAGGCAGAGAGATCTGTAATGCATGAATCCGACGGGCCAGTTTTTTTCTCGTGCTGGAGGCCACTTCTTTTTGATGCGTTTTTACGAAAGATCATAATCTGCAATGAGCCTCGCAAAGTGTCTGATGCTGGTATTTTGCCGTACCCGTACATACTGGGCTACTCTGCAAAAATGCAAGCTTGTTCAGCAACACAAGTTTATATATTCCAGACCCAGTCCAAAGATTTTACTAAGGGAGTAGAAGCATCACAAGTTGCATCCTTTCAGACCCAGAAGACATACTTATTTGCAGTTGATACAGGAGGGTCAGCAGGAGCAACGGGTTATCAAATGTAAAAGTGTCTGGGTCTGGAAGAATGCAACTTGTCAGGCTAAATCTGAAGCATGCAAAAATCTGTGTTGCATGATTACCAAAAGTCGTCCAGTTTTGACCAAGTCGGGAGGGAGTTTCTCACGCAGAATAGGCATGAGAGAGATCGCACAGAATCTGTCATGCTAGGTCCTGCATTCCAGGCTTCATGGGTCATGGTATAAAAGCTGCATGACAAATCGCGCATTTTTCCAGACCCAGACATTTTTACATTTGATACAGGTGGCTCAGGAAGAGCAACAGGGGCGACGCCGCCAGTTTGGGTTATGGGAGTGTCAGGATTGAAATCGTCAAAGTTGAAATAGTTTGTCATGCATAAAATGGATGAAATTTGTAACCCAGTTTCCAAGTGGCGCATGACAAATTTTAGCGGCGCCTGAACCGAGTTTGTAATGCTGTTTGGGTAAGGAAGACGCCTTTCGTCATGCTACTTTAGCAGCTCTATTTCTACCCCTCAACAGGCTCACAATCTGCCTCCCTTGCCTACTCTGCAAGACAAGCACTTTGTGGGTTGCATTTTATGCATCACAAACTATTTCAACTTTGACGATTTCAATCCTGACGCTTCCATATGGGTCACCGTTGAAGTAGTTGGGGCTTGTTCAACACTTTGGTCAAAAACTGCAGTAGTTTCATGCGGCTCAGGCTTGGCGGAAGCAGGTGCTTCACCCGCTGCCGCATCTTCGGTTTCGGTGGTACTGGGATTAGGGGCCGTTGCTGCTTCCTGGTCGGCAGTGGTTGCAGCTGCACCGCGTTTTTTGTAGTTCTCCTTCTTGGTATTCCGTCCCACGAAGAGACCCGCAACGCGGAAAATGACGACGCCCGGATGAAGTGATAAACTTGCTGTCCCTTATCAAATGCAAATATCCCTGGATGTCTGGAAACTTGTGATGCTGGGTGGCGTATCATGAGGAGGCCACAAGTGCTGGCTCAGCATGACAACTTTCTGAGCTTCTTGGTGTTGCCTATTCTGCATGACAAACTGCGTTTCTGCATGACAGAAAAAAGGGGGTCTTGGGTAATGTGCGTGACAAATTTAAGAGTCATGTGAGACAAGCATGACAAACTTGCATTCTTCCAGACCCAGACATTTTTGCACTTGATATCCCACAGTACAGGGGGACGACGGCCGCCGCGCCTAAAATGCCCTTCAAGGGTTTCACTTTCATGTTCCTTCTGAGAAAGAAAAACAAATCGAAACCAGAAAAAAGTTCAGCAAAGTTATTTTACACGGCTTTCAGAGAATAAATACTCATGTTGACGGGTCGCAACTGGCAGGGATCTGAAAGTTCGTTGTAGTGGTTCTGGTTATTTTTTCTGCAGGTTAATCATAGATAGTACAAGTAGTTGTAGCAGCCCGCTTTAAGAAATAAAACAGCTTGCAAGCATGAACTATTGGAACTAGCGGAAGAAGATTGCAGCATAGAAGCCTTGTTCTGACACTTTTCCTGCACAATCTGCATGTAGGTATTGACTACTTACACCGATGGCTGCTGCATTCACAGACGTCACACCGAAACCACCGACGAGCCGGAAGCGGCTACGGTGGGCCATATTGACTGCTGCATGAAAATACAACAACGACCGACAGGTGTGCGGAGAAGGAACAAAGGGACCACCGACTTTGCGCAGAAGGTGGTCGTGGAACTACCGACAATACATACTGAGAAGAGCACCACACCAAACCGATCATTGGATTACACAGTGGCAGGGCAGCTGGAGCTGCCAAATGCAAATATTAAAAAACCGAGCAAAAATAATAGTTGTAAACAAGTTCTTAAACTCACCGAGCCAGCTGCCAACGGCAGAACTTTCACAACGCTGAACAACTTTTGTACTACAGGCCTGGTGTTCATCTTCTCACGGCCTAAGGGCGACCGACGCGGTTAGCTGCTCGCGTCAGCTCCTTCCGCTGGTTCGTGGTTCCAATACGTTCTGGGGGAGAAATAGAAAATGAAAATGATATACCGGAAAGAGCATCAGATCGACTGAAAACAACACAGGCCGCAATAGTTTTTCCGATAGGTTTATTATTTGTAAGCTCTGCAAGAAACTAGTGGGGGCCTCTATTTTCTTTCCGAAACTACTGCGCGTTGTTGAAATCAATCGAGCTGTGTTGAACTAAGTAAAAAAATGACAGTGTGGGGATACTAGTCAAGACTTTTGACGGTCTACTGACTGAAATGGGGGGAGTGCTACTTGAAAATTAAATCCGACACCACCCTCTCGCGCGTTCCCTTGCAGCTCCTGTTTTTGTACTACGGAATAAACATTGTCCTAAAGATAATTTTCCTTCAGAAACTGTGGTGCATCGCCTAGACATAGTACGACTTAGCGCGGTTCTAGTAAGGAAACTAGCGCGGTTCCAGTTCATCCTCGTGCGTGGTGTACTATTGGAAATAATTTTGATTTGAAATAACAAATCTTCCGTATACGTATTCGAATGGGATACCTTCGATAAGCTTTTATTTTCGGGATGTGCTAGAAACAAATATGGAAACCGAAACATCTTGAAAACGACCTGTGCGAGAATACTTGTAAGAGTGCCTAGTACTTGGGGACGACTACTTGTTGTTCAATGGGAATGAAATTACTTATAGAAATTTAGGGTTACTTGGTGATAGCCTATGCTGTATCGTTGACAATGCGGTGAAAACGATGCTTTACTTCTTCGGGGAGAGCTGAAAAGATGACGTGGTGAAAAAAGATGACTCGGGGAAAGACTAAAATTACGAGCGGTGAACATGCAAAAATGTTTTATTGGGTACTACTCGGAGGTTGAAAAATGAATGCTGTGCAGTTCTACTTTTGCGCCAAATTGATGGAGCAAAATTCTGGGGAGGTAAAATGCTAGTACTGCGGAATAGAAAGCAAGATTGGGCTTTTTACATAGGCAATATAGAATTTTTCTAGTTCCTGGGAAGTGCTGGTCTACTTTGTGCTGTAGGGTTAACTACTAGAAAAGGGTACAGCTACCTTTATTTTGCGATACAAAACTGAGTTTAGGGCGGGATACGTACTATGTGAGCAGTCAGGAAACAAAAAGTAAAAAGCGAACAAAAACCACGGTAGAAAAAGAACTGGGAAATAAAATGTAGGAAAAATAGTTCGCTCCTCAGATGAAAAAATAACCGCCTTGGCTTCGTACCTATGCTACACTTCTCCTAGCATGTAGCCTTGTTTGTTTCCGTGCTGCTACAGCCCGTAACAACACCTCCTTAACACTCTCCTTTGTTGGAACGAATCCTGATAGATGGTTCTTGCAAAAAATGTAACAGTAAAACCGAAAAATGTAGATGTGAATCGAAAGATGCAAATAGGAAATGTCAAATGTGAAAAAGCAAAATGAAAAAAATTGAGTGAAGCTGTAAACTGGTGAAAATAAAGTGATAGATGTACTTTTAAACAAGAAATCTTCGTGTGATGATGAAATGATGAAAATGAAAATCGAAAAATTGAAAAAAAAGTTCGTACGAAAGATGCCCGATGCACTATCTTACACAAGAACCAGACAAGGAAGAAATTTGTCTCTGTCAAAACGCCGTGTGTAGTGTCTCCTTCACCTCACCACGGGCACTATCATATGTAAAAACGTCCCCACCCCATAGTCGTCAAGTTGGGAACCTAGCAAGACAAATCCAGATCCACAAGTTTTGGGAGCCACGCATGAGAAGTTGCAGTTCGTAGTACGGTGCACGTTAGCAAGGACAATCGCATCACAAATCCATCTGCTTATCGTGTTGATAGCATCACAAATTCCAAAACACGATTGGTAACGCCTGGCATGGACATGCACATTACAAATCTTCCTGTCGTCGCAAATCTGCATGACAACTCTGGGGTGGGGACGTTTTTACTCAGGATAGGCACGCGCTCCGGTTCAGGCCTGGTGGCATCCCGTACATTCCCGACGACGATCCCCGGTTGTATATCCTGAGCAAAAACATCCCCACCCCAAAGTTGTCATGCAGGTTCGCTGCAATAGGAATAGCAGGAGCATTTGTAATGCGCATCCACATGAGAGGCATTTTCAATCCTGCAGTTTCGGAACTTGTAATGCTGAAAACAGGATAAGGAGATGAATTTGCCATGCGACTCTCCTTGCTAGTAGACCGCTACACTACACTACAGCCTGCAAGAACTTGTCATGCGTGACTCCCAAAACTTTCAAGTTTGTGTTGCAAAATCCCCTCCTTGACTCTGGGGTGGGGACGTTTTTGCTCAGGATACGCGGACCCGCATGCCCTCGCACGTTCATCATGTGCTGGCGGCGCGCCGGCGGCGACTGCGAACCCGCCATCGAGTCAGACGGGGAGGCGCACGAGGTTGCGACGCCGGACGCGGTAGACCGGGCAGTCGGGGAACTGCATATCCAAGAAAAAAACGTTGTAAATTTGTGATGCGCAACACGCAAGATGATTGCGTCTGTCATGCTTGGCATGCATCATAGGGTCCATTAAAAAGCGTTTTCCCGTACTATCTGCGCATGACAGGTTTTGGCTGTAATGCCAGACAAATTTGTGATGCTGTTCCTCCAAAAAAATTACACCTACAATGTTTTTTTCTGTGGGATACTGCAGGTACTGAGCGCACTGAACCGATTGTTTCCTTGCGCACCCAGACCGTGCCCGATCGGGAGGTGTTGACCACCGCGAGACGAGTTGCTATTCGAATTGCTGTACCGAATCGGAACCCCATTCGCGTTCCGCTGCACCACCACATTCTTGGTCGGCCCCATCATGCTCCCAGAGCTTGAGCTGCTGTTCCCCATGCCAATCCGATTTTGGTAGGTGTAGACCTTCCACGCCTGAATGACACTCATCATCCACTGGCCCACCGTCAGATGCGAACCCAAAATCTGCCGCAACTCATTGGTCCGCAACCCAAACCGTTGGTAGACCAGGTCTTGCAGCTTCTTCGAGGTGAGTTTCTGGCTGTTGTTGCCAGGACCAGAGTGGGATTTGCACTGGATGTAGTTCTCCAAAATCTCCTTTTTCATGAAGTAAACCACCTCTTCCGGCGTGGCTTTCTGCTCCAGAGTCAGCTGCGCTGGAACGGCGCCAACTTGTTGCAGTGGCTGAGCAGTCGTTCCGTCACCGTCTGTCGGACTGGTGGCGCCGATCGTTTGCTGGGTAACAGTGCTCAAGGAAGCAGGGGCGTTCCAGTAGGTCTTCAGAACGGGAGCTATCATTTGTAAAAACGTCCCCACCCCCGAGTTGTCATGCAGATTTGCAATGACAGGAACAGTTGTAATGGGCATCTCCATGAGAGGAATTTCTAGTCGTGTTTTGGCATTTGTAATGCTGCAACCAGGATAATGAGATGGATTTCTGATGCGTTTGCCCTTGCTAACCTGCACTACACTACGGACTGCAACTTGTGATGCATGAGTCCCAAAACTTCCAGGTTTGTGTTGCAAAATCCCCATCTTGACTATGGGGTGGGGACGTTTCTACTCAGGATAGGAGCTGTCTCCTCTTCTTGGGCGGGCCCCAGATGAACTACATCAAGTTCATCTTGAGCAGCATTCATCTGTTCCTCCGCTTGTTCGTCCGCTTGCAGCTCCGGAGGCGGTGGCGGGGGGATTTCCGAATCCGAATCCGAGTCCAAGTCCTCGACGTTGTTTTCGTCGTCGTCTTCACTCTCGATAGTGTCAACCTGCTCCTCCTTGTGATTCGCAAAAATCGCGTCCAGATCAAGCGTCAAGCCCGGCGCACCGCCAGGAACAACAACCGGGCGACTCGCCATGGTTCCCGTTTGCTGTTGTGCCGTGGCAGAACAAAGAGAAAGGTACTCATCATGTTGCTGACCGTTGTTGTTCACACTGATGTCCTCATCCATCGTCGACACCACCTGCAGCTGCACCTGCACGTCGATCGACGTAGTGGTTTGCTGCTCCAAAATCGACGATCCCGTCGCGGTAGAACTTTCGATTGCAATGTTGTTTAATATTTCGGGCTGCGGGGGTTGCTGGTGCTCTCCTACTTCTTGTGGGCTGCGGACATTTATTTTGGGACTCATGTCGTCCTCTGCTGGGAGATGAATTGTGGTTCCTGCACCCTCGAGAACATCGAGTTTAGCGTGCACGACACCAAACGTTGTTGTAGTAGCATCACCGGCACGACCTCCGGCCGTGTTCACACCAGGAATAGTCTCGAAGCCGTAAAAATTTTCCATGCCAAACTATCGCAAGAAAAAACGATGTTTCACTCTATACGATTTTTTTGCAAGTTTTGCATCTTTCTTCGCAGGTTTGTTCTACATGACAAAAAAAAATTTGGCATACAAGGTTCCAAAGGGAAAAGTAGACATACTAAAAAATTAACTGTCTTCGCATGTCGAGTAGCAAGACAAATCCTTCTGGGATACACTTTCTGCATTAGAAGCTATACAGTGAAACAGTTTTTGCCTGCGATACAAACATCAAATTCTCCTCATCCTCCTCATCCTCGGGCGAAAAGTCCTCCTGCGCGGCCAGCGCCTCGTCGACGGGAGAATAAAGCTCGTCGGTCAGGTCAATGGCCTCCAGAACCAGTTGCTTGCGCCGGTTGGTGGAGGAGGTTTCGAGCTTGGTAGAAGTTGTCTCCCCGCCGCCATTAAGATGCTCCTGCTGTTGAGCAATCGCAATCCTCTGGTCCGCAACAGTTACAGCCTCCTCGGTGGAAGTCGTGACTTGCACCGAAGTTGTGCTCGATAAGTGCTCGTCCACATCCTCGGTGGAAGTCGAAATAGGCTCGGAAAAATCTTCTTCCTCTACTTCATGCTCGGGTGCTCCTTCCAGAGCTCCTCTATCAAATGCAAAAATGTCTGGGTCTGGAATGTTGTCGGGTTTGTCATGCATATTATGCATGACCCAGGATTGTGTGTGATGCATGCCCTACCATCACAGACTTTTAGAACCCTTCCTGATGCCTACTCCGCATGACAAATGCCCTCCCCGCGTAGCACAAACTAGACTCCTCGTCTTGCTGGTCATGCAATACAGATTTTTTTAGAATCCAAATGCAGCATCACAAGTTCCAACTTTCCAGACCCAGACCTATCTGCATTCCATATCCTCCTGCAGGAAGAATTTCTTGCATTCCATTCACTAGGTCCACCTTTAATGTGTTGTTCGTACCAGCTGCAGGAGGGGTCGTCAACAGCATCTGTTGCTTCAGCAGCGACGCATTCCGCATGGCGAGTTGCTGCCTCGTCGGCTGTGCCAATTTCGAGTAAGCATTGTTGGAGGTTGCAGGAGCTGCCGGTGCTTTAGTTGTACCAGTTGCGGTAGTGCCTGAGGACACGGATGCCGCCCGAGAGGAGGTCGTGCTAGTAGCTGCACCAGCGTTCTTACAAGTTTCCTTCTTGCCACCAGTGCCACCTTGCTGAACCAGCGCCACCAGTTATCCTGAGTAAAAACGTACCCACACCAGAGTCAGGATGGGGAATCTGCTAGACAAATCAGCCAGCTTTGGTTGTTTGGCATGACAAGTTTGTCCGCGTAGTGTAGTGCTGTTTGAGCTAGTTTAGCAGCATTACAGATCTAGTATCTCGTGCTGATTGGAGCATGACAAATTTCAAAACCGCATTAGAAAATGCTTCTCATGGGGCTCCGCATGAGAAACATTTTAAGCATGCAGAGTTGCATGACAACTATGGTGTGGGTACGTTTTTACTCAGGATACCAGTTCGTTGGACAGTTTCCGCGCCGCGGCATTCACGAGCTCCTTGCTGTTGCGGCTACTGCTGCTGTATCAAAGGTAAAAATGTCTGGGTCTAGAAGAATGTAACTTGTCATGCTAAACCTGAAGCATGCAAAAATCTGTGTTGCGTGATTACCAAAAGTCGTCCAGTTTCGACCAAGTCGGGAGGGAGTTTCTCATGCAGGATAGGCATGAGGGAGATCGCACAGAATCTGTCATGCAAGGCCCTGCATTCCAGACCTCGTGGGCCATAGAAAAGCTGCATGACAAATCTGAAAATCTTCCAGACCCAGACATTTTTGCAATCCATATGCTTCGGCTGTGCGCGGTCCGGTGCGAAGACAACCCAGAGCGTGTCAGAACACTGTACGACGGAGCAGCAGGATAAGCAGTACTAGTTGCACCTTGTTGCTGTGACGTTGCACGCGGCTGCTGCTGCCCATTCATTTTACCGTTGGCGAAGTATCCTGAGTAAAAATGTCCCCACCCCAGACCCAGAGTTGTCACGTAAATCTGCATGCCGAAAAAGTTTCTCATGCGGAGGAGCCCCATGAGAGCCATTTCCTAATCCTGTTTTTGGAATTTGTGATGCTAGAATCACCACGATATGCTACATCTGTGATGCTTCGGAACTAGCTAAACAGGATTACGCTACGAGGATATTAAAGCTGTCATGCGAAACAACCAGAGGTGGCTGATTTGTCTAGCGGATTTCACATTTTGACTCTGGTGTGGGGACATTTTTACTCAGGATACGAAGCTGTTGTTCATCATCATGCTCCCTTGAAGATTTTGTTGGCGTTGCTGCGCACTGTTTCGCGGGATCGACGTCGTCGGGGGGCAGAAGGTGGACCGGTTGTGTTGTTGCTGTTGCTGTTCCAGCATCATTCTGCGTTGCATGGCGGCAGACGAGACATTTTGATTTTGCTGGTGCAACATCATCGAGGTCGCATGATTAGATCCTCCCTGCTGCCGCTGCAACCGCTGGTGCGTGCCGGAAAAAGCAACGTTGACTTGGTTCGCCAGATAGTTCTTGTTCATCATCGGAGCAGTGGCACCATTGCCATTCATCATCTGCGGATTATTCTGGTACTGTGCGCCTTGATGACCCCCGCTGGTGCTGTTGTACCCTCCACGAGAGGTGGACATCACACCTTGCGCTTGGTGCGCACCAGAAGCCCCCGCCGCGGTCGTTTTGTTATACTGCGACAGCATGTGCTGGACTGCAAGCTTCTGATTTTGGTGCGCGGATTGATGTTGGGAACTCCGCATCATTTGCGCGGCGTGCTGCGACGTCGATTGTTGATGAAAGGAGCCATGAGTTTGCTGCATATTCATCCTGCTTTGCTGCTCTTGTTGTTGTTGTGCGTAATTATTGTACTGCATGGACGAGGCAGCTGCTGCTGCAGTTATCCTGAGTAAAAACGTACCCACACCAGAGTTGTAATGCAGATCTGCAAAGACAGGAAGACTTGTAATGCGCATGCCCATGAGAGCCATTTCCAATCGTGTTTTGGAATTTGTGATGCTGTGAACAGGATGAGCAGAAGAATCTGTGATGCGGCTGCACTTGCTAACCTGCACTACACTGCACAGTGCAACCTGTCATGCGTGACTCACAAAACTCCTAGGTTTGTGTTGCAAAATCCTCATCCTGCCTCTGGTGTGGGTACGTTTTTACTCAGGATAGCAGTTGCGCTGCCCGTAGCTCGCGCAGCACTTCCCGACATGTGCCGATATCAAATGCAAAAATGTCTGGGTCTGGATGGAAGTTTGTCATGCAGATTTTCCATGACCCATGAGGTCTGTGATGCATGCCCTAGCATCAGAGAGTCTGCGAGGGCTTTCTGATGCTCATACCGCATGAGAAATGCCCTCTCCGCGTAGCACAAATTGCATCTCGTATGCTCTTCATGCAATACAGATTTTTTTAGAGTCCAAAGGTAGCATCACAAGTTCCAACTTTCCAGACCCAGACACTTTTGCAATACATAGCCGACTACCACTCGCGATGTTCATGTTGTGTTGCGCGGAAGTAGAACTGTGCTGCAGCTGATTGCTGTTCTGCGCCTGCCGCTGTTGCTGCTGCGCGGGCAATGCCGTTGTAGTTGTAGTACCAGTCACGACACCAGCTGCAGGAGCAATGGAGGTTGTTGCACTACTTGTACTCGTTGCACCACCGCTCGAAGAACTAGTAGTTGCATGTTGATTACCAGTATCAACTGCAAATATCCCTGGATGTCTGGAAGAGTCTAGACTTGTCATGCAGGTTTTCCATCATGACCCATGAGGTCTGGAATGCGGGACCTAGTCGATGACAGACTCTGTGAGGTTTCTGATTCTGTCATGCCTATCCTGTCGATGAGTAGAAACTCCCTCCCAACTCGGTCCAAAGTGGACGCCAGCTTTTGATACTCATGCAACACAGATTTTTGCATCATTCGGACTTAGCATGACAAGTTGCAAGCTTCCAGACATCCAGACATATTTGCAATCCATAACCAGCAATGATCTGCTTCGCCTCCGACACGTTCCGCATGTAGGCTTGCATTTTTATCGCCAGAAAAAACTGTCTCACTGTAAATTTGTAATGCAGAAAATGCATCGGCGAAGTGTTTGTGTTGCTACACATGCAATACAGTGGATCTTTCGCTGTGTTTTCCCCTAGGACCGTCGCATGGCAAATTTTCTCTGTCATGTAGAACAAACTTGTGATGCAAAACTTGCAAAATCCTTACCATGAAACACTTTTTTCGTGCAATAATTTTCGTGGGCTGTCCAATCTTGGAGTAGTCGACTTTCTTCTGCTGCAAGGGCTGCGCGCTTGTTTGGGCAGCTTCCGCCGTAGCCGCAGCTGCACCGGTCGTTATCGGGGGCGGCGGCGGCACCTGACGCTCCGGGCGCTGCTTGGAATGCGGACTGACGGAGGAAGTGGCCGTAGTAATTCGGTTCAACATTTGAGGTTGCTGCTCAGAAGATGTTCCTGCTGGAGGAACAGCAGTATGCATTGCAAATATGTCTGGGTCTGGAAAAATGCTGCGTTTGTCATGCTCTGCTAGCATGACTGTCAAGTCTGTCATGCAAGGTACCCAAAAGCGCCACTTTTGTGTCGTGCAAAAACCCAGTTTCTCATGCAGAATAGGCAACACGTAGCGACTCAAAAACCTGTCATGCTGAGCCGTCATTTCTGGCGTTCTCTTGTTTCGCAAACCAGCATCACAAGTTCCCAGACCCAGACATATTTGCAATGCATAAGCAGGACCACCTCCGCCCTGTTGCTCGTCTCCGGGCACTAGCCCGAGCTTGCCCATCAGCCCGTCCGTGCTCAATGTCTGGCCGGTCTGTATAACCTGCTCAGCTGTTACCATCCCAAGCGTTACAATAGATTAGGGAAATCTGTGATGCAAGAGTGCATGCTCTAGCCCACTCTCATAGGATTGCGCATGACAAGTTCCGGAGTCGTCCCAAACTCCACTACAATCTGGCGAAATTTGTATTGCCGAAAGTGGAACCCTCTGCGAGCCTGTCATGCTCATCATGCAACACAAGTTGCAAAATCTACTGTAACGCTTGACATTGTAACCTTTGAGCAAGCAATAGTCTGTCCCGAGGACTTCTGGATGGTTTCCACCGTGGCCTGCAACAGCTTCTTCATGTAAAACAACTCCTCCTGCTGCTTCCGCATCTGCTCCTCTTTTTCGGTCAATTCCTGCTTCAATTTCAGCTTCTCCGCATCCTCTTTTTTCTGCTGCTTCACAGCGGCCTGTTCGTTGTCTTCAGTTCCTTCCACCATAGCACCACCCTGGTGCTGGTCGCGGCTTTGTCCCGTGGATGAACTAGAGTCGTCTTGGTCCGTCACCAAATCGGGCGCGGCGAAAAATGGCCGCTGCTGCTCTTCTTCCTCCCGATCCCCCTCGAAGGGGATTTCGTGCTGCTGCCGCACGGCGGTCATCTTTTGGGGAATTTCCAAATCTTCCAGCAGGCTAACCGCACGCCGAGGTGGCGCGCTGTCGTTGTAGAAAATTTGTCCGCCGGCCGGGGGAAGCTGCGTGGCCGTTGTGACCCGCGGCTGGTGGCAGTAATTCGACGACGAGTTTGAGTCCGACTCCTGCTCCGTGGTCGACAGCTCTTCGACGGCGCCGCCCGCTCCACAAGCGGAGGTTGCAGATGAAGAAAACGCTGACGGAAGGTCGGTACCAGGGCAGAATTTCAACAATCCCTGCATCCCCGAACCTACCAGCTCGACGGAAACGCCTTCCCGCTGCAGCTCCGGTTCTACTTGAAGGTGCTCCTGGAGGTCCACTTGCTCCCCCACATAGGCCGCCGCCCCGGCTCCTGCCGCTGTTGTTCCCGCGCGGGACGCAGGGCTGAAGGTGCCGCGCGCCGGCGGACTGTGACACGACATGTTTTCTTGTTTTATTGGCAAAAAAAAACAATGTTTATTTTCAGTCGTCTAGTACCTGAGTAGAAGACAAGGAAGATCGATCGTGGTCACGATGTCGGGGTTCTAACTTTCGTTTTGGCACTACTGGAGAAGAACAATACTTGTTCACAAGAACAACTACCTTAATATCGCACCACAATTTATCCTGCGGTTGCACTCAAAGACTACTTTTAGTACCAGTATCAGTACCAGTACCAGGGAACGAAAAAGTTAGTACGAGATGAGAACAACCTTAGCTGGTGTGTGTCTGAACGATCGAAGAACAACGGGGGAGCGAATAGTACTAAAGAACGAGGAAAACAACAACAACACGGGCTTCGGGGGGAAGTAGATGTTGCTGAAAGTAGAACTACGAGGAAATAAGCAGAATAGTAGAGAGGAACTCTAGCAGTTCTGCACAGCCTCGAGGAGCGGGAAGGGGGAAGATAGAATTATTTGCTATGCGAGGTTGTATTGCTGAAATACGTGCTGGATGACTCCGAAAGGTCACCAAAAGCCTGGCGTGCAGAAGTGGTTTTGATTGTATTCGACAGCTTCATAAGTAGTTGTGTTTTAGTTTTCCGTTTCAATCGCGTAAAAATGATATTGTAGTGCAATAGTGGACAAAAATATTTTTTACGCATGCAGTTATTATTACTAAAGTCGTCTTGACATCACGGTAAGTAACACGAATTGCGGCACACGAATTTATTTTGCGGCACTAGCTAGCTGCACGAACGGCAAGACGGTGGAGAAGCAGGACGAGAGAGATCAACACGGTGAGGACGATGACGACTGTAGGAATTTATCTTTACGCAAAAACGATAGTAAACGAGCAAAGCACGACCACAAGCAGCATTTCCTACGACAACGATCAGATGTCCTACGACAACGATGTACTATTCTCGCTGTACCTATTGAACGACATTTTTATAATCCGCTATTTGTTCCACAGCGTCTCTTGAGTACTTCTTCCGAGACAACTTCTTTTTCCATAGCACGCGTGAGGAGCCCAAGCTCTGAACAACGGCACGGCAGTGTGAGAAAATCAACCCTATGATCTTCAGGTTTGGTGGCTCAAGGCATGACTACTTCTTCTTATATGCGAGGCTAGTCTTCACTAGGATACTAAGGGGACTGATGTTCGTGGTTCGTGTTTTACCATTTCCATTCTTGGCGCGGATGAACGTCGTCACTTTATATATTTTTAGGCCCTTGCTCGCTCTCATCATCACTATATATCATCATACACGAGGAGGAATTGCTAATTTAATACCGCCAGGGCGTGGGCGTAGTTGAGCGATAGGTCCACAACACTTCTACCCCCTTCTAGATTAGTTTTTATAAAATCTAAGCTACAACCAGACCTGTACTGAGTGCTTCAACTTCTTGACCTTTTGAAAACATCTTTTGAAAACTTAACCTTTTCAAGTTTTGGTCTGTTGAGGAGGAGGAAGTAAATGCTGTTTTGGTTTTCCGCGCTGTAGTTCGGTACGAGATTTTTGCAGAACTTTTGGTGGAAGTAGTCTAAAGTCCTGTTAAAAAGAAGTAGTAACCTGCATTAATACAAATGCCACCTTGAGTGAGGATAGATCTCATATTCTTAATGCAGTGTGCATCTTGAATAGATCTTACGTTTTTGCGATAATTCTGGAATTCTTGTTCGACGATCATCAGTTTTTCTACCTCAAAAAGATGCTACAAAATAACTCACGCACTTCTACTGTCAAACAATATTGTATATAGTACTGTTGGTAGTAGTAGCAGTAGGAAGCAGTAGCGATTCCCAGCAAGGGGACGAGAGAAGCGGGGCCAGCTCTCACCTCACTATACCTTATTTCGCCACTTTCTTCCGCGCGCGTTTGAATTTGGCTTCGTTCTTGGCGCTCTATCATTGTTTTCATGTCTTAGCATTTTTAGATATGCATTTAGCTATGCAAGCTTAGCATTAGCTAATGCGGACCTCTTGCAACGGGAACGGATCAGTGTTGTGAATTGCACATACTAAGTAAGTAAGCGCGCAATAGCATCAGGTTTCGGGTGTTCTCTTCAGGCGTAAGCCCTCACGTTCTTATGCTTTGACATCAGCTTCTTGTAGTTCATCCTGCTCACGAAAAATTGATTTGTTGAAAAGTAGGTGTAATGCTCGTTCTTATTGTGTAGTCCTCCTGCGGAACAAGTGCAATCTGTCGTGTGGGGGGGAGTTCCCTCTCTTTTTAAAAAAAGCGCACACACGACTCCTTCATGTTTAATAGCGTTGTCATTCGTAGCACGCATCGTTGTCACGTTATTAGGCCCTTGCTCGCTCTCATCAGCATACACGACGCATTGCTAATTTTACTTTTACTATGGCACCTGTGCAGCTGCCTGGTATGTTCGCCGATACTTACCTGGCACGTCGACCGCATCCCAGACGCCCCAAAAACCTCCTGGCGTTCTCAACACGAGCAGCAGCGTCGTGCAGCGCCGTAATGAGCGCGGGCTGTCGCAGGGCATTCTCGTTTACCGTTTCGACGAAATCACGCAAGCTGAGACGTACCACCTCCAGGACGGAATTAGGTGTGCCGAAAAAGGATGTTTCGTGCCCCGGCCTCAAGAAGAACGTGCCTCGCATGAAATTGTCCGTCACGGTTTTCTTTTTCTTCGAATTACTGGTTCGAATACACGCAGAGCATCTTCGTCCCAACCACTCCTCCACATGCGCGTCCAGCACAGCTTCCAGGTATCTCAAATACGCCACCCATTGCTTTGCCCGATGCGCCACCAACTCCGCTCCGGTACTAGTACCCTCCGCGGGACGTTTACCGGCCACAGCGTCGATGCTTGCTTTCATTTCAGCCGTGAGCCATAGGCCTGTCGGAAGTTTCCGCTCTTGTCCATTTATCATCTCGAATTTCAACCCCGTGTGCCCGAGTGTCAGGATCTGAATCTGAGTTTCACGATCCAATTTTTCTTGTCCGGTAAAAAGTCCTGCAATGTTTTCTGGAGAAATTTGGAAACTGTTGCTCTTCCCCCCTGGCAAAATTTCGTCAACGTCAAACGACTTTCTTGACTGCTTGATCCAGCCTAAGCCAGCGTGCAAAGTTTTCACGGCATCTTTGAGAAGCCAGAGTTTGCCGCGCAGCCAGGCCACCATCTGGCTTTCCGTTTTCGCCGTTCCGTCGGCGTTCCGTTCTAGCTGCAGTACCGTGGTGGAAAATGTTGCAAGGAGAGTGACCGCCTCTTGCAGTTGCTGCTCATTTGGCACGGGGCGGTGCTCATCCAGAAGCGGTACCTTCGCGTAGCTCTTCTGGCAGAGTCGCAGCACCGCCGGAAGGAGTAAACGGTCGTCTGCTCTTTCTTCCCCCAGCGCCCCCAACTTAGCGAAGTCGTGCACGAACGCCAACAGAGTCGCCTTCGTGCGGTACGGCTTTTCCGGTCGATTCATCGCGATCTGAGATGCGCTTGCGAGCCTTCCGTACTGGTCCCGATGGCTGTACACCGCGGTGCCTTGGCTTCGATAAGAAAACGGCGCCTTTGTGCCGGACGCGCGGTTCGACACTACCGCCTCCAGGAACCGTTTCTGAAAAGAGTTTAGCTTACCCTTTAGATGCTCACCAGTAGACCTTCTCGTCAGCGGCGTCCCGGGGCTGAAGGGGCCTGGCAAAAGATCAAGCCCTTTGTAGTGCAGCTCAATCTCGAAGGGACCTCCACTTCGCCGTGTCGTGTCTGCCGTGACGTACAGCCTGAATCCACGCGTCGTGTCCGCTGGCGCCGGTGGCGGGCGGTACGCCTCGCTTGGCGCCAAAACGATAAAGACGCCATTCTTCATATTGCCGTTCGTCTCCGCTAAACCGAGGCTCGTGGCAGTGTAGGCTTCCCAGACCCACGTGTTCGCTCCGCCGTGGGGATCATCACGAAGCATGTTATTAAGGGTTTCGGCTGCTGCTTTTTTGTATCAAATGTAAAAATGTCTGGGTCTGGAAACTTGTGATGCTGTGTGGCGTATCATGAGGAGGCCACAATTGCTGGCTCAGCATGACAAGTTTCTGAGCTTCTAGGTGTTGCCTATTCTGCATGACAAACTACGTTTCTGCATGACAGAAGAGTGGGGCTCTTTGGCAATGTGCATGACAGATTTAAGAGTCATGCCAGACAAGCATGACAAACTTGCAGTCTTCCAGACCCAGACATTTTTACACTTGATATTTTGGCTGCTGCGTGTCCGGCTTCGGTGGGCCGTCTCCGATCGCGGTCTGTGCGTTCGGGGATCCGTCCACCACCTGAAGTAGTAGCTATCAACTGTAAAGATGTCTGGGTCTGGAAGAGTGTTTGAACTTGTCATGCAGGTTTTCCATGACCCATGAGGTCTGGAATGCGGGACCTAGTCGATGACAGAGTCTACTGTGAGGTCTCTGCTATGCCTATCCTACATGAGAAACTCCCTCCCAACTTGATCGACGAAAGTGGACAGCTGCTTTTGGCCCTGATGCAACACAGATTCTCGCATTCTTCGGATCTTCTAGAATGACAAGTTGCAATCTTCCAGAGGACCCAGACATTTCTGCAATCCATACTAGCCAACAACTTCCCACTCGTGCCCGTGATCAGCGCGGACGACGACGCGGACAACAACGCCGCCACCAGCCGCACAGCTGCAGAAGAAGACGATGAAAACGGCATCTTCCCTCGTCCTGTTGTCGTGCTTGAACAAGCAGTCTTTGATTCAAAGTAACAGCCTAGTGCTTCGATTTGGGTAACGACCACCGGTTCTTGGTCGTGAGTAAAGTAAAATCGGTTTTAGTTTTCTTTTTGTCGTTGGTACTTATACTTAGTATTTTGTTGTGGTAGAAATAAAGGTACTAGTTGTGGTAGAACTAGAAATAAGTGCTGTGGTCTGTATGGTCTACTGCAGTAGATAAACAGACTAGAGAGTTGTCTATTGGTTTAGTGTTCTTTTTGTCGGTGGAAATAAAACCATGGGTATACAAAGTTTTGGTACTTAAAAACGGCTGTAGGAGTGGTCTACTAGGTAGGAGGAGTGGCTTACGTAGTATTAGTCTACTGGTGTAGGAGATCGGAGTTCTTGAGGAAAGCAACTGTGGGGGTGATGTAGCAGAGAATCCAAGTCGTCAACTTTAGTGATACTAGAACTAGATCCGTGACGAGGACCTTGCATTATCAAGTCCCACACAAGAAATTTTTACCGACTGATTTCATGAGAGAACATCATTTTTCGGAATTTTCGTTCGTGTTTTAGGTTTAGCATAAGGCCGCGCATAGTACTTCTATACCGATGGATTGATTGAAATTGAAAGACCATCCAATTTGCGCTCTTACATTAGAGATTTGGATCTCGCTCGTGTTTTAGCATGAGGCCGGGCATAGTATGAATGATCGAAAGACCGACATACAACTGTCACTTTCTCCATGCTGAAAAAGAACATAGTAGTACTGACACCGACAAAAAATCTTCATAGTAGTACTTACACCGCAGACGATCTTCTTCATGGATATGAATCCTCAGGACGGGGATCTCTTTCGGCCCTTGATAATGCCTGTTGGCCCTACTTGCCTGTAGTTTACAATTTCTAAGTTGAAAAAAATCATCTGTGTTCTATCAGCTTCAAAAGAACAATTCCAGAGGGCCAGCAACAGAGCACCTGATCATGCGCTAGCACCACAGGAACTCATAGTACATTGCATGAAAAACTGGCCGCATAGCCCGGTACCCTGGCCGACTTTTTTTAGGCGTAGGACCAAAACTTCGTATGTATTTTTTTAGAACGGTTTATAATTTACGGTTTATTTACAAAGACCCGAGCAACTGGACCGCATCGCAGGAAACAAAAATTAATGTATACTGCGTGTACAACTTTTGTTGCTTATATTTATTATTTCTCAGCTGCTTTAGTAGTTGTTGTAAGTGCCACGTACAACCGGTGTTGAAAACATCGCTCCGGGCAGATGTTCTTGATGTCCTGTCCTGCGCAAGAATAGTAGCAATAATTATCCTGCTCACGACGACCCTAAAGAACTCCAAACGAACCAACGCGTTTATTCAGGCGAGGAAATTAAGTGAACGCCTCTCCTGCAGCTGTTGGGGGTCCTTGCTACCAGTTTATTTCTGAGTCGTATATTATCTGTGTTCCATCAGCTTCAAAAGAATGGAGAAAAAGACTGTCTTTGCGGGAAGTTTCGATAGTACTGTCAAAAATACTCGATAAGCCTTTGCTGGTCGACGTCAAAGAAACTAAACATTTGTCTATAACGTGTTCCTCCTGTGGTCCTCCTGCAGGTTTTCCTTCCTGCAACATGTTGTCCGATTTACTTCACTGCCTCCAGCGCCCCTGGCCCAGGTATCCAAGGAAAAAACATTGTAGGTGTGACTTTTTTGGAGGAACAGCATGACAAATATCTCTTGTCGATCATGACAGCGAAAACCTGTCATGCGCAGATAGTACGTAGAAACGCGCGGCCTAACTGGACCTCACAATGCATGACCAGCATTTCTTCTTGACCAACACATTCACTTTGTGCGCCGCATCACAAACTTACACTAACAATGTTTTTTTCTTCTATACCTGGCTCGACTTGGGAATCATTGCCATCCTCACTGTGGTTTTCCAGAATCAAATGTAAAAAATATCTCTGGACGTCTGGAAAGATGGAGACAATTTCTCATGGCCTTCCTTGGATACGGCCAGAGGCTCTTCTCGTACGGCTCAACAGCATGACAAGTTTTTGTTATTTTCCTCGGCATTTGCTGGCGAGGTTTAGCAATCGTCGATTTAGCATGACACCCTTTCAACATCCACCACGAAAGGACTTCTGGTTCTGCCCACTCGTCCTATCCATGCATTACAGATCATGCTCTCCTTCAGATTCTTTCGCATCACAAATCCAGACCCAGATCGGTGTTTGCAATGCATATCCAGAATCGGCCCACACTTAGTCTCCGACTGATCCCGTTCCTCGCTGATGCGCCTTATGCCAGAGAAAAAAGCAGGCAGGGCCGATCATTATTTGTGATGCAAAAATAAATACACACTAAAATTTGTCATGGGCGGCCCCATAGCATGCTGTTTACTTAGGATGCGCAACACATTTTTTTTTGTGTGTTTATTTTTGCATTACAGTTTTTATGACCTGCCTGCTTCTTTCTGTGTGATACGCCTGCGGTAAAAATTATAGCGAAGTTTTGTAGCTTTCATGCTGATTGTTTTTTCGAAGTACTAGTACTTTGCATGATCGAAATCACTGTATCAATCTTTCGCAATAAGAACGCTACCCATGGTCATGGTGCATCATCTGCGACCGCATTTATTTCCGAACAAAGTACTTTGCAACACAGGACCAAATCGCGAAAATTTTCGGGTAAAAATTTTGTTTCTGTATTACCTGGTTAGCGTCATCCGAGTTGTAGCGCTTCTCGAGCTCAAACTTCGCCCCTGGTAGGACAACGTGTTATAATTTCTCGCGGCCCTCGTCTGGGATGATGACGACGATGATGACGATGACCTGGATAGGTCGAAGCGAGCGAGGTCCTCGTCGAACAAACTGCAAGCGGTTGCTATGAACTGCAAAAGTATCGCACTCGTATAAATGCATTACAAATTTCCTCAGCATGATGAGAAATCAAATTTGTAATGCGGATATACCTTAACAAAAGGATTTGCAATGCATGATTGCAATACGAGTACGATACTTTTGCACAGGATAGTCGCACCACTTCTACCCGACAAGGACGTCATGGGCCCTCTCCTTGAATAAACAGTGCCCCCCAGGACCTCCGCATCGGAGGCGCTCCGGGCCAGGGAATATCAAATGTAAAAATGTCTGGGTCTGGAAGAATGCAACTTGTGATGCTGAATTTGGATTTCCAAAAAATCTGTATTGCATGAGCAGCAAATAAAGGAACGCATCTTTTGCTACGCGGACAGGGCATTTGTCATGCGGAACAGGCATCGCGAAGCCCTCAAGAAATCTGTGATGCTAGGGCATGCATCACAGACATCATGGCCAATGCAAAACATGCATGACAAGTCTCAGAATCTTCCAGACCCAGACATTTTTACATTTGATAGGGAATAATCGCTCGGCATTTTGTCGCCCGAGTAGGTTAGAGACCGAAGCCTGCTCGTCACTGCCGTTCCAGTAGGACAGAAATTTTTTTCCGACAGCGCAGTAGACGTACTCGTTGTAAAGCTAAAGCGCTTGCTCGGCTTAATAATACTTTTTCCAGTTCTTGCAGCAGCAGCAGCAGCAGCAGTGGCAGCAGCACTAAGCGAAGAAGCAGCTTGGAGTTCTTGCGGACCGGTCCGCCCGCTCGTTTCAAGAAGAAAGCTGGACGTCGACGCGACGGGGAGGTTCTTTGCACCACCGCGGTGTCGAGACGAGAGAGTGCAAGAACCCCGTTCATCCACCTCGTGTGTACTGTACGTGCGCTGCTGTAGTTCTTTTGCGTGTAGTAGTACTGTGTCGACCTGGTTGGAGGGTGTTGAAGCGTCGACACCGCGATGCCGGGCGCTAGTAGCATCCTCTTCGCAGTGAACCGTACGTGCTGCAGCCGTTGTTCCGGAGCTTTCACACCCGTTAGCATGAGAAGTGGCGAATTTGTAGTGAATTTTGCATGACAAAGTGCAGATGAGTCCGGCGGGGCGTTGTCCCTCTTGCCCTTCTGGGAAGTGGGTTCTGCACACCGACCGCGGAAGTTGTCAAGGCTTATGCGGCGGGCGGCTTCTAGACATGGCCTGGGCGTCGTTCTTTGCCCATATCTTTTCGTCTCCCTGTGCTCGCATAAGGGCACAACACTGCAACAGCCACAGCAAAGACGCCAAACATAAGGGCTCCGGAGCACATAACATAGGCAAGATGAAGGCGCGAAAGCAAGGGCGAAAGGACCAGGCCGAGAGCTTTGACGCGTCTATCCGGCAGGCGCGTGAACTCTCCCGGTCTTTTCGGCAGAATATAGGCGGGCTGAGGGCAGCAGAGGGCGCTTGTCTTTTCCCCTCGGCGCCAATTCCTAGGGCCTATTTGCGGACTTTTTTGAGCACTTTTCTGCGCTAAAGTTTGCTTATCACGGTCGAAAAGGGGCGCCCGGTGAGTTTTGGGGTGAATTTTGAAAAGGGCGCCGGTGAATTTTGAAATCCGGCTCCTGTTCAAAATTCGCTAGCGCATGGGAAACTCCGGGTTTTGCGGCTTCAAAAAAGTGTCCCAAAAACAACAACCTTCAAAATTCACCAAGAGAATTCTTGACCTGGGAGCCACGTCGAAAAAGAGTTTCTCCGGAGGCAAAAACACACCTGGGGAGTTGTAAGCCGAGCACAGCAGGCGAAGCAAGCTAGTGCCCGTGGCCGAGTCGTGCCTTCCCTTTTACCCGAGGCTACTCCCAGATATCCAATTCCAAGCCACGACCGCAACTCATGAGAGCGCACGTGTTGAACTAGTGCCCCTGTGTTCAGGCGTCGCCCTCCGTCCCTTTCGACCATTCCGGAGAGGCACTTCTGAGGCAGACGCGCAGAAGAATAAGAGCCCCCCGATCCACCTTCTCTGGTCGTTAAATACGCACTACACAGCCCGGCGGGCCTTCGAAAGACCACTTCTTTCGGTCCCGCAAGCGCCACCACGCGATGAGCAGCCCTCCGCGCTGTGTGGGATGCTTGGGCTCGTGTCCATACGCAGCGCACTTCTCTTTTAACTAAATGCAAAGGCAAGCCATGCAATACAAATTCACTGCAAATTCACCCTTCTGTACGCTAACGACCGTTGAAGACATAAGCCGAGCGCTAGTAGCATCCTCTTCGCAGTGAACCGTACGTGCTGCAGCCGTTCCGGTGGGTGCTAATGCTTTTGACGTAGTATCTAGCACGGGCGGTCGCTCCGCGACCGCCGGAGAGGTATGGAGTAGACAAGGAAACGATGGGCCCGATTTCCTACTAGGAAGGTTGCAGTCCTCACGGGGAAGGGGAGGGGATTCTCCTGGGGGCGAAAACTCTACAGGCGCAGGGCTTTTATTAAGTGCGCCCGAGCCCCCGCCCTAGAGAAAGACAAAGGCACGACAGCGGCTCGCCCCAGGCCCCAGGAGAAGGAGAAGCTCCGGGAAACCGATCGAAAGAACACCCGGGGCGAGCCCACCTTGGGAGGGGACGAGCCTTCCGGGATGTTCCCAATTTGCGAGCACCCCCCCAAGTTGCGAGCCTTACGGGCGGCTGCTCCTCATTCTAGTTACGCCCCGGGGCTGCTTTTGACGGGGCCCACAGAACCGCAGCTGCGGAAACTGCACGACAAAGAACCCGGCCAGCCAGCCAGGTGCAGCCAGCACAGTGGGACTGGGCGCGCTGTGTGTGATAACCATTCAGGGCACCGAAAGAAGTCTCCGTTTTCTTTGTGCAGGGCGGCGGGAGCATCCACACCAGGGGGCCGCCCCCGCGAGGCAAAACATGCCGGCCCACACAAAGTGCGCGCAAAGCCATCCCCAGCACCGTGGCCGGCCCGGAGGGAGTTCCTTCGCCGGCACCTGCGGGCGCAGCAGCACGCGCCGCGCCACCCTCGGTCAGATAAAGAAGCGCTCGCCCTCCCACGGCTGCGCCCCCTTTTCCCGGGAACGAGCGCCACGTCCCGCGCGACCACACAGGTACTAATTGCTCGGCGCTAGTTTCTCCACAGGGGGCAAGGGAAGCCAGCAGCGCGGGCGAGCTTTGTGGCGCAACCCCGGGGCGAACCACCCCGCGCGGCAGTTTTCTTTTTCTTTTTCTACTAGTAAGCTTTCTCCTAGTAAACTCTCTACTAGTACGCTTACTAGTAGTTTTTTTGCTTGCTTGTCACGATAAGATCACTAGCAGCGCAGCCTACTAGTAAAATTCTCGGGCTTTCCTTGCTAGTAAGATTTTACTAGTAGAAATCGGGCAATATTACGCCAATCGATTTTCTTGCCGTATAGTATATAGGGTATTGACTCTTCGCAGTGAACCGTACGTGCTGCAGCCGTTCCGGTGGGTGCTAATGTTTTTGGTTGTCAAGGTAAAGTCTCAACGTTTCGAAGTCAACGTTTGGACCTCAACGATTTCCAACATTCAATGTTTGCGATCATCTTTGCGATCCCGGATGACAAAATCCGTGCGATATATTTTTGATGGCATAAACGCAGAAAGTGTGGGTGTGCTGTCTGCACTGCAAGAATGCTGCGACCGAAACACATGCAACACCCTTGCGTTGATGGTGATTTCCAGACTCCTCTAGAAACCCACCACAACAGAGAGACACTCCGTGGCGAACTCGTCTGGAAGCCTATGTGTAGCAAAAAGCTCCTACCTCGTCTACCAGCGCTAACCCGCTGCGCTTGCCTATACCACGAGGACAACGAAAAACCACACCAAGCCGCTGAATGTGCAAGGTTACGTAAGAAAGACGCCCGCCCAAAAAGCCCCGCGCCCAACATTTGCTCGCGGGCATGTTCGATCGCCCTCGCCCTAGCTCGCTATTTTTGCATACACACCCGGGCGAGTATGAAAAAGGGCAGAGGCGGGATCACTTTGGGCCCTGTGCAGTGCGACCGCCCGCTCAGCCCTGGCGGTGGTGAACCCCACTACCAGCCCCCGAACACGACTCCTCCACCCCCAGGCAAGAGTGACCACGCCAGGTCGCTGACCTGCGGGAAAGACCGCGCTGCGGCCCCCGACGACATCACACCTGCGCCACTACCGCCCCGCAGCATTGAAGACCGGGCGCCCGCAACCAGTAGAGCGCCCCGCCCCGACCAGAAGCACGGGCCTCCTACGAGTCTGCAGCCAATCAGTGGCAGCAGCCAATCAGTAGTAGTAGTGCCGGAATAAAAAAACCGACTCTCTCACATTCGCTGCTGGATGAAGATGGAAGTCTTATTTTACATTCGCTGGCCGGGCAGCGAACACAAGCGGAGAGTCCGCGCGTGGCAGCATGCGCAGGCCAATGCGGTGGGGCGGCGCGCGGCAACAGAGGCGGGGGCGGCCCAGCGACGGCTCAACAGGGCACGTCACAGACATGCCTTCGCGGCGCGGCTGTGAGGCGCTTTTGATTGCTCGCCGGCGGTGTCGCCGGATTCCGCTAAGTAAAAACGCAAAAAATAAGGCCGCAGTGAACCGTACGTGCTGCAGCCGTTCCGGTGGGTGCTAATGTTTGTGACGCAGTAGTAGAACTCGCGCACCTGGTCGTAGAGGGATGATGACGTTCTTGATCAGCCTGCCCAGACTCCGCCCCCGCGGTCGCTGCACTATGGCTGTTGCTCCGCTCGCGAGCGAGCGGAGCCACAGCCCGCTCGCTCGAAGTAGACGGGTAAAAAGTCGCAAAGTCCCCCGACACATCGGCATCGAAGTCTGTGCCAGAAGACGATCTGCGGCTGTGGTCCACAGTGTGGTCATCGCGGGACGAACAGACACTAGAGCCGCTGCTGTCGTTCGAAAAGTCGTCCTCGTCGGTCGAATTGGAATTGCTGCTCATTTGTTCCCGCAAATAAAGGCCACCCCTCGCTGCTCGCGGTTCTCTCCCCCCGGCGACAAGCCCATCCAGTGTGTCCTTCAGAACTCTCGTATGCACTTTTGCAAACATTATCTTCCCTAGATGTGGTCTGGAAGGATGCTAAGTCTACTGGATCACGCAAAAATCTTCTGTGTAGCTGCTGGAGCCGCGCCAATATAAGCTTGTCATTTCTTGCCATCCCACGAGCAAGTTTCTCATGCGAAATACAAATATTACAGGCTTGATCTTCATGTAGCCCCCGCAATAATTCCTGAGTAATCATGCTTTTGGATGCATTCCAGGCGGCCATTTGTGTGGTGCGAAAGATACATGGCATGACAAACGTGGGCAGTAGTCTTCCAGACCACATCCAGAGAAGATGAACATGTCTGCATGTGGTCATATCTCTGCCGCCGTTGGTCGAAAAGTTCCTTGGAGAGTCGACGTGTTCTATTTATCAAAAGGAAAACTCCCCCCTCCGTCTCAAAAAATTTGCAATGCTGATTTGTGGCCACAAGTCGTCTCTGTCTTGCCAGAACACAACTCCACAGGGTCCGCCGCGTTCTGCAGGCGGTTTGTGATGCTGTTGGCCCTACAGACTAGACGTTTGCGATGCTCGGCGCCTAGCCCAAAACCTCTCTACTCAGGCTTCCTTATAGGCCTGCAGTCCTCTCCAGCAAGACAAATCTGATTTGTGTACGCATATCCAGCATCAGAAACTTCGTCTCGATATGGGGAGGGGGGATTTTTTCTTCTGATACTACTTGCCGTCACGCCCCCGTTGTCTGCGTTTGTAGTGCCCTGCAGGTGGTCCTCACCTCCTCCAGCTGCAGCAGACAGCTCGTGCTCCTCGGGTTGATGCCTCATCTCCTCCCGCCCCGACGTGGCTCCACTCGCGGCCGCTGTTTCTTTTTTCACAGTAGCATTTTCAATATCGCCGTGGTCTCCTTCTGGTGTCCGAGGATCATCTTCCGCAAAGCTCCATCTTCTACTTCTTCGTTGCTCCTGTTCAACTAAATCGTTGCTCTGTTCTTTTAACCTCTTGGACCGCTTCCGCCGCCGCCGTTTCTGCTCGTGAGAAAGTCTGTTCATCGACCTACTTCCCTCCAGCGCTTTCTTCATCAGATCGCTGTTGATTTCGTCCGAAATCCGCGGCTGCGCGACGAGGTTGGACCGGATGGAGGGAAGCTGCTGCAGGTCCTCGAACGTCAATGCTTTACCGTCCGCAAAAGTCTCATCGGTGATCGGCGGGAGGCGGTTCGAGGGATCAGAGACCAGGTGCGAGGTGGTGTGCTTCATGCGTCCAACACTTGTTGCCCTACTGCTACACGCCGACCGGCTTCCCGGTATAAAAACTGCCGAGGTAGTTTATAACCCGCTCAGGTGTTACAATCTCAAACGTTACAATAGAATATGGAAATCTGTGATGCAAGAGTGCATGATCTAGCCAAGTCTCATAGGACTGCGCGTGGCAAGTTCCGGAGCCCCAAACCGCACTACAATCTGCCGAAATTTGTGTTGCAGAAAGTGGACTGGTCTGCGAGTCTGTCATGCTCATAAGCAAGACAAATTCCAGATTCTATTGCAACGTTTGAGATTGTAACGTTTGAGCAGGCCATATAGTTGTAATCACACTGCTCCTCGCCGGCCCCGGCGTCGTGCCCATAGTCCTCGTAGTACCAAGTTCATCCCCCGGGGAATGCCCGCCCACCGCCGTTTTCTCGTTCTCGGTACAACTACTTTCGTCCCCGGCGGTAGCTCCTGGGTAGCAAGAACTTCGTTGGCCTGTGTACCTGCACAAGCTCCGGGCCGGGCTACTCGCGGGGATGCTATTGGGGGAAAAATTCGGGCTCTCGCGGTTCAGGAGCGCGACCCACTCTTGGTGAGTCCGGGGGGGTTTGTAGTGGCTGGTATCCACCGAAAAGTCAAAGGGGATGTTGACGACTTCATCTGCTGGGTGGTGGTGGTCCTGATGGTGAGCAAGGTCAGGATGATGCCCTCCTTCTGGCGAAGCGGTTCCTGCTGCTGTATGGATTGCAAAAGTGTCTGGGTCTGGAAGGTTGGAACTTGTCAGGCTAATTCCGAATCATGCAGGAATCTGTGTTGCATGAGTGCCAAAGGCCGTCCACTTTCGACCAAGTTTGGAGGGAGTTTCTCACGCAGGATAGGCATGGTAGAGAGCTCACAGACTCTGTCATGCTAGGTCTCGCATTCCAGACCTGATGGGTCATGGAAAAACTGCATGACAAGCTTACACTCTTCCAGACCCAGACACTTTTGCAGTTGATATGCTGCTGCTGTGATCCGTCTCACGGTCGTGGAGGAGTCCTCGTTTGTTGATACTTCGTGTGTTGATACTTGTTCAGCAACTTGCTGCACTTCGTTTGTTGATACTCGATGATCATCCTCCACGAGAAGCCGTGATGTAGTTGTGCTGTTTTTTCTACCAGGATGGTCCTCGATGTTCTTGTTCTTGGCCTGATATGTTATTGTTGTACCTGTAGAGGCCCCTTCAACATCGTCTTGACGTTCACAGTGTCGACCTTGTTTTTCCACCTCTAATGCTTGAATATTCCTCTCCTCTTCTGCTGCACACGAACGAAAAGGAGCTGCTCCCTGTGGCCCAGCTCGCACGTCCTCTGGACCACAAGGACCCTGCACAATTATATCACCAGACGACGAAGAAGCCGCCCCGACATGATCATTACATGCGATGGCTTCGGCTTCCTCGCCCCCAACATCTTCTTCCGACAGCCCGGGTCGTGCGGCTGCAGGCGGGGTGCCTGCTGCTGCTGCTGCTGCTCCCGGCGTTCTTGGGTGGTGCGCCTGCGGGGGTGGTGCAGGGGACCCCCTTTCGGCTCTTGCCTGATCAGCCATTTTATGCAATAAATTGCCTCTGGTTATAACTAACTGAAGTTTAATAACTCGCGAAGATGATATTATCGTCGTGTGGGTTTGATTTTTTCTCCTATTCGTAGTTGAGTTCTTTAACTTTTTGGTTCATCTACTTCGACATCAAGAGAAGAATCTTATATGCCAAAAATTGATGACATCCTACAGGAGTGAGTATGGATTCCCTTTTGAGAACGTCATAAGGAGCGGGCTCTTTTAACATCAAAAGTCCTACCGATGGATGAAATTGAATACGAGGATGAACTTCGTACTGTTCTTTTCCCGAGCCTTGTTGTTCTCTTTCCGAATACAAACAAAACGTTAACGTCGCTGTCCGTTTCGTCTTTAGGGACTGTTCCAAACAAAGCATCTTGTCTTCAAAGTACAGCTATTGGTATCGCCATAAGCAGGGTTGAAACTAACTGTTGTCGCTATACAAAAATAAGCCACGCAGTAAATTCATGCAACTTCTTGGACAACCACATCAATTCATGCCCGTAGACAACTACATCAGAACTCCTCTAGATGCTAAGTAGCGTACGCCGTTAGTTCACTTTTTATCAGTCTCGTCTTCGACCTTTACTTAGAGCCTTGAGTTTCGAACCGTGAAACGACCTTCGACCTGGGCACCGGTCCGGCACTGAAAATAAATCAATGCTGAAGAGCTGCAAAGAGCGATAACTAAATATGCAACGAGCTCGAGCACCAGAAGATAATATGGAGTAGAACAAGCGACTAAGTACTTCTTGTTCTCATGTGGAACATTACCTCTACACACGCAAGTGTCGCACGCGGATACTCTTGATTCGTGGCTTTCACGTGTACTCATCTTTTGCGCGCCTAGACCAACTCGTTGGTAGTTCGCAACAACACAACCTTGCCGCCTAGGGGAAGGCTGCATGGTAATTGTTTATTTTTTCGCGTTCCAAGTAACAACTTCACGACGCGTGTTTTCATATCTTGGGTTTGGGTTTGAGAGGGCGGAAAGTTCTACTTCACAATGCTTTTTCTTGGGGAAAGTAAGTAAGTACTTATCGAAGGGTCCTCGTGAAGAAGAAGAGCACTGGAGTCTACTGCACAAGAACTTCTCAGAAGTACTTGAGCGTTTCCCTGCACGGGTCCTATCGTGAGGAAAGATCCCCCCTCCCCGTACCAAAAAGGGACGCATCTGAAAATTTGTGATGCTGATTTGTGGACACAAATCGTCTCTGTAATGCAAGAAGGCCAATCCAGCGACTCCGCCGCATTATGCAGGCGGTTTGTGATGCTATGGGGCCTACAGAGTACACATTTGCCATGCTACGCGCCTACGTCAGAACCCTTCTACTTAGGCTTGGCATGGGCCTGCAGTCATCTGCTGCAAGACAGACCTGATTTGTGTGCGCAAATCCAGCATCAGAAACTTCCCTTTGATATGGGGTGGGGGGATTTTTCTTTTTGATAGGTCCATAAACTGCCTTACCACCTCGTCGGTGACGAGTTTTCTCCTTTCCCTGTGCTTATCAAATGCAAACGTGTCTGGGTCTGGAAGAATGCCAGTTTGTCATGCTTGTCTCACTTGACTCTTACATCTGTGGTGCGTGAGCAGCAAGAAAGCCTCTGCTTCCCTGTCATGCAACAACGCAGTTTGCCATGCGGAAAACGAATTACATAGCAGCGCAGCAAAAACTTGTCATGCTTGGCTATGTATTGCAGTGCGCCAAACATTCCCAGACTTGCATCACAAGTTTCCAGAGCCAGACATATTTGCAATGCGTAGTGCTCGTTCACGATCAATTTCAACTCGGCAACGAGTTTGTTCTTCACTTCCCCGGTCGTCATTCTGCCGGAGCCGTACTCCTCGCCGATTTTTATCGAAAGGAAAAAGCCCCCCTCCCAATATCGAAAACGAAATTTGTGATGCTGTATTTGAGTACACAAATCGTCGTGTATTGCTACAAGGCCAAGCGCCGCAGTTGTGGCCTCGTTTGGAGGCAGTTTGTCATGCTGTTTCCTACTTCCAGCTGCCTCCTGTGATGCTGCAGATGCAAGGCCGTCCCACGCAACCCAGCACTACAGTCCGCATTTTTTCCCTTCTAGCATGACAAAGCTGATTTGTGGCCACAAATCTGCATCACAGATTTCCGTTTCGATATGGGGAGTGGGAATTCTTCCTTTTCATAATCTTTTTAAATTCCTCGTCGTCCTCCAGCACATACCGCAAGTACTCGTACGGAACGTCCACATCTAAGTTCGCCCCTTTTTCTATCCCACAGAAAAACTCAGGCAGGTCAGATTTGTAATGCATAGAATGAATTCACAAAAAGATCTCTCAAGGGGCTCGCCCATAGCATGCTGTTCAGGACACGCAATGCAGATATTCTTGTCTATTTATTTTTGCATTACAAATGTGACCTGTCTGCATTTTTCTGTGAGATATTTTCCCGGTGCTCCTCCAGGGTCTGGCCCCCGCCGGAAAGGGCGTACTTCATGACTTTGTCCTTGATCTGCTTCTCCTATCAAATGCAAAAATGTCTGGGTCTGAAAGAATGCCAAACTTGTCATGCAGGTTTTCCATGGCCCACGAGGTCTGGTATGTGGGACGTAGCACGACAGATCATTCTGTGAGAGTTCTATCATGCATATCCTGCATGAGAAACTGCCTCGCGATTCGGTCAAAAGTGGACAGCTTTTGGTAATCTTCACGCAACACAGACTTTGATATGATTTAGATTCAGCATGGCAAGTTGCTTTGTTCCAGACCCAGACACTTTTGCAATGCATATCTCCGAGTCGGTGACGAAAATGGTTGACGGGGTATCCGTATCCTGTGCAAAAGTATCGCACTCGTAGTAATCGCAATCATGCATTACAAATCTCCATACCAAGGTAAAACAGCATGACAAATTTCATTTGTCATGCTGACCGAATTTGTAATGCGATTTCTACTAGTACGATTATACTTTTGCAATGCATAATCCGCGGACGAAGACATCTTGGTCGTGTGGCCTTGGAGTGCGGGGAAAAACTTGGAATGGATCAAAGCGGGCTTCTGGAGGTTTAGCCGGGGCGCAATGTCGCGGGTTACCTGATAGATTAAGATTTTTATATGGCGCATCCGCATGATAGATTGAATACTATTGTTCACCAGCAACGGGTTGTAGACGAAATTTGGGGAGGGTGCAGAAATCCACATAAGAAAAGCGTCTACAACTTCATGCGTGAATATATAAAACTAGCAAAAAGTTGTAGTAGCACTCAACCGCTATACCCTGAAAAACGGGTCTTGATCAATCGCCTGGGGGATCAGACACCGCACGTCGGTTCTTCCTCCAAAAATGTGCGGAAAGGCCTCGGGAAAACTCGGCGCGGCCTGCACCGCGGTGTAGAAGCATTTCCCTATGTTCGCGGAATCGGTCAACCCCAGCGCGCCCTTTGCTTGGTTGAACGTGATTTTCTTCGCGATTTTCGCAACTAGCGGGTACATGGTGCCCATGTAATCAAAGTTCGTGAAAATGAAAGTTTTTTCCGGGTTGAAGCCGCACGCGATGATGTCCTTGATATTCGCGTAGGCGAGTTTGTGGGCCTCCTCGGCGGAGATGTTTTCCTTAAACCAGGACTTCTCGTCGTCCGTTAACTGAATCACCAATGGTATGGAAGCGTCAGGATCAAAATTTACAAAGTTGAAGTAATTTGCGATGCATAAAACCGATACCAGATGGCACCCACTTATCAAGTGGCGCACGACAAATTTGGGTAGAGCCTAAATTTAGTTTGTCATGCTGTTTGGGTAAGGAAGCCGCCGCTTGCCATGCTACTTTAGCAGCTGACTTTTTACCCGTCAACAGGCTTACTATCTGCCTCGCTTGCCTACTCTGCAAGGCAGGCATTTGGTGGCTTGCATTTTACGCATTACAAGTTTTTCAACTTTGTTGATTTCGGTTCTGACACTCCCATAAATGGAACGTCGAACGTGTCCTGGAGCCACTTAGTGAAAAAAAAGGGCACCAGGTGACCTGTGGAGTTGATTGTGCAGCAGAAAATGGATCTACTTCACAAGGGGGCGATGAGTACTTTTTCCGAGGAAATACAAATAACGTCGTGTGTAGTGTTCTTGTGCATGAAAAATCATCTACATGATCTCTGCAGAAGAGCGATTTCCTCGACATCTCCGCAGGCGGCAATTTACTTTGCTTTCTGGTCGACACTATTTTCACTTCGGAGTATTAAAAGAAATGCAACGAAAAATTCAAAATCTGTCCCATGATATTGTTTATACCTATATGCAGTGACTCGCTGCTCGCGCCCCGTCCGGTGTAGAGGTAGAACGGCACGCCCTTTTCGATATGCATTGCAAATATGTCTGGGTCTGGAAGAGTGTAACTTGTCATGCTACATCTGGATCGTAGAAAAATTTGTGTTGCATGATTACCAAGAGAGGTCCACTTTTGAACAAGTTTAGAGGCAGTTTCTCAGGCAGGAAAGGCATGATAGAGATCTCACAGAACCTGTCATGCTAGGCCGTGCATGCCAGACCGCGTGCGTCAGCGTCATGGAAAACCTGCATGACAAACCTAGACCCAGACATTTTCGCATTTGATACTCGACCTGATCCAGCAAAATATCCAGGTCCCGGTGCGTGAAAAACAACCCTCGGCTATTACAGTGAAAAGTGCCCCCCACCCCTCAAATTGCAAAAATTTGTGATGCGAAGTTTCCAATTGAAAACTTTTTGTCATGCATGAAAGGAGTATGAATCTTTCTGATGCAGAGTCTAGGCGTGTATCGCATCGCTTGCATGACAAGCGCCGCTCTTGCTGGGGTCTTTTGCAATACAAATTTTCGCTATTCACGATTGGAAACCTGTGATGCTGATAGGTGCAAGAGGGCGAATGTTTCATTTGGAAAGGTTTGCAATACAAATGCTTTCAGGTTCGGGGGTGGGGGCATTTTTCATTCTGATATCGGCGCAAAAACCGGTGCGCGCGCTTCCCCGTGATTCTTTCTATCCGTTGGATCAAGCTCGCGTCGATCTTGCTGCACCCAAAGTCGCGGACGAGTTTATCGTAATCAATCCCCGCATCGGCCTGCACGTCCACCGGGTTGATAACTTGTGATATTACAATGAAAAATGCCCCCCCCAGAACTTGGCAGCATTTGTATTGCAAACCTTTCCAATAGAAACATTCCCCGTCTTGCATATCTCAGCCTCACAGATAATTTTTCATGCTGAATATAGCTCAAATTTGTGTTGCAGAGAAGCCCAACAGCAGCCGGATCTCTCATGCAAAAGACGCCTTGCGTGCCTAGATGCTGCAATGAGAAAGGCTCGCAATCCTTTCATGCAAGACAAAAAGCTGTCATTTGGAAATATTGCATGACAAACTTTTGCCAATTCCGGGGGCATTTTTCATTGTAGTATGTGACTCATCCGCCGGCTCACACTCCGCTTGGGGCGGGTACAGGGGCCGCTCCTCCGCTTGCGTGGCTGAGGATGGTATATATATTTCATCCTAATTGTTTCTTGCCTCTTGTTCTACTGCGTGACCGTGGTCTACTTTCATTGACAAACAAAACCATTGTCCTTAGATCATGTGTAGCTCGATATATAAAAATTCGCAGGACAGCAAAGTGGAGAAACCACCTGCTCTCCTCAACATCTCATGTTCAGCAACACCTGTATTCCAATCTCAATTTCAATTTCATTCTCCTGGTTTATTTACGAAAAAATACCTTTTTCCCCCTCCACCGGCGTGCACTGCACCGTGACCTTCAAAGTTTGCTTCTCCGCGTTGAAGGTGAATTTCGTGAGCTCCATATGCAATGCAAAAGCATCGTACTAGTGGAAAATGCATTACAAGTTAGCGGCCCAGCATTATGAATGAAATTTTTTGTAATGCTGATTTACCTTGAGAAAGGGATTTGTAATGCAAAAACGCAATTAGTACAACGAGTACGATGCTTTTGCACTGCATACTCCACCTTCCCGAGCAAAATGGTTGATTCCAACACCGGATTGATTTGGCAGTTCAAATTCCAGCTTGGTAACCTCACTAGCCGGAGCTCCTGAACGGTGTCTGGGACCTTAAATTGGTCGTACATCGTCTCACCGTACCTGCGAGTTATTTGGGTTGGAACTTTCTGATGTCATCTGTCATGCGGACAGGGAATTCCACATGCAAACCAGCACTGCTTTCCTGGCATGACAAATTTAAGAAAAACGTACTCCTATCGAGAAACCCATCCAAAAATACAGTTCCTCCGCGTGTTTCCTGGCCATCTTGAAAACGTATCAAGTGCAAAAATGTCTGGATGTCTGGAAGAGTGTAGACTTGTCATGCAGATTTTTCATGACCCATGAGGTCTGGAAGGCGGGACTTAGCATGACAGACATTCTGTGAGATCCCTATCATGCCTATTCTGCATGAGAAACTCCGTTCCAACTTGATCAAAAGTGGACACCTTTTGGTACTCACGCAACACCGATTTTTGCATGCTTCAGATTTACCATGACAAGTTGCAATCTTCCAGACATCCAGGGATTTTTGCAATCCATAAAACGTGAAATTGCACATTTTCCGCCACTTTTTCGTTTACTTGCTCCTGAATTTTCGACTCCAAAGCTTTCTCGAATTTCCCCACTTGGCCGATCGTTATGGACCCCGAATGCGCCGGTTGTTTCTCGTGCTGCACGGTGAGCGTCGTTCGTGCTGTCGGTATTTTCAGAATCTTTACCAGATATCACATGCAAAAATGTCTGGGTCCGGAAGAGTGCAAGTTTGTCATTGTCATGCTTGTCTGGCATGACTCGAGAATCTGTGTTGCATAGGCACGAAAAAGCCCTCTTACCTGTCATGCAAAAACGCAGTTTGCCATGCGGAATACGTAAGACATGGGAGCCACAAAATTTGTCATGCATCGCTGCGTATTGCAGTGCGTCTACCATTCACTTTTAGCATTACAAGTTTCCAGACCCAGACATATTTGCAACGCATACCAAAGCCCCTTTCACCACGTGGAGAGCGGAATCCAGGTAGATGCTCCGCGTCGCAGCTTGGGAAGAAGCCGCGGCCATTTTGAAGACGTAGTTTAGTCTAGTGGCTGATAGAAGTTAGTACAGGCGGGAATAGAAAATTAGGACGTGACTCAAATTTCAAGTAACATCAGACACGCTCAAGAGAACCTTTTGCGGCGGTGGGACAAAGGAGCGGCTTTATTTCCTCGAGATATTGTACTATGTCGCGTAAAAGAAGAAGTGCTCGGCGTGGTCTATTTTCCTATTTTGATATTGTGAAATAAAAAATGGACTGTTGTTAGTTCTGATGTTGTAGCTAATTTACAAATTGAAAATCTCTTTCCTCGTAGAAACTATTGAGGCCACTTGTTGCATGATCGTGCTAAATAATCTTGCAAAAGAACCGTCGACCAGCTAGAAAAAGGCCAAATCTTGGATCCCAAACAATCTCTTTTCAAGAAAACTAATGATCTGCGATCTTCTGCTCGTGCAGATGTTAATGCCATCGCGGCTGCGTGAAGATCCTGGGCTCGATGAGATCCTGATCCTTCGAGACTTCGGTTTGCATATTTTCTACTTGTGAGTTGAGCGGCAATGAACCCGCGAAACCCAATCTTGAATTAAGTCTGGATCCTTATGTAGACAACTTTTCCTTCGGGCCGAGAATTCACCAACTATCGGCCGTGGTACTTACTTATATGCAGAAACCAGGCTGCGCTGAACAAAGTTGCCCCGAGCTATGAACCTGAGCTCAGAGTGCCGTCGCGGCACTGGGTTGCGAAACAAGCTGTTGCGCTTCAGAAATGATGAAAAATGTAGATTTTGAAAAAGTTGTACGACTTCTCTTCCCAAAAATTTCAAAACACTTGTCCATGGCAACGGACCCAATTCCTTCCAACCCAAAATCTTTTTCTCGGAGCGACAGCGAAGGTGCATCGTCCCCGCGGTAGGAGAGGGATACATACATAGTTAATGTGATTGTGATTCTGTGATTTTCTCTTTAATATGGACTTCCAGGATTTTTCTTTTTACTCTAACCTAGTTGATGATTGTAACCTAGTTACCGTAAAAATAATGTGTTCACGTCGTACACAGCCACGCCACTCGCCCCGCTCTCTCCGTATACCCTCGCCATGCCCTCACCCCCTCACGTTCCGTTTCAGCAACACAAACAGCGCCACGTCCTTCAAAATCCCGCCGTGCCCCGCGTCCCAGGGGTGCGCTACGTACTTCGACTTATTCCGCCGGAACGTCGCGAGACAAACCTCGCTGTTGCAGACATAGCTCGCGAATTTGGTTATCCTGAGTAAAAACGTCCCCACGCCAGGTTTGTCATGCAAATGTGCAATGACAGGAACATTTGTAATGCGCAGCTCCATGAGAGGCATTTCCAATCGTGTTGTGGAATCTGTAATGCTGTAAACAGAATGCGAAAGTGGCTTTCTCATGCGGCTTATCTCGCCAATCAGCACTACACTGCAGAGGGAAACTTGTCATGCACAGCTCCCAAAACTTGGAGACTTGTGTTGCTAGGTTCCCAACTTGACTACGGGGTGGGGACGTTTTTACAAATGATATTGGTCGCGTGTTCGTTACTCGCGATGGTCTTTAACTTCGTTCTCTTGCAGTAGCCGCAAAACCAGGACTCGCAAACGACGCAATACCGTGGCTTGTGGTTGTAGAGCCCGCGACCTGATATTGATAATGTATGATGATGTGCATAGGGATCATTCGCATTACAAACTCTACCATTCATACGTCCCCTGCATGACAAAGCCAAAGTCAGTGCCATCTTCCTGTCAAATTTATTGGTTAACAGACCAGAATCTCAACGTTCTTGTCTCAACGTTCATGACGCCGACGGGCAATCGTCTCAACGATTGCCCGGCGGCCTCCAACAACGCTCGTCGGCAGAGGCGGAGAGGCGCGGCCGGCTGGCACCATTGACGCGAGGCGGGGTCCATGAACCATAAGGGGCGCAGGGGCGCGGCAACACACACGGGCAGGGGCGCGGGCGTGAAACACAACACAAGGAAAGGAGAGAGTCGTCGGCCAGGGCAGCCGCCGCCGGCCGGCCGGCCGGCGGCGGCTGCCCTGGCCGACGACCAGAACCCCAAACCCTAGACCCTAACCCCAAACCTAAACGGCGCCGAAGTTGAGGCGTCGGGGTCAACGTTGGGACGTTTTGTCTAAACGTTGAGACAAATTGGCGTAGTTGGGATTTTGGTTTGTCAACCAAATTTATTTCCTTTACATACCTTTTATCTTCACCCTTTCGCCCGTAAAATGCCGGTAGCACTGCGTGGCGCACTTCGCGCAATTTCCCGATAATTTGCCCTCGGTTCCGACCGGGGTGACAATGGGGTTGTCGTCGAAGGGGTTAAAGTGGATTTTCCCGTTTAAGACGTCATTCGGTATGCGGTCCCAAGTATCAGACGAAAAAAGGTGTTCCACTGTAAGGACCGACTTTGCAAGTTCTGCATCACAGGTTTGCTCTACATGAGGACAGAGAAAATTTCTCATGCGAGGCTCCGAAGGGAAAACACAGCTAAAAACCCACTGTCTTGCATGTGTAGCAAGGCAAACACTTTTGCGATACACATTTTCCATTACAAGTTTACACGTGAAACAGTTTTTTCCTGCGATACCAAGCTTGGTCGAAGTGGCTTGAAAGCTCCAAAACCAAATCCTGTGACTTGTCCGCTACCCGGGAGTTTTCCGCCAGCCAAATGCATCGTAAGGAAAAATCTTCCCTCCCCATATCGAGACGAAGTTTCTGATGCTGGATTTCCGTACACAAATGCGCGCTGTCTTGCAGTAAGGCATTGCAGCCAGATCCTCAGCCTAGGTAGGGGCGTTTGGGTCACGTTGTTTAGCATTGCAAACGGCTGTCCCCTAGGTCCAACAGCATGCCAAATTGCCTCCATAATGGCGCTGAAGCCTCTGCGCTTGTCTTCTTGCATGACGGACGTGATTTGTGGTCTCAAATCAGCAACGCAAATTTTCGGAGTCATACCGTTTCGATATGGGGAGGGGGGATTTTTCTTTTTGATAAAATGCGCCAGTGCTTCATGTACCTGAAGAGAGTTGTATATGTGTACTTTGTTGCTTTTTCGATAATCTTCATCTTGTCGTGCGATCTGAAATCGATAGCGAATCGTGCAACACAAAAACAAAATCATTGCCGTAGCGAATTTTGCATGCCAAAAAGAAAATAAAAGTACGCGTCAATCAAATGCTTCTGCCCTTGAAAGTGCATTTCCACCCTTTCCCGCACTTCTTTCTCTAACTCTGACCAGGACATATGACCCGCTCAGGTGCTACAATCTCAAACCGGTTTCCATAGAATATGCATATGGAAATCTGTGATGCAAGAAGTGCATTATCCAGCCAACTCTGCTCAAAGGATTCCGCATGACAAATTCCGGAGTGGCCGTGGTCCCAAACCGCACTACAAAAATCTTCCAAAATTTGTATTGCGGAAAGTGGGATGCTCTGCGAATCTGTCATGCTCAACAATATGCAAGACAGGTCCCAGATTCTATGGTAATAAAACCGATTTGAGATTGTAACACCTGAGCGGGTTATAGGACAGATCTTGATTCTTCACCCCCGGGCGCCGCGCCAATCCGAGGTAAATTCGCAGGGCCTGGACGAGATCCATACCGTGGTACGGGTCCACTACTGCGGTATTCCCACTTCGCTGGGAAGCACCGAGTCCTAGGGCTGCTGTTGCGCCGAGACAGCGGTCGCGGTCGGCACCGCTGCCGAAATCCGCTACAGAACAAATGTCGTCGTCGAAGTCGTTGTGTCCTAGACCGTATGAACTGCAAAAGTAGCGCCGTACTAGTATAAATTGCATTACAAATTAGCCCAGCATTACACATTAAATTTGGCATGCGGATCTACCTTAAGAAAAACATTTGTAAAGCATAAATGCAATGACTTCGAGTAAGATACTTTTGCACAGCATAAACCGCTAACGGGCGAAAGCATCATCTCGGAGCAGGCGGAGGGGGACCGGTCCATAGGCCCGTTTTGTTGTAGTCCTGGAAGTTGCAACGTGTTTGTTTTACCACTTGCAGCTCCCGGTTTCGGATTTCTGTTACTACTCCCTTGCAGTCCGGGTATTTGCAACGTGTTTCCGGACGACTTTGGTGGATGGTTGCTCGACGAACTACTTTTACTCATCAGATTCCGCGGGGATTTCGGCATCGAGGGAAGTTTTTTCCGAGCTCGGGAAAGCAAGGAGACGCCAGCGGTGTGCTGGGATAAGTAGACGTCGTCTTCCGTGTCTTCTTCTGGTTCATCGATTCCAGTATCTGCATCGTCACACAGCAAGGTTTTGCCCGCGCCGTGCGAGCCGACAGCGTCAGGTACTACGCCTTGGGTACTATTTTGTCTGATGTTCGACGTTTTCTGTCCGATGCTAGAAGTAGAGGAAGCGGAACTGCCGCCGCCAGCACATGACCCTAGGGCGGCAGCTCCCGCGAAATTTTGCAGCCCTGGGCTGCTACTCACCGCTAGATCCAGCAGTTGCTTTGCCGCTTTTAAACATCGCGGGTCCTCGAGGTTGGCGGAAGTGGTATCGCGAGCAGAAAAAGCTGTTTCAGAAGTCTCTCAAAGAACCTTTGCAGTAGTAAGTACATTTAGCACTACAAATTTTCGAAGCAAGAAACCAAAAAGCTGTGATGCGTTCAGCTTCAGACAGCACGAGAAATAAACATCGATGAAAAACAACCTCTCTAGCTCTAGCTCTAGCATGTTGAGCATGACAAAAAATTGTCTCAACTGCGCATTACAAGTTCTTGAGACTGAAACAGTTTGTTTCTCGCGATAAGTAGCAATGAGGATGTACTGCCGCGTGTCGTTGACGTTTAGCAGTATCCTGTGCAAAAGTATCGTACTCGTACTAATCGCAGATATGCATGACAAATCTGATTCCCAGGCTAAATCCGCATGACAAGTTCCATTTTTCATGCCTCCGAAATTTGTCATGCGATTTATACTAGTACGATACTTTTGCAATGCACAAGCAGCAGATCCCGCCAAGAATTGTTGTTCCCATAGTTGTTGTTGATAGGTTGCACTTCTAACAGCACTTCCAAGTAGTCCAGAGCTTGTATCCCACAGAAAAAAGCAGGCAGGGCAGATTTGTAATGCAAAAATAAATACGCAGAAAAATCTGTCATGGGCAACGCCGTAGCATGCTGTTTAGGACATGCAGTTGTTTTGTCTATTTATTTTTGCATTACAAATCTTACCTGCCTGCTTTTTTCTGTGTGATAGCTTGCCGTCGCAGAATTTTGTAGTTGTTGACGCACTATCCATGGCAAACATGTCTGGGTCTGGAAAGGTGGAACTTGTATTGCATGTCCTGCATAATTCCTGAAAAATCTGTATTGCATTGCCACCAAATGCGCGACTCTTTTGTGATGCAAAAACGCAGCTTGTCATGCGTCCTACGCATCAGACGGCGCCAACTAAACTTGTCATGCTTGGCTGCACTGGAAAGCACCAGACTCATCCATGCTTTAGCATCACAAGTTTCGAGACCCAGATCGATATTTGCAGGTGATACGCACTTGAGGAATTTGTTTAAAAACCCAAGTTTCTGCTCCGCGGACGTGTTGCAGCCCAGTTGCAGAAGCGGGTCAAGGGGTGGCGGTTGTGGCTCCTGTGCAGTGCTTGCAGTAGAAGTTGCCTCTGCTGCACTATTACTACTACCACTATCATCAGCCGCAGGAGCAGGTCGTGGCGACGTGAACCCCCCGCAGGCTTTCCGCGCGTTCCGGTAGACCAATCGCAGCTCGTGCCACCACTGCAACGTTGCCGGTTGCTATGGAGAGAAAAAAGTTTGTTACAGTCACTAAGTTGCAGGTTTTGCATTACAGATTTTTTTAGCGTCACAGCTTTTCCTTGTATTGCAGAAACACTAGCGGAATGATCCCCTATGAAGTTTGGCTGTGATGCATTTTTACGCATGACAGAAAGGTTTGTATTGCAAAAAAGCGCATGAGTGATCGCGACGAACTTTTTTCGTTTGATAGTTGCGACTTCGGCTGCGAGCAGTCGGTGAGGAAAGTGCGGAAGTTATCCTGAGGAAAAACGTACCCACACCAGAGTTGTAATGCAGATTTGCAAAGACAGGAAGACTTGTAATGCGCATCCGCATGAGAGCCATTTCCAATCGCGTTTTGGAATTTGTGATGCTGTGAACAGGATGAGCAGATGAATCTGTGATGCGGCTGCACTTGCTAACCTGCACTACACTACATAGCGCAACTTGTCATGCGTCTCTCACAAAACTCCTAGGTTTGTGTTGCAAAATCCCCATCCTGACTCTGGTGTGGGTACGTTTTTACTCAGGATAGAAGTCTTCCATGGTGGTCCTCGTCGTGTGGTCGTCGTGTTTTATTTTAGGGCTGCAAGAAGGGCTGGCTCTCACCCAGTGTTGTCGTTGTATGTTGCAGCACGCGACGAAGAAGCCCGTCCTGTGCGCGGTTTACAACTACCGCAGGTCTGGTACATATAATTCGCGGATCAACCTAGACTTTCATCCTCTTCCGCGCCCGCGGTTTTCAACTTCATCTTCATCACCCTCGATGGATTGACACTAGAACAAGTGAAATTCATTTAAAACTGGGCCAGTCGAACTATTTTTCTGAAGAGCATATCGTGCAAGAAAAATGTTCGTATTCGCGTTGCCCTGGTGGTGCACAACTGCCAAACGACGCTGCTACTACACTCTGAACCAAGACAAGAAGCCCTCTCAGAAGCACTTAGAAGTGACAGCACCAGCAGTCACGACGACCTGTGTTGAACAGCAACAGCTTCTCTTGCTGCTGGTGCCAAGAAAGCGCATATAACTTACTACTCCCGTTGAGAATCAGAAATCGCTGCGGGAAGGTTCTTGAATTTTTTCTGCAATTCACCGAAAAGAAGAACGTGGCAAAGAACACTTTCACGCCTGTATTTTTTCGCCTACGGAGCAGGCCATTGTAAGGCACCACTTCGTACTACCGTGAAAAATAATGGTTCATCTTCTGGCCACATGTGCAAAAAATTCCACGTTCCTTGTCATGTTCGTGCTCCTCTTTCGAACTACAGAGAGAATAAAAAACGTCATCTCATCCCCCTGAACGAAATACATGTTGAGATAATTGTACTTAATTCACGATCGCTCTGTCTTGCGTTTGTAACAAGACAAGCAAGACTTTTGTGCTGCATCATCTGCATCACAAGTTCACTCGGAGGGAGGAGCTTCTCTTTCACCACTACGGCCATACGGGCGGGCTGTAGTCCATGCGGTGTCGAAACTTTCCGAAAGTTATCCTGAGTAAAAACGTCCCCACACCAGAGTTGTCATGCAGATCTGCATGCCAAAAAAGTTTGTTTGTCATGCGGAGCGCAATGAGAGGCATTTTCTAGTCGTGTTTTGGAATTTGTGATGCTATAATCTGCATGATACACTAGATCTCTGATGCTGCTGAACTACCTAAACAGGATTACACTACGAGTAGAAACTTGTCATGCCAAATGACCAAAGCTGGCTGATTTGTCTAGCAGATTTCCCATCTTGACTCTGGTGTGGGGACGTTTTTACTCAGGATAAAAGGGAAGGAATTACCATGCTCCTTTTCTTATCCTTCTTCAGTGGCTTCTTTTCTGCTCTGCTCTTCGAATTTTTATCGTAAGGAAAAATCCCCCCTCCCCACACTGAAAGGTACTTTATGCTGTTGGAAATTTGTGATGCTGATTTGTGGTCACAAATCTTGTCTGTCTTGCAAGAAGGCAAACCCAGAAGGCCCCCCGCATTGTGCGGGCGGTTTGAGATGCTGTTGGGCCTACAGCATCGGCTTTTGTCATGCTGACGCGCCTAGGCCGAAACTTCTCCACTCCGGCTTGATATGGGCCGGCAGTCCTACACTGCAAGACAGATCTGATTTGTGTACGCAAATCCAGCATCACAAATGTCCTTTTCGATATGGGGAGGCGGGGGGATTTTTCCTTTGGATAATTTTTCGAGTTGGTTTCGCTTTCCCTTTCCTCCTCGTGCTGCAGATGATGATGAGCCCCACTTGTCGTTTTACTACTACTCCCCATCGTGCTGTTGCTGTTGCTGTTGGATTTATGCTCTTGTCCGGCGGATATCAAATTATAAAAATGTCTGGGTCTGGAAGAGGAGAAGTTTGTTATGCACATTTTCCATGATCCATGATGTCTCTGTTGTATGCAATAGCATCACAGATTGTTTGAGCGCCTACCGATGGTGCGCGTCCTGCATGACACATGCCTTCTCCGCGTAGCCAATATATTGACTCCTCTTGCTGCTCATGCAATACAGATTTTTTTGAGCATCCCGATGCAGCATCACAAATTTGTTTTCTTCCAGACCCAGACATTTTTACATTTGATAGCGGAGTGAAATTGATTTGAGCTCGAAGAACTCTTCGCCGGCACAGTGGGATGTATCAAATGTAAAAGTGTCTGGGTCTGGAAGAGTCATGGTGTTTTTGCATGACACAGAAGGTCTGGCATGGAACCTCTAGCATCACAGGTTTCGAGAAACTTCCGCCATGCCGAATCCGCGTGACAAGTCCCTCATTTTGGTGACAGAAAGTGGGCAGCTTTTGCTACCTATGCATGAGAGATTTTTCTGTGTTCTGAAATGCGCATCACAAGTTTGTATTCTTCCAGACCCAGACACTTTTGCAATGAATAGGATGATCGACGGTGCGAAACAAAAGCGGTTTCTCCTCTGTAGTGCTATCAACTGCTCATTCGTCTGGGTCTGGAAGATTCTGACACTTGTCATGCACGTTTTGCATGAGCCACGATGTCTGTGATGCATACCCTGGCGATACAGATTTTTTGAGGGCTTCTTGATGCCTATTCCGCATGACAAATGCCTTCTCAGTGTAGCAAAAATTGCATTCCCTTTGCTACTCATGCAATACAGATTTTCTTGGAATCCAAATGCAGCATCACAAGTTGCACTCTTCCAGACCCAGACATTTTTACATTTGATATCTAGTGCTCTGGTCTGTCAGTTGCCTGCGTTGTTCAAAGGTGAAATTTGTGTAGCTCGGTGCCTGCACATTATCAAGCGGGGGAAAAATTGCCAGCAGGGGGTCAGCTTGTCCGTCCTGTAGTGTAGGCACTGGCGGTGGTCTACTTCCTTGTTGTAGTTCGTCCGGTTCTATTTGCATATCCCTCGCCCACTGGTAGAGTTTCACAGGCACTGGTCGTGGTGGTGGTGGGAATTTTCCTTCCTGTAACTGTTGCGCCGGCCTTACTTGCATATCCCTCCCCCACTGGTTCAGTTTCACCTGCCGCGCCTGCCCTGAGGGAGCAAGAGCAACACCGGAGGTTTATGGAAGTTGCGTAGCAGTCGCCAGGTCTGGGGAATATTTTTAGGGTGATGTCAAATGGAAAGAATTACGAAATGATTATTTATATACATTGATCAGGAGCCCCCCGCCTCCATGTGCCATTGATTTTGAAGCGGCAAAACGACTTTGATGCTCTACTACCTCCATTATGCCAAAGCAGAACTGGTACACGTTCATGCAAATATTGAACAAATCATATTCATTCCAAATTTCTGACAACCACTCTTGAAGATCCCCCTGGCCAACATCTCGCTTGCTTCCGCATAACTTCGGCGCGACGGTTAGCACATGCGTCGTTGTCGCCAATCGGTCCGGCCTGGAGGACACTGCTTTACTATTCTGAATAGTACCGACTGCCGCCTTGTCAGGCACTGCGCGTTTGTACGACACGGCCCGGCCCGGCGGTTTTTTCGAAATAAGGCCGTGGACCTCCTTTCCTTTCCCCGGGGCCGGAAATATTGAACCGCCACCCACAGCGATCAGCTTCGTACTATCCTCGTCTACAACTCCGGCAACTGTTGCACGACGAGGACCTCCAGGGTCTTGTAGTTCTTCCGCCCCGGAGTCAGCAGCTTCTCGCGCAACATTTTCCGTAGAAGGCTCCTGTAGTCCCCCCGCGGGGGGGAAGGCCTTGTTCTGCATCATCAGTCTCGGGTTGGCGCGTAACGCGGCCTGTAGCGTTTTCAGCTTCTCCACAGCCGTCTGCTCCTGTTTTGCCCGGATCTTGTCCGCTTTCCTCCCCGATCCTACAGAAGTTTTTGGCAGAATGCTTGCCGCCACGAGTCTCCGCTGGGCGCTGGCGGTTCTTTCTCGTTGCGGGGCCGCTGCGCGTATCAAATGTAAAAATGTCTGGGTCTGGAAGGGTACAAACTTGTGATGCACATTTCAGAACACAGAAAAATCTCTCATGCATAGGCAGCAAACTTTCCCACTTTCTGTCACCAAAGTCAGGGATTTGTCATGCGGATTCGGCATGGCGGAGGCTTCTCGAAGCCTGTGATGCTAGAGCTTCCATGCCAGACCTTCTGTGTCATGCAGAAACAGCATGACTCTTCCAGACCCAGACATTTTTACATTTGATAGCGCGGTGGTCCCGAGTACTATTTCCAGAGCGTGCCGTGGTCGGCGCTGAGCGTGCTCGAGGTATCGTGAGAAAAAAGTGTTTACGGTTGCACACTCAGATGCAAGACCAGCAAGACAGACAACCTCTGTCATGCAGGAAACGCTTACCAGCGTCATTTCATTCGTGTTTTCCCTTGTAGTCTGCGCACTACAAGTTTTCTTTTGCATGCAGAGCAAATTTGTGATGCTGAAATTACATACAAATGTGTAGCTGTAACACTTTTTTCCTGTGATACGAGGGCTCCTCCGGGTAGTAATTTTCGTCGTGCTGCCCGAGGGGGGATGTCCTATGTAAAAACGCCCCCGAATTTTAAACCCGACTTGTGTGGTCATGCATCAAGTCTGCATGCCCAAAATGTTAGTTCTCATGCGCACCAGCAGCCCTAAGGACTTCATGGGCACCAGTAGCTTCTAATGACAAGTTGGAAATAAAATTCGTAGAAGAATCGCGGCGGCAATATTTTTCAACATGAGTACATTCTACTTACGAGCCCAAATTTGTCATGCGCAGCACCGAGAATCCCTGAGCCTGACTAAAGCAGAATTCCGATTTTTGCCAATCGGGGTGGGGCGCTTTAGAAATAATACTCAGGATAGGTCCACGTCGGCGGTCGTTTGGTTTTTTACCTCGTTCTCCGCCTTTATGGAATGCAAAAATGTCTGGGTCTGGAAGATTGCTAACGTGTCATGCATGTCTGACATGACTCAAGAATCTGTGATGCATGGGCACGAAGCTGTCTTCTTAACTGTCATGCAAAAACGCAGTTTGCCATGCGGAACACGCAACACAAAGGAGCCCAAAAATTTGTCATGCTTGGCTCCGTATTGCAGTAGAGCTCTCATTCACTTTTAGCATTACAAGTTTCCAGACCCAGACATATTTGCAATGCATAGCCCTCTCAGAAGAGCCATAATTACACGCCCGGAGGAGGAAGACCGTCACCACAATACCGGCCAGCAACAAAACAAACGCCAGCACGCCAGTAAGCGTGATACACGTCAGTGCTACTTTGTCCTCTTCCGGTTGTACTATTTTTGACCTCGCTGTGGTGGGCGGAGGCGTGGTCGTTCCCGTGGGAAGAACAGGATCATACGCTGCAGGAGCAGCCGTGCTCGCTCCCAGCAGCTGTGAAGACGTCGTTCCAGCACTTCCCTGCGGCTGTGGCGGGGGCGGTCCGTTCCCGCTCCCTGGTCGTGGAGATGCCGCTACTTCTAGCGGAGCGGATCCTGCTGCGGCTGTCGTTTCTGGCGGCGAAGTTGTAGACTCTGCAGCGGGGGTCCTTGCAGCCGGGGCGGCGGCCCTTGCGTCGGTAGTAAGAGTACTACCCGCTGTGTTGTTGACCACCGGGGGAGAATCGTTAGAAGGCTCAGTGCTGGCTCCTTCGGTTGTAGAGATGAGGGGCGCATCAACTCCAAGTAACCCTCGCTGCAGGTCGGCCCGCAGGCTGGCTTCGTCAAGAATTGCACCGCTAGAAGCGTTATCAAATGCAAAAATGTCTGGGTCTGGAAGAATGCAAGGTTTGTCATGCACACTTTGCATGACTCCTGAAGTCTGTGACGCATGCTCTGGCATCACAGATTTTGTGAGGGCTTCCTGATGCCTATACCGCATGAGAAATGCCCTCTCGCCGTGGCAAAAACTGGACCCCTTTTGCTGTTCACGCAATACAGATTTTTGTAGAATCCAAGTTCAGCATCACAAGTTGCATCCTTCCAGACCCAGACATTTTTGCATTTGATAAGCGTCGTAGTACCGGCCAATGCCGGCGGCAAGCTCTAGTAGGGCACTTGCTTCCCCTTCCAATGCTCCGGAGCTGCTGCTCTGGAAGCGGCCGTCGCGGGTATTGAACAGCTCGTGGACGACGGCTGCTATGCAATCTGAGCAAGCTGCGCTGGTGTAATAATCTTTTTAAAACCCGCCTACGTCACCCACGACCCGGGCTGCATGATAAAGAAAACAAAATAGCGCGCAGGCAGCACTACTCCAAAACGCACACGAGGCCGACCGGCTGCAGGCGCGCAAAAGGGCCTATGGGCTTTTCGCGTGGGTGCTTCGCTTAAGTGGCACGCCCAGGAGTTGCTCCCCCTTGGTGATCATTCACCTCAGCGCGCTTCCCCTGGGTCGTGCTTCGCTTAAGCCGGGCGGCGCTTAAGTCGTACGTCGGTGAAGCAGGGCGCTGCTTAAGTAGCGCGTCGCATAAGTCGTGCGTTGCCCAGGTCGTGCGTTGCCTAAGTCGTGCGTCGCATTTGTCGTGCGTCGCCTAAGTCGTGCGCCGCCGAAGTTAGTATTGCGTCGCCAAAGTAGTGCGCCGCCTAAGGAGTGCGTCGCTTGAGTCGTGCTGCGCCTACGCTTAAGTGCTTCGCCTAAATGCTTCGCCTAAATGCTTCGGCCAGGTGGCCGTGGTTTCAGTGGTTCGCCTAAGATCGTGGCACCTTCAGCCTAAAAAGTTACACCAGCACAGCCGCTCACCTGAATACCTTCGACGCCCTCCGCACTGGCCACCTGGGACGAACCGGGAGCAGGCAGGCGCGGGAGGAAAAGCTTGGCCCGCTCCTTATTGTGAGGAAAAATGCCCCCTCCCCATATCGAAAGCGAAACTTGTGTTGCTGTATTTGAGTACACAAATCACATTTGTCTTGCTGGAGAGGACTGCAGACCCATATCAAGCCGGAGTAGAGAGGCTTTGACTTAGGCACTTAGCATGAAAAGCGTCCGTGATGTTGGCTCAACAGCATGACAAACCGCCTCCATAATGGGACGGAAGCTGCTGCCCTTGTCTTCTTGCAACACAAACGTGATTTGTGACCTCAAATCAGCAACACAAATTTTCGAAAACCTACTTCTTCAATATGGGGAGGGGGGATTTTTCCTTGCGATACTCCTCGTCCTGTGGCGCGAGAAACTCCACCCACACGGGCGACAGGGGCTTTCCCTCCTTGAATCGGGCCTGCGTGGTCTCCAGATCCGATACAGAGCTTTTCGCCGTAGGTTTCACAAAGAGCTCCCGGCCAAGTCTCAGTCGCTCGAGCCACAGCCGGCTGGCGGAGCTTTCAAAAATTCCCCCGGGTAGTAGAGCCGGGAGCACATCAGAAGCTGCAATGCGGGGCACCAACAAGAACTCCAATTCTAGTATCAAAATGAAAAATCCCCCCTCCCCATATCGAAACGAAGTTTCTGACGCTGAATTTGCTTACACAAATCGGATCTCTCTTGCAATAGAGGACTGCAGGCCCATATCAAGCCCGAGTCGGGAGGTGTTGGCCTAGGTGTTTAGCATGAAAAACGTCTATGCTGCAGGCCCAATAGCATCACAAACCGCCTACATAATGCCGCGGGGCCTGTGCGGTTGCCTTCTTGCAAGACAGAGGCGATTTATGGTCACAAATCAGCATGGCAAATTTTCCGAGTCGTGCCTTTTTGATATGGGGAGGGGGGATTTTTCCTCACAATATCTAGGGTCAGCCGCTCCGTGGCGTTGCCGGTGTAGCCGCTTGTGCGAAAACGTGCATGATCGTATAAAATGCAAATATCCCTGGATGTCTGGAAGGCTGCAACTTTCCATGCAGATTTTCCATGACCCATGAGGTCTGGAATGCCGGACCTAGCATGACAAACTCTGCGAGGTGGTCTCTGTCATGCCTATCCTGCATGAGGAATCCCCTCCCAACTTGCTCCAAAGTGGACAGCTGTTGGCTGCACTCATGCAACACAGATTTTAGCATGATTCAGATTTAGCATCACAAGTTACCACCTTCCAGACCCAGACACTTTTGCACTTGATACTTCGGTCGAAAAAAGCCGCCGTGGCTCGTTGCGTTGGTATGTCAGTTGGATTCCGTACCTGCTTATGAATTGCAAATATGTCTGGGTCCTCTGGAAACTTGTGATGCGAGAGAGGGAATAGTGAAAACACTGCAATGCATTGCCCAGCATGACAAGTTTTGCCGCGGTTCTGAGGCGCGTTCTCCGCATTAGAAACTGCGTTTTTGCATGACAGGCAAGAGGAGCTCTTCGCGGCCACGCAATATTACAGAGCTCAGAGTCATGGCAGACTAGCATGACACCTCTCGCAAAAATCTCCCAGAGGACCCAGACAACATATTTGCATTTGATACTGGTTTGATTCTGTTTCACGTCTACCAGCTGTGCCACCGCAGCGTTTTGGCTTGTTTCCCTGGCAGCTCGCTCCAGAAAGCCGGGGCTGAACGTTGCGGGCCGGTGTCGAAAGGAGGAACTTGACGTTGTGGGGCGGCGCAAGTTATCAAATGTAAAAATGTCTGGGTCTGGAAGAATGCGCGATTTGTCGTGCAGCTTTTCCATGACCCATGACGCCTGGAATGCAGGACCTAGCACGACAGATTCTGTGCAATCTCTCTCATTCCTATCCTGCATGAGAAACTCCCCCCCGACTTGGTCAAAACTGGACGACTTTTGGTAATCATGCAACACAGATTTTTATTGCATGCTTCAGATTTAGCATGACAAGTTGCATTCTTCCAGACCCAGACACTTTTAAATTTGATACAAGTCCGAAAAGTGCCAAGATATCGACTCGGAGGGAGTGCTGGTTGTAGGACTAGCTGTATCAAAAGGAAAAATCCCCCCTCCCCATATCAAAACGAAATTTCTGATGCTGGATTTGCGTAGACCAATCCGATTTGTCTTGCAGTAAAGCACTGCAGCCAGATCCTCGGCCTAGGTAGGGGCGCTGGGTCTAGTTGCTGAGCATTGCAAACGGCTGTCCCCGAGTCGCAACAGCATGCCAAATCGCTTCCATAATGGCGCGGAAGCCTCTGCGCTTGTCTTCTTGCAAGACAGACCTGATTTGTGCCCTCAAATCAGCAACACAAATTTTCGGACCCGTACCTTTTCGATATGGGGAGGGGGAGTTTTTCCTTCCAATAAGCTGCACGACCTCCACCACGCCTTGCTCGCCGGTCGTGAGCGGTTTGTATATCGTAAGGAAAAATCCCCCCTCCCCATATTGAAAAGGTACGTTTCTAAAAATTTGTGATGCTGATTTGAGACCACAAATCCTGCCCCTCATGCAGGAGGGCAAATTCAGAGACTTCGCCACGATATGCAGGCGGTTTGTAATGCCTGAAGGCCTATAGGGCAGACGTCTGCCATGCTAGGCCCCTACACCAAAGGGCCTCCCCTGAGACTTACGATCTGCGTGCAGTCCTTTACTGCAAGACAAATGCGATTTGTGTACTCAAATACAGCAACACAAGTCTCGTTTTCGACATGGGGAGGGGGGATTTTTCATTTTGATATTGTAGGTACTGCAACATCTCGCCGGACACTGTGCGCAGCAGAAACAAAACCTCGCGGCCCCACCCGTCGACTAGCCCGGTGCTATAAATTGCAAAAGTATCGCACTCGTATAAATGCATTAATATAAATTTTCCCAGCATGAGAAATAAAATTTGTAGTGCGGATTTACCTCAAGAAAAATATTTGTAATGCAAGACTTGCATTTATACGAATACGATACTTTTGCGCAGGATAGGTGCCGGTAAAATATGATTTTTGCCCGGGGGGTGATGTCCTCGTCGACGAGTCGCCGCGTGCAGTGCTTTTTTATGGTTGTGTCAGGATCGAAATCGTCAGAGTTGAAATTGTTTGTCATGCATAAAGTGCAACGCAGAAATTGCCTCTACTGCAGAGGACGCAAGGGAGGCAGATTGTAGTGCTGGCAAGGGTCGAGAATTGGGCTGCTGATTAGCATCACAGAGGGGAGCCCCTTTGCCCTAAACAGCATGACAAATTGGCCTCCCGTACGGACAAAATTTGTGATGCGCCGACTAGAAACTGTGGGTCTAATTGGTTTCGCTTTTATGCATTACAAGTTATTTCAACTTTGACGATTTCATTTTCAATCCTGACGCTTCCATACTTCTTCTCCCGATAGTACACCGATTTTTCCCCCATTGTTCCGGCGGTAGTTCTATCCTGTGCAAAAGTATCGTACTCGTATTGCGATCATGCATTACAAATCTTTTTCTTGAGGCAGATCAGCATTACAAATTTTATTTCTCATGCTGAGAAATTTGCAATGCATTTATACGAGTACGATACTTTTGCAGTTCATAAGTTCACCCGCCACAAAGACTCGGCTAAGCGTTCCTCTTGAAGTTTGACGGCGACTTGCCCCAGTACCTCGTCATCGGGTACCATCCGTTTCGAAAGCGCAGCGGCCCGAGTCCCTATCAAAGAAGGGTCAGAAGGCGGAGGCGCCGGGTCGCTCGAGGCCCTATCAAATGCAAAAATCGATCTGGGTCTATAACAGGTCGCAACTTGTGATGCTGTCTGTGGATTCTAAAGAAAATTGTATTGCATGACCAGCAAGAGGGGTCGGGTTTGTCCTACGTGGAGAGGGCATTTCTCATGCGGTCGAGGTATGACAAAGCCCTCTAAAGATCTGTGATGCAACATGTGCTACGGCATGCATCACAGACATCATGGCTCATGGAAAATATGCATGACAAAGCTAGAAATCACTTCCAGACCCAGACATTTTTGCATTTGATAGGCCCGTAGGGACGTCAACTTGCCTTCCAGATCGGGTTCAACAGCCACGTAAAACATATCCCACTGGGTCAGGAAAAGAAGGTGCGGGAAAAATTCCGCGCGAAAGGGCGCAACATCGCGTCGAATGGAATCGTCCCATACTGGATCTTTCACCATCACCATGGTGCGCCGCCGGCGCCCTAACAAGCCCTCACAAAGCCACGTCTGCAAGATAGGCATAGGCAACGACCACTTCTCGGGAACAACAAGTTGCCTATCTTGCGCCGCTCCCTGACCTCCATTGGTCATCACCACCTCTGGCGGAGAACTGTCCTCGCAGCCGCCCTGAAAGACCACGTAAGCAGGGCTGCTCGGCGAGGTACTAGAGGCCCCCCCGGCGGCGCCTGGGCGGAAGACTTCTTGTTTACTTTGTTGTGCTACTCCATAGAAATTCGGCGCCCCGCTGCTCTCCTCCTGCTCCTCTGGCGTAGTAGCGGTCCTGCTGCGGATGATCTCCGCGCCGGAATAACGCGAAGTACTAGAGCCCTATCCCGAGCAAAAACGGGGCCCCCCACACCCCCTACTCTTCACAAGATGGGAATAAATCTGCTAGACAAATCAGCACGCTTTGGTTCTTGTTGCGCATGACAGGTTTGGCCTCGTGGCGTAATAATCCTCGACTTAGCTATAGTTCAGCAGCATTACAGATCTAGCATTACATCATTGTGAAATTCGAGCATCATAAATTCCGAAACATGACTAGAAAGTGCTTCTCATGTTGACTATGGGGTCGTGTGGGCGCCGGTTTTAAATAGGATAAACCCTGTAGTTTGACCCCTTGTTCAACAAAAGACCACCACGCGCTCGACACGGGATTGATGGTGATTCGTTCCCCATATCGTAAGGAAAAATCCCCCCTCCCCATATTGAAAAAGCATCCTTCGGAGAATTTGTGATGCAGAGTTGTGGTCCCAAATTTTTTTTTTTTTGATTAGGCCCTCTTTCTCATTGTATTGTATTGTATTGTATTGTATGGCATTGTGTGACGGCGGGAACGACACCCGCCCGTTGTGCTTAAAAATGCGCTCCCACGTCATTCATTAGTTTTTTGCTAGGAGGCCGGTGTGCGTTACTTAACATGTGAAATCTGATCTACGGGATCCAGCCTGTCTGAGCAGAACCGGGCCGACACAATATTTCACACAGTTAAGCAGAAGGCGCGGGTATCTTTGGCGTTTTTCCCGTCTGCACTTACTTACGTCGCCCGGTCTTGCAGGACTCTCGCCCTGTTGGCACTTGAGCATATTCCGGGTCCCAAATCATTTTTGTCTTGCAAGAAGGCAAGCGCTGAGGGATGAGCCGCATTATGGGTGCGATTTGTCATGCTGGTTGGCCTACAGGGCAGGCCTTTCCCATGCTATACAGCTAGACCCGTGCGCTCCTAAACAGCCTAAGAACCTGGCCATAATAATTCCTTACAGCAAAACAGACCCCATCTGTGTACGCAAATCCAGCATCAGAAATCTCGTTTGGATATGGGGAGGGGGGATTTTTCCTTTTGATAGCCCAAGACCGACGCCTATGGAATGCAAAAACATCGATCTGGGGTGGATCTGGACGAGTATGGAAGTGTCAGAGTCGAAATTGACAAAGTCGAAAAATTTGTGCTGCACAATATCGATGTCAGTTGGAGGATCAGTTTCCAAGTGGCGCATGACAAATTTGGGTAGAGCCGAAATGCAGCCTGTCATGCTGTTTGGGCAAAGAAGACTCCTCCTGTCATGCTACTCTGGCAGCGCATTGCATACCCTTCAACAGGCTTACAATCGGCCTCATTTGCCTGCTCCCCAATACAAGCCTTCAGTGCCCTACATTTTATGCATCACAAATTTTTCGACTTTGTCGATTTCGATCCTGACACATCCATAACGAGTGCAACGTTGTAATGCTCGTCGAGATTATGGAGGACATCATGGTGCCTGTAGAGTTTGTCATGCACGCATGCAGGCTGCGATGTTGTTGAACAAAGAGGTTTAATAATATCGGTTGATGTTTGCATTTTGCAAAACTGCACTTTCTGATGCGGAACAACTACACGCAAAAATCTTCATACAGAGCTCCCCAAGAACGAACAACATCCCATGTTGATTGGCTGCCTACTTACTTCTGTGGAGGTCTGTTCATCCTCATGCAACTACATAACGCTTTAAAAATACTAGCATGACAACTACAACTCTAAACCAGATCGACAGATGGCAACACAAAGAATTTGCGTTTGATAACATCGTCCAGGGCGCGGTATCAACTGTAAAAATGTCTGGGTCTGGAAGAATCCAACTTGTCTTGCTGCTTTTGGATTCTAAAAAAATCTGTATTGCATGAGCAGCAAAGAGAGTCCAAGTTTTGCTACACGGAAAGAGCATTTGTCATGGGGTATAGGCATCAGGAAGCCCTCACAAAATCTGTGATGCTAGGGCATGCATCACAGACGTCAGGAGTCATGCAAAATGTGCATGACAAACCTGGCAATCTTCCAGAGGACCCAGACATTTTTACATTTGATACGCGGGGCGACAGAGCATATCTCCCCCCTCTCCTCGCTCGTAGCCCGCGCAGACTCGTCCACAACCCGAACCAGGGCGGCGACATTGAAATATCAAATGCAAATAATGTCTGGATGTCTGGAAGATTGCAAGATTTGTCATGCTAGTCTGGCATCAATGACTCTGAACTCTGTATTGCGTAGGGCCATCGAAACAGCCTCTACTCTCTATGGATTGTAAAAATGTCTGGGTCTGGAAGGTTGGAACTTGTAATGCTAGCTTTCCATACCTAGAAAATCTGTATTGCATAACCAACAAAAGTCGCAGCCTCTTTTGTCATGCAAAGACGCAGTTTCTCATGCGGATTGCCTATGAGAAAGCGTTTTGGGAAGTTGTCATGCCGGACTGCATTCGGAAGTGTTTTCATCATGCACATTTTAGCATCACAAGTTTCCAGACCCAGACATTTTTACAGTTGATACTCTCGCCTGTAATGCAAAAACGCAGTTTCATCTCATGCTGGATTAATACGCAGCACAGAAGCACGAAAAAACTTGTCATGCTTGGCTGCGCATTGCAGTTCACTTATTGTAGTTCACTGACTTGCATCACAAGTTCCCAGACATCCAGGGATATTTGCAATCTACATAGGGAACCGCGACAAACAAAAGTTCGTTTTTGGCCGCGTCGAGCGTGGTCGCGGTTGGAACTGGGTCGCTGTCTCTATCAAATGTAAAAATGTCTGGGTCTGGAGAAATGCGCGATTTGTCATGCAGCTTTTCCATGACCCATGAGGTCTGGAATGCAGGACCTAGCATGACAGACTCTGCGCGATCTCTCTCATGCCTGTCCTGCATGGCAAACTCCCTCCCGACTTGGTCAAAACTGGACGACTTTTGGTAATCATGCAACACAGATTTTTGCATGCTTGAGATTTACCATGACAAGTTGCATTCTTCCAGACCCAGACATTTTTACATTTGATGGTCTCGGCAAGGTTGCCACATAAGCTCGAGATGGGGAGATCGCACAGGATACTCTCCAGATATGCATTGCAAATATGTCTGGGTCCGGAAGAGTGCAGAGTTTGTCATGCAGATTTTGCATGGCCCAAAAGATCTGGAATGGAAGCTTGTCTGAGGCTCCTCAATGCCTGCCCTGTGTGAGACATACTGGGTTCTCGTGGCCCAAATTGGGTGTGCCTTGTTGCTCACGCAATACAGAATTTCGTGGCTTGTTCCAGAGCTAGCATCACAAACTCGATTTCCTCCAGACCCAGACATATTTGCAATGCATACCAGCAGGAAGCAGTACGCGCTTACAGTCTATGGGAGTGTCAGGATCGAAATCGACAAAGTAGAAATTTTCTGTCATGCACAAAATGCGACGCAAAGGGTGCCTCTATAATTGCAGGGGATGCAAAGGAGGCTGATTATAGTCCTGCTAAGGGTCAAGAGTTGGGCTGCTGACTAGCACGACAGCAGAGAGCTCCTTTACCCTAAAGAGCATGACAGACTCGCTTCCGGCGCGGGGAAAGTTTGTCATGCGCCGACCATGAGCCCTGGGTCCAACTGGTAGCGCTTTTATGCATTCCAAATTTCTTCTCGATTTTGTCGATTTCGATTCTGACGCTTTCATACAGTCGGAGTTAGTGGTAGTATGTTCGGTAAAATTCGACTGCCCACGGGAGGACGCCCTCTTAACGCGGCAGCAGAGTTCGTATCCCCACACACCCTCACGGAACCCGGGACCCTTATGCATATTGCAAACTATATATCGAAGATGGTCTTCTGGGTTCTCTGGATAATAAACGAAAACGCTGCAAGAACTTGTCGTGCTAAATACAGCCAAACTCGCACCAGCATCTGCGTTTTGCATGAACGCTCCAGTCATATTACACTTGTTTGCCAAGAACTTCTTGCTACGCGAAGGCCGAATTTGTTCTCATCTTCATGCGGGATTATTCCAATTTTAGGCATACCGAATTGAAGTTGAAGATGCGAAGGTCTAACACAACAAAACCTGTGAAGATCTTCGTCAAGCTTCTTTGTGCCGATTCCGAAGAACCATCTGTCTGTGGTCCACGAGTAGATGCATGACAAGCGCAAGCCTTGCGTTCTTGTTCCGGCTATTATACTTTATTTTCTGGATCGCGATCGCGGAGGGCCGCGGGACCCGCACCGGCGACAGGCGGTAGGCAAGCAATGTGGACGGCGCGCGCACGCAGCCCCGCCTTGTGGATTCTACTTCCAGATTTCGACATAGATCTAAGTACTTCGATATATATAAAAAATGATTTGTCGATTTGATAAAGCTGGTACTTCAGCCACTTCATACCCAGGGTCAGCCAGTCGCGTTCGGCGCGCGCCTATCAAATGTAAAAATGTCTGGGTCTGGAACAAAGGAACTTGTCATGCTAAATCTGAATTATGTAAAAATCTGTGTTGCATGATTACCGAAAGCTGTCCACTTTTGACCTAATCGAGAGCCAGTTTCTCATGCAGGATAGGCATTACAAAGGTTTCGCAGAATCTGTCATGCTATGTCCTACATACCAGACCTCATGGGTTATGGAAAACCTGCATGACAAATCTGGAAATCTTCCAGACCCAGACATTTTTGCAGTTGATAGCGCCGGCACGGTGCGGTCGAGCAGCGGTGGATAGTATGGATTGCAAAAATGTCTGGGTCTGGAAAGTTGGAACTTGTGATGCTGCATTTAGATTCTACAAAAATCTGTATTGCATGAGCAGCAAAGAGAGTCCAAATTTTGCTACACGGAAAGACCTTTTGTCGTGCGGTATAAGCATCAGGAAGCCCTCACAAAATCTGTGATGCTAGGGCATGCACCACAGACATCAGGAGTCATGCAAAATGTGCATGACAAACCTTGGATCCTTCCAGACCCAGACATTTTTACATATGATAGATAGAAGCTCTGGTTCTTGCCGGGAAGATCCTGGAAATACTTCTTGTCAGCAACACCTTCAAAAGTGGATTCCAGTCCAAAGGTGGCTCGAGTAGAAGGTCTGGGGTCTAAAGAGGGGGCGGGCGGCCCAGACTTGTACAAGGGATGATAGCGCCGCAGGTCTACAGGGTCGTCGTAGTGTCGCACAACCAATCGGGTCCCCCGAGAGAAATAGTCTTCCGCGATCATCTCCAGCGACCTCGTGTCATCTTCCACGGGGGGGCGACTACTCAGCTCATGCCACCTCCTCACTGACGAATAGGGAAGCGATGTCGACCTCACTAGTGCTGGGGCCGTGAATTTCTTCGCAGCATATCAGATGCAAATATCGATCTGGGTCTGGAAACTTCTAATGCTGCGTTGGGAATAGCGAATGCTCTGTAATGCACAGCCAAGCATGAGAAATATCTGCGCTTCTTTGTGTTGCGTTTTTCGCATGGCAAACTGCGTTTTTGCATGACAGGCAAAAGGGTCTATTTTGGGACACGCATCACAAGCTTTTTGGTCATGCCAGACAAGCATGACAACTCTCGCAATCTTCCAGACCCAGACACATTTCCATTTGATACAACAGTAGCCGGAGCAATTGTTCCTTCGCTCCTACTCTCGGTAGAACTTCTTGGCGAAGTAGTTGTAGTACCAGGATCTTCTTCATGTCGCTGCTCGGCGACAGAGTCGTCTTGTAAACTACCCACGCGGCGCCGTACCATCGTCCTTTGCGTCGGATGTTCCTTTTTGGGAAGAGAGTTCGCCCTCGGAGGTAAGGAGGACAATGCTCTTGGCAAAAATGTAGGAGCAGCCTGTACTTCTGCAGTTGGTGGTTGTTCGCTCTCGGTTGTAGATGAAGTCGTCCTTTGTGGTGAATACTTAGTAACCTCTATCAAAAGGAAAAATCCCCCCTCTCCATATCAAAACGGAAATCTGTGATGCAGATTTGTTGTCACAAATCAGCTTTGTCATGCTACACGGGAAAAGACGCGGACTGTAGTGCTGGGTGGCGTGGGGAAGCCTTGCATCTTCAGCATGATAGGAGGCAGCTGAGAGTGGGAAACAGCATGACAAATTGCCTGCGAAGGAGGCCGCGACTGCGGCTCTTGGCCTTCTAGCATGACAAGTCGATTTGTGACCTCAAATACAGCATCACAAATTTCGTTTTCGATATGGGGAGGGAGGATTTTTCCTTTCGATAACCTCCCGTAACTTCTCTCGTCGCTGCTCGGCGACAGAGGAGTCCTGCCCTGTTGTTCCCGACTGCTCAGCAGGACCAATGAGACCTGTAATGCATGACGTAGCATCGCAGATTTTAATTTTTCGAGGGCTTCATGATGCCTATTCTGCATGAGAAATGCCCTCTCCGCGGAGCACAAACTGGGCTCCTCTTGCTGCGGCATGCAACACAGATTTTTTTGGAATCCACAGACAGCATTACAAGTTGAAACCTTCCAGATCCAGACATTTTTGCATTCGATATGGAATGATGTGTGGCAACTGTACCTGCAGAAAAGCTATCAAATGCAAAAATGTCTGGGTCTGGAAACTTGTGATGCTCGGTGGCGTCTCATGATGAGGCCACAAATGCTGGCTCAGCATGACAAGTTTCTGAGCTTCTAGGTGTTGCCTATTCTGCATGACAAACTGCGTTTCTGCATCACAGAAAAATGGAGCTCTTGGGTAACGTGCATGACAGATTTAAGAGTTATGCCAGACAAGCATGACAAACATGCATTCTTCCAGACCCAGACATTTTTACACTTGATATGGCTCGCCCCTCGCGGTCGAACTCGAAGACGCTCTTTTTGGTGCATTAGCATTACCACCCCTTAACTCTCGTCGCTGCTCGGCGACAGAGGAGTCCTGCCCTGTTGTTCCCTATCAAATGCAAAAATGTCTGGGTCTGGAAACTTGTAATGCTCGGTTGGGAATAGTGAATGCTCTGTGATGCACAGCCAGGCATGAGAAATATCTGCGCTACTTAGTGTTGCGCTCTCCGCATGACAAACTGCGTTTTTGCATGACAGGCAAAAGGCTCTTTTCTTGGACACGCATCACAAACTTCTCAGTCATGCCAGACAAGCATGACAAACCTTGCATTCTTCCAGACCCAGACATATTTGCACTGGATATTCCCGACTGCTCAGCAACGCCCTGACCCCTCAACGTTGTCGACGTCCTCGCACGTTGCCAACTCACACGCGGAATCGCCGACACCTGCGTTTTGATTGCCATATGCATTGCAAATATGTCTGGGTCTGGAAGGGTGGAATTTGTAATACTGTCCGTGGATTCTAAAAATATCTGTGTCGCATGAGCAGCAAGAGGGGTCCAGTTGTTGGCACGCGGAGAAGACATAATTTCTCATGCTGATAAGCATCAAGAAGCTCTCAAAAAATCTGTAATGCTAGGACCTGCATCACAGACCTCACGGGTGGTCATGCAAAATGTGCATGACAAACCTCGACTCTTCAAGACCCAGACATATTTGCATTTGATATGCCACCTTGTCAAACGAGTTCGCCCTTGGTAATGACGCGCTTATTACAATGAAAAATGCCCCCTCCCCATATCAAAACGGAAATCTGTGATGCAGATTTGTGGTCACAAATCAGCTTTGGGATGCTAGAAGGCAAAAGATGCGGACTGTAGTGCTTTCTAGCGTGGGAACGCCTTGCAGCTCCAGGATGACAGGAGGCAACTGGAAGTGGGAAACAGCATGACAGATTACCTGCAAAGAGGCCGCAGCTTCGTCTCTTGGCCTTCTAGCAATACAAGTCGATTTGTGTCCTCAAATACAGCATCACAAATTCGCGCATCTTTCGTTTCGGATATGGGGTGGGGGCTTTTTTCACTTTGATAGCGCTCCTGCGTGATTCTTGTACAGCCGTAGTACTAGCAGTTGGCGCTTCTCGTCGTTTCTGGTCGTCGTTTGGAGGTGAAAAATCACCAATTTCTCCCTGCTCGGCGAGTGAGAGAAAAATGCTGGGTTTAAAAATATTTTTGCTCGAAGTAGTAGTTCTTGTTGTACTCCTAGTGCCATTTATTTTGGATGTTGAATCAACACCAGCAAAACTTGCGTCGCCCAACAGCTGCATTTGCACATCTTCCCCGTCGTGAAAATTCTCGTCGAACGACGAGAGCTGCTGCTGCTTACCTGGCGCAAGAACAGCAGACTGAAATCCAACTTCTAGTGCCCAGAAGGATTGTTCAGGATGCTGTACTCTAGAGGTCGTGGGACTGGGAATCGAGGAAGTTGTGTGTCCTCGTCTACTAGGGTGACGAAGATCGATGTAGTCTTCTTCTTCTTCTTCGAGCGCCGTAGGTGCAGCTGTTGCACTACTCGTCGCTGGCTCCAATTTACTTCCAGCATTTGTCGTGGTTGGTCTGCGGACGACCAGCGAGACTGCATGAACGACGACTTCTTGTGCGGCAGGGTGGAGAAGGAGGAAGAAAATTGATAGAAATCTTCCATGTAGTTGTAGTCGTGTACTATTTTTCACTGCGAGTGGAGGTCGTAGTGGACGAGATGCAGCAGTACAACTACCGCCGTTCTTGTTCAACGTCTTCAAAGTGGTTGTTGTACAAACCTCAAACCACCAGGAGGGCGTGTCATTTTTCGAGCGGGAGGACCTTCCTTGCCCGGGTCGTGGTGGTCCAGGACCCAACTTCATCGCGTCGTGGGGACAAGAACTACCCCGCTTATTACTTCGCTTTTTCGTCATCAGTGATCGTGTGTAGTTCTTTTTAGCATGCTTTTGTATAATTTACCCAAAAATGAAACCGTTCAACAAATAAATACTCAAAGAAATAATGAGGTAAGTCCAGTCAATAAACCGTTGCTATCAGTACAGAAAAAAGGAGGGCCTGAGGCAGCCGATTTTGTTTTTCAACACAAAAATCGTGTGTAGCAAACCAACCAGCCGAGTGTTGTTTTTGAAAGCACGAGGACACTTGTTTCATCATCTTTCATCTTCACAATTCTCCGTCAGAGTGTTACTTCTAGAGGACAGATGAAACCGAAAAGCTGTAACCAAAAGCCGAACCGAAAAAACACATTTAGTTTTGCAGGCACTCTGCGCATTCTTTGAAGTTGAACCGAATCGCGTTCGCGGCAAGGGTCCTCCGAACCGAAACATGAACAGTACACCGACTATTATTAATACCGGAATTAACCAGAGACTAGACCTCCGAAGGACGAACATTTTTGTCCTGACAAGCCGAACGGTGAGCAAGGCAAATCTTCTCGGCGAACTGTCCTTGTACAACCGAAGTTTTTGTAAGTCCTGCGAATAATATAGTAAAGGAAATATATTTCCACCGATGCGGTGACCTCCGTCGGTGAACTTTCTTGTAGACGTGCCTTCTTGTGGCCGGAGACTGTGTGCAGCTTCTTGAGCGACGAGACCCGTTTCCTTATTGTAAATGTTACTGCTAGTCAGTTTGTTCGGGGGGGTGTTTATTCCTTTACGGTCAACATTCGGATGAAAGCCTCAAGAACCTCCTCAGCAACAACTCACCTCCACCGCGTTCGGGTTTTCCACACTCTCGACCACGATGTTCCTTGGCACGAAAAAGTTTTGTCGTGCATCCATCCCGAACAACGCGTCTCGGATCCAGTCGTGGGACTGGGTAGTGTCCCAGCGTCCCACGTCTTCCTTGTGTGTCCTCGTCTACTCGGGTGAAAATCATCTTCGATGTAGTCTTCTTCCTCTTCGAGCGCCAAAGTAGGTGCAGCTGTTGTACTACTCGCTGGTGGCTCCACATTTTTACTACTTTCGTGTGTACTACTAGCCGCTGTAGTTCTCCGCACCAGCGACACCGCATGAACGACGACATGTGCGGCGGGGTGGAGAAGCAGGAGGAGGAAAATTGATAGAAATCTTCCATGTAGAAGTCGTGTAACTGCGAGTGAAGGTCGTAGTGAACGAGGTGCAGCAGCACACCTACCGCCGTTCTTGTTCAACAACATGGTTGTACAAACCTCACCAAGCCGCCGGGGCGCATCATAATTTTTCGAGCGCGATCTCCCGGATCGCGGTCCCAATTTGCCGCGGGGACGAACCCGCTTGTTCTTCCGCTTCTTCCTCATAGATGCTAATGGTGACAAGAATGTAGAAGTGACATGTTTGTATTCAAAAGAAAATATCAAATCGACGTTCTTAAAATGAACTCACATTTTTGATACCTGCAGATGAACCAAAGGAGGGCCTGAAGCACAGTCGAGTTTCTTCAACCCAAATTGAATAAGTAACAACGATCGAAGGTGAAATGTCCAGTCATGCGTGCACTATATCATGGGGAAGCCGGACGTTTTTATTGTGAAAGCACGAGGACAGCACTTTCCTCTTTCACAACGTCGACACAATTCTGCACTTGTAGAGGACAGAAACCGAAAAGCTGTAAGCCACAGCCGCACCGAGAAAACACACGCAGTTCTGCAAGCGCTGCTACATTTTGATGAACCGAATCGTGCGACAACGTGGCAAGAAAGGTCCTCCGAACCGAAACAGTACACCGAATTATATGAAAGCCGGCAAAGACTAGAGCCTAACCGGCGGAAAAGAGAGCAGTGATCATTCATCTGTTACCGAACGGCACTTGCACTGCTACTGACAACCGAGTTTTATTTCTTGCAACTAGTGCGAAACTATTAGAGGCAAAAATCTATTACCGCAGCAGCTTCGACCGACGCTGACATACACCGATGGGCTTCTACCCAGCTTCGCTGATGAACTTTCAAAACTTACTAGTAGCCGACTTCTCATATATGTTCTAACACGTGAACAAGTGATCATGTTCAAGACTTGTGCAGAAATGAACTTCTTCACCTGGACTGCAGCCTGTGTAGTTGCTCCTTACACAGGCGGCCCATCTGGAACAACTAGGAAGCAAGTACTACCTCCTCGTCGATGAGGTTGGATGTTTTATTCACAGGTTCAGTCGAGTGCGCTAAAGCTTTTTTTTGTCAGCAACAACTCACCTCCACGGCATTCGGGTCAGCAACTCACCTCCACGTCAGCAACAACTTTGCACTTTCTGCATCACAGACTTACACTTACATGAGTTTTTTTCTTGCATATGGGAGCAGTGAAATTCAATCATGCGGGTGGAGTGGGATTCTAGAATTTTGTTGTTGTTTTTGAGGTTTGTTGCACCACCAACATCATCTTCAGTTTCGCGCTGCGATGATGGAACAACAGCGCCGTCACCACTTGCGGAGGCGGCCACACCTCCGTTATTAAAGGCGGTCTTACAGTGTCTCGCGGCGTTGCGGTGCAGTTGGAAGTCGTTTTCTTGGTTGGAATTTTTGCTATTGTTGTACTGCTGTTGATTTAGAAGATTTTGCGAAGCTGCAAAAGAACCCGTGGTTCTAGTCACTGTTGTGGTTCCGTAATTATGCTCCGTCATGTAACTAGCTCCCTCGTCGCACGGGGGAATCAGATTCACCGAAGCGGCCGCGGCATTCACAAGCCCGTCGACGTAGGGAGAACAAAGTTCCGCGAGTATCAAAGGGAAAAATCCCCCCTCCCCATACTAAACCGGAGATTTGTGTAGCATGATTTGTGACCACAAATCCTTTTGTCATGCTAGAAGGGAAGAGATGCGTTCTGTAGTGCTCGCTGACGTAGGAAAGCCTAGCGTCTTCAGCATGACAGGAAGCAATTGGAAACGGGAAACAGCATGACAAATTGTCTACAAACGAGGGAGCAACTGCGCCTCTTGGCCTTGTAGCAATACAAGTCGATTTGTGTACTCAAATACAGCAACACAAAATCCATTTTCGATATGGGGAGGGGGGATTTTTCCTCACAGTAGCGAGCTCCGATGGCGGTTTCACCAGTGGGAACCTCCTATCAAATGCAAAAATGTCTGGGTCTGGAAGGATCCAAACTTGTCATGCTGTCTTTGGATTCTAAAAAAATCTGTGTTGCATGACCAGCAAGAGGAGCCCAGATTGTGCTACGCGGAGAGGGCATTTGTCATGCGGAACAGGCATCAGGAAGCCTTCCAAAAAACTGTGATGCTAAGTCATGCACGACAAGCATCATGGGCCATGCAGAATATGCATGACAAACCTTGCAATCTTCCAGACCCAGACATTTTTGCATTTGATATCTCCGGACGAGGAACAACCCCTTCACCGAAGCGGCCGCGGCATTCACAAGCCCGTCGACGTAGAAAGAAGAGGTGGAGGAGGTGGATGCGGTTGTACTTCTGCCATCGTCGGTGTTCATCTTCACTACAGCTTCTGCACCTCCAGCAGAGCTACTAGAGATGAACTTCTCGTCGTTCATTTTGTATGGGGTTCTCAAATGTTACATTCTCAACTGTTACATGATTTGTCATGCAAAAGTGCCATTATCATCTCCACCAAGCTTTTTTTTGTCAGCAGCAACTCACCTCCACGGCATTCGGGTTTTCCACATTCTCGGCCACGATGTTCCTTGCCGCGAAAAAATTTTGTCTTGCATCCATCCCTATCCACTGCAAATACGTCTGGCGCTGGAAGAACTCGGGGTTTGTCATGCATTTTGTAGACCGCAAAATGGTCTGGAATGCTGCCAAAGGCATCACAGGTTTTGCGCATGCTTTCCAATGCCTGCTATCCCACACGAGAAATTAGCTTTCTGCGTCGCACGATGCTGGCAACTATTCGAGCTCATACAACACAGATTTTGGTGTCCTCCAAAATTAGCATCACAAGTTCCAATCTTTCCAGACATCCAGGGATATTTGCAATGCATAATCCCGAACAACGCGTCCCGAATCCAGTCGATGCGCGGTGACTGCGTGGCGGCCCGGCGGTATATTGTGAGGAAATATCCCCCCACCCCATATCAAAACGAAGTCTCTGATGCTGGATTTGAGTACACAAATCAGGTTTGTCTTGCAGAAAGTGCTTGGCGGCAATTTCTGAGCCTGTTTGGGTACTATGCAGAAGGCTAGCAATTACGCATGGAAAACGGGTTTGCAGTAGCCAAAAGCGCGTGACAGATTGGCTTTGGAATGCGCCACATGGCAGCTCCTATTGCCCTATAGGCAAGACAAAGATGATTTGTGACCACAAATCAGCATCACAAATTTCTAGTTTGAGTATGGGGTGGGGGGAGTTTTTCCTTTTGATACGGTAGCACTCAAATTCGCACAGGTTCCACGCGTTGTTCCACTGGGAGGTGTCGAGTGGCCCCTCATTGTTGTTGTTCCCATCCTGCATGACAAACTCCTCTGTATTCGCAGCACCACCTCCACCCCGACTTCTCATCTTCGCTGCGAACCACAGGTCGCGCTATGGAACTGTCAGGATCGAAATCGACAAAGTCAAAAAATTTGTGATGCATAAAATGTAAGGCACTGAAGGCCTGTATTGGGGAGCAGGTAAATCAGACCGCTTGTAAGCCTGTTTAGGGGTATACAATGTGCTGCCAGAGTGGCATGAGAGGACCAGTCTTCTTTGCCCAAACAGCATGACAGCCTGGATTTGGGTGCTCCTGCAATTTGTCATGCGCCACTTGGAAACTGAGCGTCCCACTGGCATCGATTTTGTGCATCGCAAGTTTTTCGATTTTGTCAATTTCGATTCTGACACTTCCATACGCGCACGATCGGCCGCAAAAATTCGCGCAACACGGGCGAGTGCAGCTTCACCGAGTCAACAAACAGCGGCGTGTCCTTTCCTGGTTCCGGGTTCGCGTTCCAGTTGTGCATGTCGTAATTCAGGGCTTTTTCAAACTCTTCCCGACGCTCCGTGGTGTTCAAATGCTTCTCTTCGATTTTTATCATTTTCTCGACAATGCGGTGCGCGATTTGCAATGCGATTTTCTTTCGCAGGAACACCGCGTCGTAGCCTGTATAGCTGATCAGCACGTACTCGTCTCCGCCGTAGGTTTTCAGAATGTGCAGCACTCCTGACAGAGAGCACCCCATAAAATCGTCGGCCTTGTAGCCCAGGACTTGGTCGGAATCTACTTCCGAATCATCCTCCGTGGCCGGCACTACTGCTTCCGGCGTCGCTTCCGCCGCATCGGGGGGTGCTTCTTCGTTTTTCATCGCCGAGCTTTTTGTATCTGCTGCTCCCACGCTCGCGTCGTGGGTGCTAGTATCTGCGTCCTCTCCTGCAGCTGTCTCTTGCACAACTTCTCGCGTGGTCTTGTCACCACTATCTTTATCCTGCGCCAGACTTCTCCGAACCATTCGCAGCGGGGGCGGGAAGTCCGGATTGATTTCCAATGCGAGCACGGACGGACGGATGTTCAGCGAGACTGCGGACGTGTCCTCTTCGTTGGCCGCACTGTCGCCCGACCGCGAGAGTAATGCTCTCAAAACCATGCAATCGATGTGTGCATTGCAAAAATGTCTGGGTCTGGAAAGCGCCAGGCTTGTCATGCATTTTTTGCATGACCCATGATGCCTGTAATGCATGAGCTAGCATCTTCGCAGATTTTTAGAAGGCTTCCTGACGCCTATCCCGCATGACAAATGCCCTCCCCGCGTAGCACAAACTGGCCTCCTCCTGGTGGTCATGCAATACAGATTTTTTTAGAATCCAAAGTTAGCATCACAAATCCCAACTTTCCAGACCCAGACTTCTTTGCATTTGATACGATGCTGTCGATGTCGATCTTGACGAAGTCGGGGTTTTGCTGCATGCGCTCCAGGTGTCGGAGGCTGGTGGTCCACCCTGCTACCTCTTGATCCCCTTTCTCCTCCTCCTCTTCCGCCCGGCGCAATCGCCGCAGCAACTGTTTGTCGAACTGATACAAAAGTTTGGGCAGCGTTTCTGGCGTCGCAAAATCGCCGGAGAAGAAAATGTCGTCACGACCAGACGAAGAAGAAGACCTTTTCTCCTGGAGGTCCTGGGCGCGCAACAGTACAGCCTCCTCCTCCTCCGCCGCCAAAACGTGTGCGTCCCGTTCCTTTTTCAACCGCGCCAGGCTCTCTTGGTGCGCTTCCACGTAGAGCGCAACCAGGGCGTTTTTCCGCGTGCGCAAAATCCCGGAAAGTGGATCGTCGTTGTACAGCTTATACCCGCTTCCGAAGTTCATGATCGTGACGAGGTGCTTCTTTGTTTCCTGCTCAACAATAGAATCTTCTTCCGAACCTTCGTCTGTTCGTCCCGAACAAAACTCGAACTCGTTTTCTCTTTCCGCACCTGAAAAATCTAGGGTGGCTTCGGTTCTCTGCAACTCCCTCTTCGCACTGTCAGTTCTCGTGCACTTGCTCGTGGTTGTCATGTGGTTGTCGTGTGACTCCTCGAATGATGATGAAGCAGGAGATGTGGTATCATCTTCCTCTTGTTGCACCGCAAGAGCGTCGAACTGTTCCAGGTCGTCGGCCAACTTTTCCAAAAACTCCCCCTGTTCGAAATACTGGTTGGAGGATTGGAGGGTCGGAAGGGAAAACCCGCAATTCCAATAAGACACGGATTCCGGGGTTTTCCGCACCGCGTCGGCCGTTGCGCAGCTGAATTATTATGAGGAAAAACGTCCCCTACCCATAGTCAAGATGGAAAATCTGCTACGCAAATCAACAAGCTTTGGCTGTTGCGCATGACAAGTTTGGCCCTCGTAGCGTAGTCCTGTTTAGCTAGTTCAGCAGCATCACAGATCTAGCATATCACGCGGATTGGAGCATGACAACTATGGGGTGGGGCTGTTTTTACATAGGATATGAACCGCTCCTGTTTCTCGCGAAAGAGCTGGTAGTAGTTCCCATCCCTTTCTGCGTCGGGCTGAATCTGCTTGGCGGACAGCAGCAGGCCGTGGGGGTCGTTGGGGTAAATCTTCGCGTCGGTCGTCCGGTAGTAATTCCGGTCGTGAAAAACGAGGAGAAGCAGGGCTGTCTTCGCTGGTCGGTACGGGTATCCTGCGGCCCGCGGCGCGAAAAGTCGGGAGGGGCATGATTGGGTTTGTCGTTGTTCCCACGGGGCTTGGGCAGACCGCCGCCGGGGCTTCTCGATCGGGGCTTGTCCTGGCGCCGCGCCGACCGTTCTCATCTTTCGCTACAAGAGTTTCGGCTTTGCCGAATGGGTGGGCGGGGGTTCGTCGACACGACGGGCAAGACGCAAAGGCGCTTGCTGGGGGGCGCAGGCCCGGGAACAACATTCGCTGGCGGCCCCGCGGTGACGAAGCAGGAAAGGCCCCGCGGCGGCGGGCAAAAAGGCAACAGGCCATCGGGGTGTAAGGCGTGGCGCGTGGCTAATTCAAGCGCCCGGCCGCCCCGACGGGCAAAGCGCGGCGGCATTGCCCTTGCGCGCCGAGCACAGGCCGGAGGGCGGCAAAGGTTTCCGCACCGGTGGCGCAGGCGGGCGCCGCGCTTTTATTGGAAAGGCGGGCGGGCCTAGTTCGGCAGACCCCCGGGCCCTGCCCTTGGCGGGCGAGCCCCCTGCAGGGGCGCTCTCTTTTCATCAGCCGGAGCCGGATAGCCCCGCCCGAGCGGCGCACGCGGCCGTAATTGCGCGCCCGCTTTAGGGTTGCCACGGCGGGAAATAGTCCGGCGGCGGGCCCCCCCTCTGTGGGGTCTTGCGCCCTCTTGCGGTCCGCTAGATTCCATGCCCCACACCCCTGTGGTATGCGTACAGCGCGCACGGAGCGGGGGGGGGGGGGGCAGAGCACCCAAGAGGAGCGGGCCCAGCCCGCGCAGGCCCCGTGGTTCGGTTGGAAGTACAGCCTGGAAGTGACCCACTAAGGCTCCGCACACCTATCCGCCCGGACGGAAGCGGATCAGATCAGCCAGCGCGGATTGAGAAACTTAAAAAAATTTTAAAGGTGACAGAAAAGCTTGAAACGTCGCGGCCATTCGCTGAAAATGAACAAGCTCCCTATAGTTTTTGCTGATCTTTTGAGTTAGTGGATCAGACTACGTCTATGATGCCAGGATCTGTGACGTTTTGTGAAACTTAAAAAATTTAAAAAATTGCACATCTAATGCAGAAGCTTGAAAAGTTGAGCAATTTACCTCAAAACTAACGCAATCGCGATAGTTTTTACTGCTTTTTTCCTATATTGGAGCAACTGAGGCCCAAAGCAGAGGAATGCACAACATTTTGCAAAAATCAAAAAACTGGAAAAATTACATTTGTAGTGCAGATGCCTGAGAGGGTGGCTATTTAGCATGTAAATGGATGGACTTCATATAAATTTTACTGATCCTTTTATCCACAGGAGCAGATTTGCAGCAGCGCGCAAAAATATGACATATCTTTTCAAATTTCAAAAATTTTAAAAGTTTGGGCTGAGATGTATAGTCCTGAAAAATTCACAAAATGAAGTAAAAACACACACAATCCTTATGGTTGTTTCTGATCATTTTATCCGCTGGAGCAGATTAGGACCAATGTCACGCAATATGTGACATTTGACAAAATTTGTCAAAATTGAAAAAATTGAAAAATGCAGGAGCGTGAGCCTGCCGAATGCTGCGGATTTGATGCCCGCGGTTCTTGCCAGTGTCTTAGGCAAGATAGGTGGTTGGGTGGGGTGACTGGGGCGCATTTCGCTCCCTCCTGGGCTGTCTACGATTCGTAGACGCCCTGGACCCCATTGCTCAGCGGGGCGCGTCATACGCGGCTGCCGCTGCAGCTTCAGAACCCGGCGGCACTCCGTCCGGGTTCAGGGCAGTAGGGAATTGATTCTCACCCTCGGGTGAGTTTCTTTTCTCCCACCCACCCACACCTACGTACTGACTCGAGAGTGCGATCTCAAGTAGAGACGAGGGAGCGAATGCAGAGTCACTGCACAGGGGCAATGGTATTTTTTGTTGGCGCATAGGCCATGTTGACGGCACTAGGCGCAGCTGCAGCTGCGTATTTTTTGATAAAAATGCCCTCGCAAGAGTTTTGGGACAGGATACAGAAAATCGGGAAAGAAAATACGAAAAGCTACGACAGCCTCGCCTCCGCGTTCGGCGAGAAAGCAGTTGCTGCCGCAGCGAAAAAGGTCTGCGCCGCGGGGGGATTAGTCCCGGCAAAGTTTGTCGCGGGGTCGGCAGCTGTGCCAAAGCGTGTTTTTGCTGCACACGAGTCTGACGGTGCTCGGAAAAACACGGAGTTGGACCGCATCGCAGAGGTGCGTGCGGCGGCAGCTTCGAAGGACAGCCAGGCGGTGGCCCCCGCTCCAAAGAAGCGGCCCTCGCTGAAATCGAGTCCAGATGCCGCTTCTCGCGAGAAGAAGAAGCCGGCTGGCGGTTCTCCAAGGGCACTGCGCCGCAGTGCTTCTCCGCAAAAGCGGCCTGTTTCCGCGCAAGGTGGACCTCGTGCCATGGTGGACCCACTGGCGCCTTGGGAGCAGCTGCAGTACGGGTCCAGCGCTTGGGCGCAGCGCGAAGAACTCGCGATGAGGAAGCTCCAGACAGGTTCGTGGAGGCTGAAGACGCCGCTGGCCTCTCAGCCGAAACAGAAGGGAGCGGCGCCAGTAGCGCAGGGGGGCGACTGCGTCGTTGCAGTCCCAAAGGCGGTTACTAGCCGGGGGCCGAAGATGTCAGCAAAGCTGCACAACGCCCTCACGATAATCCGCGATCCGAAGCAGTTGCAGGCTGCAGAGGAGAAGCTTGCGGGGCTGGTCGACAACTCCGCGCGGCGCGCGTCGGAGGACTCGATCATGCGGCGGTATTTGACTATGGCACAGGAGTTGCCCTACCCGATCGGGTCCTTCGCCAGCCTGAAGGCGGTCATTGCGGTTAGCCTGGAGGCGGACTACAGTACCGTCAGCCAGTCGGTACGGATCGCGATGGCCTCACCGCTCGCATCGCTGAGTNCGCGGCTGCCGCTGCAGCTTCAGAACCCGGCGGCACTCCGTCCGGGTTCAGGGCAGTAGGGAATTGATTCTCACCCTCGGGTGAGTTTCTTTTCTCCCACCCACCCACACCTACGTACTGACTCGAGAGTGCGATCTCAAGTAGAGACGAGGGAGCGAATGCAGAGTCACTGCACAGGGGCAATGGTATTTTTTGTTGGCGCATAGGCCATGTTGACGGCACTAGGCGCAGCTGCAGCTGCGTATTTTTTGATAAAAATGCCCTCGCAAGAGTTTTGGGACAGGATACAGAAAATCGGGAAAGAAAATACGAAAAGCTACGACAGCCTCGCCTCCGCGTTCGGCGAGAAAGCAGTTGCTGCCGCAGCGAAAAAGGTCTGCGCCGCGGGGGGATTAGTCCCGGCAAAGTTTGTCGCGGGGTCGGCAGCTGTGCCAAAGCGTGTTTTTGCTGCACACGAGTCTGACGGTGCTCGGAAAAACACGGAGTTGGACCGCATCGCAGAGGTGCGTGCGGCGGCAGCTTCGAAGGACAGCCAGGCGGTGGCCCCCGCTCCAAAGAAGCGGCCCTCGCTGAAATCGAGTCCAGATGCCGCTTCTCGCGAGAAGAAGAAGCCGGCTGGCGGTTCTCCAAGGGCACTGCGCCGCAGTGCTTCTCCGCAAAAGCGGCCTGTTTCCGCGCAAGGTGGACCTCGTGCCATGGTGGACCCACTGGCGCCTTGGGAGCAGCTGCAGTACGGGTCCAGCGCTTGGGCGCAGCGCGAAGAACTCGCGATGAGGAAGCTCCAGACAGGTTCGTGGAGGCTGAAGACGCCGCTGGCCTCTCAGCCGAAACAGAAGGGAGCGGCGCCAGTAGCGCAGGGGGGCGACTGCGTCGTTGCAGTCCCAAAGGCGGTTACTAGCCGGGGGCCGAAGATGTCAGCAAAGCTGCACAACGCCCTCACGATAATCCGCGATCCGAAGCAGTTGCAGGCTGCAGAGGAGAAGCTTGCGGGGCTGGTCGACAACTCCGCGCGGCGCGCGTCGGAGGACTCGATCATGCGGCGGTATTTGACTATGGCACAGGAGTTGCCCTACCCGATCGGGTCCTTCGCCAGCCTGAAGGCGGTCATTGCGGTTAGCCTGGAGGCGGACTACAGTACCGTCAGCCAGTCGGTACGGATCGCGATGGCCTCACCGCTCGCATCGCTGAGTGACTTTGAAGTCGACCAGCTGAACGCAATGCTGCGCACGTTGAAGCGGCGCGGGGCGACAGATCGCCCGAAGCAGAAGGTCCCGCTGACAATCGTCAGTATCGCGGACGCGTACAACGCGGGGCGGATCAGCAGGAAAGAACGGGCGGTGCTTTGCATCGCGTTCTGGGGGGCTTTGCGCAAGTCCGAAGTTCTGCTCCTTGACACTTCGGGGCAGAACATGAAGGGGAAAAATGTGGCACAGAACCCTCAAAAATTCACCATTTATGGCAAAAGTGGATACATACCGTATAGCGTTGCGTGGACTTTTTATCAAGTGGATTAAATTACTTGCAACGTGCGTGGTAATTCCCCATTTTATCGAACTTGAGAAATTGAAAAAATTGCTATGTGGTGCAGAACCCTAAAAAGTGCAGAATTCAATATATAGACGACATGCGTTCCACATAGATATGGTATCTGGCAGTATGTACTTGAACAAATTTGGCCAATGGCTGCAATTCCTGCCCGATTTTGCAAAATTCCAGAATTTTGAAAAAATGAAAAACTGTGTTTATAATGTAAAAGCTCCAGCTTAGGGCTGATAATATTATTAACTGATCTGGTTAGGATGATTCTTAATCCTGCATCTTTGTGCTGAAACGGATTTCATGAGTGATTGAAGATTTCTTAACATTTTGGAAAATTTTAAAATTTTCCACATTTTCTAAATGTGGTGCATACGTTCCAATGCCTGGGGAAAATGACCACTGGGGGTCGTTTTCCTCTATGGATTTTGCGTTCATTCCGATCGACAAGGATCGACCAGCCCCATGGTGGTAGTCTGCTCTAGAGGCATAAAGAGTGTGCCTTGGACGGGCCTCGGGCCTATAGCTATGCGCCCTCTTTTTGTCCACTGTGACGAACCAAAGCCGCCGCACTGGTTTCTAGGCTCTGCTCCGAAGAATCTCAAAGTAGTGACGCCCAGCGATCGGCATGCGGTTTTGCGGCCCTCCTTATTGCGGGGGTGTATTTAAGCCGGCCGCGCTCTTTCTTTTGCCCTGCGCGCCTTGTCACCGGCCCGCGTTTTGTTTCCGTGGACCACGGGCGCGACGCCCCGCGGCAACGGGTCGCGCCCATATCTTCGGAGGCGCGCAAAGTGCGGGGTCACCCGGGCCGCCGGTACTGTAGCGGCGCCCACCGCTCCGACGCGCACCCGGGTGCCGATCGCCTTCCGGCGATACGCGATGGTGCGAGGCCGCGGTGGACGATTGAGCGTGCGCGAGGGCGCGCGGGGCTCGGCCAACCGCTCGGGGGACAGACGTCGACCCAGGCGGAGGCGCCACGGTGCTTCTTTCCATTGCCCTACTCGCTGTGATGAAGTCCCGCGCCAAGGTAGCCGCATAATCCCGGGCAACAGTTTGGAAGTGCATCGAAAAGCAGGTGGCCGGCTCGCAGGGGTGCCAGAGCTACTTGCTTATCTCTTCAACATCTGTTGTATCAGCATCGAGTCTTCGTTCGCACATTAAACGTCCTTTTCATACAAGACTTTCAATACCTGGTGACAAGAGCACGCACTTATCTGAAAACAGGATGTGCTTGCACAAATATTCTCAGTTCGCTATGCTACAGTGCTTATTTTCAAACTTCCCTTTGGGATTTTCGTTTTCAATATAAAATCGATTCAGCATCCTCGTTTCGATCACCGGACACAACTGCGCCTAGTGCTGTTTTTGTTCTTGTTTCCGTGTGTCCCCTCGTCGCGTAATCATTGAGACGTGATTTATTTCCGTTGCAAATTCGCTTTCAAATCTTCAAACGCACGTATTTGAAGCCATGCCGAGGGGAAAGAAGGAGAGAGAGCGAGCAAACGAAAAAGGCAAACGTGCGCGAGAAGAGAGAAACAAAACGCCACTCGTTGAAAAAAAGGCAGCTGGAACAAAATCAAATTTGCAATGACTTGGAAAGGGGAGGAACGACACAGCTCCTTCTAGTGCTGTTCATTTGAATCAGATTCGATAGTTGAAAGCAATTAGGACATCCTGCTAGCTTCGTCGAATTTTTCATCACAGAGTCGTATAATTCTCGTTTAAAATTTTCAAGAAAAGTCGGAAAACAAGCGAATCTGCGACGATGGATCAACACAGTACTGCACAACAAACCTCGCCGCAGCAGCCGCAGCTGCCGACGTTTCTGAAGGCCGTTTCCAAGAATCGCAACAACTTGACCACCGGGATTCTGTTTCAACAACAGCAGCCGCAGGGGAGCGGGAATGGGAGCAACAGCGGCAATAATAACAGTGCGACCACTTTCAACGGAGACCAGTACAACAACGGAGGCAAGCGGCAAAAGATCGCCTCTGAAAATGGCGTGTCCGCGGTCTTCCCAACCAGCGCAACGAAAATTCTAGCAAACAATGGGCCGCAAGTGGTACAAGGATGGAGATATTTTATCGCCTTTTCTCATGCTGAGACTTCTTTTTGCATGTCTATTCTATCGGCCAAGTTGTGTCATGCAGAAAAAGAAGTTGCAACTAGCAACCCCCAAGAACTACAAGAGAGAACAACTTAATCAAAAAACAAAACAGCACACGTCCAACAGCATCCCGCAGTCGCAAATTACGAACAATTCCGGAGTCTCGCCCGCCGTCCAGGCCCAGGAATTTAGTTTTCTGCGGTTTTTACGCTCCACCTTCACCTCGGTCACCGGGGGTTCTTCTGTGGCGGGGGAAAACAACAACTACAGCCTGAGCCAGCAATCCACGCAGAGTGCCGGTACAACTTCCTCGTACCACCGCGGGGGCAACTTTGGAAATGGGAGTGACCGCACGTCTCCGGTGAAGAAGGGGTTCTCTTCGCCTGCAAAAAATACCTCTCCGGCCAAGAACAAAAACACGCAGCAGCAGCAAGGTGGTTCCGCCGTGAAGCGCAGTTTGATCTTTTCGACAAGGAATTCGAAGTCCAACTCACCGAAGAAACAGATTGGCAGCCAAGGCGCCTCTTCAAGCACCTACTCCGACAACTCGAACGGGACAACGGTCACCACGGCGAGCACCAGTTTCAACACGACTAGCAATTATGACGGAGCTGCTACAGTGGGATCTTCGCAACAACTGAACTCTTCTTACCACGAGTCCGACTTCGCCGCGGGTGGCGGGTCCGCGCAGATGCAGACGCCGTTATGAGAGTGCACAATTCCCCCTCCCCCTCATTTGTGTTGCATACACAGGAATACAAACACCAGCACGCGTGGAGCCAGTGCATGACAAATTCACTCGCCTAGTGTAGTACTGTTTGGGCTTTTGGAATCTGTCATGCAAACAGTGCCACAGGGAAGCACTTTGGTTTGGGGTTTTGCATGACAAAGGAGGGGGAAGTGGAGTTGTGGACTCTCATAGCCGTCGAAAAACAACCAAAAAAGCATCGACAAGCACGTTTTTCAGACGCCGAACAAATCGCCGGCGGGGCGAAGAAGCATGCTGGACGGCTGCGTACCGCACCGGAACAATCGGGATCAGAATAGCAGTACAACTACTGCGCAAAACAACAATACGGTGACGCCGAAGAAGTTGCCGTCGTACGAAAATAGCAATTATACCGGGTCGAACAACAACTATGCGAGTAGTGGTGGCAACGTCGCCCACGAGGAGAGGAGCAGCAGTACCAACTTCCAGCATGAGAAGCCTTCTTCCGGCGCTTCTGGAACAGCTACGGCAGCGGACAATCGGAAGTGGATTTTGGACGAGCAGTCGGGGACGTTGATCGAGGTGTTCGGGGCGGGAAGTAGTACTAGTCAGGGACTGAAACGTGGCTCGCCGTATGATGAAGCGGAGAAGATCCGGAATAATTCTGCCAGTAGAGCTGCTCTAGTACCGGCAACCTACAACGCGGCTTCTTCATCTACTTCCTCTGCAGAAGCGAATTTGAAATTCACCACCCCCATGAAGGACAAAGAAGAGGATTCGCTCACAGCACAGCACGGGAGTAACGCGGTGCCGAAAAAATCTCCACAGCCGGAAAAATCGCCGCAGCAAACGGCTTATCAAATGTAAAAGTGTCTGGGTCTCGAAACTTGTAATGCTGAGTTGTGAATGGTGAACTCTCTGTAATGCACAACCAAGCATGACAAGTATTTGCGCTGCTTAGTGTTGGGCTTTCCGCATGACAAACTGCGTTTAGCATGACAAACAAAAGTACGTGTCTCTTCTTGGACACGCATCACAAACTCTTCAGTCATGCCAGACAAGCATGATAAACCTTGCATCCTCCCAGACCCAGACACTTTTGCAATCCATACGGCTTCGTTGAAGAAAGCGAGATCGATGGCGACCGAGGTGAGTCTGGACGACATTTTGGAAGAGGCGATGAATTTCAAAAAAGAACCCTTTGTCTTCTCCGCGAACGGCCGACGGAGCTGGGTCGGGGGGAACAACAGTAACGGCGGGGAGAAAGGAGACACAGCCTCCAAAAACCCGAAGCCAAAACGACGGGCTTTGGCGGATAAGACCAACGTGGTCGCCGTGCAGAAGGAGCTGTTTGCGAAGGCGCAGCAGTTGGGAGGCGCGTTCTCCTCGTCGAAGCAGAATGGTACTATGTTGTACAAAACCACTTATGTTTGGTTGTTTCGGAGGCTTTGAGATGTGATGACAGTACAACTACGTGTGATGCAAAATCGTGCATGAAAACATATTTTGTGAGGCTGAAGGGCATTGGCACCTAATTCTTTCTCCCCTAAAACCAGATCCGTCGAAACAAGCCGCGAAGCCGACCAGCGCGACCCGCATCGCCAACGACCCAACCATATCACACAGAAAAAAGCAGGCAGGTCAGATCTGTAATGCGAAAATGAGTAGACACTAAACTCTGTATAGCGTGTCCTAAACAGCATGCTATGCAGTTGCCCATGACAAATTTTTCTGCGTATGTAGTTTTGCATTACAGATATGCCCTGCGTTCTTTTTTATGGGGGATACACCACCCCACCGTTAACCGAGAATCTGGTGGCGAAAGACACGGCAATCATTTTGGATATGGCGTTCTCAACTGTTACATTCTCAACTGTTGCATGAATTTGCGATGCAAGAACGGCAAAAGCAAAAGGGGCGACCTTGCGCGTCTAGCATGACAGATTTGGCACAGATTCCCAGCCTATTTGGCTCTTCGAGAATTTGTCATGCGAAGCAGCTTGATCGTATCAAGTCTAATTGTGATTTTGCATGACAAATCATGTCACAGTTGAGAGTGTAACAGTTGCGAGCGCCATACTGGATTGGGATGACACGCTCTTTCCTACCACGATGCTAAAAATGCAGGTCCCGCCGCAGTACGTTTCTACCCCCAACGGGGTCCGGCAGGCCCCGGTGAACGAGGAATTTGACAGTTATTGTCTGAATGTCCTGGGCCCCATGGTGATCAAGTTTTTGGAGGACTTGGTCGCGAAGGTGGACCGGATTGACCAGGCGAATAGTAGTACCAGTACATCAACTACTTCTGCGGTCGGGAACAGCAGCAAGCAAGAAAAACACGACAAGACCAAAAAATCCTCTTTCCACAGCCTCCGCTTTTCCATCATCACCAACGCGATGCCAGACTGGGTTATCACACGGAAAAAGCAGGCAGGGCACATTTGTAATGCGAGAACTAATCGACAGAAAAATCTGTCATGGGCGAGAGTCCACAGCATGCTGCTTCGGATACGGAAAACAGATTCAGTCTATTTGTTTTGGCATTACAAATGTACTGCCCTGGTCTGCTGTTTTCTGGGGGATATGGGTCCAGGCTTGCGTGGAGCGATACTACCCGAAGCGGATGAAGGACTTGCTGGAGGTGATTGACTATCCTCTGCGGACGTATCGTACTTACTAATTCATTGCAGCGCAGCATGAAAAATCTGGCCTCGTGTACCTCATTTGGCATTAGAGATTGAATTTGTCCTCCCCAAATTTGCGATGCAGTTTCTTCTAGTGCGATGCTTTTGCAATGCATAGCGCCGTTTTGTCCGCCCGGGAAAAGTACTTTGGCTACAAAACCGGACAAACCAACACGTACATGGACGCGGCGGATCCGTTGAAGTGGAATATCCTGTGCAAGAACGTCCCCACGACTCCAGAGTTGTCATGCAAATGCGCTATGCTATGAACATTTGTAATGCGCAGGTCCATGAGAGGCATTTCCAACCGTGTTTTGGAATTTGTAATGTTGTAAACAGGATGAGAAAAAATTGGCTTTCTCATGCGGCTTCCCTTGCCAGCCAGCACTTCGCTTCTTAGAGACACTTGTCACGCGCAGCTCCTAAAACTTGGAGATTTGTGTTGCTGGACTCCCAACTTGATTCTGAGGTGGGGACGTTTTTGCAAAGGATATTGAAAGTGTTTACGTTTGGCGGCTGGTTGGGCGACCGGATTCGGGAAGGGTCGATGGGGAAAGGTATAATTTGTACGATAGTTGTGTTGCATAACACTATGCATAAGGACAAGTAAGGGCAAGGTCAGTGGGAATTTTTTTGTTATGCGGAGCTTTGAAAGCTGAGTGATAATTTGTCGTGTCTAGTGCTATCGCAAACTAAAAACCACAGACTACCACCTTATCGTTGCCGGTGACAGTCCGACGGATATTGCCGCTGGTCACGCAATGAAACAGGCGAAAGAGGACGGTCCGAGCTACGTGACTTCGGTATAGAGATGTTTTTGGTTGGAACAGTTTGGTTTCTATTGCTGGTACATGACTACAAGAGATGAGGTTGTTGTTGCTGAGTGGCGCATGACAGTAACTAAACGTGGATCCTGCTCGTCAAATACGATCAGACAATATGTAATAGAGATGATCATCCACGACTGAAATTCTGATGGAAAGCAATGCTCAAAATTGTAAAACGCGCCAAGACTTCATCTATACGAGTAGTTACTAATTATCATGATGACAGCATACCAAACTTCTGGCTAGAATCTTGTGTGAAAGCACGGGTTCGGGCCACGAGCAATACAAATTGGTTCAGCATTACAAATCAAATTTGTGATGCGGATTTCCATTAGGAAAAAGATTTGTCATGCATAACTGCAATCCTCAGATGCAATTAGCTATCATGATGACAGCATACCAAATTTCTGGCTAGAATCTTGTGCGAACTCGCACGGGTTTTCTGTGCCGAAGAATCAAATGTAACTTTTCTGCCTGAAACATATCAAAACGAAATTTCTGATGCTGGATTTGCGTACCCAAATCCGATTTATCTTGCAGTAAGGCAGCGCAGCCAGATCCTCGCTGGGTCTAGTTGTTTAGCATTACACACGGCTGTCCCCTAGGCGCAACAGCATGCCAAATCGCTTCCATAATGGCGCGGAAGCGTCTGCGCTTGTCTTCTTGCAAGACAGACGTGATTCGTGGTCTCAAATCAGCAAGGCAAATTTGCGGAAACATATTTTCCCGCTCTGGCTAGAATCTTGTGCAAAAGCACGGGTTTTCTGTGCCCAAGAATCAAATGTAACTTTTCTGCCTGACACAGCGCTTTACACACATTGAAATCTTCGCAAAAAGAGGATCTGAAGCAAATCTAAATCGTTCAAAAAACGAAGCGTATTATTGGCTTTTTTCAACATGAGGAAAATATACCCATTTCTCGCGAGCTTGTCGCAGACCTGCGATGCGCGCAAGAAAAACAATGTAACTTTTCTGTCTGAGAAGCCGCAAGAAATTAGGGGGCCATGCGTGATCAATGTCGCGGGTGAAGAAGATGATGCGAATCGCGTCGTGGGGGCACATTTAGTAGGAAAAAAGGCTGAATTTGAAAGGAAATGAAAGGGAGCAACGATCTTGCAATCCGGCTTGTCAGGCGTACGGTCGGGCATTGCTTGGCGGGGTAGAGGAAAAGATGTTGTTCTGCTACTGAAATATGCAGCATCCATCTGCTTCACGTGAAAATCAGGTTGCCTTCACCGCCCGCCCCTCCACCCGGATGCTCTCGACCCAGTTGAGGCGGTTTGAAACGGACTTCAATCTGTTCCTGCAACTCAAATTCGGGCTGGGCGTCTCCATGTGGCTGGTTTTTCCCGATATGCATTGCAAAAGTATCGTACTATAATTTCTAGTGTAAATGGCATTCCAAATTTGCTCAGCATGAAAGCTGGAACTTGTCATTGTGTTTTTCCTTAAGAACAAGACTTGTCATGCAATATTGCAACTAGTACGAGGGCGCGATACGTTTGCACAGGATACCCGATGGGAACTTGCAAAACCAGCGAATCGCGGAACTCCACGGGTTGCAGGATGCGGAAACGGTGTTGAGTTTGCCGAAGATTGGGAGTGGGAATGTGAAGACGTTTTCGCAACTGTACTTGGAGCAGACGGGGGATTGGGTGGAGGACGTACAGTTTTTTTGGCGACATTTTCGCATTACAGATTTGTTTCGTCTACTGGAGAATGCATAACAGATTCTTCAAAACATGATGACCAACTGTTTTAATCCACGTCCTCTGAGATGGAAAATCGATGAGGATGCGAAAACAATTGGAAGCTGATAGGACTGACAGGATTTATGATCAGGTGCTACTTGGCACAATGAAAGTAGGCTCTGTAAGAACTCTGGGAAAACCAGAAGCATGAGAAGTTTTTATCCATGATGACCAATGTTGTAATCCATGTCCTCTGAGCGGCTTCCACGAGCCATCTGAAGACAAAACAATTTGAAAGCTGATAGGGCTGATAAGTATTTGTCGTGCAAGGAGCTCTAAAACTGAATCACTTTGATTTCTGTAGACACAATCTCCGCTATACCTACCTACAGGCCGTCGCCCTGGAACCGCAGAAGAAAGCTGCAACCGGGGCTGATTTAGATCCGATGTACTACAACGGGATCAACGCTGGCTACGAGGACTATTCCCCGTTTTCCAATGGCGTTCCGCAAGACAAGTACAATCGCGCTAGCAACCCGCGGGTCCCGCTCTTGAGCAGTAGCATGACAAACAACCTCTCAACTTCCTCCAAAAACCAGCGAGTGATCGGTTTGTTTGAAGAGCAGAAGCCGGTCCATCAATTCCGGAAGGATCATTTACTGATGAACGCGGAGGGGCAGAACGTCACTGCGGATATCGAAAGCATGAACGCCCGGATGGAGTTGCAGAAACCGAGTCCGCACAACTTTCTGTACTTAATCCATCCGGAGGAATTCGCCTACGCGGAATCGCTGGAAATGATCATTTCCAGTCGGAAAGCGTTAGCCGCGATGCAACAGGCCAGGTTGCGGGCGATGCAACACCAATAGGAGGGTTGTGGAGAGCAGAGGTAGAGCTAGAGAAGGTGAGTGACAGTGGTTAAAGAAGTAGGTGACATCACCTCCTCGCACTGAAAATTTAGATTTTGGTTTCAGAACTGAAAAGAGAACTTGTTTCATCATCATTTTCCACTTTTTTACAAAACGAACCCTGTAGTTCATATCCTTGTTTCGCTTTTTGTCAAAATGAACCTCTAGTAACGTTGTATCTTGTTTCGGACGGATGAATTTTGATTTTTTTTTGTCAATATGAAGAGTTTTCTTATTGCACGGTATAGAAGTAGAACCCGTTTCGCGTTTCGCGCACACGAAAATTTTGATTTTTTTGTCATTAGAGTTTCCTCTAGAAAACGCACGTTCAGACGAGTCTCAATTCTTGTACGTGGCTCGTGCAGGATCGCAATGTCAAATTTGAGTCTCAGAAGTCTATTGCACAGAGAATTCTTGTCGTGGTTATTGCATCAGAAATTTTGTTTCGCTTTTGACAGCTTCGCTTTTGACAGCTTGATCTTCACTTTTGACATCAATGTACTCCAAATATGTTGCAAATAATTTTGTTTTCACAGCACCCAGTTTGTGATGCAATCGCAGTAGCGAGAACTACCAGGACTGATACTTTTTTTTCGGCCATGAAGTGCCGGATTCACAGCCTTTTCGCCGTGACACTTTAACATCTCCTGCTAATTCTGATTTTCATCTTGACGATTTCGCGGGTTTTAGAGATTTGGTTTCGAAGCTGTATCTTCGCATTTAATGAATCTTGATAGACATCTGGCCCAATATCTACAGGAAAGATTATGATGACAGCAGCACTGCTTTCAACAGCAAGGGCTACATCTCGCGAGCGTCAAAATTCTCCAGACAATTTTTGTGAGCTTTTTTCTCATCAAGAAATGTACTTATTGAAAACTCTTATCCTGTGGCCCCGAGGTGCGCGGTCCAGTAGACTCTTGTCTGTGACTTCCTACACCGGAGGCTGAGACGCAGCGCAACAAGATTCTTATCTGCATGCTGCTCCAAAGCGAAACATAATTGCAAAAAAAGATCGGCTCTGACTCTACAGTTGGAAGGATCGCTATGTTGTGAGAAACAGTGACCATGGATCCTTCAAATATACATTTCTCCCCAGAAGCGAAGGAAAGGTCAAACAATGTCAAGTGAGATCTGTTTACCAACTAGGGCCTTTAAATTTTGACGCCACGCCCAGGTACATGAAGAGTCATAAAAAGAGATCAAGCAGATAAATTCACTCGCAGCTCGCAGACCCGATCAGCCAAAATTTAAATCGCACAAGGACATGCCGAGATCCGCACGAGATCATGCTCGAAAGTGAGTCGATTAGAACATTCACGATCCCAATGTGAAAAACTACGGACTATTGCTGTTTGCAAAGTTTTTCTTGCAAAAAACCGATTGATCATATCACATCTTCTCTCATCATCACAGGGAACCGAGGAAGGTCTTTTCTCAGACTTCTCTCTAGGTACAGAGTAGTAGTTTCACACCAAAAACACACACAAAATGGGTCGTCGTCCGAACAAGTGCTACCGGTACTGCAAGAACAAGCCGTACCCCAAGTCCCGCTTCTGCCGTGGTGTCCCGGACCCCAAGATCCGTATCTTCGATACGGGTGCGAAAAAGACTGACGCCAGCGTGTACCCCTGCGCCGTGCACATGGTATAAGAATTAGGGATTTTTTGTCTGATGCACACACATCATAGGTTTAGAAACTTGAGCGTCGTTTTCATTGGCGTATCCGGCATGACAACCACCAAGTGTGGATTATCTCCAGCATGACAAACAAAAGTCGGAAAAATCTTTAATGCGAAAAAACCATCTTAGCCAAACTCTCTCTCTCTCTCTCTCTCTCTCTCGTGCGCAGTAGGTGCAACCGCAACACAATTCTCTATCAGGTCTCCGACGAGAAGCAGCAGCTTTCCATGGAGGCTTTAGAGGCCGCCCGTATTGCGGTGAACAAGTACCTGGTGACCAACTGCGGTAAGGATACCTTCCACATCCGTATTCGCCCGCATCCCTTCCACGTCTTGCGTGTGAACAAGATGTATGAAATGCAAAAGCATCGTACTAGTATAAATCGCATGACAAACTTCCTCAGCATGAGAAACAAAATTTGTCATGCGGATTCAACTTGAGAAAGAAATTTGTAATGCATAACTGCGATTACTACGAGTACGATACTTTTGCACAGGATAAGATGCTCTCGTGCGCCGGTGCGGATCGACTGCAGACCGGTATTGTGGCTTTTGCAATACAAATTTCATTTTCAATGCGGAGTTCCGCATTACAAGCTTCTTTCATCCCTATATTTGAGAATACTATTCGGGAGAGTCGGTTTGTCATGCGTGTTTACTGGTAAAATGCAAGTCATGTTTCTCATGCACGGAGTGAAGATGCGAGAAGAGTCACAACATATCCGAATTATAACTTTATCAGGTATGCGTGGTGCCTTCGGTAAGACCTACGGTAAGGCCGCCCGTGTCGACATCGGGCAGATCCTGATCTCCGTCCGCTGCAAGGACGACAAGACCCACCACGCCGTGGAGGGGCTCCGCCGCGCCAAGTTCAAATTCCCGGGCCGCCAGAAGATCCACGTGAGTCACAAGTTATCAAATGCAAATATCCCTGGATGTCTGGAAAGTTGGAACTTGTGATGCTAACTTTGGACTCCAAAAAAATTTGTATCACGCATGACCAGCAAGAGGAGTCGAGTTGGTGCTACGCGGGGAGGGCATTTGTCATGCGGAATAGGCGTAAAGAAAAAGTAAGAAAAGCTGTGATGCTAGGGAATAATACGTCACAGACGTCACAGACGCCATGTAAAATCTGCATGACAAGTTCCAACCTTCCAGACCCAGACATTTTTACATTTGATACAAGTTCGGGTTCACCAAATTCCTCCGTGAGGACTACGCCAAGTACAAGGCCATGGGCCGCCTGGTGCCGAACGGTGTGGACGTCAAGTGGTTGTCCAGTCGTGGACCTTTGTCCCGCTTCACCAACCCGAAGTAAAGTGGTGTGCTGTCGTGTGACAGGATAGCTTGTCTTCGTGCGGGACTACTGCCTACAACACTTCAATGTGTGAAGTGTACGAAGTGGTACATGGATCAACATCGGAAGATGAAACTACACTGTGTGAAACTCTGAGCCTTGAATTCTGATGAAAGTGCTATAGATGGTTTGTGTTGTTGTGTCAGCATCGATCATGTTATGATGCTGCTTTGGCACGACAAAGAGCCATCTTCTGTGCTTTGATGGAATCGAATTGAAACAAAACTGTACCTTGAGAAGATGTGAGACCGAGAACTCAAAAAAAAAGAAGAAGCTTTGCACTGTACCAGAGCAGGGCACCGAGTGCTGTATGCACTCCTGAATATTCGAGGATGACGAGCAGCGTGTTCCACACCGGCGTCTATGTCGGTACTCTATGATGTTGCGTGTCTTCCATAATTTCTCCGTTGCGTACTGCTGCGTCCTCGTCATACTGAAAGATCAATTCAGCCCCATGCGTTGCGAGTCCGAGTGTAGTACGATCTCAGGTTCAGCGAAGTGACCGTTCTTGCGGGTTAAGACGACCTCCTTCGTGCGTCTTGTTGTCGCGACGTTTCTGCATCTATTCGTGGTTGACCGTCTTCTTTCCATGGTAAAACAAAGGCTCGTTTCGTTCTCGCCCTCAGATCTGCCCTATTACACCCAGGTAGTGAATCTTCTTTGACCCACCAGGATGTTATGACCTGTAGCGCAGCCTTTCGTCATGTTTCTGCTTCCGTGAAGCCCGACGTGCTTCGGTAGAAGTAGAGTGGGCACTCCCTACTCTCTTGCAGTTTACGGACACGCTCGTCTCCGAAAGTACGAAAGGCCGGTTGCGGTACTTTTGCCCGCGCGGAAGATTTTTTGGCAGAAGCACTGCCAAGGAGGAGCGTCCCGGGAATCATGTCAAACTCCAACAATTTAAAGAGCCGCGCGGTGAAGCCCGGAGGGAAAGACGCTGGAGCAACAGCAGCTACATCCAAAGCAAACATCGATGCTGCACTGAAAAAGAAAAAGCAAGCCGGTAGCGGTCCGTTCAGCTTGGCGAACTTGGCGATAATAGGCATACTGATCGGGGTTTTAGCAGCGGTCTACATGTTTGTCCTGCAACCACAAGAAACTTCTTCCGAAAAGAAAGCAGCAAAGAAAGAGCGGAAACTGCAGTCCAAAAACGAAAAACAAAAGGACGTGAAGTTGGTAAAGGAAGGCGCTTTCACGGAGAGCGTAAACGAGGGGATAAGAGAGGAAGGGGATGTTAACCGGAAGGAGGTTGATGAGTCACCGTATTATCAGGAGAAACCGGTATAGAATGATTTCGTAGGTGTTTGATGGTTGCTTCTGTGCATGACAAAATCCAGGTTCCTTGGTTTGGCTTTCTATATGTAGCGAAAGTTGGATTGGTTGGCACTTGTTGGCGAAGTTTGGCTAAGTGGGATAAGTTGGCGTAAAGTGAGTAGGTATCGTGGCCGGGAGATGATGGTGATGGCATTTCGATGTCCGCCTGACCCACCTTCCCTGCGTGACAGCCATCTGCGGCCGTTTGCACAGGGGGAGGCAAAGTGTGTCGCACTTCGGTTTAGCATGGCAAAATCCAGGTAGGTATGCTGTTGTTTTTGCAACTCGGATACAAAAAACCCAGATCGCCTTTCCCAAGCCGCCAGATGTCCGTCCGGCAAAGTGCTTACAGAAGGAGGCGCTCTACGACACGGGCAACCTCACGGTGTCCATCGTGATCCCCTACCTCAGGGAAAAATACCAGCACATCAAGGGAACAGTCGGAAGCATTCTAGCGCACACGCCAGCGCGGTTGTTGAAAGTATCAAGTGCAAAAATGTCTGGGTCTGGAAGGATGCAAGGTTTGTCGTGCTTGTCTGGCATAACTCTGAAATCTGTCATGCGCGTTACCCAAGAGCTCCACTTTTCTGTGATGCAGAAACGCAGTTTGTCATGCAGAATAGGCAACACCTAGAAGCTCAGAAACTTGTCATGCTGAGGCAGCATTTGTGGCCTCGTCATGAGACGCCACCCAGCATCACAAGTTTCCAGACCCAGACATTTTTACAGTTGATAGAAAGAAATCGTTTTCATATCTGACGGTAACACTAACGAGGAGGCACATGAGGCGAAGATTTTGAAGCTCAGTCCGCTAACCAGGGTGATCAGGCTGCCAACACGGTATTGTTGTGTTTGTTGGTATGACAGGGGTACTTATGGTGTAATGCAAACACACGCCTGCTGCTGCTTGTGCTTGCATGACAATGGACAAATGATAATTATGATCAATTCGCAGGCACGGCTTAATTTACGCGAAGGAGCGTGGGGCACGGGAAGCGAAGGGCGATATCGTGATGTTCTTCGAACCGCATTGCGTCGTGGGTTACAAATGGCTGGAGCCGTTAGTGCACATGGTGCAGAAGAAGCCAAATTCGCTGGTATAGGTTCTGTTTACGTGTTTTGTTGTTGCTGTGAATCATGCAGCATGACAAGTTGCTTTTCTCATGTACAGCACCGCATGACACAATTGAACAAGTAATCCCCCTCCACACAGATCCTCCCCACCCTGGACTACATTCCGCAAGACAACTGGAACGCGTATTCGAAAGCCTCCTTTGGCCGCTACCGCTTCGAGTGGAATTTCAACCTCATTTACACCAATCCGCCCACCGGGGTGGATCCGGAGACAAGCAGACCGTTCTTTGCGCCGGCGACCTCCGGGGGGATCTTCGCGATTCGGAAGGACCGGTTTTTGGAACTGAAACTGTTTGACGTGCCCATGCACCAGTGGGGCGGAGACCAGATTGAATTGTCATTCAAGGCCTGGCGGTGCGGCGGCAGCATTCTGGTGGTACCGTGCAGTCGGGTTGGGCATTTGTTCCGCGACGTGGCCTTCAGACCCTACCCAGTGGATGTGCCACAGGTAAATCTTGAAACATTTGTCATGCAACACCTGCTTTAGGTGGATATTAGCAACGATGATGGTATAATTTGTCATGCAAATGTTTTCTAGCCCTGATTTTTTTGTCATGCTGGAAGCCTCAAACCACCATTCTCCAGGTCGTCGAAAATTACGCCAAACTGGCCCGGGTGTGGCTGGAGCAGCCGTATTACGAGAGTGCACAACTCCCCCTCTTGCTCGTTTGTCATGCAAAATACCCAATCCACCCTTTGCCCTTTGGCGCTGTTTGCATGACAAGTTCTGGTACCCCAACCAGCACTTTAATCCAGTGAAAATTTGTCATGCAAAACCGGCACTCTTAGTCATGCTCGTACTGCCGTTCATGCTAGACAAATGAGAGGGAGGGGGAGTTGTGCGTCGTTATACGTACCTCGATGCGTTTTTGAAAGTGAAGCCGGAATCGGCCCGCATGGCGCTGGACGCGAACCTCACCGAATCGAGGAATAACATGGCGAATTTGAAATGCAAGTCCATGGACTGGTACGTGCACCACGTCGACCTGGAGCTCGGCTGGGAATCAACGCGGATCTGCATCTACCAAATGCAAATATGTCTGGGTCTGGAAAGTTGTGATGCTAATGCCGGAATCGATACGCAACCTGTATTGCGGGGCCGCGCATGACAAGTTTCTCAGCGGCCATGTCTAGCGTCCACCGCATGACAAATCGCGTTTGTGCATGACAAACAAGTGGCACTGTAGCACAATAAGCATGACAAGACGTTTTGTTTTGCGGCGCTGATGTGGCACAACAAGCATGACAAACACCTTACATTCCTCCTGACCCAAAAATGTTTGGAGTGCACAGTATCCCCGGGGCGCACAATCACCCGTCGGGCTGTATGGTGTTCTCAACTGTTACATTCTCAACTGTTGCGTGAATTTGTGACGCAAGAGTTGCAAAAGTGAAAGGGGAGAGGTTGCACTTCTAGCATTACAAGTTTTCCACAGATTTAGGCACTGTTTAGCCCTTCGCAACTTTGTCATGCGAAGCAGCTTTCCCGTGTGAGTCTTCATGGTAGTTCTGCATGACAAAACGCACTTGTTGGCGCAATGTAAGGATCGTTGGCGAACGTTAAACGCACCTGTTGGCACAAAGTATGGATCGTTGGCGAACGTAAAACGCATTGTTGGCGCAAAGTATGGTTTCCGTTGGCGAAAAGTTGGATTTGTTGGCGAGAAGTAAGGCACGTTGGCGAACGTCAAACGCATGTTGGCGAAAAGTTGGTTTGTTGGCGCAAGTAAGGAACAGTTGGCGTAGTAGTTGGATGTGCCCGAGTGTGATGGTGATGGCTTCGGTCCGCCTGACTCCGCGACCCGGTGGCCTGACCATCTGCGGAAAGGTGCCCTATGGGTTGCGTTTGTGGTTTCGGTCGGTTTAGCATGACAAATTCATGTAACAGCTGAGAGTGTAACAGTTGAGAGCGCCATAGGCTGTAAAAAGCCGAAGGCCGCGCCGGGAAGAAGTACCATCGACAAAGTCATGCCAGAAGCGGACTACATCGATTGGGCGCGGCGGTCGGAATTTTTCGGGAACCTGGACAAGCACTTAGATGGCGACAGCGAGATGCCGACGCAGTAGTAGGGGTAGGTGTGGAACAAAGTGTGTGGGGGAGGGGAAGGATAGAGCGGCAGCTACGTTCTCCTGGGAACTGTGCAACTCCTAGATTTTTTCAAATATAGCAGAAATCAAAAAAGAGAAGAAGAAGATGATGATGATTCAAACTTTTACCAAACTCTATATCGTGAACTCTTAGCTGAAGCGATCGCTGACTCCGCGATCGGTCTACTACAGTAGAAAAAATTTACGCAAGGACAACTCTAAGTATTTTGCGGGTGAAAACAACAAACTACCGCCCGCCACAGTCCGACTTCTCGCTGTAAAGGATGAGTATAGCAGCAGCTTCTAGTTGTACCAGCTGCTCCTGATGCGATTTTTTTAACTTGAATATTTTTTTTTCAACTGAAGCTTTTTATTCAAACGTATGTGCTGTGAGTTGTCGGAGTAATCAACAAAGAAGTTCGGCTTCCTTCAATCTGCGAAACAAAATTTTGCTGCTTTGAATGATCATTTATTTCGAAGAAAATTTTCCGGGACTAGAAATGATACCGCCCGAAGAGACTGGTTGTAAGCACAAGAATAATGTAGAGAGCCAAAGTGTTTTTTAGTGCATATTATCTCTTGCTTGCAAGACAGAAGCACAGGCGCCACTTTGGGCGGCACGTTAACGCCTCTCAAGGTGGAAAAGAACCGGCTGAACACTCGTAAATTGTTTGCTTCTGGTGTTTCCAGGTGTATCTGAGTCGGTTTTCTGATGCAGCCCTCGGTTCGTGTGAATGTGAAACGGATAGTTCGAAATTGAAATGATCCCGCAGAAAGGAAGATCGGATATTGCTCCACGAGATCTCGAATGTGTCGCGGAGGATCTTTCGGAACAATGCAGATGTCCAGGCGAATGTGATCCCAAATTATCAGTTGCAAACCGCGCTTGTTCCTCTCGGTCCTGACAGCGTTTGGTCCTGCGAGTCGTCTTCAGGAGCCACACAACAAAAGACATAATGATGACAACCTAAAGTTCAGTTCTGCTTCTGACTAGAGCAGTGATGAACCTTCTACCAATTCATCCTTCATCGCCCTGACAACGTCTTAGCAGTAATCTTTGTTTTAACGCATGGCAAACACGCTTTTTGCATAATATTCAGTTATGTTGCACGGTATGGCAGCGCTTGTCATGCAGAACCGAAGACGAGACAGAAGACAAAATGATGACAACCTAAAGTTCAGTTCTGCTTCTGACTAGGGCAGTGATGAACCTTCTACCTATTCATCCTTCATCGCCCTGACAACGTCTTTTCAGTACTTAATCGTTTCTTCGCATGACAAGCATGTTTCTCCCATCGCAATTTACATGACAATAATCTTCGCACGTCTAGTTGCACGCTTGTAGGCTTTTTTCTCCTCTCGCGTGTTGGTATGTCGCTGCTACAGAAAAAGATCTAGTCATACTTTGCGACCCAAGCGTGCTTTGTTTTCTCAACTGGTAGCATTGACTTGGTACTACTGTGGCTAACAATTCAACAGACTCTATTCATTCTGCTTTTTCCTCGATTTGTCACGGATTTATTTCTCATTTTGGAAATCGTCTTGATGGTGCTTTCTGTCATGCAGGCGGTTCATATTTGCCTATGCGAGCTACACTCTGTGCGTTTGTTTTCTATGCAAACGAAGCAATTTCCACGTTCGCGACACCATCTTGCAGTCTCCTATAAGCGATTGTAGCTTTTACTTGTGCTGCAGTCGTTTATTCAGGCTGCTACAGAACTGATGACTTCTTCTGACCGGCGTCCCGACTACTACGCACTTGATCCCCCTGGGACGATCATTCTCGTGCCGCTTGTTGTGGCTGATAGCTCACGCTACAACGTCTACTCCAGCGGGGCAAGCAACATCATGATGATATGCGATTCTCTCTCTCTATTCTGACCTACTTGCTCTTTTGCAAGCAGAGATGGTGAGGTACTCGCTTTTGACTTCATTCGCTATCTGATAAGTTCCAGTTACTGGACAAGAACCTGCGCGTCTTCCCTGAGCTACAAATCTGTCTTGTATGTTCACACATAACAGAAGAGATCCGTGTTCCACGATCGGGTTAATATGTACACAAAGATCCATACGGACGAGCAGTCGGGGTCTGTTGCCTGGCTTGTGAATATCAGGAATCCGGTGCAGCTTTGTTTAGTGCAGACCTGCTCTGAGACCCCTGGGACCCGCATGCTACATCAAACTGTGGCAGAGACCTCTAGTGCCCTTCCAAGAAGAAAAAATGCCGTCAGTTCTCCCTGAAACAGGCTTGTGGTAGCCTCAAGTTTCTCCTAACACTGATGGACAGGCGATTTTACTTTTCAACTGTTCCGGGTTTTATTGGTTTTTAAACAACAGCGTGGTCTGGATCTATACCGTATTCGACTGTGCAGTATGGTTGTGATGACAAACTTTTGTCTTTCGCCTCTAACTGAGCTGCGGTTTCTACTGCAGGCCGGTGCGGAGAAAGCAATAACCTCTAAGAAGTGCTGACTATTAGCGTAAGTACCGCGGCCAAGTCTGTATTGCATAGAATCTTTGCCAAGTACTGTTTGTCATGCTGAAGCAAGTCGCCATGAAGACAAACTTTTGTCTTTCGCCTCTAACTGAGCGGTGTTATTATGCACTTCCCGTGCGGAGAAAGCAATAACCTCTAAGAAGTGCTGACTATTAGCGGAAGTACCGCGGCGAAGAACTCTGTATTGCATAGAATCTTTGTCAAGCACTGTTTGTCATGCTGTGAAGCAAGTCACCAGGAAGACAAACTTTTGTCTTTCGCCTCTAACTGAGCGGTGCCATCACGCACTTTCCGTGCGGAGAAAGCAATAAACCTCTAAGAAGTTCTGATAGCTACCCTTGAAAAGAAGAACACTCGAAGCTTGTATTGCACTACTGCCGGCGGAAGTGTGGATCATGAAAAGTGTGTAGCGCGACCTCGCTGTGATGACAAAATGCTTTGTCTTTCGCCTCTAACTGAGTTTCTAGATGCGGAATCAACAACAACCTCTAAGAAGTTCTGACAGCTTGTATTGCATAGAACCGCTACGGGAGTCGAATCTGCATTTTTTCGCAGTGTCTTTCTATCATGATGAGACCTACAACCTTCAAACTTTAATATACGCTCTGAAGTTTGAATGAAGACACACCATAACTGGCACCAGGCTGATAATTTTTCTCTTGTCAATGCTTGTCTTGCATTATGGACAACAGAATGATGACACACTTTTTTCGGACTAGAGTTTTTGAGTCCTTGGATTATTCTAAGGACGCTGAGCAAACAACACATAAGACTTTGATTCTGATACATCACATTGCGATCTCGCACGACAAAGTATCTTTCTCATGCGGCCTACGCATGAATTTTTTTCGTGATGACAAACTTTTTTCGGACTAGAGTTTCTGAGCCTTTTCTCCTGAAAAGTCGCTGAGCAAACAACACTTAAGACTTTGATGCTGATATGGTAAGTAACGAGTTCTTGGTAACACGCACCGCTCGCGAATGATCTTCTTTCTACACAAAGGAGCGCGCAGATGTTGAGTCTCCGTGCTGCTTTCATCACTAGTGCAGCACGGAGAATTTAAATCTGCCAAAGCAAAAACTGGTCTTTGTCTGTCGGTCCAGCGCTCTATCAAGAATCGCTGCGGCCGCCCTGGATGATCCAAACATTCCGACGATCAAATGCGTTTTTAGCAATAGAAAGCGTTCCTGCTGTTGGCAATTTGCATGACAAAGACTGCAGGATAGATCAACAAGCCAAGCATGATGACACCTTTTTTCGGACTAGAGTTTCTGAGCCTTTTTCTTCTGAAATTGGCGATGAGCTCAAACCAATAAGACTTTGATGCTGAAACACATCGAGAAAAGCGAACTTGTACTGCGCAAGCTAACATACTAGGGAGATCCATATTGGCTGTCTTGCGTGACAGAAAAGCTGAAGCAGGATGAAAATCTTTTTCGGACTAGAGTAGCTGAGCTTCTTTTCAGAGACGCTGATCCAAAATCAATAAGACTTTGATTCTGAAGTGGCTTCTTAATCACAGCGATGTTACTACACACGAGCGAGCGTGCTGTTTGCCGCCTTCGGACATGACAAATTCTCCAGCGGGATGAAAATCTTTTCGGACTAGAGTTTCTGATACGGAACTTCTCAAGTCCTTGTGATTACCAAATTGACAATCAAATTCTGAATTGCATATTTCGCATGCGGAAGTCGACTTACTATCGCTCGTGAGGTTTGTGATGCCGGGAATCAATGCATGATCAACATTTCTAGCCGTGTAAGGGACGAGTGGTTGACTTTGAAATAGTTTTCCTCCATCAAATTATGCGGTAGAAAAGAGTTTCCTCCCTGTTGCGGTGCGCGGAATTGAAGTTTGTGTTGTTGGAACTGCAACACAAGCTGTTGCGTGTCGTCAGGGTACAGTTCATATGAAGCCAGAAAATCTGTAATGCGGAAAGCGCCACACGAGAAAAGCTGTTGTATTGTGCGCTCATGCAATTATGATGATCGGATCTTTGTTCCGCGTGTGTGGTTCCATTCTCATAGCATGAAAAACTATGACGATCGGAGTCTAAAAATGAGAATTGGTCGAATCTGACTAGCGGATCTTTGTTCCGCATGTGTGGTTCCATTTGTATAGCATGAACAGCAAGACAAACACCAGCACACGGGGATGCTCTGCATGACAAGTTCATGCGATCAGTGTAGTACTGTTTGAGCTTCCAAATGTTGTAATGCGAACTTTGCATGACAAACTATGATGATCGGAGTCTAAAAATGAGAATTGGTCGAATCTGACTAGCGGATCTTTGTTCCGCGTGTGTGGTTCCATTTGTATAGCATGAGCAGCAAGACAAACACCAGCACACGGGGATGCTGTGCGTGACAAGTTCATGCGATCAGTGTAGTACTGTTTGAGCTTCCAAATGTTGTAATGCGAGCAGCACCATTAGGCAGAAACTGAATTTGCGACTTTGCGTGACAAACTATGATGATCGGAGTCTAAAAATGAGAATTGGTCGAATCTGACTAGCGGATCTTTGTTCCGCATGTGTGGCTCCATTTGTATAGCATGAACAGCAAGACAAACACCAGCACACGGGGATGCTGTGCATGACAAGTTCATGCGATCAGTGTAGTACTGTTTGAGCTTCCAAATGTTGTAATGCGAGCAGCACCATCAGGCAGAAACTGAATTTGCGACTTTGCATGACAAACTATGATGATCGGAGTCTAAAAATGAGAATTGGTCGAATCTGACTAGCGGATCTTTGTGTCCGCTGCTGTGCAGACTTACCTTTAAGCTCCCCCATCTGATTTGTTATTTCAACGGTTTGATGATGTCGCAAGATCTTACCTCCACAATGGCATATTATGCTTATTCATGCCCAGCACCATATCATGCAGGAACGATGAAAACACATTCACCGCAGAGGACGCTATGAATTTTCACTTTACGACCCAGCAAGACCTGCCATTGACGAGATACCACAAAATGCGAAACCAATTTACTAATGTGCCTCAAGGAAAAATTTCCGGTCCGCAGCGAGCCGATTGCCGCTTGTTTTCCTAAGTGATTTCCGATGTTCCCCAGTGTCTCTTCATCTTGCATTGCACTTTCTTGAGTTTTATAGATGCGTCAACAGCTATTATGGGTCGTATAGTCGCGTGAAAGGCGTGTTTCAAAGTGCCTCCGTTTAGGGCAGCAAAGATCAAAAGTATTTTGAGCTCTAGTCGTTGAAAAAAGTTTGGCTCTGCACATTTCTAAATTTTCGTGGTGAAAACATAGTCTACTCGTGATTAAGGTCGCTCAGACCGTTTCGTAAATGGGTCGTCTGATTCGTTTCTCTCGGAAGGTGCTTTTCGCTTGCACAGGACGCAATCGGTCTTTCCGTTATACAGCTTCACGTTGATGTCGTTGCGGGGTCGTGATAGAAATTATGTGTAGAAGAACGAGACCCACCTAGCTTCCACTTCCGCCAGAAGGCAAGCGTGCTCTATCTACCGCAACTCTCATATGCTACTTTTCAAAACCTCCAGCTCGTCTTTTTTTTTCAACGAAATCAAAATTCGAGATAACGCGCACTACTGTTGTACCGAACTGTACGAAATTGATTGTGGAAACAACATCGTATCAGCACTACTTACTTACTTCTTATCTTTGGCCGTCAACTGTATAGTACAATCTCTTGCTGTCCTGTCCCAGCTACATAAAATAAAATGGCGCACTATTCTTTCTTCCTCGTCTATCTCCTGCTGTTGCTTCAGGCACTGCATGCCCGAATTTTGCGTGGCGTGTTGAAGAAGCGAGCGCACACGGTACAGCAGCGGAAAGTGGTAGAGAAGCGACAACGACGACGCGCAGCACGGGGTACAACTACTTCGGACGAAGACAATGGCGCTGTAACAACCTCTAGTAGTGCGGAAGATGATGATACTGGAGTTGAGAAAGAGGCAATTGGTGGTGCAAGATCGGAGAGAAGTAGGGCCACTTCCTCTAACACCCGCAAGTCCTCGTCCTTCCTCGGTAAACTCTTGTCCCGGAAGCAGAAGACGCAAACACTAAAACTGCAGACGAAAAATTACAATGTGAACGAAGATACTTCATTGCCCTACGACGACGGGAAGAAACAAAAATCACGCAGCGCCGCAGCTACCGGGCCTACAAGAGCCGCATCGTTTCTTGAGGAGAGAGAGGAGCAGCAGCATGAGCACAGGGCTGCTGCCTTGCACGAGCAGAAAGATGAGATTCGCGAGGATTTCGATACTCGGCGGTCGGTAGAAGGTCATCTGCAGTTTGGAGCGCGTGAAGATCTTCTGGACGTGGACACAGATAGCTTTCTGAACACGCAAGAAGAGACCACAGACGTTGGGGCGACGACGAGGATGCCCATTGCAGCCTCTACCCTAGCGGCCGACAGGAAGCTCCGGGAGAAGAAAACCAGTGTCGAGTTTCGTGCAGCGGACAGCGAGACTGATGATGATGACGATGATGATGTAGTTCAGCAGGAGCGCGGTGTGCCGGCGTCAGGAGCATCACCTTCTCTTCGCACAGCAACGGCATCTTCAAGAAAGAATCTCAGCGAGGACACGACAAGTCTGTTGGAACAAAACAAAGCCACCACGACCGCGTCGAAAATAGCAGAGACCAAAGCACAACTAACCGTGACCCCGATCTATCTGAGCGAGCAAGAATCAATTGGAAAATCGATGCCCGGCCGCTGCCGGGCGAACACCGTGCAGTGGAGCACGTCTGCGGGGAGCACGATCGCGTGCTCCACGATTTGCGGCACTCGCCACGATGCTTACAGGTGCTTTTACCAGCCCCAGGGGAGGGAGTGTGAGTGCATCGACAAAGACGGTACTCACGCTCCGCTCTACGCGCGGCCATTAACCTACATTAACGCGCAGGAAGCGGCTCGGAAGACCGTGAAATGCACCGCGAAGAGCAAGCCCTCCAGCGTCGCGGTCACCTACGAAGACGTCGGAGCGGGCATGTGCGGCACGGAGAAGGGCCCGATCTTTGACTCCAGCTGGCGCGCGAAGCGGTTATGGCAGTGGGACGACCGGGAAGTACTACTACAGGGTCTGGCAACTCATGGGATAATGCAGTGGGACGGTTCTTCTCCTAGTCAACTGCCCGATGAGCACGTCGCGGCGGCGCGAAGCATGTGCGAACAAGCGTGCACGAACAGTGAGTGGCCGGAAACCTGGGCCGGGGCGGCGGCTTGGGGAAATTTAAACGGCCAGTTGTGGGCCGCGTGGCGCGAAAGCCACGTGATCGGGGAACCGTGCACGGGGTATAATTTCAAGAAATGGGGCACCTGTTTGATTTTCGTGAGAACGATCCCGACCAAGGGCATGGGGACGGAGCAGCCCGGTCCGGGTTGGGACGATAATGAAATCTGGTCTAGCCTGAGCTCGACCTCCGCGAAACAAGACCTGTTAGCCGACGTGCACTCCTGGGCCGCGCAGCCGAATATCTGGCCGCCAAGCCCCTGCATGCGGAAGCACACCACGGTGACGCCCGGCGACGAAACGGCGGGCGGTAGCATCAACGTGAACGGCGTCTCGATCTGGTGTTCGCTCATCTGTGCCGGCCCGCTCCGCAGTAACGCGTGGCAGTGCTTCTTCGAGACGAGGGGCCGCGCGTGCACGTGCCGCGACGGGAACGGAGCTTTCGCGCCCGAGTACGCAAAGCCCGTCGTCTATGAATGTGTCAGGATCGAAATCGACAAAATCGAAATGATTTGTCATGCAAAAAACGGATTCCAGTTCGAAGTCGAACCCAGTTTCTTATTGGCGCATGACAAATTCTGGTGGTGCCTAAATCCAGTTTGTGACGCTGTTTAGCCAAAAAAGACTGATTCTCTCATGCTGCTTCAGCAGCTCGACCTATATAACCCCAAGCAGGCTTTTTACAATCGGCCTCACTTGCCTGCTCTGCAACACACGTATTTCGCGTCATGCATTTTATGCATCACAAGTTTTTCGATTTTGCCAATTTCGATTCTGACACTTCCATATCGTCCAGCCGCCACCTCCACCACTAAGCACGCCGGCCCTGCTATCCTGAGTAAAAACGTCCCCACACCAGAGTTGTCATGCAGATTTGCCATGACAGGAACATTTGTGATGCGCAACCCCATGACAGGCATTTCCAATCGTGTTTGGGAACTTGTAATGCTGTAAACAGGATCAGCAGATCGATTTGTGATGCGGCTTTCCTTGCTAACTTGCACTACCTCACGGACTGAAACTTGTCATGCGTGACTCACAAAACTCCTAGGTTTGTGTTGCAAAATCCCCATCCTGACTCAGGTGTGGGTACGTTTTTACTCAGGATACCTGCCCCCGTCGAGCGGGATTTCCTGTGTGGGCGTCCCGGTTGAGTCAGATCTTCCCCTATCCAGGTGCAGCGCGGAACCCTTCGGGGCCGCGCCGACCTACGCCTTCCGAGGTCCGGCCCAGAAACCAGATTTCGCCGGGTTGTTCGCCCTGCTCGGGCGGGGAAGTAGCAGGTACAACCACCCCTGGGTACGGTTCACGCATTTCCGCCTAGAGGCAGCGGGCGGGCACGCGATCGCGAGGGCGGACTGGGATAACTTTTGGCGGGACAATATCCTGAGCAAAAATCTCTCCACCCCATAGTCCTCAACTGGGGAATTCTGCTAGACAAATCTACGAACTTAGGGTGTTGCGCATGACAACTTTGGCCTCGTAGTGAAATGCTGTTTAGCTCGCTCCGAAGCATCACAAATCTAGCCCACTATGCTGATTGGAGCATTACAAATTCCAAAACACGACTAGGAATTGCTTCTCAGCATGGGTCTCCGCATGAGAAACATTTTGAGCCTGCGTTTTTGCATTACAAGCATGGGGTGGGGACGTGTTTACACAGGATAGACAAAACCGCGCGGCTCCACGACGCCAGCACGTTCGACGCAGCGGTCGCAAAGTCTTGCGGGGAAGTTTCCGAAACGCTTTGCGAGGCCGCTGACGTGCTGTTTCAGCTGCTGCAGGCGCGGCCCCGGACCAACCCGGATAGGGCGCGGGCGGTAAACCCTCACTGGGCAAGCTGGCTCACCACCGGCGACATCGATTATCTATCCGGCCCCAACCGGGACTGCAACCAGGAGGTCCTGACCAACTTTGAATGGGCGACGGTGGCCAAATATCCTGTGCAAAAGTATCCGATACTAGTATAAATTGCAACACCAATAATTCACTTGGCATTACAGATTAGATTTGCAATGTTGCGGATCTGCCTTAATGTAAAGAGATTTGTAATGCATAAACGCAATCAGTATCAGAGTACGATACTTTTGCAATGCATACCAAAGACCAGGCGTGGGACAACTCAGTGGCGCTGCACCACGTGAAGAAGGTCGATTGTGAGCCACGCTTTGTGAACAACTGGTGCAGGGTGGCGGAAAGTTTGCTGGGAACCGACGTTCTAGTCCTCCCCGAGGTAGAGAAGATGTGGGCGGAGTACGAGACTTTCCGGGAGGGAAACGGCTGCATCCGGGCGCTAGCTCGCGCCGAAACGGAGGGCGGTCCGGTCCCGCTACGAACGGAGACAACGAGCAGCACCCCGGTGCCGGCGGTGCCGGTTCCGAACCCCATGAACTGGGAGGACCGCATTCAGCCGACCGTGTTTAACAACTTACTCGACCCCGCGCAGCCGGACAGTCTCTTGTTGGAGGAACAGTTTACCCGGACGGAAAAAACTATGAAAGTGTCAGGATCGAAATCAACAAAATCGAAATAATCTGTGATGCATAAAACCGATACCAGTTGGAGCCTCAGTTTCCAAGTGGCGCATGACAAATTTCGGGAGCCCGGAAGTCGCGTCTGTCATGCTGTTTGGGCAAAGAAGGCTGCTCCTGTCATGCTACTCTGGCATCACATCTCCTTCCCCTGAACAGGCTGGCAAGCGGTCTCATTTGCTTGCTTCCCAACACAGGCCCTACGCGCCCTGCATTTTATGCATTACA